GACCGGGTCCTGCAAGAAGCTTCAGAGCTCTAAGAGGCTGATAGGTAGTAAGCCATGCTTGCGCAGCAGATGAGGTAATGGACCACGGGACGATACTCGTACCTCTGTGGGCCATTGCCCAAAGCTTGCGACTCCCTCGCCTGAGAAAGTTGACGATATGGCTGGGGCTTTGTGTTCTAGCGTCCTCTGGCTTTCGCCTGGACGCTCTCCAAGATGAAAATATTGCTAGCCCCTTAATTCCATGGTTATTAGTGGAGTACCTCGTACATAATTCGGCAAGTGACTCGGGTAGTCGGACTCACTTACCTCTAACTTCTTTGAATTGCTCCTTGCACTGGGCTTCGGGCTTGGGCTGCAGGGCAACTGTTTGCTACTCTGCAATCGCTCACAGGATCTGTGGAGGTTGCGGAAGTGCAGCTCTATACTCCTTCTTTCCCTGTTGTGAAGGATCACTGCGGACCCTTTGCTCGGTTGTGGGATCCAATGGGAACCCCCTGTTTCGCAACCTTTTAAGGAAATTCGTGGCCCTTCAGACTTCAGCCTTCCTCAGTCAAGCTACCTTTGTTCGTGGAATTGTCGCTTGCTGGTGTCCAATGAGGCTTTTGAGCTCTGACCAGATCATCTCATAGATTCAGCATCACGTTCTGAATACACCGGAAGGTAATGTGGTATGTACTCGTAGGGCCCGTCAAGGCCCGATTGTAGTGTTGCGGGACGCTTGCGTCGAACAGCCCAGGGAGGCTAGCTGCGGAGCTGGCCACATGGTGGAGGATTGTGGGAACCGCGAACGATGCGAGATGAGAGTTGGAGGGTGGTTGGAAGGATTTGAATTTCAAGGGCCTGCTGACGTACGAAAGCCTTCATCTGACTTTGTCTGCTTGGGCCAGAATACATTTGGGAAGTGATGATGTGGTCAGGAGAGGTTCAATTGGGAGGATTCATGCTCTTGTCGGGTCGAAGGTGCCACACAGTATCCTACACGCCTCCTGCGTACGTATGTTTTCTCTTTCTGGGCATATTCTCTGTTGAGGCAATGGCAATACCGTAGCAGGCAATAGGGGCGCCGGCCACGGGTGAAGGCGGGATGGAAACGTAGGAAAGAGGCAATGGTTGGTTGAGGCAACGGACGCTGGTTTCAATTGAGGCTTAAACTTCATGTAGAGCAGGTTTTTGTTGCATGATCTCGGAACCCACGGCCTGAAACGATGGGAGATTGAGCAGAGAGAAGTGGAAGGCTTGATGGCAGGCCGAGCTCATCGACGAGAAGCTTGAGCTGGACAGTCTCAATAAATAGATCTGCAGGTGCAGTCAGTGCCACTGCAAAGCACAAGCATCTTGAGGTGTTTTGGGATGACGAGCCACCAATGGTCTCTTCTCTCGTGTTTCTGCAGGAAGCAACGACAGCGAATCCCGTTTCAAAATTGTTCTCTGCTGTGCATTTGGCAAGATATGTGCCTGGTTTCGTGGAATTTCGGCATTCTACATGAAGTTGTGTGCTTGAATTCGAAGACAGACGACAGCTTGCTGGTATGGCGCATGCATGGGCGTGTCTGGACTACACTTGGCCCCTTCTGCAAGCACGGGCCTGAAGCCACCCTCCCAATCCAAGGTACAGCAATGAAAAGCTCTTGATGGGCAAGTTCGATCGACTTTATATCATTTCAGGTCCAGGTTCATACCATGTCCTGTGGACAGCGTTATATTCGAGGTGGCTCAGAAGCAGTGAGACGAGACCCAGACGGTTGTCAGAGCACAGGAGTATGATCCAACATGAAACAAAAGTCCTCGTTGGATACACAAGACTTGTTCACCGCTGCAGCTGGTGATGGTTGGCACGATTTTGCTTGTAAATACTGCTAGGGTGGTTCAGCACTATGAGTACATAAAAGAATGTGTTTTCCACAGCAACTGAGAAGAGATCCGTCCGGGAGGACGATTGTGTGGATCCCTGTAGAAGCTGTTGACATGTAGGGTGACCATTTCGTTCAGATTTTCAAAGTGCACGCCATTGCGAAGAACAAGCAGTGAAGACATAAAGGAAGGACATAAGTGGACAAACTCGGTCGCTTTGTATATGGGGCCCATTGAGGTTTCACGCATAACAAGCACCACCTGCCGCAATATAGAAGAGACCCATGAAGTAGAATGTCTTCTGCACAGAACCAAGAAAGGCCAGGGGCACATTTTCTGATTCCAAGCTGGGTGTACATCCAAGATATCAGCGACATCACACGAGAGGAAGACTTGATTGTGATGGTAAAGGTAATGTCTGAGACAGCGTGAAGGTCTTGTCAAGCACGATCAGGCTGTCAATACGCCAAAGTTGACACTATACCATCGGGTTGACGTGTATATCCTCAAGCCAGATCTAGAAGGCCCGAAGCTCAAGGTTTACCTCAGGCCAAAGAGAAAGGAGAAGTATTCGTTGCCGGGTATGGGAGGTGACAGGACATGCCTCCTGCAGCGACATCAAACGGAGCCAGCAATTTCAAGATAGGGAGTTGTTCGCCATAGCTAGCTTCTTTTACGAGCAATACTGTTATTGATCAGAAAGGCCGTGACGCAAGGTGCAAGCACAACGGTACTATGTAAGGCCGAAGGGCGGTAAGGCCATGATTTCTGAGACAAGTGTGGGTGAATCGTTCCACTTGTAGAGAGCTTCCTGCACGTCATGTGTGACTTAGACAGCTGAGAAGCGCCCTCTTTGAGAAGTCGTCAGTGGTTGGTGCTGTCGCTTATAGCTGTATCGGCTTTGCGCTTCACTTCTGGAAAAACGTGATGGCCACTCCGACAAGTGAGATCCAAGGTAAGGTCGTCGCAGTCTGTCGGGGTTTGGCCCTTCCTGCAGCTGATGACAAGTCGCACAATCTGTCGTAAAGCTGTTAGTGCTCAGGAGACAGTGCTCCAGGTCTTGCGAGGGTTGCTTTCAGCACGGACTCGACTTGTCTCACAATTTGGGCTCTGGTCGGATCCAGAGTTCAAAATGTGCAGTGCACCGCGGAGCACATCTTTTGGCAGCAACTTGCACTCACTTGCAGAAATATCTCCTTCTACCACTGAAGACCTTCTCGCTCGGTCACCTATAGCCATGTTGGTGGGGAGCTGGGCCTTGGGTCGAAGCATTTCCTGGGCCAGGCTGCAGAGGTGGCTCCAAGATGTGATAGGACCAATGAGTCTCTATACGGACCAGTCAGACTTCTGCTAGTCTCCCGAAGTAACTAAGTCCCAAGTGGGAGGAAGGAAATTGGCTCTCATAGGGGCTTTCCAAGGCCGGTTCTGATGCAGGCTCATCTCAGCGGATCTGTGCCAGCATGTGGATATGTGGATATTCCAAATCGAACAGCGAGCACTCGCTGCAGAGGTAGTCAAGGCCTGCGGGCCTTCGGAGAAATCATTACTGTTTCCGAGGGCCATTTCTCTTTGGTGTAGTTATAGTTCGTCCTTCCCCGGCGATCGTTGGTTTTTACGTTAACTTGATTACTAGATTCGGTTTGGATGAAAGGTGACCAATATCTTGCTAATCAGCGTTATGAGGTCGATGACGCTCGAGAATCGTCGGCAATTGTAGTAGCCTTTGCTCAGGGGCTCCGCAGACCTTGCAGCCACCACAGGCCACGAGCATGTTCGCTCAGGCACCTGAGGATACCACCTTGAGAAGCACCGAGGCGTCTGGTCACCGCCTTGGAAGGGACCGTCGTGGTTGTTGCCGATCGCTTCGAATGGCCCTGCGTCCTGGGGGCTAGTCAGAGACAGAGTGTCCAGTCCCATTCAACCACCTAGTCTGCAACGCAGTCAGGCTCAAGGTTTGGAGGAAGCCAACAGTTGATGGTCAGAGGGTTGCAGCTCAACTACGACATGGTACATGCCTGCATCCGCGTGACCGAGACCATTCTGGAAGACCTGCTGGTCGCAGGATGGAGCATGATTCAGCTTTCCAAGGGCCTGGAAGCCTCGTTGACGGTTCCCCTTTATGGATGATGGCTGGATATGCGGCCCACGTCCAACCGCGGCCAACAGCCACCTGCGACGTGACTCAGCCAGGATCAGGCGAGGACGAAGAAGCAATCCCAGCTTGAGATCAGAGGCACAGACGGAACCAAGTCGACTCGGGGGAAAATCGTTGCCTACAGCAGCAGGTTGCATCTCAGGAGGAGATTGAGTTGCATGCTTCCCCACGCTCGCACAAATCGAAGCTGATCTCTATGCAGAGACATCAGATACTTGCGAGTTTTCTTTCCGGCCATGGCACACAAAGACCGATCCTGTATGAGCACGATGCTAACAGATCAGTAGTCATGATGACCAGAGCACACCCTGAGCCCTGCCTTACTGATCCTCCCAGTCGCACACGAGTGGGAATTCGCGTTCCGAAAGCAGAATATGCCTTTCTCGAGGTTGGAAGGAGGTGGAACAAAGACTTGAGAAGAAAAACTTGGTGATCTATACATACTCGTTGAGGTCGTCGAGGAAAAGCTGCTGCAACTCGCGAGACTGTCTTGTGTCAGATCATAGGTGTTGCAGCCGCCTTTATCAACTGCTCCAAAGTCACGTCAGGACGAAGGCGTCGAGTGGAAAGCCAGCCACGAGCATTGCTTGCCTTTAGCAGCTTTTCCCGAGGATAGGATCTGGCATGGAGGTAAAGAGCCGATGTTGGAGTAAATCATGCGTCCGGTGAGTCGAGCCGGACTTGAGCAGGCTCCATGCCAACAGCACTGTCACCTATGGTTTGGTCGAATACGCCTCCGTCGGATGGAGCCAAGTGACCAGTCACTCTGGCTTCTCGCATTCAATAAAAGGAGTGAGCCTAACGATCAATACGGCTTTGCAGTGAAGAAAGTCGATGTAGTTCCGCCCTAGGCCGTTTCTTAGGCATTGTCGGCAGTTCTGGCCTCTGTTCCCATTCGTCGGTCAGAGATATGATCCAGGAGAGAACAGGGTATGTATTGGAAAACAGACTTGGGCTTCTGGATAGTGCCACAGGTCGACGAATTGAGCCATAGTTACTTGCCCAAAACTTCTTTCTCTAGTTGCTGCAGAGCCGCCTCGTACCTCTTTTTGATGTCTACTCCCTCAACGCTCAGATTGAGCTTGGAAATTTTGGTCTGCCTATGAATCGACACTGCGTCAACGCCTGTTCCCGGCGTTGCGTGCTTGACCTTGCCTCCAATTTCACGCCAAAACCAAGCTGCTTCTCTATGTTCAACGAATGTCCATGCATGGCCAGCCCTGCCAGCCCGAGCAGTTCGACCTACACGATGCACGTACGTCAAAGGACTGTTGGGGACATCGTATGAGATGACATGCTCAAGACCAGGTACATCCAGACCACGAGAGGCGCGGTCTGTGGCGATCAATACTGATATCTTTGACTTGCGGAAAGAAGCCAAGGCTCGACGTGAGGAGGCAGACGAGGCAGTGCTGCGCGTTAGAGTCGAGATTCCAGGAGCCAAAAGAGGATCGATGATACATAGCAATCGGGAGAGCCTGGTAGCCGAAGCGGTCGAGCGCGTAAAAATCAACGCTCGCGGTGCTCTTGTGGTCTTGTGACTCTCCGGAGCCTTCTTCGCGCCGAGACTGGGAGCAGTCGAACCTTCACGCGAGTGTGATTCAGTGTCCGTAGATGAATCACGCTCGTCTTCTGACGATTGTGATGATGAGGATGAGTTGAACCCGGCGTCTGACTTTGGTGAAGGACGGCCAACACTTCCATCCGAGCCCAACGGCTTTTGAGATAGTGCGATATGACTGTGAAGAAGCTGCAGGAGATATAATGGCTTCTCGGCGCCGTTAGTGACAGGAATAACGGTTTCTCTGAGGGTCCCAGGTAGATAGACAACTTCACTGTCTTTATGCGTCAGCTCTTCAAGCCTTTCGGGTGGTGCGCCAACCCTATCTACTCTCGACTTTTCTGGATTACCACCCAGAACGACCAGTTTCGGGTTCCATAATCCCACAGAATTCAGCTTAGATAAATCGCGGGTCATGGTTGCAGAAAGCAAGACCTTGATGACATTTCGTCTCGGGAGTGTCATCCTCATGTGGCGGAGTATTTGATCCCTTCCTGCGGTTGCCGCCCGCGACTCTAAGGTTGGTTTGACCACAGCAATCCATTCTTGATAGCTCTCATTCAGCAATCTGTCAGCTTCGTCCACAACAAGCCACTTCAAGTCATCGAGAGTGAAACCGGAAGTAGACTTGAGGTGATCGACTAATCGACCAGGTGTCGTGATGAGCACGTCCACTTTGGATTTATATCGTGTGACATAGCCCGCTGACTCCATCGGATCAGCATCTTTCACATTTTGAGCCAGCCTTGAGAGCGAAAAGTTGGCCCAGTCGATAGGACTCTGTTGCCATTGCTCGTACTCCTCTGGATTGAAGATCTTTTCCTCTTTTACAAGCAGATCTTGCTCTTCGGTGAGAGATTTGCTTCCCACGGCCGTTGCAAACTTAAGAGATGTCCCTGCTGCACAAATATCGCACAGGTCACGGACTTGCTTTACAAGCTCTCGCGTTGGGACAACGATAACAGCCCTGAGCTTTGTACCTGGGATGTCCTTCAGATCGGCCACAATGGGCAAAACATATGAGAGAGTTTTACCGGAGCCTGTAGCAGCCGATACACAAAGGTCGCCGGGATGATGATCAGCACCATCAAGTAATAAAGGTAATACTGATGCCTGTATCGGTAATGCATGTCGCAGGTTTTGTCTTTTCAGATTTCCCAACAATGGCTCCTGGATCCCGAGTGACTCGAAAGACGAGGTCGAATCCAAAGGGACGGTCAGTGGGTTCTCTTGCCAAGGTGGGAGGGTAGAGTAGGTTGGTTTCTCTGGAACTACCTCTATCTGCTTTGGTTGAGGTATGGGTTCAAGACCATGGAGCTCTGGAGGCGGTTCGTCCAATGCTGTGTCGACCTTCGTTTCTATCTGGTCCTGTTGTCTTGCCTTTTCATATTTTGTGAGCAGTGCGGTGTGCTTCTGTGGATATGCTGCAACATTTGCCTCCTCCTCTTTTTGTTCACCTGTCTTCCTCCGCTTCTCCTTCTTCTTCTGTGTCAGGCTGTCATGCGCTCTTTGATTCCCATCGTCCGAGTTCAAATTGACACGTTGCAATTCATTCGAGGCCTTGGCCTCAACCGTAGCTGAAGTAGTTTCAGACCCTGCAGCCTCCGCAATGCGATATTTGTCCAAGATTGCCTTTCCCGTTACATCTGAAGAATCTTCGACGGCCACGGTGGCTTTCTTTGGAACCGGGAGGGGGGACGTGTCAATGGGCTGGTCTGGTGTCTTTGAAGATTTCAGCTTCTTGCGTCTCTTCTCATGGATCGCCGCATCTTGATCTCGCTTGCGCTTATCCCCATTGGACACAGGTTTCTCGGCGTTATCTGCGGTGCCGGTACTGCTTGTCGTCGCGGGAACGTAGCGCGCATAGAAGCCAGACATGTGGCAGGGCTGTTGACGCTAGAAAGGCTGCAGAGAGAGGACAGCAGGAGCCTGTTCCCCGAGGTGTAGTCTCGAGCCTTAACAGACAGTTTGGAGGTGGTTGAAAAAAGTCTGGGAATTTCGCCGGCAGAATTTTCTCACCGCCTTCGGACTCGTGATGGCCGAGTTCCCCCTTTTCACTTGGTCTTTGTCGCTGGCGATTGCTGACAACCTTGGGACCTGCCCATGGTGACAATGATACGACAGATTCATCCAAAGAACGCAATCATTCTCATTGATGGCTCTGAGGTCGGGTGTGGTCATATTCTTCTCTACGCTCCAGCGACATTCGATGAGATAGGGTCGGCCCACTATGCCTTACAACATTGCCATGGTCAGTGACTTCTTCTTCCCCCAGCCGGGCGGGGTGGAAAGTCATATATATCAGCTGTCGACTAAGCTGATCGATCGAGGCCACAAGGTTGTGGTCATCACACATGCGTACGGAGGCCGCACGGGCATCCATTACCTGACCAATGGACTGAAGGTCTACCACGTTCCCTTTCTGGTCATCTATCGCGAGACAACCATGCCTACCGTCTTCTCGTTCTTCCCCATTTTCCGCAATATCGTCATCAGGGAGGAAATCCAGATTGTCCATGGTCATGGAAGCTTGAGTAGCTTTTGCCACGAGGCTATTCTTCATGCTCGAACAATGGGCCTACGCACCGTCTTTACCGATCACTCACTGTTTGGATTTGCAGATGCTGCTTCCATCCTGACAAACAAGCTACTCAAGTTCGCCCTGAGTGATGTTGACCATGTCATCTGCGTGAGCCACACATGCAAAGAGAATACCGTTCTTCGAGCGTCTCTTGACCCGTTGATGGTTTCAGTGATACCGAACGCTGTGGTTGCCGAGAACTTTCAACCCAAGTCATACGTCCCCAAGTCCAACAACGATACCGGATATATGAGGCCCATGCCACTTCCGCAGCGTCTCGGCCCTGGAGATACCATCGTGATTGTGGTCATTTCACGACTCTTCTACAACAAAGGAACTGACCTTTTGATTGCAGCCATCCCAAGGATCCTGGCAGCACATCCCAACGTCCGCTTCATCATTGCCGGCTCCGGGCCCAAAGCCATCGATTTGGAACAGATGCTCGAACGGCGCATGCTTCAAGACAAAGTCGAGCTGCTGGGGCCTGTCCGCCATGAGGAAGTCCGCGACGTGATGGTCAAGGGGCATATCTACCTGCATCCAAGCTTGACCGAGGCCTTTGGAACCGTCATCGTGGAGGCCGCGAGTTGTGGCTTGTACGTGGTCTGCACGAGAGTTGGAGGTATACCTGAGGTGCTTCCAGCTCACATGACAACTTTTGCTAAGCCTGAAGAGGATGACTTGGTTCTGGCGACCGGTAAAGCTATTGCTGCTTTGCGCTCGGGCAAGGTAAAAACTGAACGATTTCACGATCAGGTTAAGATGATGTATTCTTGGACCGATGTTGCGCAAAGGACTGAACGTGTGTACGATGGTATAACGGGCGCGATCACGGAACAAGAATTCTATGGTCAACATGCTAATGCCCCCTGGAGCGCCTCCCGTGTTCGAGGATACGCACTGATTGACCGATTGAAACGATATTATGGATGCGGCGTGTGGGCTGGGAAGCTATTTTGCCTCTGCGTTATTATCGACTATCTCATATTCTTGTTTCTGGAGATCTGGGCCCCTAGATCGCGTATCGACATCGCACGATCTTGGCCACGAAAGCCCTTCATCAATGACAAGAACAAGCCGGTGGAGAACGGCACATATCGGCGACGAGGCACAGATGTTATGGATCGGCGGAATGGCAGTCTTGTCATGCGTTGAAATGACGAGCAAGATGCCCTTGGACCTCGGATCGGAAACGACCCCACTAACATGGGCGATATTTGAGAGCTTTACAACGGAGCGTCTCCACCGAGAAATGAATCTTCCCTTGAACCCACGGTTCACCGCAGAAGGCAGACTTCTTCAAACAGAACCCAGCCCACCAATAAGGAAGCACCTGCAATATGACTTGGCCAGCCTTGCCGAATCGCGCTGCTTATTTGGCCATCAAGAACGGAAAGCGTCGGAATGCCCTGTCTCTTGCGGTCTTGCGGGATTTGCGCGATCAACTGCATGCGTACAACCAATCACCCATTGACGGCCGCGTGAGGATCCTGCCACCGTTCAAGCCAGGAATACTCGAGGAGCTGGAAGTGGCCGCAAAAGACCAGCACTCCGAAGCTGCAAAAGAACATGGATGGCTCCTTGACATTGAAAAGTGGCAAGAGCACCGACAGGGACTACCCAATGTTATTGTGTTGCGCACTGAGGGATCTGTGTTTTCATCGGGCCACGACTTGGGCGAACTACGAAGATTGAGCCATGATGAAGTAAAGGAGACATTCGCCCTCTGCGCCGAAGTTATGTCCTTGATCAGGCGCTCTCCAGCCCCAGTGATTGGGGTTATCCAAGGGCTGGCGACTGCCGCTGGGGGCCAGCTCGCTCTGACGACGGATCTTCCACTGGCATGTGCTTCAACTGGATTCCGCTTGCCGGGAGCATCGTTGGGGCTGCCTTGCACGTCTCCATCCACTGCCGTTTCACGCAGACTAGGGCATGCATTCACGTATCGGATGCTTGCTCTAGCCGAGCCAGTGCGGGCGGATCAGCTTCCAGGAGGGGCAGTTGATGTGTTTCCAGATGAGGCAGCTCTGGAGAGGCGGGTTGCCCAGATAGTTAGTCAATTGTCAGAGAAGACGGCAGCACAGCCACAGGCGCTGGGCAAATGGGGATATTGGACACAGTTGGGATTGTACGGGGCTACATCTGCGTCGGGGGGTGATGGCTATGAAGATGCAGTAGCATGGACTGGCAGGCTCATGGCTCTGCACGCGAGATCTGCAGATGCTAGGGAAGGTATTAATGCCTTTTTTGAGAAACGGCCGCCTGTGTGGAAGCTCTAGGTCTGCACGACTTCGATGGTCCTGCTGCAGCAATGTCTCCTGCAGGGGTGCTGGCGATCTATTGAATCTCCCAGCTTTTAACGAATCAGCGGAGTTAGCTTACTGTTGGCTACTAGTACATGGTCCATGGCGTTTTACCTGAGCTATTTATTAGCCTCAACACATGTGATGACTTGGATTTGGGGTTGTTTCTATATTACGCGGTATTCGAGGTACACAATCAAATAGTAATCTTGCTACACACGTGCTTTTGTCCACCAACGAGTTGCAGCCGCTGTAGTGAAGCCTAGGCCCTTGGGGGGCCCTATGCGTGAAGCGCGTTGCTGCGAACCTAGCGACACCTGCGCACTTTAGGGGCCCCGGGGCCGACCAGGCATTCCCATTGGGGCACTTCACCCAGAGCCAACCCTCCAGCCCGCCAACCCGCCAACCCGCGGGTCAGAATTTCTCCCGTTTCTTCCGCTGCAATCAACCGAAGTGCCCCTCCTCCACCATCATCGTCTTCAAACGACGGGAAAAAAAGTCATTGATACAGATTTCCCATCACCCCCAGGACAATGCCAGAATCCTCAAGGGGACGACATTTTCAATGGCTCATGGCGAGCCTCAAAAGATCGACACCGTCATTGTCGGTAAGTGCTGCCCACCCAGTCTCCAATACTCTCGACAGATCGAAGGGGAAGCAAAACTGACCATGGATCTCTCGTCAACTCCATAGGAAACGGCCCCTCCGCCTTGATTCTTTCGTACATCCTCCATGGGCACATTCCCTACTACGATAAATCCAGTCCACATCCCGATGCCATCCTCAATGAGAAGCTACTTCGATTGGCCCACGATCTTCTCGATATCGACTTTGACTACTTGACGGAGCATTTTGCGGGTTCGCGGTTTTCTTACTCAACTCAAGCCCTCCCGGTCAACGTCTTGCTCGACACATTAGTGAGGCCTCTGGGGGAAACAGATGACGCCGAGAAAAAGACATGTGTCAGGTGGGCATACGAGCCCTCACGAGCGGTACCTCACATGGTCATTGGACAAACCCACAGCGCGGGCGGACAATGGGTAGAGAATCCTGTTCGTGCGAGTTGGGATATTGGAACCCTCAGTTATGCGGGAATGATCTCCCTCCCAGGCTACGGTTTTGATGAACACTATCAGAAACGAAATGGCCGGCCTATGCCAGTCTACCTCAGGCCATCCCGACATGCTGTGGCCGACTATCTCGCCGAATATCCTTACCATGTGGGTATCGCCGTCTCAGTCCGGAACGGAGAGCAAGTCAGCGGGATTTCTCGTCGTGGCGATGGTTTTTACGTCGCGTCGCATAACATCCTGTGTAGGAATCTTGTCCTTGCGTCTGGAGTTTTCAGCGAACTCATCCAGCCGCGACCTCTACTCCGTCCACTTGTTGAACTTCCTGCCAAACAGATGGGACCGTCTCCGAACCCGCTTCTTGTCATTGGCTCCGGCTTCAGTGCTGCCGATGTGATTATTTCGAGCCCGCCAAACCAAAGAATCATTCACATTTACAAATGGGCTCCTTCAACATCTCCATCTCCGTTACGCGCTTGTCACCAGCAAGCTTATCCCGAATATGCAGGGGTGTATCGCCGAATGAAACTTGCCGCCAACCCTTCCCCTACGCCCAAGGACAAACGCCTGAGAAATCGTCGAATCATGTCCGAATTTGAATCAAGTCGCGATTGGAATGCGACGTACGAGGGACTGCCAAACACTGAGGTCATCGGTGTTCAAGTCACCGACAACGGGCTCGCAGCCATTGTCACTTTGCAACATGCCAGCAAGACCGAACCGCCATTTCAGCGCCATGTGAGTGGCTTGGAGTATGTGGTTGGGAGACGGGGTTCGCTCAATTATCTCTCACGGAGCCTTCTGCGGGAAGTGGTAACGAAAGAAATTGATGTGCCACCGCCTTCAAATGCCGGTCTGATATCAGCGCAGATATTACGCGAGAAGGCGAATGAAGATCTCGAGGTTGCGCCGCATGTTTTTATCATCGGTAGTCTCACTGGCGATTCCTTGATTCGCTTTGCATACGGTGGATGTGCCTACGCTGCAGGGAAGATCATGCGGGACGAGTCTCAGAGTGGTAAGAATGAAGTCGAGTTGAACAAGTCAAGGAACACCGGGGCAGTCAAGGTTTGTCTGGGCCAGTACCAAACACCGGCTTCGTCGCCAAAGATTCCTGCTATGAATGGCCTAGATGGGCATGAGTCGAGTCCTGTGAGCTTAGCGGAAAGAACTGTTATGTCTCTGGATAGACGCAAATAGTGATAGAGCTTCGGGCAGCAGAGATGCAGTAATCCCACCGCTGCAGGACTGGGTTGGTATGTTTCGTTCCTTCGTACATAGAATATAGAAGGCGACAGCATATCGACTTATATCCTGCTCTGTTTCTCTGGCCCGTGAATGCAAGCTGTTCATTTGTTAATATTAGCTCTTGACAGCCTGATGCACGAGGCTGAACCCCCGATAAAGTTACTGCGCAAGGCTTCGGAAACGAGCTCCGAAGCTAATGACGCACACTAGAAACTTTTGGTGTCGATGGCTACCTTGCGAGCTTGTACGTTTGATGACTTCCAAGGTTCTAATATAAAAGCACAGCAAATGGAACACCCTTTACCATTCCGCACATTAAAAAGGGGATCAGCGTGGCTCGAGGTCCTTTGAGGAGACGGTAGCATGCCATGGAGGGCCTTGCGCCGCATTCATGCTGGAATTGGAATGCCATTGACATGGAGACGACCACATACACGTGTAGTGTCGGAAGATGTCTTGGGCCTCGGCTCAACTCGAGGTCATCAGCGTGTCCAGGTACGAGATGAATCAACATCCACCAAACAATCATTTTCGACCGGTCCGAAGGCGACCACCGGTGACCAACCTTCGGATCAACAAAGCAAAAACATCCCCTCGTACGACCCGGACAGTTCCAGCTCTCTCGCCGACGTTGGGCGGCTCATCGTCGACGAGTATGCGCACCTCCGCGCCGACTACGTGACGCCCAAGTATCCGATCGTGCTGGCTCACGGACTATTGGGGTTCGACGAGTTGCGGATTGCGGGGGATCTGCTGCCCGGGATCAGTTACTGGCGGGGGATCAAGGAGGCGTTTTCAGCGAGGGGGATTACGTGCATCACGACGACGGTGCCCCGAACGGCGTCGATCGCCGAGCGCGCGGAGGTGCTGATGGACCAGATCGCACGGAGACTATCTACCCTGGACACCACCGATACGAGCGGGAGCAGCAGTAACGGTGGGGGAAAGGACGTGAACATCATCGCGCACAGCATGGGCGGCCTGGACGCGCGGTACATGATCTCCCGCCTCTCGCCTCCGCCCTCCTTATTCCGCGTCCGCTCCCTCACCACCGTCGCCACGCCTCACCGGGGCAGTTCCGCCGCGGACATGCTGATGCGCGACATCGGACCCGACCTCCTGCCTCGAATCACCCGACTCCTTTCCCGCATGAACGTCTCCTCGGACGCCTTCTCCCAGCTCACAACCAAATACGTCACTCAGAACTTCAACCCGCGCACCCCCAACGATCCCGCGGTCAAGTACTTCTCGTACGGCGCCAGCGCGACTCCCCACCTGTTGAGCGTGTTTCGTCTCAGCCACGACCTTATGAACGTGATTGAGGGGCCCAACGACGGGCTCGTGAGTGTCAGGAGCGCGAAATGGGGCGAGTACAAGGGCACATTGGCGGGAGTCACGCACCTGGATCTGATCAATTGGACGAACCGGCTGAAGAAGATGGCCAGTCGGCTGGGTCTGGTGGAGGAGAAGTTCAATGCCGTCGCCTTTTATTTGGCCGTTGCTGAGGAGTTGGCCAAGGAAGGGTTCTAATGAGCAACTCCGTTAGGGCAATGCCAAATATCTGCATTTCTAGGCTTGGTTGAACACTTTGTCTTCAAACGGCATGCATTCCAGCATGGGTTGGGGAGGGAGAAGAGCAAAAACGATACAAGGATGCCTAAACTGTCGAGCCCGGGCATAAGCAAGACTACTAGGAAAGCTGGGATAATTTGTGTCCTCCGTGAGGGCGGTCGTAGCTCCCTTTTGGACGAACTTGAGCCAATATGTTGTATAGCATGCCCTCTGGGCAATGTCTATGTTCGTAGACGATTCGACTCCATGGCGCCAGCCGTCAGTAACCGCCCTTCCTCAAGAACAACCAGACACTCGACCTGACTCTCACATCGGAACATCAAACCCTGCAGTGCCCTCCCACGGCCCGCGTCTCAGTCCTCTCTCGAGATCTTATCCGGCACTTCAGGATTCGGGGACATGACCGTTTTGATCAGATCCTCGACAACTTTCGATCCTGCGTTCTTCCCTGCCTGGTCGATCTCCTTTACTTTGGCCTCTGCGTCCTTGTTTGCGTCGTCTTCGGCCTTCTTGTTCCCGCTAGATTGCTGCACACCACATTGATAAGCTTTTCTCGACCCTGTCTCGCTGGGCACCATATCGTACGTACCTCGGACTCAAACTTCTTGAACTCTTCCTCCTTCTTCTTTCTGTATTCCTCGATCTCCTTCTGAGCTTCCGATTTGGCGTCCTTTACCCTCTTTGTTCGATCTGACAAGCAGGGGCGCGTTAGACTGGTCTAGAAAATGAGGCATGGTAGGGACGGGATGTTGAAGCTTACATTCTCTGGCTTCAGCAATCCGTTAGCATACGAAGCCTGTACCTTGTATGGGAGACATGGGGAGCATACCTTTCTGGACAATCTTCTGGGCTTCCTTTTCTGCCTGTCCAACAATTTTCAGAATCTCTGCGGCCCGCTCAAGCTCTCATCGTCGACTTACGTCCAGCAGAGTTTGAATGCCCGCCGAGTTTTGGGCAGACTGGTACTGGCATTAGCATAAACGTAACGTTGGGGGGGGTGAAAAGAGCTGTACCATTTTGCTATTGAGGAATTGGAAAGACTGGTACGGAGACAGAGGAGGGGAAAGGAGGCTGCGAGGAGCAAGTAGGAGGATTCAAGAGAAACAGAGGTGCGCAGAGAAATGTTATCTTAAGTGTGGTGGTGGCAGTGTTTCCTTCGATGATGCGCCTGCCCGCCGAGCTCTCTCGCTCTCTCGAAGCTGCGGAGCTCCTCTTCTCCAAACCCGCTTAAACATTTTATTTTCCCTTTCTTTGCTCTGGCTCCCTCACCAGAAGACATCACCTCAGAAAAACTCAGCTACAATGTCTACAGCCTCCAAGATCACCCTCCTCAGCACTATTCTGGGTACCGCCGGCGTCGTCGCCTTTGTCCACTGGGCCCAGACCGCCGAACAAGCGGTACGTACCCTCTCCTTGTAACTCTCGAGCCATCGCCTACCTGATGGGGCTATTTGCCTCTATGTTGTGAGCCTCGAACACTGACTCTCTCCTCCTTGTATAACAGGCCATGCACGCCGGCGTCGTTCGAGACATGGAACAACAACGCGTCAAGAGAGAAAGACAGGCCGACTTTGACATGCAGAGACAGCTGGAGGAGGAATATAAGAAGGTGCAGACCGTGCATGACAGTACTAGCGGTGCTTGACGAATATGCTCCTGCGCTGTATTTCCCTGCACGAGGGCCATCGACCATACCTCCTGATCACCCAACTCCCCGAGCACGAAGAGTTCTCGAATGCGGGCACAGCGAGCAACGGATCGAATTTGACCCTGAACATTACCGCTATTTCGTTGCGCTCGTCAGCGTTGACGGCAGCGACAACCTCGACCCGAAATAATGATGGAACAGACAACCACGTTGCGTCTTTGCTTGCTTGCAGCAGGGTTCACTGCCCTTTGGGCAATATTTGAGGCGTGGAAGAGGTTCCGGCCTGAGGAACGAGGCAAAGCGAAGCGCTTGCGTGCGGGAAGCACCTCGCTTCTGTTGTGAGGAAGACGCAACTGTATGGACCTAGAGGTTTCATGTCGACGCACAGAACGACGTGCGCGTTTGGACCAATCTCCGTATCAGATGGTCGGTGGACTCACACGTTGCTAGGGCCCTGCCAGTTTCGATTGCGTCCTCTTATACCGTTGAGAATACTCGTCGAGAGACAGCCAGATGTGGCGAGCAGAAATGCTCGGATATTCTGTATCAGAGTGGCGATGAAGCGGTTGGGGCCAGTCATTGAAATGAATGAATGTATCTCAACTCAAGCCAAAAACAAGCCTACCAATCTACGCAGCATGTAGCTTGAGATTTTATTTTGCTTAGGAGGAGCCTAGCCCCTGGAGAAGAAATTCTAAGAAGATCTTCTTATACCCCGTTTCGCTATGATACAATATCTAAGTCACATTCAATGTCCCGGTCCTCAATGCCCAATCCCGCCGGCAACCCAATTATTCCAATCCGCATCCCCGGGAGCCGGGAACATGCCTCTCTCCATGCCAGCACCTTCAGGCGGGCCTTGCATCGGTGGGTTCGGTGGCCTCGGTGGCTGTTGCTGTTGCGGTTGCGGTTGCGGTTGCGGCTGCAAACCCTGAGCTTGATTTTGGTTCTGATTTTGATTTTGGGCTCGACGCCTCTCCTCCTCCAAGACGCGCTGCCTGGCCTGGCGGGCGTAGACGAGCAGGGCGAGCGCGCCGGCGAGGGCGATGATGATAAGACTCTCGACGAGGCCGTCGTCGAATTCGTCCCATTCGTCTGCACCGTAGACGTCTCCTTGGACTCTTCCCGGACGTCCGCCCTGCTGCGGGCCTCGATCGGCGGCGTACTCGGCGTCGTTGCCGCCGCCACCGGCACCGGCAGCCATCCCTACTGGGTCGGCGTTGTAGCCCAAAAGATCATCGTCACCGTCGCGCTCCGCCCTCGCTAGAGCCTCGGCCTCGCGCGCGTCCATCTCCTCCGCGGCATCCAGGAACCTGTTCACCCACTCGATCCACGTCTTGGGCCTCCTCTGTTCCTCCCCTTCTTCCTCATCTTTGATCCCGTTGACTTTGCCGCCGCTCACGCCGTTCCACCAACTCCTAAGCCTCAACTTCGCCAACGCCAACGTCACGGGCAAGTAAGCCTCCTTGTTCATCTCCAGCGCGAGGTCGTAGTACCGCTTTGCCATGTGGAAATCTTGCGTGACGCTTCCAATTCCGTTTTCGTGCATCCACCCAAGGTTCCAGAGCGCTTGGGCGGAATGATGTGTCTCGGCGGCCGTAGTGTAGCATGTTGTAGCCTTTTCCAGGTTGGTTTTCGCTTCGGCGTTGTCTTCTCCGGTCGGGAAAAGAGTGAGCGCTGCGTTGGTCGGCGATGACAGCGAAAGGTAGTAGTCGCCCATTTTGATCAACGAGTCGACATTGGCTTGTTTGGCGGAGCGGGTGAAGTACGCGAGAGCCAGATGCGGGTCGTTGAGCAGTTTGCTCTTCTTCGAGCTCGGTTTGGCAGTCGAGAGGAGAGGAATACCCAGATTTGGCAGCGATATCACTGACGTCTTGTGATCGAGCAAGTATGCCACGTTGGCTTGGGCATTCTCATACCCTTGCTCCGCGGCCATGATGGAGGCAATATATGCTCTTTCAAAGTCTCCTCTTTCGTAGGCCGAGTTTGCTTCCAAAAACGAGGAATGCAAGACTTCTGCCCTTTCGGCGACCACCTTGTAGTATGCAGCTGCTAGGCCGCAATTACGTTCACGACCGACGCCTTGGTTGGTGAGTTCGGCGAGATAGTAGAACGACTCCATCACGCCTGCTCCTGCAGCGAGTTCAAAGTATCGCCCAGCGGTCTCAATGTCCCCTTGGTCCAAGAAAAGCACTCCCAAAGCTGATTGTGCCAAGGGAAGAGACTGTTCCGCTGCGGCCTTCAAGTACGAGCCAGCACGTGCCCCGTCCTGCGGCACGCCCAGACCATCGCGATACATCAAGCCCATGTGGTATTGCGCAAAGGAATCGCCCAGGGCAATACCTCGTTTGAACCAGATTTGAGCCTTTTCAAAGTTTTGTTCCATTCCCTCGCCACGAAGGAGCATGCGCCCAATATAGGCTGCCGCTTTTCCTGCCATACGTTCGATCCCCTTTGGCGCTTTCGGGGACACCTTGCCGTCTTTGGTCCAGTAGGCCCGGGCAACTTTCATGAACTGACGCTGTGCCTTGCGGAAATTGCGCTTGTAGCCCCGAGGAGCTTCGTAGTAGTGCTTGCCCAGCGTGATGATGGCGTTGAAGTCCCCTTGTCGTTCTTTCGTGTCGAGGTAATCCAGGACATAGTCGATGTGAGCCGCAGTGAGGCCATCTCGGGGGGCATTGGGGCCAGAGGAGCTGACACTTGCGCCTTCGCCGTATATGCCTCCGTCAACTTCCACCCAGCGGTATGAGTTGCGAACAAAAGAGTGACCTCCTGGAGGGCCTGATTGCCAGTACGAGATCGCCTTGTCGGCGACTCTTTTGTAGTACGACACAGCTCTATCGCAGCTCCTGGGACACCCAATACCGGCATGATATCTGTACGCCAAGGTCATTTCGGACTTGATGTTCTCTTGTTCCGCAGCAAACGTGTGATATAGCACGGCCTTCGCCTGGTCTCTTTCCAGTCCGCCAATTCCCGTGCCGTACATCAACCCCAACATGTATTGTGCCGTTGAATTGCCGTCCAAGTCAGCTAACCGGTGGTACCAATATTTGGCTCTCTCGAGGTCGCGCGGATATGAGAAGTTGCCGTAGAAATTCATCTCGGCGAGCAGGAAAATGGCGTCTGGGTCGTCGAAAGAGGCCGCCGCTTTGAGGGAGTCCACGCCCTTCTTCAAGTCTCCTTTAACCTTCGGGGCTTTGTTGTCTTCCCGCGTAGGTGTATTCATGAACAGAGCGCGGAATATTATCCTCGTGTAGTGCCATACGGTGCCCAGGAGGCCAGAAGGATGCGCTGGGGTCACGCTGTCTTTCCATGTTGGTTCGAAATCCCGCAACACCGACCATACCTCGTGAACAATGTCATTTCCACCCTGCGCCCAGTAGTTGTCTTTTTCCTGCTCGCTTCGGGGGGAATCGAGCTCAGAGTCTACGACGTCGGCTCCAACAGTCGTCGAGGTTCGAGAAGCAGGGACGAGGATAGAAATTGCGATAGACAAATCTAGGGGCAATGTTTAGACCTGGGTTCAGACTCCAGTATGCACATGACTTACAGAGGAGGATCGTGAAGACCCCATTCGATCTCCGGGCCATCGCTGCAGGTTGCATGCAAGCGTTACCGACGATACATTATGAACGCGCGGAGCAGCTACAAGCGACAGCCTCGACGGAAGACAGCTGAGTAGGTCTTTGCGAGATCTGAGTCAATTCGATGGCAACAAGTGATCGCGTGGAGAAGCCAGACTGTCTTGAAGCATTCGGAAGCGCAGCGAGCGGCGCGATGACGCCAATCTCAGCCTTGCAGCCTTGCAGCCTTGCAGCCTCACTCGGCCACCGCGGCAGGGCTGGATCTCCAAAAGAATTAGGACTATCAACTTATTGTCATTACCATTATCGCATATGCAGTGGTTCGGTAACCTGTCGTATTTTCATAAGTCCCTATGTCCTATGACTGTTCGTGGCTTGATAGCGCACAGCATATGCAACATCCTAGCAGCTCCTGGCTTCCTCTCTCCCCTGCGCACATCAATAATAGTTTCTAACCTTCTTGGTGGTTAGCAGTCTTCTCGTCCCGATCCCGCTATCCTGCTTGCCATTTTTTGCACTTTTGCTTCGACCGTTGACTTCGGACTTAGTCTTCTTCTGGCCGTAATTTGGGACACTGTCATCATCCGTATCGATGAGGCCTCGTGGATCGCTCGAGTAAGTCAGGTCAACCACGGGTGAACCCAAAGGAATCTCGGACAGTCTTGACTGTCTCTGACTTTGCGACTGCTTGATGTCAGTCTGACTTAGAGCTGGAAGATCAGGGCTGTCTGATAGAGCCGGGCTTTTCCCTGTCCTTTTCGTCACATTGCGAAGAGACTTCCTGGATGGCGCTGGGGGAGAAACTTTCTTGGAGAGTGATCGGGTCCTCCTGCGATTTCTCTGGCTGGATATGAGTTCACTTAGGGATGGCAGGTCGCTCTCATCATCACTAACCCCGGAGTCATGGTACGAGGAGTCTTGACCATCGTACCCAAGTCCTCCTAAAAAAGAACTTCTGTCTGCAGTCTCTTCGGTGCCTGCCTCTTTGTTTTGAGAAGGCATCGAAGTCTTTTGGGATTGAGACTCTGGTACCTCGGATGCCAGCGGGTCGGGCACGTCCTCTGAATGGACCGGGTTTTCATCCTCACGGTTTTCAGCATCTATTTCACTTTTCTTCCCATATGAATCCGTGTTTGAAGCCTTCTCTGGGCCAGAGGCAATGGAGGATAGGTCAAGAGCCGGAGCTGGTGACTGCTTTTGTGCATCTTGATGCGTGCTGCTTTCGGTGGTGCGCGTCGGTGCCGAAGAGTTGATGTCCATTTGAGAGATATGAGGATAGTCAACAGTTTCCTGAGTCGGCATGTATGGCGACGAGGTTGTAGGGAGCTGGGAGCTCCATGTGGCATCACCACCGCCAGGGCCTTCATCGTGATTGGCATTGGTGTCTACATCTGATGAGGTGTTCATACCCGGCAAAGACGAATCGACACCAGATGATCTTGGACGAAATCTGTGAGGATATTGGCCTTGCGATTCAGTCATTGCTTCCCCGGGGCTGGAGGTCGCGTGGGCGTCCTCGCTAGCAGGGTTGGACATGGGTTGAAGTAGTTCTTCATCTAGGGCCGAGTTGAAACCAGCCTCCTTGATTATCCCATTGATCTCTTCTTTGCGAGGGGTATCGATCGTCTGCGCGGCTGCACTGGGCTTTTCTGCTGCTTTTACTTGCATATCTTGTTCGGCTGACTCGGGAATGACAGCGAATTGGTCGTCGCTCGACGATGTGGGTGCTCCGCCGCCCCTTATCCCGCTAACATGGTTGCTATCGGGCACTTCGATCACAGAGGGTCTGACCAGTTTCGCAGAGATCATGTCCGAGATTGAAATCTCGCGAATACCGTTGTCAACTCCTTCATCTAGATCTTCATTCGCCAGCTCGAATTTGCCGTAGACTTTTTGACCTGTTTGTGGATCGATTTTGCCTTTCGAATCTGCGGCCATCGAGTTCTTCGTCAGCCGAAGGTGCACAGTGCCGTCTTCATCCACTTGCGACACCTGACCAATTCTGTATTGAGACACTTCTGGTTGATAATTTGTTGACGCATCGACGTGCAATTCTTTATAGGCAACAGTGGCCCCTGGCAGGATCATTGCCTGCTCAAGCTCTGGAAGTCCGTCAATATCCTGGACTGGCACATCCTCTGAATTTCCGTCAAGAGTCGACACAGCATTGCTACCTGAAACATGAGCGGAGACCTCATCGTAGTCCAGGGTTGAAACATCAGGTGCAGAGGCTGTTTCTTCTTTCTCGCGCCACCGGTCATTTCTGCTCTGATAATACTGGCTTTGATCCCGTAGTTTTCGCTTGATCTTGGCTGGTCTTGCCCACCCTTGCTCGAAGGGAAATGGTGGCGGGGGCAAGGAAGCCCCAGGCTCTTCACATTCAACCGCGGCTACGATCAATTTGTTCTTCCAAGAACCGTCATCATTTTCCACAACTGGCTGGCGTTCGGGAGATTCAAAAGCACTGCTGTCCCCAAGCCTCTTTTGCTGTATTGGTTGCCGATGGGTTTGTGACAACTTCTCCCTCAGTGCTTGTCTCTCTTCGGCGTTCTTTGGCGCCCTCAAACCTAAGGATCCGAAAACAAGACGACGAGTACTGGCCACATCGAGCCTGGCTCGCTTTGGAGCCGATTCCACGGCCATCACGGGCTCGATCTGAGAGGCCCCGAGTGGCTTGACCTCAGCAGATCTGGGTTCGATGGAAGTGCCACTGGTTATGACAGACCCGGCGTCATTGGCAGGGTTCACATTTTCCTTCTCGGCCTCATTCACGGCTGGCATGGCCATTGATTCTTCAGCACTGTTCACTTCTGGGATATCTTCTTGGATCGGGCCGTCAGCTTGTTGCTCGACAGCCACCATCTGTTCTGCTACCATCTTCTGTTGCTGTGCAGACTCGTACTTCGCGAGCTCCTCGAAGCCCGCATTCTCGGGGAGAAATCCTTGCTTCTTGAGCTCATTTAGCCGCTTCCTTCTTTTTGCCCTGACATTGTTATAGTGCGTCTTGTTTGTTCCCTGGAAAGGAATGCCTACCGATGGCTTTGCCGGCTTTCCTGGATCTGAATTTGTCTGGAGTGCTGCGATTGACGTGGCTGCCTTCGTCTCTTCGACATCTGATTCGGATTCAGATTCGGACTCGGAATCAGACGAGGTTGCAGATTCTGACGAAGTGCTTTCCACAGATTCTGACTCGGATTCCGAGGTAGAGGAGATGTCGCCATCACTCTCATCGTTCTCTGGAAGAAAGCTCGGTGATGTGTCGTCAACATCATCATCTCTGATGAGGTTCAAAACTCGCTTCTTGGCTTGCTGAATGGCAATCTCTTCCATCATGCTATCGGCATCAGAGTCGGAAGATGTGACATCGGAGCTCGAGGTTACATCTGGATCATCTGAATCATCGGAGTCATCCTCGACAACGTTTCTCAAACTATTTTCTGCTTGTCGATGTGCGATCTCCCTCATCATACGGTCCGAGCTGGCATCGCCATCATCACCCAGGTCAGCTCTACCGCCTCCTTGGCCATTGGGTAAACCATGGACCTTGGCAGGTGAACTGTGTATGGGACTGGAGAACCCTTCAAAGGTCTCGTTTTCGTGCGCTTCGCCGTCGTCCTTGATGTCTCGTTTTCTTTTCAGCTTTCTGTCAAGGACTTGTAACGCAATAGACATGTTGGCAGCTTGTTCAATCGCAGCAGCATCTTCAAGCAGGTGCTTGAGCTCTGAGGAAAGATGCTCGTCTGCATTTCCACCATTCAGCTCGAATTCGTCTTCCGAGTCAGCATCGGCGTCATCAAAATCCTCTCTGACAGTGACTTGGGATTGTGGCTCGTCAATGTCGGCATCATCTTCATCCACATAATCGTCATCGTCATCGTCATCCTCTCCTTCTTGATTCGCAAATGGCACCAAAGCACCCATGTGATCGTCCTTCTCCTCCTCATCAGCAGCAGGGAGAATGCGCTTCTCATTTTCCTTGTTCGAAACATCGGTGTCCTCGTCGAATAGGAGCCTCCTCTTCTTCCTCGGTGGAATGACAATACCCGGTCTGGCAGTCTTCCTCAACCACTGTCTACCGAATGCCACACCATCAATCAAATGTCTGCCGTCGCCCGTGATCTGATGCCGTCCACCTAACCTCCTAACCCTCAGATCCTCAGTGCTCAGCGCCCTAATCACCACTTCATCATCTTCTCTTAAAACACTGTGCAGGGTTTGATAATGCAAGCACTCGTACGTCAAGTGTTGGTCCGCCGTGGCAGCGACTTCGACGGCGTAGTCTTCAAGACCCCATTCGCCGTCCGCGGACTCTAGGGGAACGAGGTCATTGACGTCGGCGAGAAGGTCGGCGATCGTTGCGGAGCGGGACTTGGTATGTGAGGCGGGGCCACTGCCTGTTGTGTGGATGATGGTCACGGGCGGGAGAGAGTGCCGCTGGATGAGGAGTTGGAGCCGCATCTTTGTGTGCCGGCAGGTGCAAAGGGAGGGATTACACGCACCCGGCGCCGACGATTGAAGTAAACAAGAACGCAGAAGAGCTGGAAGGAAAGAAAACAGTAAAAAGTCGCTGCGGTGTGGGATCAAGCTCGTGCTCGCATGGAGAGGCAGATTCGGTTGGAGTCGATCGGCGCAACTCTGCCAAGCCGCGCCGCGATTCAAAAAAATTAGCGCGACGAGGCTGAGAATCAAATATTGTAGTTGTTGGGAGCCTCCCTGACCGTCCAGTACTTGGAAGTGGCATTTGCATTACAGCAGCCCACAGTTACCTCTACTTGAGAGAAACACTTCTTGAAGAGTGATAATGAACCAGAAAAAGTACTTCATTAGATGGCGCTAAATTCCAATACGCTCACATATCCCACATCTTGGAGTCTCTCCTTTAGGCCCACTTTGCTCCAGAACCCTCCATGTTATACACATTTGTTTTCCCACCAGAACCATATGAATTGTATAAAAGAACTGCCCGGTCTGGAGCACCTGCAGGCACTTCAAGCTCAAGGAGCGGTAACGATGAACGGCGATGTACCGAATGTGGTAGGGGGCGTCTCAGGCGGCGTTGGCTGGACCTCCCTGAATGATATCTGGACACTCATTCCGGCCAATTTGCTCTCCATGTCGGCCAATCTGCGCTCGAGGTCCTTGATCTTCTGTTCCATTGCGGCGACATCGGTGGCCTCTTTCTGCGGTTGTTGAACTGGAGCCGGGGCTGGGGCTGGAGCTGGAGCAGCCGCCTTCTGTGTCTCCGGAGCAGCAGCCACGGGTGCAGGGACATCTCCATTCGTCTGTTTCTCGCCGTTGAGCTCTGCGAGGAATTTCATGGCTTCTTTCCTGACATCATATCCAAAGAAGAACTGGCAGATCGGTGGGCTGTGCGGCATTGATCCTGTGGGCGGCAGAGGGCCAGAGTAGTATTTTCGGATTTCGGCTTCTTGCTTGGCATAGTTGGCCGCAGCTTGAGGTCCCGGAACGACAGGGTCGGTCAGAATCTGTGTCGCGGAAACTCGGGGCAGCCGGAAGGCTTCGAACTGTGCCAGGCGCTGCAGCAGCTTCTCGGATGGAGCCGAAGTAACGTCTCCGGTGGCGGGCACATCAGCAAGGAAGAGTTCGAGCGCAGCAGCGTCTTCAATGGAGGACGAAACTCCCTGGGCGTGAGTCAAGAGCATAGGGTGGCAGGCATCGCCAATCAAGACAGCCTTGCCCTTAGTCATCTTGCTCAAGGGATCTCTTTTCATTTGGGTGTAGACTTTCACCTCGGGGGACTTCAAAAAGACCTTTTTCACCGCCGGATGGAAACCGTCGAGAACTTTCTCCAAGTCCTCGTGTGTCGCGGGGAAGTTCCAGTCCTCAATCACCACGTCGTCTTCACTGCTTGCATGCTGACCGAGTCTCCGGTGCACCGCCAGCACATTGAGAATTTCGTTGTTTCGGCAGGGATAAGTGACGGCCATGACGCCCTTGGATGGTAAAGCGGGGGCCCAGAACCCAGGCGGTTGGTTCTCGAACAGGAATTTGGTCTCCTCGTCTGCGAGGATGTCCTTCATGGGAATGAGGCATCGATATGCTGTCTGGCCGCTCCTCTTCATGGGGACTTCCTTGCCGGTAATCTTAGCGTTCAAGCGATCCTGGCAACAAGGTCAGCGAAAATGTCGCAATATGGTCGGTTATGAGCAACGCTAACATGCTGGCCATCAGCGACGACAACTAGATCCTTTTGCACTTTCGTTCCATTCTTCAATGAAATGACTCCAGTCTCAGGGTCCACGTCCATCACTTGGGTTCCCAACCTGATGATCGCCCCAGCTTCCTCGGCTTGTTCCCTCAGGCGGCGGTGCATATCGACCCGGTGATAGAAGAACCACTTGTTGCCGTATAGTTTTTCCGCGTTGGAGAAGTTCAATGTCGGGGCCATTGGCTCCAGTGTGTCACCCTTTGGTCGACGAACCTGGACGCGTCTGTCAGCTGACATGTTCTAGTAGCGCCGGGCGAGGATCCCAGTCGTGGAGATATAATAGTAATCATATCTCCTGAAATGCAGATCCCTCGATCCGTCGTATTTACCTGGATGTTCTCGATTCCTCCGGCTTTGGTGGTGTCAAATCCCCAGTGCTCCAGAACCCGGGTACCATTTGGTGGGATAGACACGGCTGCGCCATTTTCGTTCTTGAATTGAGAGCGCTCAAATATCTAAGGGCGAAAGGGTCAGTTGTTTGCTCCGATCGCACAGTTTGGATAAGAGTACAAGGGCCATCTATGTTCAGGGAGATTAGTCTAACTGACCTCAACGTCATGGCCGATTTTCCTCAAAGCAATGGCGGCACTCAGTCCAGCAACACCAGCGCCGCAAATTCCCACTTGCAAAGCGACCATCTTGGAAGCTATGAGAGGTGAAGATGATAGGGATCGCTTCGAGATTCAGTCCGGTAAGAAACACAAGCAGGGAAAAACTGGAGGAAGTAAAATCGCAATCAGGTTGGGACGACCAGACAATTTGAATGCGGCGGCTCAGCGAGGTGGGAAGCAAGATCTCCGCCATGCGGACCTGAAAGTTACTTATAATACTATCTCGAGCAGACCACTCACCTTGCCCTCCGTAAGATACGAGGAGCGTACAGGGATAAGGAGACCAAGCTATGCGGTTTCTCCTGCTAGCGGCTTCGACAGCGTGCGTCCATGAAGAGGGGTGTGGATGAGATGGTTCACCTGTGAACGGGCAAGGTGCAATGGCCCCTGGCACCTGCAGTCAGCCATTTCAGCCATTTTGTTCTAGCCCAAACCGTCCCACGGAGGATTGAGGAGTTGATTATTGACGACCGTCTAGCCGTCAGCGTCAGACTTTCGGGCCATCGACTCGCAAAGTCTCGGATGATGTGACATTTCAAGAGGCGCAAAAAGAACACGCAAGAAGTCAACATGTGGAAAGGGCCAGTGGCCAGAAACGGTTGGCCAACACAGCCACCCCAGCTTAGCGCTAGGGGCGCCGAGGTCGTTAACGTCCCCATGGTTTGAAGAACCGAGACCGCAAGTAGTAATCCAGCATCGTGGAACCTTGGAACAGCCTTGGGAAATTCCGTGACAAGTAATCGCAATTGATCACTTTGTAGATTCATCTTGGTTTGTATGCGCACAGGGCACCAGGATGTATATAAAAGCGAGAGAACCTTACCTTGTCCACAACTCCCGTGTTGTAATGGCACCTGCATGCTGACTTGGGACATGCTGGGAGCACGTTGCTGTGCGGAGGTAGGGAGGACACAGGGAGCCGTGGGAGGCCCAGTAATTACTCGTACATGGTACCCGTAAACCCACATTGACCTTGTTCAGGTCGGATAAGTCAGCTGGAGAAAGACAGGGGTAGTCCAAAGGCTTCGATAGGGCTTGGGAGTCGGCCCACCAGAGCTAGCTTGCGGATAAGAGACAATCTCCAATCTCCACGTGGTGGTTGATTCACCGTTTCGGGCAGAAAAGAGGCGTTCACCATGGCGCCTCAGCTGCATCTGGACCCCGAAGCTAATTTAACGGGCGCCAGCCGAGGATTTAGGTCTCCCAGTGGTGCCAGGAAGCTTCCAGGAGGCGAGGAGTCAAGGGAGGCTCCTGGGGGACGCCTGACTGGAGCCCAGGGGCTCGACCAGGCAATGCAAGAGGAAAATCCTATCCAATTTGAGGGGTTGGGAACTCAAAAAGGTGTCTCGCATGTTAGCTGCTGTTGTAGCTGGTCTGTGAGAAGCTTTTCCCAGGGGTTGTGTTGACTTGAACCTTAGTTATAGGAATCTCTACATCTCCCATAGTCCGCATAATCTTGAGGGAGGACACGACAATGACCATAATCCATCAAACAGGCTGAGCTATCAATCCGGGGAAGGGAGAGGACAGAATGCGGGTGATGCTACCTCGGGATAGTAGTGAGTCTCGATGCTCTCAATTTCAGGCCCTGGATCTGCCCGACTACCGAATTTTGAAGAGCCGCTGGTAGCCTCAGGCACGTTCAGGGGGCGAATTCTCCTGTCTTGTATTCGCCCACGGTTCCAGGACGGTAGTTGTAAGTTATTAGCTGGGAAGCTCTCCATTGTCGAAGGAACCGCCAGACAGTGGTTTTGATCTTCGAATCTGACGCTATTTTCCTTCGGCACCCACTTTCTTATGATGTTCTCCTTTCCCTAGTTGATCGCAGAAAGAGATAGCTTCACCACGGAATTGAGGAGTGAGTGTGGTCTCACAGGTCACGGCATCTATCCGAATGGTCGTTCATATTGCTTACTTGCCCGGTTTCCAGTCCCTCGACTGACCAAGACGGGAGCGGATAGTTTTCTTGTTGCGCACATTGATGTCAGCCCTATATGACCATGAGCATTTCCTGGAGTGTGCTTTCGTTTCGGATCACCAGTGATGCTGCTGACCAATGAGTTAGAACGTTTAGGGTGGTGATCCTTGAGATAACGTCACCATTTATACTTCACTTCGTGGGATGTTTGTCCATATAGATAAATTCTAGGGTCAGCCCGTGTCTGCGTCTCCAGCGGTCTGCGCTTGTTTCCCTTTGACAGCGTCCGCTGACGGGTACTGACTGACTTAAACCCCAATCGCCCACCCTAAAAAGCTTTCTTCCAAAAGGCTCCTGCCGCCTCAAGGCGAGTCGCCTTGAACCTAGCCCTGGGCTCGGGAAGACCAGCGGAGTATGTTAGTTCTGCCGTCGCTTTGGTGGTCACGGTCCAACCTGAGATATAACTGTTCGTAGAGCGTAGGGCAGCGTGTCCTGGCTTGGACCGCCATTACGATGGTTCCCGCCAATCGAGAAGCTCTGGATTGAAGAGCTTTTTTGACGATGAAGATGAGTGATATGCAGAGGAATCACAGTCGACAGAATCTTGCATTCTGCTCGGATAGTCGTGTCATCAAAGCATAACACCAGCTGTACCCTGGGTTCTCAGAACCAATCGGAACGAGATTTCTTTCATGACGCGGTTGGTAGAGAGCCTGCAGTTGCAGTGATAGCAGCAAGAGAGATAGAGGGTTCAAAGGTTGGGCTCCATCATCAATGAGGCTATGGTTGCAGCAGGAAATGGAAGGAACGACTGCTCCGTGTGTCGATTTACTTGCAGCCTTGTGAGACTAACCTCTTTCGTATTAGCCCGCTAAAGCCTCGTGTGTCGCTTGTCGGAGAAGGCCGGGAGGAAGTCTTGAACAGATACAATACCTAGGTATCGACGACAGCGTCATCGTAAGAGTGGATGAGATGGCCGTCCGCGATTAGTCTTATCCGTTCTACTGTCCTCGGATGCACGCACAAAATGCCCTGGTCAGAAATGCTGCTCAAAGGAACCCCAATCATAAAAGGGGAATGTACTCGGTACAGGACAACGGAAGCACGAGGCAAAGACTTCTGCACGAATCGTCAATAAACCACTAGGCAAAACTCTTCCCGGCCACTCTGAACTTCCTCACTCGCAACCTGACCCTTTCTCCAACAAACAATATAGCCGGGCTTGGACTATTGCCAACAAACAATATAGCCGGGCCTGGACTATTGCCTGTGCCCCTCGGCAATCAGGAACTTCTCACGAAACTCCTCCAACAAAACCCCCGCACAGAGGTCATTTGGGTTTCGCTGCGGCGTCTTCTCTCCAACACCATCATGTGGGGTGGGGGCCTATGAGGTGTGTGCATTCTGCGTGGCAGTGTCAGTGTGGAAATAGTCTCTCGAGCAATATAAACCTGAAGTGCCGGTCCAGACGCCCAGCTTTTTGCCATCCTGTTGGGACTATTCAACTCAAGGTCCTATCCATATCGCCACTTGCGGATTCACAGACCTCGACGATTCGCAATTCATTCATCTCCTACGTATCATACGAACCGAGACTTCGAGCATCAGAGGAGTCGTTCACCACTCCAGCGAGCCAACATGGCGCCAAAGACTTTGAACGATTTGAAGCGCAAAGACCTGTTTCAGACAAAAGGGTACATCAATGAAAGTTGGGTCGATGCAGCCTCGGGCAAAACATTTGATGTTTACGACCCAGCTACTCTGGACAAAATCGCAACCCTCCCCGAAATGGGCGCCGCGGACACCGACAAAGCCATCACAGCTGCCCACGAGGCCTTTCAAAGTTTCAAAAAGACAACCGCCCGCCAGCGTGCAAGGTGGTTGCGAAAGTGGAGCGACCTCTGCCTGGAGAATGCCGACGATCTTGCATTGATTCTGACTCTTGAAAATGGCAAAACCTTGGTCGAAGCCAAAGGTGAAGTCACTTATGCGGCTTCTTTCCTCGAATGGTTTGCTGGCGAAGCAGAAAGGGTGCACGGCGAAGTCGTTCCCACAGCCAACTTGAATCAACGCATCTTGACATTCAAGCAACCTATTGGGGTCGCCGCATGTCTCGCTCCTTGGAACTTCCCAATTGCCATGATCACGAGAAAAGTGGGCGCAGCGTTAGCAGCAGGTTGCACCACAGTATGGAAACCAGCGGGGGAGACTCCGTTGAGCTCTCTTGCACAAGCCGTCCTTGCGCATGAAGCCGGATTTCCCAAAGGCTCAATCAATGTTATCACCACCCTCAATCTCGTCAACGAAGTCGGCGAAGCACTTTGTAAGAGCAGTCTGGTCCGAAAACTGAGCTTCACAGGCAGTACTCGCGTTGGTAAACTCCTTGCAAGACAATGCAGCGATAGCCTCAAGAAACTGTCGCTCGAACTGGGTGGAAACAGCCCGTTCATCGTGTTTGATGATGCGAAAATTGACACAGCGGTAGAAGCTTGCATATTGGCCAAATTCCGAAACTCTGGGCAGACCTGTGTCACTGCCAACCGGATTTTTGTCCAGAAGGGTATCTATGACAAGTTCGCCGAGGCTCTGACGGTCAAAATTAAATCGCTTAAAGTCGGCCCAGGAACTGAGGAAGGAGTCTTCGTGGGCCCATTAACGCACGAGCGAGCCGTCGAAAAGGCAATGAACCACATCAACGGTAAGAGGCAGGACTGGGCGTTCTTCACCAAACGGCAGCTAACTCAGAATAGATGCTAAGAAACACGGCGGGCAGGTCGTCCTCGGCGGAGAGCCGTTGAAGGACTTCAAAGGTTATTTCCTTCAGCCAACAATTATCAAAGGGATGAATCGGGAGATGATCACCACGCGGGAAGAGACTTTCGCTCCCGTTGTCGGTCTTTACGAATTCGACACAGAGGAAGATGTCATCAAAATGGCGAATGACTGTGATGTTGGTCTGGGATCGTTCATCTGCACTGAAAACATCCCACGAGCATTTCGGGTCACGGAGGCATTGGAAGTGGGCATGGTCGGCGTCAACCTTGGGCTGCTCAGTGCTTGCGAGAGTCCCTTTGGTGGTGTGAAGGAAAGTGGTTATGGTCGAGAAGGGGGCCGACAGGGCATCGAGGAATATCTGAGTGTCAAGTCCATGTTGATCAACGTCGCCAATTGAGGCTGGTGGCTATGGCTCAGTGAACTGTAATTATCAGTTGTCTCAGGATCCACGGGAATGTCTAATCCGCTTTCTCGCCCTTCTCTTCTGGACCGTCCCTCTTCTGCGCATTTCCTGCCTTTATTTCTTCGTAGTATAGCATCGCGTACCGGGTCAAGATCACAAGGCTGATAGCACGATTCGTCACCTCGGGGGCTTCTTTGCCGTGAGTAGCAAAGTAGTAGATATCGAGCCCGATTCCAGCGATTAACTGCACCCAACCGGTGACGTGCAGGATGGGTCTGAACGAAGACACGCCGCCAAAGTAGGCGTACATCCAGAAGTGGTGAAAGCAGTTGAGAAAGGCGAACAGCTGCCACTCCGAGGCATTCAGGACCCGGAAGTGTGTCAGAAAGGGCGTCGTGATGTGGTGAAACGCCATGTGTGGACTGATAGTGGTGCCCGCGGCCACGAGGTTGAAGACGTCAATGTACTCGTAGAATTTGGACAGGTGGTAGATGTACGCAAGGTCCGCGCTCTTGACCTGCCCGAGTTTTTGGAAGTGGAAGACGTCGTTGAGGATCGAGTACGCCAGTGCCAGCGAGAACAGGGCGTAGACCTGGCTGTTGAGACGGGTCACCGGTCGAGCGAAGCTGAAGGGCCCGTTGCGCACGACATAGGCTCTCAATGTACTCCAGAGAAAGATGAATGGCCCGGTCGTCAAGATGACGCTTGGGAGGGAGGTCAAAGGTCTGCTATCTTCAGAAGACATATCTGCTAAACTGAAGGTTCTCTGCAGATTCAAGGAATACCTTGGAGTGAGACAGTTTTTCTTCACGGCGTTGAGAGGGTCGAACGCAAAATATGTAGAGTTGGTCAAAGCATGAAAATGAAAAATGTTTGATCATTGATGCGAGTGAAACATGGTGAGTCACAAAGAGCCGCAACACTGAGCCGGCGGCAGCAGCGGCAGCGTATTCGTATAAACTCCAAACAAGCTGCTAAAGGGGCGGGAGCAGGCAACAGTTCCATGAATACCAGCTATACACCGAGTCTATACAGGACTACTGACGGGCTCATCACGCTGTCTATGCTCTTTCTCTGCGGCATCTGCTCGTCACCCATTTAGCTCTACCCTGCGCTTCAAGATATTCCTCGCTTCCCCTTCACTGAGATGATATAGACCCATATCCCAAAGAGCCTTTCGTGCTGCTTCGTTGCTCTCGAAAATCAGCTTCTCCACGTCCCAAAGTCCAAGCTTCTTGACGCTGCCATCATCAGTGATGGTGTCATCTGCAGTAGCTTGTCCCTTCGTCTTTTCCTCGTCGTCATCATCATTAAAACCCCACTCATCTTCCTCGCCGTTCTCTAGCGTTTGCGAGGAATCGAGAGAAAGTAGATAGACTGCCTCTTCGAGCCGTTTTAGACCTGGTCCCGTAACCCCTCGCAATCTGCTATGCTTTTCGATGGTTGCTTTGATCTCGGACAGATCCCTCGCTAGCTGTGCTGCTCCAGTGGCTGAGAATGTGTGGTGCATGATAATGTTATCGTAGATCTCTCTCTGCACGGTGGAGCAGTAATGCTTGCATATCCTTCGCATGGATCCTGGAGCTAGTACGCGGGAAAGATACTCCAGCAGGGTGGCTGTTGTTTGGAAAAAGCCATCGAGGCTTGGGGAAGGCGCCATGGAAACTGGATCGGACATCGTCTCACCAAGAGACGACCACTGGGCAAGCTTCACATACGATCGGAGTGCGCCTCTTATGTTGACGTCGAAGAAGCGGAGCATTTCCTCCTCGCTACGTTCGCGTATTCGTCGATATGCCGAAGCAGTCTGGTCAAACAATCCACTTCCGTCTGCATCGCCATCCATTTCTGTTCCGTTCGACTTGATAGTCGTTGAAGTCTTATCCGCCACGTCGTCCACCTTCAAATCTGTGCCAATGGACGCACCTGTACTGCTGTTTGATTTGGCGCGATATTGAAGTTCATCCCACAGCTCCAAAAAGAACACATCATCGTTCCAATCCGACATTTTCCGTTCAAGGAATTCAGCACTACCAAATATCTTGGCCAGTGATTCCAACCCTTTCGAACCGAAGGCTTCAGCTTCAGACTGTCCCTGAAGTAACCGGCCGGCGGTATGGGAGGATACAAGATAGGCTTGCAATCCGCCGTGGAGGTGGTTGTGATAATCGTCGAAGATAGATAGTTGAATCTCCAGGAGAAACTTCATCTTCTGACTGAAAGATGAAAGACCTCGGTACCGATCTGTGATTGTCTCCAAAAGGTCATTGACGCGAATGGCTCCCTTGGTCGGCTTCGTTTCGGTGGCGTCTGCGTCAAAGTCGATGTCGTTGCTATCCGAAGCATCCCTAATGCTCTTGTATCGAGCAAGAGCAAAATCTTTCTCGACCTTGAGCCACCGAGCAAAGTAGCCGTGGGTGGTCAGCACCCTCCAAGTAATCCCTTTCCACTCTGCCAACATCCTGGGAATCGGAATGTACCCCCACGTATCACGAATGGCAGTATCAAATACCATCAACTCGTGCATGAAGTGAGACATCAATTGTGGTTGTTGTGAGATTTGGGGGAGAAAGGACAGGCACTTTGCTTCAACCATTGGCAGCAGTGCGGTGATGAATGCGGAGACTGCGTCAGTGTAGATGGATTCCAGAGCTTCAGACTGAGACGCTCTGTCATCTAGTATAGGACCCAGCATATTGTTCATGAAACCACTATTTGTCTCGAGTAGATCTAGGATGTGGGTGAGGAAGTATTCAGGCTTGTCCAGTCGATTCGTGGGTTTGTCCCCATAAAAGTGATAGCGGAACCTCACTGTTAAGGGTTGAACCATGACCTCAAGCGGGAGAAGCACGACAGGATCACGCGTCGAAGCCCGACTTCGAGTGTCGAGGCCTGCTGCGAACGCTCCGATCAGGTCAGGATCTTGTAGCTCGAGGAGTAATCTGACTTGCTGCTCCCATTTCTCCCGGATGTTGCCCGGAATATCCAACTCTTTCCCCGGCCATTTCATTTGTGCAAGAGTTTCCCGCAGACTCCGTTCCAGAGATTCCTTGATGTTGGTATAAAGCTGCTGCGACTGTTGCTCGAAAAGATACGCTAATTGAGGTGCTGCCCCTTCCGCAGCGGGCTGCGCATCCTGAATGTGTCTCAAAATGTCCCTCAGCTGAATATATGCTTTGACTGATATGTCCGGGCGTGTGGCTAAGTTCTCTTTCGCTTGGTCGCTCAAAGTGTTCAATTGCCGGACCAACACCAGATAGCCTTGAGCAACCTCGAGACTGCGCACCTTGCTCATCCTCGTTTCAATTTTTTGCGCCGCATCATCGCTCACGTTTGATTGTGCAAGGTCTCTGAGTCGCTGGTCTATGTCGGCGTGTTCCCTCTGGCATTCTTCGGCTTTCTCCCTTAATTCGTTGGCACGCTCGTTGACTCTATTCACAGCCTCCGAGTAGTCTTTTCGGGCATCTTCGAGCTGAGACACAATTAGATGCAGCCCGAATTGGGGATGTCAAACCTTACCTGCTTCCGTAACAGACTTTGCTGTTCCTGCACTCGTTGCAAAAGGCTGTCCACCTGTTCCAAGTCGGCCGCAGTCTGTATCTTGTCATTCAGATAGTCTTGCACCCGCGTCTGTACGTCCATGGTCTTGGTCATGTGCAGCTCAGCCATACTTGCGCCCTGAATACCTAGTATGGTAGCTGAATTATGGTATTAGAAGTTGACAGGTACTAGTATCTGGAAGAGGAAGTGGGACATGTGTTCGGTGTGTCTTTCTCCGACTGCGCAGCGCGTCATGGTTTTGGAGACGCGGCGCCACCATCTTAGAACTTTTGGTCGTGAAGTCACCACTTAATCACCTCCTCAACTCCTGAAACAGGTGCGGAATGATTGCCAGTTAGTCGCTGTGGGTAGCACTGGCGTCACTGCCAGTGCCCGTCATACTTGACAGTCATGGAGAGTCCGGCCAAGAGAAGGAAGAAGAACGACTCCAAACCTGCCGCAGTGGCGCACCGCAGCCTCGATTTCTTCTTTCGCAAGCAGAATGAACAACAGAAGGAAGAGAGGAACGGCACGGTACCGCATGAAGGCGTGGAAATACAGCAGTTTTCGTCTCCGGAGAAGCGGTTGACGGACGAGGAGTTGGCCAGAAAGCTCCAAGAAGAGTGGGCAAGAGAAGATGGACCGCAGCAGAGCAATCGTGAAGACGCCAATGGCCACCAGTTGCAAAAGCACGCAGAGACACATGAGCACAAGGCGGAAGAAGACATCAAAGACTTTGTATCCGCTGCTCTTGAAAAGACCCCTCCACCCGAGCCTCTGCCACAGTCGGACGTGAACAAGAAAGGTGTACTTGGATTGCAATCTACTGCCTCAGAAGAAGATACCATCACATTAACGATTCCCTTTGATCGGAGTCCTTTGCTGTTCGAACCTTCAAAATATGTCCCTGATTTGAAGAGACACTGGGCGGCAGACGGAGGTCATGCATCATACGCACTTCTGACTCGGTGCTTCGTGCTGGTCAATTCAACTCAAAGTCGGATCAAAATCGTGGATACATTGGTCAATTGCCTTAGGGTCATTATCGAGGCCGACCCTGAGAGTCTTCTGCCTGCTGTTTGGCTGGCTACCAACTCCATCTCGCCACCTTACATTTCTCTGGAATTGGGTTTGGGTGGCTCTGCGATTTCTAAGGCTTTAAAGAAGGTGTGCGGTCTCGATGGTGCTGGGCTGAAAACACTTTATGACAAGCATGGAGACGCAGGAGATGTCGCGTTCGAAGCAAAGAAGCGGCAGAGCTTCACACTGAGGAAACCGAAGCCGCTGACAATCCAAAGCGCATATCAAACACTGGTCAAGATTGCGAACAGTAAGGGCCATGGCAGTGTCGAACAGAAGCAACGACTTGTGGAACGCCTCCTTCAAGATGCGCGAGGACCAGAAGAATCTCGATACATCGTGAGAACTTTGGTCCAGCATCTGCGGATCGGAGCAGTCAAGACGACCATGCTGATTGCCCTGTCACGGGCTTTCCAGCTCTCGCGTCCAGCAGGCGCGGACTTCCCCATCCGAAACGCGGTCGAGCTAGCGAAACTTAAGAAAGAGGAATTGGCCGTTGTATGGTCAAAGGCAGAAGAGACCGTGAAGACATGCTTTGCACGACGGCCAAACTACAACGATCTCGTGCCTGGTCTCCTGGAGGTCGGAGTGTCAGAAGAACTGCTATTACGTTGTGGCCTGGCATTGCACATCCCTCTCCGCCCCATGCTGGGTAGCATCACTCGAGATTTGAGTGAGATGCTCACAAAGCTACAAGGACGAGACTTCAGTTGTGAATTCAAATACGACGGCCAACGAGCGCAAGTTCATTGTGACGAACGCGGTAAAGTGTCCATCTTCTCTCGCCATCTCGAAGTCATGACAGACAAATACCCGGACTTGGTGGCGCTGGTGCCCGAGATCCGTGGCGACGGGGTATCCAGCTTCATCTTGGAAGGAGAAGTCGTTGCTGTCGACAGGCTTACAGGCGAGCTTAAGACGTTCCAGACCCTCACCAACCGGGCCAAGAAGGACGTCGACATCGGTTCTATACAGATTGATGTCTGCTTGTTTGCGTTTGATCTCATGTACCTCAATGGCGAGCCGTTGCTTGATCGCCCCTTCCGAGAGCGACGCGGTCTGCTTCGCAGCATGTTCGTTGAGAAAGCACACCATTTTACATGGGTGAACAGCATTGACGCCACATCTGCCGATTCAGAGGCTGTGTTGGAGTTCTTCAAGTCCGCAACGGACATGAAATGCGAGGGCATCATGGTCAAAGTGCTAGACAACTTGCCGAATCCCGACCTTGTAGGCCCAGAAGAAGAAGAGGAAGAGGTGCTGCCCGCAGCTGCTGCACCAGTGACACCGAGCAAGAAGAAAGCTGGTGGCAAGAAAGGTCAAGCGGAGAGACAAGAGGAGAAGGAAAAGGGAACCCGTCGAAAAGCGCTCCTCGCGACATACGAACCAGACAAACGACTCGACTCGTGGCTTAAAGTGAAAAAGGACTACGCCCAGTCCGCCGACACGATCGACCTCATCCCCGTGGCCGGTTGGCACGGCCAAGGTCGGAAAGCGAAGTGGTGGTCCCCGATCCTACTCGCATGCCGCAACCCGGAGACTGGTAGTTTGGAGGTGGTCACCAAGTGCATCTCGGGATTCACCGACAAGTTCTACCAGGCAAATAAAGAAAAGTACGCCGAAGACGGCGACAACACGACGCGCACAAAACCGAGTTATATCGAGTATTCTGCGTATGAGCCCGACGTGTGGTTCGAACCGCAAGAAGTGTGGGAGATGGCCTTTGCGGACATCACTCTATCGCCGACGTACACGGCCGCGATCGGTCTGGTCAGTGAGGAGAGGGGGCTGAGTATGCGGTTTCCCCGGTTTTTGAGGGTGAGAGACGACAAGAGTATTGAAGAGGCGAGTACGAGCGAGTTCCTGGCTGGGCTGTACAGGAAGCAGGAGGCAAGGATCAAGGAGACTGCCACGGGAAAGGCTGGGGGAGAAGGTGACGACGGTGACGGAGACGAGGTTGAAGAATGAAGAACGTCTTGCCGGCAGTGACCGAACCAGTTGGATTCCAAATCCACAATGTATTATACTAATGGAATGCTTGTTTGCACCCGTATGACCACGAAATGAATGACAAAAAAGACCACAAAACACCCAAGTGAACCAAGACCCTGTAACACGAAGTGTGTTAAATTCGGTACTGTTTGTGCCACATCTATTATTCTCAATCCTCCCGTATACCCGCTGCTAGGATACGGTCGTTTCTTATCCATATTATATTCGCCCCAAGGCGATCTTCCCAGGGAGAAATACCCAGATCACAAAAGAGAGAAGGATACAACCGGCCCAGAGTTGGACAATTCGAAGATCAGGAGTAGCCACTGCTGTGTATACTGAGGGCGTTGCACGGGAGAAATACCAGATTCCGCCAAAGTAAAGGGGAATAAAATAAATAGAGGGCTGTCTACACGGTGGAAAAGATCGACACGTAGCGCCAGCCAAAAATAGATACATCTCTGGGTATTGACGGAAGGATGAGAGGGGGAAACCCCGTGCTTCTTTTGATTCACGAAGATTGTTCATTGGGCATGTTGCTCCGATGATGGTGGGATTAAGTTAACCCTCAGATGTCTTCCCGGCGAGGACGTCAATCCAGTTCTTTTCATCCTTCGGGCGCCGAATCCCACTTCCGCCGGCGAGGAAGGACTCGCCTTCTTTGCCGAACGCGATCAGATGCTCCTCGCTTCCCCAATCGCCCATGGCCTGCGTGCGCATAAAAGTTAGCAACCGGGTTGATTTTGAGTCGTGGAAGGAAGAGGAGGCAGGGAGGGAGGGAAAAGGGAAAGGGGGGGACAATTACGAGGTACATACCATAAGACCAACGGGGACATTCTCATCCGTATATCCCATTGGACAAGTGATGGCTGGATTGCCGGTGAAGTTGGCCAGATAGACGTATTCCATGGTCCTGAGACTCATGTCGCCGTCGCTCACGCCATAGCCGCTGGTGATGTCGCTAGGCTTGCCGATCTTCCAACCCGCACAGGGCGTCGTGGGCGTCAAGATCATCATGCCGGGATACTCATGCCACAGCCACGACAGATGACACATCAGCAGGTTGCGCAGTTTCTGAGAGAATATAAAGTCTTGGGCCGTGGCGTGGGCTCCTGCGACGTTGAGAAGCAATTGGTTGTGCCACGAGAGCTTGGAGATGTCCTTCTGCTTGATCTGACTGCGGCTCTCGGACAAAATGGTCAATGCATGCGCCTTCTGTCCTTGTGGAAGATAGGGAATCTTGATGTCGACCACTTCGTACCCGTGTGATTTGACGTATCCATCGACGGCGGCGTTGAACATGTCCAGAACAACCTTGTCCGAACGGTTGACCCAGGTTCGATCAATACCTAGATACTTCTTCCCCACATGTCCTGGGCTGAAGGGTTCCTTGGTCAAACTATTGGGGAAGCTGGAGCTTCTCATTGCCCCTGGGTCAGGTTGAGCCATCACTCGGTAGCCCAGCGCGAGGTCATCAATGCTGCAAGCCATGGGGCCGTGGACCACGACGCTGTCCACCCAGTCTTTGCCAACCCTGGCTGACACGCGGCCATGGGTAGTCTTGAGCCCATAGATGCCACAAAACGAAGAAGGTAATCGAATGGACCCGCCGCCATCGACTCCGAGTGCAATCGGGCAAATGCCGGAGGCAACGACGAACCCAGACCCGCCAGAGCTACCGCCAGTATAGTAGCCATTATTGTGCGGGTTCAACGGAGTCCCCCAAGTCTGATTGTTGTTGGAGGTGTCCAAGCCCACCTCATGCATGTTGGTCTTTCCAATTATGATAGCGCCCGCCTCCTGCCATTTCTGCACACACCACGCAGTACGGTCTTCTTTGTCGGTGAAATCAATCTTGCTGCCCAGAGTCTTCTTGTATCCTTTCAAATCCACCTCATCCTTCACAGCGAGTGGCACGCCATCCAGAGCACTCAGCGGACTGCCAGCTCGATATCTTTCCGTGGAAGCTTTTGCAGCAGCGCGTACCAAGTCGACCTTGGAATCGATAAAGGCAACAGAGTATTGACCAGCAGGTTGGGTATCCCGCCGAATCAGGGGTAGCAGGTACTCAATGACGTCGGAGGGAGTGACCTTGCCAGACTTGTACAGTTCGTGGTAGTCGGCACAGGTGTAATAGTTTGTGTTCGAAGCTCGAGGCCGAGGCGGTGGTAGTTCTGGTAGGCTGGGAACCAGGTCCTCAGAGGTAGTGGATCGAGGTACGACCGTCGGGTCGAGTCGAATCTCATATTGATCTAGATCCTTTGTGTCCTTGAGCTTGTCGAACCCATTGAGTCTCCAGAAGAGGCTTTGAATCCAGTTGGACGACGAAATGCTTCAAGCGTCTTAGCCACATGGCGCACAAGAGACAAAAAAGGTTCAACCATACATCTTGGAGACAGCTGCTAAGGGAACGCCTCGAAGCACAGGATTGGAGCCTGCATCATTGTTGTAAGGGACGTCGGGACCTTGACGTATTTGTGGACGATCGAAGAATGCGCTCGCGTAAACTGCCTGATCTGGCATCTCGAGCAATCCCCTTGGATTCAACGTTCAAGAAAGCACTTGGGAAGGAGGAAAGGCGGCCTGCAGCAGGTTCATGGGAGGGGGAGACGACAGAATGGAGGAACCCCTATCAATGATCACCGATGCCTCTCTTGCGCAATAGAGTCGAATTCGGGAACATGTGTTAGGCGAGCTGACTTCCATGACCCAAAAAGATCGGTGGGTGAAGACCGTTGATTGGCTGCGACTCAACCTCCAGCCTCGTGGGCGAATACGACAAACGAGAGGTGGAGGTGGAGGAAAACCAAGAACAGACGTTAGCAGGCTCTTGATCCAGCGTCCTCGTTCAACACGAGGCCTTTGGCATGCTTGATATTCTAGCACATCAGGACCTGGTCAATGGTACAGCTCATTGTTTCGTTATGGTTTTGTTAGGCATCAAATCCAGTCCGATGTGGTGCAAGGCTGCAAGCTAATCCACCCACCCCTATTGATGACCATCAGCCTGATCCTGCGTTGTCTCCAGCTTCGATCGTAGGCTCCGCTTCGAGAGACCGCTAGTTGGATTTGAATCGAGTGTTTTGTGCTGCTCCGGCCTTCAGCATATCTGACCTACCTCTAGGCATTGACAATGTGATACGGACAGGTACAAGTCCTCCGTTGGGAAAACGTCAGAGAGCTTGTCTGTTTAGCAGGGCTTCTGCCTTGAAAAGAAGATGGAGAGGTGGAGAGTGTATGAGGGAAATGAAAGACCAGTTCTGAATCACTTCGACCTTCCCGCCAAGGCTACAAGTTGGCCTCAGCTATTCGTACCATTGCCTCAGGCATGGAGGAAATCACCTGCCATACCCGCCAAGTGACAGACTCTCTCTCTCTCACACACACATACGGAGGGGGAAATAAAGGGACCCACTCTCAAAAATCAATCACATATATCCGAGAAACCCAGAATTGTTGTCAACATAGCCCAATTCGAAAGAAGTGCAAAGCACGCGGTAATCTGAGACCTCGACAAACATGCTACACTTCAAGTTCGGGATATGGAACTCTCACAAAGTTCATATTCTATCGGGTTTGGCGGGAGGGGCCTTCCCCCCTATAGTTTGATGAATAGTATGGTTCGCTGTTGCCTAAGGTAGCACCGAGGTCTCACCCATACCATTCATTAGAAATATCAAAAAGATAACTAGTTCCCGCCCTGGCTGCTGTAAGATTGCTCGAGAACCCTCCCCACCCGTGGGGAGATAGGAGCCGCAGCACCCATGGGGAACTAGTTGGAGGGGGGAAGGTAAGATAGACGCCAAACCTAGAAAATGAACTTTTTGCCATTTGGGACGTCTATATAGGTACCCTTCGATTCCCAGTCCAAGCAATTCTTTTTGTGCGCACAGATCATATTGATCAAGTAATTCACCCGAGTTTCTCTTTGAGCAACTGCTCACTCAGCCTCCACAGCCGCTCGCCAAGCTCCACGTCTTGGGCCATAGTACTTGGGTCGGTCACTTTCTTGTCCGGCACGATATACTGTCCACTGATGCCTTTCTCCTCGATCTCCTGGCTTGTCGCTGCATACAGCGCCGACCGGCAACCTGTCGCGACTGGATCGGCCATAAAAGGCCGGACGAGCTTGTGACCCACGACGCCGAGCTTCCCATAAGCCTCTTCGGCTTGCAGTGGTTGATCGGTGGCGACCGCTCCCGGGTGCACCGCATTGACATAGACTTTTTGACCCGCTTCGAAACCCAGCTGGCCACTATCGATCCGGCGCTGGAGAGCCCGTGTGGTCAAGATCTGAGCAAGCTTGGTCCGATTGTAGAGCTTGGTAGGCCCGATGTCCTTGTTGATCTCGGCTTCGTTCTCGAACTGCACGTTATCTTCTGCACCGCGATGCAGCTCTGACGACTCAAAGACCACGCGAGATCCCGGAGTGTGTTGAAGCCGGGGGAGAAGCTTCAGCAACAGGAGGAACTGCGAAAGGTGGTTGACCTGGAAATGTGAATCGAGCTTGTCCTTCGTCTCGTTGTAGACTCCTACGCCCAGGCCGGCGTTGAGGATGAGCTGTCAAGCGTTGAGTTAGTGGACGCATCTTGATACATCTTGCTTGAATGCCAGTCAACATACACCGTGGAGCTTTTCCTGAGACCCTGCCAACTCATTGGCAACCTTCTCGGTGGCCTTGAGGTCCTCGAGATCGCACTTCACCCAGTGAGCCTTGCTCGCATCTCCATACTCTTTCAGCTCTTCGAGCGCGGAATGAGCATGCTCTTCCTTGTTGGACAAAATGGTGACGCTTCCGGCATGGTGCTGCAAGAGGTGGGCAGCAATGCCAAATCCTATCCCAGCGCTACCCCCAGTGACGATATAATTCTGGCCCACAGTGTTAAAAGGGGACATGCCAGTGCTCAAAGATTTCGGGTAATATCTACCTTGCCAGACAAATCAGGAATATCCTTGTCTGGATTGAACGTGTTAGTCCCCAAAAGAGACGACATTGTGCGGTTTCGGGGTTTGCTAGCGAGAAGGATGATATTGAGCCTCGTATTCCGAGCAATTCTCCAAGATATCCTCATTCAAGTCCGTGGCTGTAGTTGAGAACCGAGAAAGCGCGTGTCGACGCATCTCGACAGGTCTGATGTCCGATCGTCCGCCACTATATACAAGCATATGAAACTTGGCTGGGATGAAGAAGTCATGATGACAGTGTTAAGTCATGATGGTCATGACTTTGCTTGATGGATACACTATCCGACGTCAGATGCCACGATCGGGGCCTGGGGAGTGTGGGCCGTTCACCCTTTTTCGGGATGCAGCTCGGCGGCTGATGCCGCCCTGGCATTCCGTCGCCCGTTCCCAATTACCCCCAGTTTTTCGGGGGCCCTAGAGCACTGTCCCAGGTATACGAGGTACTGTATTGGTTTGTAGGGTCCATGGGGAAACCAGCCCCCCGAGTCTCCTAGGCTTGGTCCCTAACTACCTACTATTATGTGCTCTGTATTAACTTTCCAGAATATCTTATCCGCGCTTTGCTGTGTACAACCAGTATTCGGTACTCTGGACAGCGGCACCCTTGCCACGGTAATCAACTGGAAAGAAAAGAGGTGCTTCCTCAATGGACACAAGCCTCCATCTCACAATAACTGGACTCCTCCCGACACGCGACCATGAGCACAGAGCTCAATCACCACGGGACGATCTTGGTAACCTCCTTGGGAGACGGTTTTCTACACGAAGGCCCTGAGCATCATCCACAACGACCGGACCCACTGTCAGAATGTCATCGGACTGCTGGGGAATGGCTGGACGGATACTCGGGTCTGGATGCCCCCATAACGCCGTTGGAACCCCCCTTCGGCCATGTACGGCTGGGGTCGAATGCGGTGAAGCTGTTCTAGGGGTGCCAGACTCAGAGTTTGGGGTGGACCTTCCCAACGAGGGTGCTTGGTCTAGTGACATATTAGGTCCAAGTGAGCCCGACACAGGCATTGGGACTTCAGCCGCCACTGGTGGACGAATGAAAAGAGGTGCGGGGATTACAGGATCAGGTGGATGATCTGTACCATCTGAAGGTATTTCATGAACCGGCGGATGACCTGAAGAAGGTCCCGATCGAGGACCCCTGGGACTGCTGGGATTAGGACGTCGTGTGGCGGGCCTGCCCGATGAACCAGAATTCGTCGATGCCGTCGAGTTGCTGGAGACAAAAGATGCAAGCCCCTTGCGACCGAGGGTAGCTTCGAGTTCAGGGTGCGACACAAGATGAGATCGAGCCAGAGCATACGACAACGCACGGACTTCTTGAGCCATCCGCAGCACGTCTGCCTGCTGAGCACGCATTCGTCTTTCGGTCTTTTTACACCTCGACATCATCGTCTTGGCTTCGCTTGCGTACAAGGAGCTGTTAAATGGCAATCAGCATCCAGCATTAGTCCTGAAGTCAACAAAATCGGCCGACTTACAATTTTTGAATCAGCTCATGCGGGATGGGTTTGTTTTCGGCACGCAGCTGGTCGAGCTTGTGAAGAAGGTCATGGCAAATCACAATCGACACGAGCAGATTGGCGCTGCTCTTGATGGAGATGAGCAAGATGTGAATAGGTGACCATTCCTCCTTGCGCTTAGACCATTTCCAGCGAGCGTACCATTGCTGGAGAGTTGGGTACACCCTGTCTGTTCTCAGTGGATCGAGTCCAATCAGAATGCCATCAATTCTGTGCAAAGCTTTCCTCCCTGATTGAACAATGTGTTGCGTTATGTCTGAGTTATTGATTTTCCTTGCTAGACCTTCGTCTTGCAAACGCTCGTCGGTGACAGTGCTGTGAAACGTACACAGCAGCCTGCCGAATTGTCCAACCTCGTCGCGGATTTCCCTGACATCCTCTCTGGCGTAATTCAGACGGCGATAGCAGCGGTGAAGCCTTTTGAATAGGTGATCGAACGCCTCTGCTACAGCGAGAATGGCAGAGACTGAACCAACAATCTCCATGAGAGGTATTGAATCCGTCACAATCGAGTTCCTGAGTTGTCGCAGAGAAGAGAGGAGGGACAGGGGAAGAAAGGAAAATACTCAGGAAGTCGACATCTTGAAGTTGACCTTCGTGGAGATATTGAACATGGATTCTCCAGGTAGGCAGTTAAACTGATTCATATCTACCAATCTGGAAGAGGAGGCTCATCTGCAAGTCCCTAACCGGTGAGTCCTGCATGGATCATTTTCTGCCAGGAGTCGCCCGCATTCTTGGTTGTATTCCATTGGTGGTGGACACGCTGACTACTTCTTTCCAGACTGTGGCCATTGGACGATCGACTCCAGCTCTAGGTGCGTAAGACTGCAAGCCACAAGGAAGCTCATGGAGAGGCGTCGAAACGAAAATGCAGGGCATCTCGAACCACGCAAAGTCCTAGATACGAGACGCTGGAGGATTCGCTGCTATCAAGACTGTCGTGTTTGGTTACACAAGGTTGATGCTTTGCTAATATAAGTCGTTTCCGCGAGTTGATGCGGCCACAAGTCGTGTCTGGAACTGGACGAGAGAGACTGCACGGACTTTCTAGTCGACCTGAATCTATTTCCTCCCCAGAAGCAACGCTTAGACCATCTTGCGCCAGAAAGCCAGGGCTGAATTTCCGCCTGCTGCTGGAAAGGGGGAAACGTTTTGAATTGTCCAATTAGCTGTACCATCGCTGGGCGACACACTTGAGCCAAGTCTCGCTGGCACCTTGAATAGGATCTAGGATGGAATCGTGATTGACACCTTTGATGATCTTGGAGTTGAAGGTGATTTTCGATTGTGAAATAGCACTTGCCCAGCAATCATCAAAGTGCCTTGACCCACTGGGGCGAATCATGATGTCTTTTTCAGAATGTAGCACGTCGATGTGTAGGTTTTCAGAGTCGGCAGTGCCCTGGTTCAGGCGCTTTTCTTGCTCGACAACTGCGTCAGCAAGAGTCCTCCAGTCAAGCCAGTCCTTGCCAAGTGCAGCCCCGGCATCTGCTGTCGCAATCACCGGGTGGAAGTGCTTTCGTAGAAATAGGATGGCATCGTCTGAGGAGCCTTCAATATCTTCAGCGAACATGTACTTTACAGCCAAGGCCTCCATTTCAGTCAGAACAGCTTTCTGAAAAGAATCTTCGCTGCCGTTCTGGTCATCGATCTCTCCAGTCTTGGGCGCGACGACGGTGGCTGATTTGCTGGGAGATCCCCCGCGCAGCCCCGAGCTGAACGCAAAAGTACGATTGACAGTCCTGGCCAACGAAGGAAACTTGCCAATCGCCTGGAGCGGCAGCATTGCAGTAATCTGCATCAGGCGGGCGCCTCCTTCTTTGGGATGCACCCATGGAGAGAGCAGGACGATATGAGGCCGTTTTGGATGAAGCAAACCCCGATGCGCCAGAAGCGTTGCGATCAGATACGGTGCCCCTCCAGAATGGGATGCCAGCGTTACATGTCGGATACCCAAGTGACTGAGCAGAGCAGGAACAGCGGCGACCTGTACCGCCACACGTTGATCCAGAGGAACTCGCGTGGAGCCACCAAGCCCTGGCCTGTCCATGGAGATGATTCGGACCTTGAGACGTCGAGCAATGCTGGCTGAGCGACACAGTGTATTTCGGCCACCTAAGAGGCCGCCGATGAAGAAGACGATGCATGGATCCTCATCGGTATCTCCTCCTTCGCCATCAGCCGACCTCTTGGTAATGTCCGGATGGTATCCAAGGTCCGAGTAGGTGATTCGTAGATCCTGTCCGCCATTGGGGAGAACGGAAGCAGGCAGAATAAAGGATCTGTGGAGACGGATGTCGCATAGTGTTTCGATGGCGATGGTACGAGCGTCGTCGCCCATTGTTTCTCGAATGCAGATAGTAGGGACAATCAAGTCGGCGGATAGCCGTTTGCTGTCAGTTTCGCAGAGGGATCGTCTCCTGCTCAAATATGGGCAATCTTGAAATAATGGAATGCCTGTTGCCTGGAGCTACTTTTGGTTTGTTGTTCGCGCCAACTTAGTTAGTGCATGGGGCGGCGACTGGGCCAAAGGCGAGTTGCCCCGTACATCAATCGACCAGATAGAGTATTTGAAGACATTGCATGTTTCACTGACGACTTGTTTCTGCTGCTTAGTCCCTAGGTAAATACTCGGTGCGACATCAAATCATCAAGGTGTCTTGGCCCCTTTTCTCGCTGACGAGGCTGAGACGAGTTTCCTTAGCGCGGATTCGCGGAGAAAGTTGAAGCCACCTCTCGCCTCGACTTTTTGCGGAGTGAAAGACGCACGAGCCACTCCAACCCAGCGACCACTTTTCCTTTTCCCTATTGATCCGTCGCTCGCGGCCCTTGAGTGTCTTTTTCTTTTGGGGACTGTGTCTGATCACTATCCCTTCTGCTCCCAAAGACCATCGATAATTCACACCAGTCCAAAAGCGCAGCCCGAAGCGGCTTGCGCATTCACACCAAGTCGCCATGTCCTCCGAATACAATTACGATGAGGGGGGTCAATTTTTCCCGTTCTTCATGCTGACCATGGCCGGCCTGGTCACGGTACCTCTCACATATAACGTCCTCAAGGCATCCACAGATCTCGAGCAGACCGCATCCCGAGTAAAATCAGACTTCAAACCCCATAATGTTGATCTCATCGAAGCGCAGAGGAGGAGAAGAAAGAGGCAGAATCGCAAGACCAAAAGAATTATGGCGGTGATCGTGGGATATACCTTCATGGCCTACATGATATACTTGATCATTGTCACCCAGAGAACGGTACCAAAGATGTGGGATCCGTACGATATCCTGGGCGTGTCAAGGGTACGTCGGTAGTTATAGATTCTCCATCAGATGCTGACAATCAAACAGAGCGCCTCGGAGCGGGAAATTGACAAATTCTACAAGAGACTATCGCTCAAATTCCACCCTGACAAGGCCAAGCCCGATTCTTCGAAGAATGAGACCATGGACGACGTGAACAACCGATGGGTTGAAATGACAAAGGCCTACAAGGCATTGACGGATGAAGAGATCAGAAACAACTATCTCCAGTATGGCAACCCGGACGGGAAGCAGTCTACGAGCATAGGCATTGCGTTACCGAAATGGATGGTCGAGGAGGGCAACCGCTGGTTTGTGGTAGCTTTCTACGGCATCCTTCTCGGAATCATTCTTCCCTACACGTTGGGGAAGTGGTGGTACGGAACACAGGCCCTCACAAAGGACAAAGTCCTGCATGCCAGCGCTGGCAATCTATTCCGAGAGTGGAAAGAAGACATATCGGAAGGCGACGTGGTGGCAGCCACCAGTGTGGGCGAAGAGTTCACGGAAACCCTAAAAGGTTCCCGAAGTGATGCGGGCGCTGCAAAGGTGGAAAGCAAAGTCCTCAACAGCTCTGCTCTTACCGAAGCCGATAAGGCACGATTAAAGTCCATCGACGACCCGGTGCGGCGGAAAACACTAGCCCTGCTCTGGGCTTACTTGGCTCGGATCGACCTGGAGGACCAAGAACTCGAGAAAGAGAAATTCGGCGTTGCGCCCACTGCTCTGTTGTTGAACAATTCCTTCGCTTCAATCACTCTTCCATTCGGCATGGTGAAGCCCCTCCTTTCCGCCTACCACACATCTCAGAATATTATCCAAGCTGTTCCACCATCTGCATCGGCAATCCTCCAGCTCCCCAACTTCACTCCCGCAATGGCCGAAAAGATCAGCAAGTCCTCAAAATCACCAATGACGTTCCAAAAATTCATGTCTCTCCCTCCTACGGCACGAAGACAACTGTGCTCTGATCTCTCGGATCAACAATACAGCCAAGCAATGTCCGTGGCCGCTCAGATCCCCCATCTTGTGATCGCCAAGGCATTCTTCAAAGTCGTCGGCGAACGTGTTGTCACACCTGGCTCATTGGTCCAACTCGTGATCAAAGCCCGCGTGATCCCTCCCGGTACACCAGAAAAGGATATCCCACCAGTCAACCCACTGGATCTCGAGGACATTGATCCGGACGAGGGAGACCTGGATGCTTTGCACGGTCGAAAACCGGCCAAGTCGAGGAGAAAGAAGCTTCCAGACGGCTCTTACGTGGAAGACGACGCCAAAGAAGGAAGTGTGCAACCTCCACTGGCACATGCACCCTATTTTGCTGCGGATCATGCCCCCAGATGGCATGTCTTCCTCGCAGAAGCACGTACCGGCCGCATTTCGGTACCACCCTTTACATTTACCAGTTTCGACCGACCCATCTTCCACCCGGACACAGGGAAACCAACTTTCAACGTCGTCACTTTGAAATGTTCCTTCCAGGCCCCGCCACAGGTCCACGCCTTCCCATTTATCATGCACTTGGTGTGTGACAGTTATATAGGCTTGGACGAGAAGGTAGAGGTAGTTTTGGACGTGAGAGACCCCAAGGAGGCCGAGGTGGTCGAAAGTGACGACGACATTAGCGAACCTGAGGAAGGTACGTATAATCCGGTGGAATTTACATCGGCAAAGGGAATTGCACCCACCAGCATGACAGCACGCTAACGATATTTCCACAGATTCACTAGCGGGTCAACTCCAAGCCATGAAGTCCGGCGGCATGACCGGTTCACCTGTGACGTCGAAGAAGAAAAAGAAGAAGACCTTGCCTGCCAATGCTGACTCGAAAGCGGTCCCTGTGGCACAGACTCAAGGCAATGCCGTTGAAGAAGCAAGCGATGACGACGACGACGAAAGCGACACCGAGGGTGAGGATGACAGTGACACGTCCGACACCGATACCGAGACAGAGGACGAGGATTCATGAAGGAAGGGACACTCAGAGGATTTCCCGTGAAGACTATATATTTCGCTGCGTCGCGGTCCGGTGCGGTGCAGCGTATGGCATTGCATTGCATTGCATTGCATTGCATAGCATTCACCTTGATATGTATGCCCCTCCTCGGAGTTTTTGAGCGTGGTCCGAGTCAACTCCTCGGCGCTACTTGACTTGCTTGACTTTGTCATTCCCATCTTGAGAAAAAAAAAGGGGGCAGCTCGACGATAGGGCGCATAGGGGGTTTGGTGTCTCTTGTGTCTCCGGCTAAGTCTGATACGAAATACTCGGTACGTCCATGGGGTACGACTACCTACATAAAGGCATGAACCACGACGGGAGTTTTTTTGTGTCTGTCTGTCTGTCTGTCGTGTGCGTGTGGTCTCTCCGTATGGGGCCAGGGCTAGCGGGCCATGCATCTTCGGCATGTGTAAACAGCTAGCTTTCTAGGTAGCTAGCAAGCAAGGAAACAAGGCAACAAGCATTGAACGAACCCGATTTTATCTCGAAAAGGGCTCGCAGGAGTATGCGAAACTTGGAAACGCCGTGTATTGAATATTGTTGATTGCCTTTTTTTTGGCTTCTGCCCAGCAAAAAGTACAATCTAGCCAGTGTGACAGACAGCCTTAATCCGTTCGGGCAGACAGAAGTTGCTATGCGCGTGTGTGTGCCCCCATCATCGACGTATTTTTGATATGACTTTGACCCTTTGTGTGAAAGGAAAGAGAGAAACAAGAATGCCATGTAGCTCATGTCTATCTGAACCAGCTCCGTTCCAACTACCTTCAATACTAGCACTTTGCTAAATCACTGCCTCAGCACTCTGGTACTCTTTTCTCCACCCCGCCTCCAGCTTTTAGGATGCTTCATGTCCCCACCCATCCCTCGTCCGCATATCTCTGTTCGTCAATTTCACTTCTTCCCAGTCACGCTGGTAGCCATCTGATTCATGCGGTCCTGGATCTTCTCCCGGCCGTCGTGCATGTACTGGAGAGTCTTCTTGTACTGGCGGTCCTGAGACTGGATGGACAGTTGGGTCACGGCCAACGCACCGACACCGAGGAGGGCACCGACGCCGAGGATCGTGCGGGTCTGCATTATTGCTGTGTGCTTGTTTCTTGCTCTGGGGCTGGTCTGATTGTTGAGTAATCGAAGCGGACGCGTGGGCGCAGCGGACTCGATTGTTCGGCGGTCGTCGAGATTGGGGGCAGGCCAGGAGTCTGGAGGTCTGTGTGGCTTGCAATCTGCGGGAAATGTGTGCCTTTGGCGAGGAGTCAAGTGTAGTTTGCTTCGAGAGCGTCGTCGACTGCACCGTTGGACCGAGTCGAAAGTGAGGTTCTCGGCAATGTGGTTTCGCTCAAACTCCGGGCAGAATGAGCAGGGCGCGAGTGCACAGATGGATGCAGTGAAGTAACGTCTCAATCGCTAAAGAGCTAGAGCAGAGCGGAGAGTTAAGTATGAGTATGGACCTCTGATAAGGCGCACGGGGAAAGAAGAAGTCTTTCGGTGTACGAAAAAGGAGAGGTTGAAGATGGAATAAGAACCGAAGTCGGTGCGCCGGTTATAATACCAGGTGACTTGTCGGCTCCTTGCAAGCGGATAGAATGCTCCTTCCCAATCGTCGGGCTGCCGCAAGGGCCATCACATGAAACGTTTCCAAGCGATGTGTGGCAGTTACCGAGCACCGGAGGCTGGCACGGTGGCACTGAGGGTCAAGGGTGGTTTAGGCGTCAGGCAGGTGTTGGGCAGGTGTCGGGGCAAGTGTAAGGGCTTCCCCGCACCTGCTGATTGTCCCCAAGGTGCCCTTTATCCTCCGCATGCCGCTTGTTCCAGAGAGGCTAAAGGCTTTTAACTAGTGTTGGCACGAGCCAATTCCCCTCATTTGATTTGCTAGTGGCCGCTCAGGCTCCGGTAAGACTCGGGCATCTGGACGCAGGTACGTGGCAGGTTACAAGGCAAATGCTCATAAAAGCTATTATGCCGCACTTGTACCGAGTAGACCAAAACAGCCTTCATAAAAATGCATTAGGGGTCTTGTGCTTGTTCTGTAGGTGCCGCTCTAGAACATGCTCTCGACGCCTACCAGCCTTGGACAGTTCTGGCCACTGTCTCTCTATACCTAGGTATCCTCGTTATCGTGGAGATCGTGTGTCGACAGAGATGGACAAGGATGATCTTGGCTCCTCCCTCCTTCCCTCCGGCTTTGTTGAAGGCACGGGCATGTCAATGCACCCAACTCCCTCAGCAGCCGTTGAGTGCGATCCCTCAGCCTTCTGCATCAACAAACGTATCAATCTCGCTAGTGTCTGTGTCTGCCCTCCTCAGTGGCTTCTGACCCTCCGGTACCATGGCTTCATGCATCTTCATTCTCGACATTTCGTTGTTCATGTGTGACATTTCACCGTCATCGTCCATCAAATTCGCCGTCTTTTGCTGTGCGTGCTGTTGTGGTTGTGAGGTAGGCTGCTTGGGGTGGCTCTCTGGCGGCGCTGTGCTTGGTGGCCGAGAATCGAAATCAATCAGATTGTCCGAGGCATTCAAATGGCCGTGGCCAGAACCACCTGCTGCTTGGTGAGACGTATTTTCGTGACGCTCGAGAGACTGGCGCCTTGTGTCTTGCTCAGAGTTTGCAACTTGACCCGGAATTATAGGAGCAATCGAGAGAATCTTTTCCACAAGCTCTTCCGGACTGGCCTTCGGGTCCCTAATGAAATCATTAGTCGAGAACAAGGACAGAGCAGTACAAAAACTCACAGATGTGCGTTGATAATCCACTCTAAGTCCTCCTCGCCTTCTTCAGGAGACCCTGGTCGTGCATCCACTCTTCGAAACAGTTTGGGCTTCCACTCAACACCCAATTCTTCTCTCCGTTTCGCCTCTTCTCTTTGCCGGTCTTCGATTTTTGCTTTCTCGGTTGTAGCGACTTCATGGTCCCTTGCGTGCACTGCCTGTACCGTCGACTTCCAAAGTTTTTGAGACTCTCGTTCTCCCTGTTCTTCGAGTGGCCGGGTTAAAGGCGGGGCGTGTTTGGCATGCGTGGCGTCGAAAAGGATCTTTTTCTGGCCGGTCTTGGTATCCTTGATGGTCATCTCTCCGGACCAGTTTCCGGACAGTTCATAGAGGACATCCCCCGTCCGCTCATTTCTGATGGACCCTCCGATGGCATTGTAGGTGCCTCCGACCCAGCCCTTGGTCTTGAATTCAATGTCTGCAGCCAGCCCATTTTCCGGACATCGTACGTAGGAATGGTCGCCCAATTCGTACTTCATCTTGCCAAAAAGGATCCCTCGAGCATACATGTTGGGCTGCGTTAGGATGCTGCTGCAGTTAGAAACACTTCGAATGAAATTCGGAAACCTAACATACTATTTTTCACCGCCCTTGGACTTCCCTCGGTTGGTGAATCTGAGATACGAAATGCCTTCCATCATGCTGGCGGCTGAGTTGCCCAGAAACTTACTGCGAGGTTTCAATGTACCGTCAACCCGAATATGGTGGTGCGGTGCCATGAAGAAATACGAAGATTTTGGTGGATGATGCGAAGTCTGCTCCGCGATATAATAGCCTCGCGTTTTGTCCGGATAGTCCCACCAGCAAGTAAACGTTTCCCCAAGGATCGGGTTTAGGGGCTTCTTGACACCACTAGGAGATTATCAGCGTTCGCCGTTTGATCGGAAATTGGAGGGTTTCGTACGCAGGCCTGATGTGCCAGCCACTAAGATAGAACTTGACGACCGAGACAAATCGTTCGATTGGGTCATCGATGGAGGGCATCGGGAGGAGTGTGTCGGGATGAGCCATAAAACTATAAGCAACCATGAGCTCGCTGGAACCATGTTCATTCTCTTGGGAAAACCCTTACTTCGTTATTCTTTCTAGCATCGATCTTTCCTCGAGGATGAAGGTTGGGAGAGTGATCCGAGACAGGTCGGCACCGGGGCGCAACTGTGAGATGATGTGTAAAAGGACTACATGTGTGGTCAGCACCGCCTTCTCTTCAGCTATCGTAGGGTTTGATCCCACTGTTTCCCTGCTCGGGTTCGATGACCATAGTGTCCTCATCGTTGGTATCTCGTTGATCCTCTGAGGAGGAGCGATTGCCTGAATCTTCAAGTCAGCCTGACTCCATGGAGCGCGCACTGAGGGGCTCGACCATACTCTTAGACTCGCTGCGATTTCGCAGCGCTCCACCTATCGAGTGCTTCATCTTGTCCATTGTCCACCCTCATGCACGAGCAAGGGATACTGTTCTGTGGAAGGGAGGTGATGGGCAGAGCAAGGAAATGGTGGTTGTGATATGACGTCGTAAAGGGTCGGATATGGCGGGGGCGAGAGATCAGGTCTCCTGCTCGACAGATACGAACCGTCTTCGAAACTGCACCGTTCAGCGGTCAGCTGAAGCAGTGGCAGAGACAGAGGGAGAAACTCGGTGACGACAGGGCAGGATGTTGGTGACACAACTGGCAGATGAGTAAAGAAATCTAAAAAAGAAGCCTATTCCCACTCCGAGGGGCATTTGCAGCTTCTTCGTGCATGCGAGACATGCTTCACTGGACAGAGCGCGGCGGGCTGAAGAGCACAAGTGGAGACCTGAACAAAGCAAAAATGCTGCGTCATCCGCATGCTGCAAACTGCAAAAGCCAAGGGTGAAGATCGAAACCGGGCCACCATTGTTCCCGAATTCCTGGTTGCTCATAAAACCCTTGAATTGGCATTTATCTGCTAGGTAAGTATTATATATAATGCACAATCCGGGCATTCTATGATCTAATCTTCCCGGCCCAACATATGAGAATGCGTCCCTGACCAGTCGCGCCGTCGGATGTGGTGTGCTGCATGACCTGGATCTATGGTTACCCTTCTTGCCCACTCAACTCATCGTTGCCATCCAACTTTCGCATGTAGGTCGATCTCCCCCTGTAACGGCTTCAATTAGTTCCTCGGGGGGTTGGTAAAGCATAATGTGGAAATGTTCTGTGAAGTCACAGATTAGGTTCAAGCACTCATAATCATCACCTCATCTCCAGCCGCATCTTCTGCTTCCGTATGTCGCCCTGAACAAGTTTCGACTTACCTAATGCATGCACGCTCTTCAAGCTCTTCCAGTTCTTAAACCATACGATCCTCTCCCTTTCTATCCTCTTTCCATGTTCTCCCTCACAGAAGGTTTTTTTGATGAACTCGTCGATCTGCCTCGTCGCCTCCGGGGTCACCTCTCCTGTCTCTTCAATCTCGTCGATCTGGAATTTCGTCCACACGACGAGGTGCTGGATCCCATGCTCGACAAAGTACGGCCAGTCGTTATATAAAATCTTATAGTCGGAAGGGCGGCTGAATGGCACATCTCCGCTGGGGGTGTTGGTCGGCCAATGGAGGCGGTATTCTTGAATATAGGAGAGGACAGAGCCGTAGGTCTTCTTGAGATGGTAGACATAGGCTAGGTAAGCCTGGAGCTGGCTTGATGATCGCTGGAATTGGTGAATATTGTTCGTCCCTTGCGTGAGAAGAAGTGTCAGGTCCCATTGTCGGATGTTGGTGTTGCCTTTATCATTCCAGGTTCATTGGTCGTCGGCTGCTGATCCTGGGCTTTCGCAATGCTCTATCCCTGACATATGTTCGCAGCCTCACCACAAGGAAGACTTACGAACCAATTCCTCCACCTGTTGCCAAGTGAATCGTTCAAATTCCTCGTCTTTGCGGCTCAATATCCCAATATTCTTCTCACTCTGCCCAAGCAGATACGGCGGGCACTCTTCTGTCCATTGCTCCTGCGGGACATTGATATTCCACCAAAGTCTTGAAAGGTCTTGCTCTTTGCGTGAATCAGGCGTATTTCCCCTTGGCGTAGGATGGACTGAATGTGGCATTTCCTCTACAAGCTGGATTTTGCCCACCACCTTTACTCTCCAGAAGATTGCTCGAGTTTTGCTCTGGTTGCAGAGGTGCAAATGGTAGATATATAAGCCGGGGCGTAGAAGTCATGGCGAGGAATGCTACGAACGGGTGTAACACTGACCGGAAGGCCCATATCTTTGATTGCTTGGCTGCATTATCCCCCCAAGCGTTCCACCGTTACATATGCGCTCCACGCCGAGAGCTTTGGGTCTTTGGCGATAGGTATAGGCTGTTTCTCAAACCGAATACGTTGCTCAATGGCAGGGAGCATCGTTGCACTCAAACAGATCATTAAGGACACATTCTTGCAGTTACAACAGGACAAAGGACAACCGGAGAAAGCATTATCTATGTATTTGAAGTTGAATTTCAAACTCCGTCTAACAACTGGGGACAGGGAGCGTCTAGTAATGACGACCTCGTTAGGCGCAATCATCAGGTAGATGGGTTGGGTCTAAGCAGCAGCAGGACTCTATTGTCCAAGCGCTTCTTTTGGGCCTTTCAATTCACTTCGCCGGCTCGTGGATGATGAGGGACTTGACGAAATTAGCAGAGAGATTGCCGATAAATCTAGCCACGTACGAAGTCTGTGTGCTCGTGACAATTCGAAACGAGATGCCAATACTGTTCGAATCATCATCATTGCCGACTTGCAACACCTTCTCGGAAGCCAGGACGCCCAGAGCGTACAACTAGACTTGACTGAGAAACGCACCAAGTGACCCTTTATCTTCCAGATTTGCAGCTTGAGCGAAAGAAACGCCAGAGGCGATTCTATCCACAACAGTGTCAGCCGACATGAGTAGACATCATATAGCGTTGGTCATGGCAGTATTTGCTGAATTCTGCATATCGCCTGAGTGTTTCGGAATATCAAGAGATAAATAGCTTCGGACCAGGGAAATAAGCAGACGCCAGCACATGTCAAACAAATCGACTTCTTTGGACTGCTGCTTGAGGTCCAACAGGTATCGACACCTGGCGGCATGAGCATTGAGGAAAGACACTGCTTCAGGTCTGTTGTCCCCGGATTGACACAACGAGATTGACTTCATGGACCGAGAACCCGCCGAACCTCGTCACTGTCAACACTGACCACGGTCGCAGAGCCTTGTGCCAGAGCACCCTTGACATCGAGCCACGTGTTGGGATCCACACATCTTTGAGCTTCCTCTATAACATACGTGGTGAAGCCTGCCTTTGCCGATCCAAGAGCTGTATCTTTGACACAATAGTCACCAGCCAAACCAACAACGTAGACATGGGATATATGCTCAGCGGCCAGTTCTTTGGCAAGGTCGTGACTTACACCTCCAGCACCAAACGTCAAGTTTCCAAACGAGTCGGAAAAGGCCGAGTACATTTCCACCCGGGGGTCCTGGCCTTTTTGGACAGTGAAACGTACGTTGGAGAGATCAAGTTCTGGAACGATCTCTGCGCCTCTTGAGCCCTGAACACAATGGACGGGCCATAATCTTTGCTGCATCGTCTCATCCGGTTTGTTACCAACAAAGTTGCGCACGGTGACAAACGACTCGAAGGGTTTGTTGTCTGGAGCAGAATGGTTTGCAGCAAAAGATACGTGGTTAGTTGGATGCCAGTCTTGGGTGGCCACTTTCAAGACAAACTGTGGTGAAGCAAGGAGCTTGTTGATCAGCGGCACAATTTCTCGGCCCCCCGAGACCGCGAGTGAGCCATCCTATGCAAATTAGCATCAACTAATGAGTATCAATGCATTCGTGCAGGCTTTCCGTACGGGAGGACAGAAATCCATTTGCATGTCGACCACGATGAGGGCGGGTCTGAAGTCCATGGTCGCTGGCGAGTGCAGGCAGATCAGTGACGGAGACTAGAGCGCCTGATGCACAAGAGGCCTACAAGAATTGTCGCAGTCCTCTCAGAAAGGGAAGTGTACCTCCGAATTGGTGATGTTGGGTTGAACACATGGATTTACAAACGAGACCATGAAGGTTAATGCGCGGTAGTCACTGGGGTTCGTTCGATAGGCAGAGCCGCTTAACTAGCTGGGTTAGCCAGAGAGCCCCGAAGTTCAAGCCTGGTAGCCAGTGGTAGGGGGTCCACTGCCCAGTGGTCAGGCCAAGCCTTGGTTTGCGGGCGTCGGGGTCATCTCTTCTCTTGCTCTCGTGAACTTGCCCTCATCACCTCACATTCCATCTCGTTAGATCGACTTCACTTTCTTTTGCAGCTCGTTGAATTCACTTCAAGAAGACTAACCGATTCACTGGAAGGTACTATAAATGTCTAGTGACAGGTGAACTCTAGCGAAACTCCGACCTGTCGTGGCCTTTGAGGCTTTCAGTCTGTCGGCACTTACTTCTTCTTCACACCCACGACATCTACGCTCGACACCATCTCCTGGTTCTACAAACTGGCACATAAGTAGACCGAAGGACTAGGGAAAGTTTGAACAGCATCAAACCGATCACCGCCGCAACATGTCAAAAGTTTCGGTGGTGAGTATCTCCCATCCTTGCTTTTCGGATTCACTCTCCTCGTCTTGCCTTGCCAGAAGAGACTCAGTCTGTTGAGCGCAGTCTGCTTTTGTCTCCATTTAAAGGCTAACCATATCGTCTGCAACAGGGCGACGTCTATGCGAAAGTCATAAGTGATGTCTGCGAGGCGTCGCGACAAGACTTCGAGGAAGGCGGTGTTGAGTTGGCGACTCTGGAATTGCTGAGATCGGTGAGTCCATCATCAGCCATTAACTGCACACGAAATTGTATTCCCATCCATCGTCAAAGTGATGCTCCATCGACGTCAACACTCGGTATGTCGTGCCAGAGAGATACACAGCAGAAGACAGGAAGATGAGGGATCAATTTGCGTGAACATGGGATTGCGGGTTTGTCGCAGGCAGGCGGCAGCGCGCTGGTGGGAGGGCGAGCGAGGGCAGCGGGTGAGGCGAGGCGGGGATCGGAAGGTTCTTGAAGGCGCCCCCTTCTTGACTCATAGGCCTCTTTTTATACGCCCTGGACGCCACCGCTGCGCACCACCTCAGCCCACCAAAGTCTCCTGCGCTAATCCCCTTTTGGCTTTTGCTACCTCGCCCCGTTTCTGTTTTAGCATGGCGTTTTGGTTGGTATAATTTTATATTGACAAATCTGGCTGCAGGAATGGCAGAAGAAGCTTTCTGGTCTCAAGATCGCACAGCTTCCGTGGGATCCTCCTCCAGTTCCTGCTGTTAAAGAACAAAGCACGGTTCCCAGCAACGCGAAACCAGCGCCTCAAACGCTCCCAAGCAATGGAACCGCTGTCGACACCCCTCCATCCCAACAGGCCACCCCTTCAGCGCCCCCCATCAAGATAGAAAATGGTGCTCCCTCATTTTCTTACCAGGAAGGCCCCCCTCGCCCTCAACCTTATCAGGCACCTTCCTTCCAGCAGGGTCAACCCTTGACAGCCCGCGATCGAGCGGCAATGAATCTCCACCAGAGTTTTGGTCAACGTGCTGGCCCACAGATCGCACAACTTCAGTCCGGCAATCCACCTCGTGTACCCATGCAACCATCCGCAGCGCCTTCGAGCAATTACATCAAGCAGGAAGACTCTAATTCTGCGTTCGCCGATGTCCAGGATTATACCACTGATATCAAACCTCAGCCCCAAGCTGCTGTCAATGCAAGTCAGACTGATGGACCGTGCGATGCGCGTGACGACTGGGAAACTGAGTACACTCAGCGGAAAGCATTCATCGCTGCTCACGGTGCTGAAGCTGATCATCTGATGCGCGCTCACTTCCAGGCGAGGCAACAGCAACTCGAAGGTGGCGGTCTTCTGGTGGCCCTCGATGAACGTACGATTCCAGGCAGAGCCATCGCTCGAGGCCTCGAGGCCACTGTTCAGTCGGGGGTCACACCTCATGGAAAGAGCATCAGCCGCGCACAAGGCGATGCAGCAGGCGATGATGATGATGTGGATGACGATGAGGATGCCATCAACTCCGATCTGGACGATCCTGACGATGTGGCCGCAAATGACGAGAATGGCGAGAATACCGATCAAGTCATGCTCTGTACCTACGATAAGGTTCAGCGGGTCAAGAATAAGTGGAAGTGCACTCTGAAGGACGGTATCTTGAGGGTTGAGGGCAATGAGTAAGTCATCTAATTCTCTTTGTTCTCGTCTTCTCAGGCTGGGGAGAAGTGGGATTGTAATGCGATACTGACATGATTGGCAAAAAGGTACGTTTTCCACAAGGGTCAAGGCGAATTCGAATGGTAAGGGGAGAACGGACGCGCTTGAACACTCCCTCGGTCAGCATACCATCGAGTCGAACGGAACCTAGCACAAGACGTGTTGCTGCTTCCAAAGCCTCTCAAGACGCAAACAAGTCCATTCTCGCTTCCGCAGTGGGAATGTGAATATCAAAAAGTGGCTCCGCGATCCAGCTCGGACATCAGAGCACCCACCTCAATCCGCCGGCGGTTCATGTCGGCTACATTCTGTTACTCTTCTGACGACGCACGGCGCTCTACAAGGGTTTGCAGCCTCTCCTTGGAATCGAAACCGGTTGGGGCGCGCGGGAAAGTGGGTCGAGTTCCGGCGAGATAGGCGAATGGAGTGATTGACACCGTTACCCTTTCGTGCCCCGGCTGCCCTTCGGAGGATGTGCTTTTCTGTGCTCTATCGAATTCCCTTTGTGAAAAATTATTACTCCTCCCCTTTTTTTGACTTGTTGGTCCGGACAATGCTCTCAATGCAAGAATATTTGGCTGAGGTGGCTGAGGAGGCTGACGCCGAATGAGCTTATTTGCACATATTATTACGAGAGATAGGCAGTGGCCACAGAATGTGTGGCCTGACAGAAGCAGCTGGCGTGATGATCTCTGAGATAGAGCTACAATATTAGTTTCTCTCAAGCACAGGGAGCTTTTCAAGTACTTGACCCAAAGAAAGTCTGAGTGGTTTTCTGCCGAGCATAACTGCGCTACAGTCAATGTAGACCGCCGTAGCGGGATGTATGGCGAAGCATGGAGATCCACAATGCAATTATGACGCGTGCCTCGAGCTGGCTGGTGGGCACTGGGCAGCCACTATTGCAGCTGTGGCAGCCTGCGGGCAGCTGACGACCACTTTCGGGTTACTGTGTGCTCGACTTGGTCGACAGTGGACACAGGTGACAAGGAAGGGTAGTGACGCAACAGATTGGCCCACACACTTCCATCGCTGGTCCCCTGCAGAATCTGGCCTTTATTTCTCGTCTGGTTTCGTCTTGAACTTCGTGTTCTCTCTGTGCTACAAGCACTGCCTCCCAATCTTTCGCGCTTTTTCGTCTCTGTCTCTGCACCCTCTGGTCTTTGACATTGTCCCCGCTATCCCCCTGATTCTCGTACCATTGCAGGCAGGAATCCCATCCGATTCAAGTCGCAAACATGACGCTCTACTACAGCCTGGTCCGTGAAGCCTCCCGGTGATGCTGTGCAGCAACTACCATGGGCCACCGAAGCTAACCAGCATTTTTAGGTGTTCGTGCTTCTGGTGGCGGAGATGGTCTTGTTTCTGGCCCTCATCGTCCCGATGCCGTTCACGGTCAAGCGAAAAATGTTCAACTTCATCTCTGAAAGTCCAATTGTGGCTAAGATACAATATGGGATGAAGGTATGTCACATCTTCAGTCAAGACGGCCTGAGCTCGACTAACACTCCGCAAGATCACCTTCATCTTCATCCTCATCCTATTCCTTGACAGTGTCAACAGAGTCTACCGAGTCCAGGTTGAGATGGCAGCTCTATCGAAGGACACTACTGGTGCAGGGTAAGCCACAAGATCATCTCTGGCTATTTTGATGGTCATGGCTGACGAAAACAGGCGTGCAGCAGCAATTGGTTCCGATCGTATGGAGGTTCAAGCCCGCAAGTTCTACTCTCAACGCAACATGTACCTGACCGGCTTCACCCTTTTCCTCTCCCTCATCCTCAACCGCACATACGGCATGATCCTTGATGTCCTTCGCCTGGAAGAAAAGGTCAAGATGTATGAAGGAGATAAGCGCGCCGGCGGCAAAGAGGGAGAGAAACTCAGCCATGAATACCGGGCCGACCAGATCGGCGAACTCAAGAAGCAGCTTGGGAAAAAGGACAAAGAACTGGAGGCCATGAAGAGCCAAGCACAGGGTCTGCAAAAGGAATATGACGAACTGAGCGTCAAATACAACCAATTGAACCCCAGTGGTGGCGACAAGAAGAGCAACTGAGTGTCCACCTACTCTGGACCCATCTGTCAAGATCAGCCTCAGCTCGAAGAGAGTCCGATGCCGGTACTTGGGACGCTACAGCGCTTGCGTGCGGATACAGATGTCAAAATTCAAATGGCGGTTGGAGACAGAGTAAAAACTGGAGGAAGGCGGTGAAGGAGAACGAACCGAGGACGTGGCATCTCGCTGAGCCTGACAGGTGACATGTTTGTGTTTGATGATTATCTGCTAAAGGCGATCATAGGAAAATAGATATTAGGTGTCTGGTGTCTACGCCGCCAGCACACACATTGGATGCTTTGGGTTTTGTTGGCTCAAGCAGGCTGCTGCCTCTCGGTCCAATTTTCTAGCTGCTTCTCAGAGCGAGTATCGGAGAAAGCGGTTGATGAGTATCTGCCGTGCGGAGTGGCCCAGCCTCAAAACGACCTTGACCTAGTTCACTTGCATACTGAATGACAGGGTGGCTGAACCGAGAATGAGGAGATCAGAGTCTAAGAATGTGGGGAAGCCAATGATGTCTAGCCATTGACCGCTCCATCCCCAGTTTTATTTCGCATCATCTGTTTTGATATACGGCTCGACGGCTAATATCAACTGCACCTCGGGGTCAAAATCCACAATGGCATTTCCAACTCGATGCCGGTCACTGTCCGATGGTCACGGCGTTAGCGGTACCTTGTGCGACCAGACGGCACTGACTCTACCCTGAGAATAAAAGTACCGCCTTGTCCTCGACAAGGGATGTTTGACTCTTTTAACCTCCCTGAAGTCCATATACACGCTCTGTTAGGGAGTCCCAAGGTAAAATGCATCTCATATTCCTCATTGCCACCTCCCTATTAGCAAGTTGCTCTGCCCATTCTCAGTATAACCCACAGCCATATCCACCTGTGCTCCGGTCCCGTCAAGCTTCTTTTGGAAACAGCTCTTCGCTACAAGTTGACCTTGGCTACGAGGTGTACCAGGGCTATACTAACTCAACTACGGGGTTGAACCTGTGGAAAGGGTACACTTGATCTGCTCTGCTTCCCAAGGACCCTATAGCTGATTACAAGTCAGTATCCGGTTCGCGGCTCCTCCAACTGGCTCCAACAGATGGCAAGCTCCTCAAGCTCCTCAAACAAACCGTGTTTCTGTAATCCAAGCGACCCAGTTTGGTCCAATATGTCCGCAAAACCAGGATACAACAAACACCCTGGTGCCTCTTAACAGTACAGGGTCGAGTGAGGATTGTTTGTTTCTCAATGTATATGCTCCGCCAAATCCTTCCAGTCCGCTCCCCGTGCTGTTCTATATTCATGGCGGAGGCTATGGAAGAGGAAACGGTCAGCAGGACCTGTCAGCTATCATCAACGCTAATAACAACTCCTTCGTTGGTGTGACCATCCAGTACAGGGTAGCTCTCTCAAACCATTTCTCCGAGTCAATGCTGACCCATCTCAGCTTGGTGCCTTTGGGTTTCTGGCCGGAGATGAAATTTTCCGGAATGGGGTGGTCAACGCAGGCTTGCTAGACCAACATTTCGCGTTGCAGTGGACGCAGAGATACATCTCTCTGTTTGGGGGGGATCCCAACCACGTAACGATAGCAGGGCAATCGGCAGGTATGTTCCCCCACACCCTCTGCTTTGTTATTTTTGTATCAAGAAGAGGATATTGTTAGGTTGTCATAATTGTGGTACATGCTAACGGGTTTCCGCAGGCGCCGGGTCCGTCATGGTAAGTTACTCGTTCAGATACGGAAGGCACCCACTGTGCTTCAGTCGAAGAGATCACCCTTGATCTAAAGAGATCTGTCCGAGCTGACACCAGATTTCTAGCTGCATGACATGGCGTTTGGTGGCTCGCTTGGCCAGTCGCTTTTCAGAAATGTAAGACACATGGTCCAGGTTGCGCTGTGCAGGACCTGACAGAGCTAGACGATCGCCTCATCGCCATATCTACCTATGCAGTACGGATATAAGGACTGGCAGCCTTCGCAGGCATATTACGTCTTTGCCTCAATGGTCGGTTGCGCACCGACCTTGCCCTATGGTGCACACCCAAACACAATCTTTGACTGTCTTGTCAGTCAAGATTCGACCACACTACAAAACGCAAGCGCCACCCTGTCCGAGTCTGGGAAATATGGGACTTGGGCTTTCTTGCCGGTAACGGACGGCATCTTTGTCCAAGATCTTCCCAGTCGCCAGCTTTTGCGGAAAGAGCTTAATGGGCTAAATTTGCTGGTGAGCAATAACGCTCTTGAGGGACCAGCATATACCCAGCCCAATATTACGACCGAAGACGACCTAGTGGCGTGGTTACAGCTGACGTTTCCGCTGTTCACAAACGATGACATTGCAAAAGTTCTTCTCTATTATCCAAGTTCGAATGACTCGACAGACCCCGATGCCCCACTGTATGCTTCTTCTGGTTCTGGGCTACCGAGTTTCATCAACCAGAGCAGCGTTGCCACAGGACAGCAGCAAAGAGCCTTTGTAAGTGCGAAAAGTGGAATTTCAACATTCTGGCAGCTGCTGACATGTCGCATGATCTCAGGCTATATATTCGGAAACGACCTTTGTTTGCCCTTCGTACTGGATGGCAGAGGCATACAGTGATCACGGACGCAATTCATTCAAATATCAATATTCCGTACCTATTGCCGTTCATGGAAGCGATCTGACGGCATACTTTGGGCCGCCAACACCGAATCAAAGCCCGGACTTTGTCAACGCAGCCATGAAGATTTGGGGCGCTTTCATCACGTCGGACAACCCATCTATCCCCAGTGCTATTGCCAACGGACTTTCGTCCAACAGCACCCTAAGCAATCCGGCTTCTGATTGGCCTCCGTTCAAGATGTACTCGCCGTATCAGATCAACCTCAACATCACTGGGGGCACACCGTTCGCATTCAATTTGTCTTACATCCAAGCTAACTTGACGGAATACGGGGAACCGGGCCTGGTGAACAACTTCACCTTGGTCAATGCGTATACATGGGAAGCTGGGAGAGGATATCGCTGTGACATGTGGAGGAGCCTAGGGTCGATCGTGCCCGAGTGAGAAACTGATCGCTGTGAAAGATCTCGCAGAGAAGGGGAAAGGTCGTACAGCACATAGGTACAGTAGTGCAAGCGGGGAGAAGCCGTAGTTGCTTTTGTGCATCCAGGCAGCATTCAAGTTCTGCTCGCTTCGTTCACCCTTTGCTAGCCGTTCGTTGATGCGCCGGCCGATCGCCATACTGGTCAGTAATCACACCACAGATCTTCGAGCCGGACAGGCCTGGCCAGACATGGATTTTGGGGAAATACCGTGCCAGTGATAGCAGTGAGTCGAAAAGTCATGACGTCGAAAGCAGCAGCTTTGCAATGCCTCGGTGTTGATTTGACGGGGCGCCTCATGCACGTGCTTGCAGGCTCGTCAAGGTGTGGCTGTTGGAGGTCTTGGCTTTCTTCTTGCACTTACTGCCACTACTGCATGCCGAGATGCTTCCTTCGATCCAAAACCTTCCTCATCCTGCGCCCTACCGCTTCCGGCCCTTGTTCAACGCACAGCCCATCTGTCCATCAGTCTTGTCATCGTCCAACATGCTTCTGTTCGACCTGGCTACGATGAGATAGGCAGCTACAACATGGACCTAGAGCAAATCCGGGCGTAGCCGACCCGAGCTTTGCCTTGAATACATCGGCAGCCTTGCCATCAATTGGCCCATTTCTTCTCCCAGTATGCCGCGGGAGGCTGTCCCTGGAGCTTGGTCGCTTGGTATTTCTTGACAAATAGCATCTGTGAGGGCCATCACGGTTAGAGCAATTGTGGGATGCCAGGGTAGATGATACCTTGCGTCAGTTGGAATTGGAGATGACAGAGCTTGCAAGCCCGGAGCTCCTTCAAAAAGAGCTTGCTATCCCCTCAGATGAGACAGAGCGGGAGAAAAGGTGAGCGCCCATCTTCATTCTCTCCCAAGAGCTCGTCCATAAGCTCTTCTTCAAAATGTTGCAGTTACTTGTGTTGGCCACATTGGTCGGTGCTACATTTGCTAGCTACGGTGCCAATCTCAACTACCGTTCTCCCTCCCTCCACCACCCTGCTCTAGGTATCTCGGTACGGAAGGTGGTCAAGCGACATGTTGAGAGACAGTCTACACCAGCTTCGTCGCTGAATTTCACTCATGGAGTTGCCTCCGGTGACCCATTCCCGAACAGTGTGATCTTGTGGACCCGTTGTGCTCCCACCTCAGACGATGTGACTAGCAATAGCTCCACCAGCGGTTTCGTGCCACTCTACAATCCTGTCCCCATCTACAATGATACTGACGAGGGGAAGCCGCCGTCGACTTCTCCTGTTTGCCTGACCTGGAAGATTGCCAGCGACTCGGCGTTGTCGTCTGTGGTCGACCAAGGAACTGTATACACGAGCTCAGACGTTGACTACACGGTCAAAGTCGAGGCCACGAAGCTGCAGCCTTTCACACAATACTGGTACCAGTTCACTGTCTGCAACAGCAGCGTGTCTAGCTTGGTCGGCAGAACCAAGACTACTCCCGCAGCCACTGACGACGTCTCCGGAGTCAACCTAGCGGTCTACTCTTGCAGCAATTACCCGTTCGGGTTCTTCAACGCGTTTGGTAACCCGGTACGCAAAGATTCCGTCGACTATGTTATCCATCTTGGCGACTATATTTACGAGTATGCCAACGGTGAATACGGCTGGGGTCAGACTATCGGCCGTGTCCCCTTGCCGGATAGAGAGATCTATACTCTTTACGATTACCGCAAGCGGTGAGTGATTTGCGGGCCTTATATGCTCCAACGATGTCTGTGATCCAATATCAAGCGACCATACTGACTCGACTCACGTTTACAGTCATGCCACCTACAAGACCGATCTGGATCTGATTGCTAGTCACCAAAACTTCCCCTGGATCGCCGTCTGGGATGATCATGAGGTTGCCGATAATACCTACCGGGATGGCTCTTCGGAGCTCAACAACACCGAAGCGTCTTTTGTTACAGATGGTGGTGTCTCTGTGGATCAGAGGAAGATGAACGCTGTCAGAGCATACTTTGAATGGATGCCCATCAGACAAGTCGAGATGGGTGATGATGTAAGACAACTCGTTCTGGAGAAGTTCGTTCTGACCCCCGATCTAGCTTCGAATCTGGCGATCGTTCTCTATTGGCAACCTCATTGACCTCGTCATGCTCGATACACGCCAGTATGACCGCTCTATAACCGACCTGTACTGGAACACACACTACGTCCACGAAATCTCGAACGATGCTGGTCGCTCCATGATGGGCTCCCGTCAGGAAAATTGGTTCTATCAGACCCTGATCGACTCGAAGAACCGTGGTGCTACATGGCGTGTGATTGGGTCTCAGACGGTCTTCAGCCGCATCAACGAAAGTGTTGCTTATGGCAATGTCGATCCCCTCGATTACGATGCGTGGGATGGATACCAGGCCAACCGCAACCGCACCTTCCAAGCGTTGTACAACAATAACATTACCAACAACATCATGCTCTCAGGAGACAGCCACGCAAACTGGGTTTCTGACCTGGTATGGTTGGACGAGCATCCATATGACCCCACGACTGGGGAAGGGGCTATCGGAGTTGAGTTCGGCGGCACGGCCGTATCGTCCCCGTCGCCATACGGCGCAAACATCTCCCTCGCACTTAGCCTTCAAGCCAGCCAGTTCCTCGTAGGTGCCAACCGCGAGTTGCAATGGCAAGAGATTTACTACCGAGGGTATTACGAGTTGCACGTCACCCAACAGCAAGTCAACGTGTACTACTTTGGAATGCCGACGGTGGTCAACCGCAACCCGAACGAAATCTCGCTGGCAAACTTCACGGTCATCAACGGTGAGAACAAGCTCCATCGCTTTAACGGCTCTGTTGTGGCCAGTCCTGTGGAGAACGGCTACGTCAAGTTCGGCCAGACCAAGCAGACCAATATCACCAATGCGACGGACACAGGGGCGTACTTCATCAGTCACGCTGGACTGGAAGTGCTTTGAGCGATGCGAAGGTGTAATCAGCGATGGCATGTCCACTGGCAAAGGGGTCCAGAGGGGGAGGTGTGACACTATACAAAATACAGAAATAATATAACACCTCGGCGGCCTAATCCATACCGTCGTTCAACTACCAAAATACTGTGCTATAGCTACATATGCATGAGAGGACACAAGTGACCCTATTCAAAGTCCGCGTCCTAGCCAGTTGCCGGGAAATGAACTCTTCAAACTGCCGCTCGCACTGCCGTGGGTAAGTGTCTTCGGAATCAGACAGGCCGCGAGGCTGAATCTGAAGATCTAGTCTGAATTCAATCCTTGTGAGATGGGTTCGTCCCCAATGCCTACTACTGCCTTTCACCACAATCCTGGGCGGGGTTGGGAGCGTGTAAAAGGTAAAAAACTTGAGACAGCCTCGCGAGGCTGATTGATGGGCCTGACAGTGTGGCTTGCGCACGTCACCGACTCTCGCGTCCTGCCCAATCAGAACATACAGGGCTTGGGCTGTTTGCTATCACCTATCTAGCTCGCTAGGTACCTTATCCACCCACAGCACGGAGAATAATAGTATATGGAGAATTAAGCACCGCCACAGAATTCCAGATTTCCACCTCTTGTCATAACCTCAATCCTCCCCCGTCCTCTGACCACACCCCCGCCAAGGAAAGAGGTGTGTGCCTCTCTTTTTGAATCCGTGATTCTGGACACCAAGGATTCTGCCCTACGCTGTTGCTCCGCTGGGCTCGGCTCGGCTATGCTGCGTTTTTGGAAAGGGCAGATCTTGCAAGAAACTTGTCGCCGGAGCACAAGAGCCGGGGGTTGGTCGAGTCGAGTAATGTGACTTGAATAAGAACGAAAAAAGCGGGATCACCCAAGCCCACCACTGCCATCGAGTTTTGCGCGAACCGAGAATCTCTCGCGAACGAGCGAACGGGGAAACACACGCGCGCAGAGCCAGACATAATAGAGCGGGAGAGGCGAAAGGGCGAGGGATTCTGGCCCTTTGTTGATCTTGCCCCTCCCCTTTTCTTTTCTTCCCTTGCTTTGCCCTGCCTCTGGGCTCACTTTGGGATTCAACTGATTTACTGAAGATATCAGTTCAGTCACACTGGGTGACAAAAGAGCCCTTCACTCCCCTCCCAAAAAGGACTATTTCTGACAAGGGGATATTTTCTCTTTTTTTGTCTCTTCTTTCGTTTTCAAATTTCAAATTTTTTTTCTTTAGTTTCTCTTGAAACGCCTCTCTTTCTCGGAAAGAATACAGGCTACCAAAGGGGATAGCGAAAAAGGGGGGAAAGAAAAGCAAGAACGAAACAAAGGGAAAAATTCAGGATTTGTCGGGTCTAAACGTCCATCCATTTACTCTCAACCGCTCACCGGGCCGACCGCACGACCATCGCTGCACCTAGCGACGAGGTGTGCTTTCTAGCTATCTCAGCACGGGAGGAGCCATTGGACATCAAAACTCAGAGAAACAGAGCAACTCACATCACACTCTTTTCCCGAACATGCCCTCCCCACCGGACCTCCTCGCCTCCTCGGTCCCCCGCGTCGGAGTCGCCGTGTTCATCCTGCACGCCGACCCATCCAACTCCCGATCCATATCCACGACTTCGCAACAACCCAAATATAAATTCCTGCTCGGCAAACGCCTAGGCTCGCACGGCGCGGGAACCTGGGCCCTACCGGGCGGCCACCTGGAATTCGGCGAGTCGTTTGAAGAGTGCGCGGCGCGCGAGGTGTGCGAGGAGACGGGTCTCGACGTTGCGGAAATTGAATTTTTGACCGCGACGAATGATGTCATGCCGTTTGAATCCTCACCTCTTACAGAGACGACGGGAGCGAAGGATGGGAAGGTTGTCAAGGGGAAGCACTACGTGACCATCTTCATGACGGCGCGGGTCCAGAACGACGACGACACCCGGTCAGGGATGCCGGAAGCGAAACTGCTCGAGCCGGACAAATGCGCTGGATGGGAGTGGGTGTCGTGGGACGAGCTGGTTCGATGGGCCGGGCCACAACTTAAACAGCTTGGCTGGGAAGTGGAAGGGGCCGGAGAAGGGGATGGTGACGGATCGACCGACCGTGAAAGGGATGCTCGCACGTTGTTCTCGCCCATGATCGCGCTTCTGGTCCAGCGGCCTGGAGTGATTCCCGGTCAGCAATGAGGGGCTAGGGCTAGTGACGGTTTTCTACCTGGATGCATAAAAAGCTCCGTCTTATACAAAGTTTGAAGAGCCTGCTTTCGCCTACGCTCGAGCCTCCGAAAAGATCGAAGATAGGTTTCAACAAGTTCGGAACTCCCTGCTGCTGCTGCTGCCAGAGCGACACAACGAAAGAATGACTGCAAAAGAAAAACCTGCGTAATGCACGCGGAGCACATCCATGACGGACATGAAGTGGTAAAGCGGAGAGTGGATGGAAGATATTTACCGCATGTCTTCCCAACAACTAGTTGAAAATAGCCTACAAAGGTTGCATGCCTTCGACTGCCTCAACTCCGTCATGGCTTCTTCTCAATGCTTCTGTGTTCCCCTTTGAGGAAGGCAAGACACTCCCAAATCATCCAGCTGCGCCCAACTCCTCCCACATAAGGGGCTTCAACCATGCAAGAGGAATATCCCAATGCGAAAATCCCGAGCGTTTAGATGCAATGAAAAGTGGTGTAAATCTGCATTTCCTCGACCAATATCTTATCCGTCACTCATTCCTCGTCGCGTCTTTTTGTCTTTCCCTGAGCATTGGCCGTCACTTCGTCAATTAAGTCATGTTGATGTTGACATTTGGCCTCAAGACTGGAGACTCCCTCTGGGATGCAATTGATCTCCCTCTCAATCCATTAAATAAATTCATTATAGCGTTGTTCCTGTCATTGATCGCTAGACATGCATCCCAAAATCTTACCGAAGAAAAGTGCTGAGCAAGATTGCTGGTATAACAACGGCAAAGTAGTAAACCTGTGATTGGTAGATTCAATGACCTTGTGGACTGTGTATGATGACCGCCGCGATCAGCTAAGTAGCCAAGGCTTGCGGTGCTGATACTGTGCTAGCCCTCTGCTGGCTCGTCGACCGAAGGGTTGTTGAGATATCCTCTGATGCCCTCGGGTCATCGCAGCATTCTAGAAGGACCTGATGGAGCTTCAATCTTAGGTTCCAAGGTCCAAGGTAGACCGTTGCCAAGGTGAGATGGTGTCTGTTCGGCGGCAGGTCTTATTGCACGTGGTGACGGCTGCTGAAAATTCTTGTTGCTGGGGGATGCATTGGGTCTCGGAGGACCAGGCTCGGCCTTTGAACCGGCATCTGCTCTACCATGAGGAAGTCCAGCATCTGAACCATATTTAGGTGAAGAGACCTTTGCTGGCGAGGAAGCCGCTGTATTGGCAGAAGTGGGCGTAGCAGGCTGGCTGGTGGATTTGTTGGTGGGTTTTGTAGATTTGACAGAGAAGAAGGGCTCATCCCTCCTTCTTATATACTCCCGTGCCGAAGGAGAATTATGATACAGGATCGGCTCAGGTACTCGAAAAGAGTTGGATTCAGCCGCCTCGGCGAAGGCGCGCTGATATGCGATCTCACCGTAGGGGTCTTCTACGGGAGCACTCCTGTTGGCATAAGCCACATCCGGTCGATAGCCTCGTGCAACCCATGGGTGGTTGGGATCTCTCGGTGAAATATCGCGAAGGTGGTCTGCGCGCCTTTTGGTCATCGCTTGACGTGGTTTCTCTTTCCCCGTCTCCTCGAAAAGAGAGATGACGATGACGACGAGTGCTGACGATCACAAGGAGGAATGACTTAACCTGGAGATCGGGTGAGGGTGGGTAAGGCTTGGGTGAGATGGGTCAGGAGAAGGCTGGGGGGGAGACAGCCGTGAGAAGGATGAACGATGGTTCACGGACGAAGCATCTGAGAAAGAGACTTTCTGCTCTCCCTGATTGAAGGAGGGGAAGCTGAGGGTTGGAAACGTGGACGATCCCGTGGGTTTAACAAAAGGTCTTTCACCGAGTTTGAAGTTGGGTAAAACCTTAACTGGAACATGGGGGATCCGGGGGAAGGATCACCGCCCAATTGGCTACCAAGCTACCGTCTAGGCGAGGCTGCTGCAGACGGGTGCAGGTGCAGGGTGGATTGCAAGGGTGGGCATGCAGCTTTGGGACCTTGGGACCTTGGGACCTTGGGTGCAGAATCTGCAGGTAGGTTTCCCAGGTGGTACGGGAAGGATACTTGCTGGGCGCTAGCCGGATAGGCACTGCAGGTGGACCAGAGTGGACAGCAGGTTGACCGTGGGCATGCAACCATGGAGAATTTCCAGCCTAGCAGTACCCGGCAGCCCGTATTCAAGGGAGGCCAGCGAGGCCAGCGCGAGCACCCAAGCAATGCAAGCACCGCCGGGAAGCTCCTGCCACCCAGCCTGCCACCCACCCAACAACCACCTGATGGGCCTGGCGAGACCATTGACAAGCCAGCGCGGAGCCCGGCCGTGAAGCCGCCCACCAACTGAAGCCCAAGCAAAAAATAACCACGGCTGCACAGATCACGGCTCGCGGAATCTTCACTCCTTCTCTGTGACTTCCCCCCCCCTTCGGTGCCCCCCATCCTCTCCACTCTGACAATATCTCTTTTGCCCCCTCCAAAGTTGTTCTTGGATCGCTGCATGATGCCCTAATGGAATGCACATCATCCTCCGGGGACACAAGAAGAAACATTTCTTCCGGTGTCTTGCATTCATCCTTGCACCCCCCACTTGGCTTTGCTGAAGAATGGAGTTGCAATTTCATCATGAGCTCCACCACCAAGCCCACCCCAAGGTCCCAAAACATACCTTTGCGGGCATCACCAGCGTTACTATTATTCACCGAAAGGATATACTCGGTATTGGCTCGGATCAACTTGCCCATCAGACCGATGGTGTCCGACATCGTCAATGATCGTCGAACCTATACCTCGTGTTGATAAAAATCTTTTACCTACTCGCGCGGCTGATTGCTATGAGGCTATGAACCAACGATGCTGGGCGCTTTGAAGCACATGCCAGAAACTCGGCATGACTTCGCTCATCTCGTATTTGACCGGAACGCATTACTCGACCGCCATGGCCCTCGTGCCCGCCTAACTGCCGTGTCTAGCCCAGCCAGTTGGCGCTGCAGGAAGTCGGGCAGACAACCAGGTATCCTCGACTTATACCGACATATTGGGACCAATTGACATGCCCGTCGGGCCCCTTTTCCTGCTGGCTCTGGATAAGTCGGCGCTGTGTTGGGTTCTCTTGGGCTTACCCAGTTTGGAGTCCTGCTCAACCAACCCGATACGGCGGCTGTCGCCGTCCAAGACTACGACTCAACTCGACACACACGAAGGGGCCTTGGTGGCGAGAGAGATCAAACTTAATCAAGGCGCCCCATGGTTGGTTGAGAGGTTCAATGGAGCACGGTCCCCCAAGCAGGTGTCGCGGTCTGACGTCGAGGCCGCCGAGTGCCGGAGACCACAGAGTTGGGCGCTTCCGGGCGTGCTATGTAGGTAATAATACCTCACATTGCTCAGAAGCTGCTCAGGTTGTCGCACTCAAAGTGAGGATGCGGGAGTTCAAGACGCTCCTCTTCAGAACTTGTGTAGGGAGGCTGCCTGGACATTCTGTATGGGGTCCAGGCTTCAGGTAGGCAACCACCCAACACGCCTCTGGCCATGCCTATGGCCATGCCTGTGGCCATGCCGCGGTTTACTTGCAGCGGCAGGTGGAGGGGCAGGCCACGTCTGACAGCAGTGCATTTTCCGAGTGGCCATCCTTTGTTTAAAATACTGCGCCTGTGATTGGGTTATCGGGCATCCTTATCAGCTTGAGGCTTCTTAGTGCCCCGAGCCCTTCGCCCAGCCAATGCCAGGCCATGGCTATCACTGCGACCTGCAACCTGACATGGGTACCCATACCATGACGGACCATCAGGGTTTCTGGTCTCGCGACCAGACTCTTTTCACGTAGCCTTCCGCGGGCAAAATGCTTCTTGCCCTTTGCTCACATACTAATGCACTACTTCTTTGATGCTTCCCCCAGATACTCCCTCACCGTGGTGCTGCTTGACACCTGATAGAACTTCGTGCTTTCTAGACAAAGAACGGTCTGGCGCAACTCTTCCTTACTAGATCCCGCGGCGCCTTATCCCTTCCATTTTATCTGTTATCGTCCCCTCCGTACGACCATCCCACCCTTCAGCGACCATCTACTCTCTCTTGTCAACCACCACTCACCTCCACCCCACCTCCCACGTTTTCGACAGCCTCAATTCAAAAGGCCCATCTGGTTGCCTTGCGATCTATCAGATCACGTATTACCTATCAGAGGCCTCTGCCTGCGCCTCTGAGATCACCCTCGGTACCGAAATCGTGGTACCACTGTTCCGCGAGCTACTTCGCGCCTTGTCATCAGCCGCGTGCCAATTCTGTGGTCGATACCGACATTAAGCGCATTCACGAATCCTCCGCACCAAGTCTGTGGCGCAGAGACATCCCTGGGACTATTGTGCAAGCGTTCCACCCGCTTCAAATACTTAATCGACCTTGGGGAAAGCGTTTCCGTCGCTTGTCTCTTCTGCTCTGCTGCCCAAGAAACAAACGCCAATCTTCTCGTGTTAAACCGTTAATACTCTGATTTCGGTCTGAGCACAAGTCTCGCAATGACCACCAACACCACGACTCAGCCATACGCGATCCCAGACTACATGAGCCAACAGCCTTCCCCAGCCAGTTCAACCTCGCCCACATCCCCTCGCATGCACGACTACCTCCAACAGCATGCGCCCAACCCGTATAAGCAGCTCCGGCCGCTCAAGTCTCCTCTCTACGTTCCTGCTGTCCTGCGGCCAACCGAACATTTCTGCACACCTTCTCCCATGACTCCACCAAAAAGTCTGCATGGATCATTGGACAATCTACAAGAAGACGAGGGTCGGACAGCAAGTCCAGACCATCAAGACGAGTTGGGCCTGGATGCCTTTGACCCTGATTGGGCTCAAGAGGAGGAATTGGGTGAAGTCACAGGCCCACCAACCAGAGAACATTGGAAGGTATGTCAAGAATAAACTGTCATTCAGTCGATTTGCCGATAGCCACCCTCGATTCTCGGCACAACTGCATCAGCATACCGCGTGCATTGAGACATACTGATGGATGCTAACATGTATATTCTACTCCAGCCCGACGAAGCTTCACCGACTTGTGACTCGCCACAGTGTCGATCTTCTTTCAGTCTGTTTGTTCGGAAACACCACTGTCGCCACTGCGGCCATATCTTCTGCTCCTCACACACCCCCTACACTATTCCCCTTGACCAATATGCCCAATTCCATCCCGATGGCATCCTCTCAAGAGCATGCGAAGTCTGCCATCGTCAGTATCAACGCTGGGACACGGCCCGGTCAATCCGCCGCAAAAACAGCCAGAACAGCAAGGATGATGGCAGCAACGAGAGCGGCCCTCCCACGCCTCTCGCGGGACCGACGGGCCACCGAAGGATGATTTCCAACGGCATTCGCACGGGCAAACCGGTCGAGGACGTCGCTAACAGCGTACCCAAAGATTGGGCGTGGAGCACTTTCTGAGCGAATTTCCCTTCCCACGCATTATTGGGAACTCCGGCGGAGTACTCCACCGATTCCAGGCACGTGAGTCGGGGTCTACCGCGCCCCTCCCGGGAGCGTTACCTTTGCAGGGAACACAGCCCGCGAGGCTGGACCCTCGGCAACCTTCGTCACATCCTGGCGGCACCCAGACGGAGGCGCCGTTGCCGTTCACTCAGCTCCGGGAGTCAAAACTAATTGTGGCATCCTCGATCGGTTATCTGCGGGTGTACCTAATCCGTTCTTGATCTCCGCGCTGCGCTGCCTGTCAGGCTGAGGGAACGCCTCTCCAGAAGGCTGTGATGCCCTCCCAGTCACGAGGGTGAGTCTTCGTATGTGTCAGATCTGAGTAGGTCCGTCATATGATCGGAAAAAAGTCCTTGCGCTCGTCGACTACCGGGCGAAGTGACAGACCAACGAGACCTGGACCCGGCGATTGCACCATTGTTCCTCCGCCGAAGCGTTGCGGTGTGGTTACACCACGCTAGAACCAAGGGAGTCCGGTACAGGACACGGGATATACCCCGGACCAGACGGGGAACCGTCTGACATGTGGTTTTGTTCGTCGAGTTAGTCATGTGTGACAGGTATACACATCAGCACATGCAAGGAAGCAAGGATGCAAGGAGGGGGGGAAAGATATATGATTTCCATTTTGGGGGAATTCCACCCATTCTGGCGGGTCGAGGTGGTTTTAATTATAAGCGAGCCCAGTTTCTTGACGATTACGATACCCAATCGGCACTTGATGCTTCCTTTGAAGATTGTCTATTCATTTTTAGATTATTTGGGGATTATTTTGATACAGGGTTTGCTTGGGCTGTAAATTGGGTGGTTGTCTGAGGGTCCTTTTTTTTTCTTGATGCGACGAGATTGTCGTCTCTTCTGTTGCGGGATTTTAGATATACGGGCCACGTTAGTAGTACTAACTATGGTTTTCCTCTACACATGAGTATAATGAGTCTGCTTCTGATCTCTCTCTGTCTCTCAGAGATAATCCCAAATGTAGTAACTGTGTGCACTGTACATAGCTTCATCCATCTTCGAATTCACCTGGCGGGTGGGTGGTGGTTAAACGCTCATGAAGTTTTTTGGCTCAGAGTATTTGATATCCATCCGCTTGACATCTCTTCTCGTTGATGGAGCCCCGTTCTTTGAATCATTATATGGACGAGGTACCAGAGCGATTTTCCTGCTGGGCGCGCAGCACGCCTGATGTGTGCACCCCTAGTTCTTTTGATAGGGTCGTCATCTGCTGTAATCGTTGTTGTCGAGGCCGAGGGTCGGGCTTCGAAGGGTTTGTTCTTCAGCACAGATTTGGGACATTGTAATGGGATATGCCCTGGTTACATATGTCGAACGGCCCAGGCAGTGGGATAGGGCATATATAACTCTTCCCAACATCTAGGATTTGGACTACCTTTTGTTGTGCGTGCAGGAAGGCAAGGAAACTTATCGGCAGACATTATCATCCATCGTTCATCCCATCAACTGGCCCAAATCTTCCGGCGGCCACCTCGTCTGGGCGAAACTGATGCACCGCTTGATGCTCTGCAGGAACTTGCGCGTGACCTCGTCGCTCATGATATGCGCCTGTTTCCCGCTCGAGCTCTCATGCAGTTTCTCCCGCGCAGATCGTTCGTGGATGCCCACCATAGTCACACCGATTGGCCAGGCGGCTTTGCCGATTGACAAGGTGAGGTACTCGTCGTTTGCCTCGACGTACCGTCTCTTCTGAGCAGAGCGCACAATCTTACAGATCGGTTCCAGCAAGTCCGAGTCGAGGGATTGTTTCTCGAAGTGCCGGAACAGAGGAGTGAGGTCCTTCAACACGACGAGGTAGTTGTTGTAGGCGGCTTTGCCGCTGGAGGATTGCTTGACCGACTCGTCTCGCTCAGCGAGCGCGTGTGACCACTCGGTGAGTAGGAGGGTGAAGTAGGACGCAAGCTGGCGGTGGAGGAATGTGTATTCTTCTGTTCCTGCTTGAAGTGGGAGGGTTGAAGGGAGGAGCATGTCCTTTTCCTCGACGGGTTCTAGTGTGGTCGGGATAGGTCCATTGCTCAGCTTCTGTGAAGAAGCCGTCAGGGCTTTCCGGGTGACGGAGTAATAGCGCTTCAGTCGCGCAGAGTAGTCTTCATCGAAGAGAGTAGCCGGTTCACTGATTTGGCGGAGTTTCTTTCGCAACTCATCATCGGGGATATCGTCTCCAATTTCACCTGTGCCTGCTTCACTTTTCTCCGTCTTGCCGTCCTCGAGGACGAGCTGTTCTGGTACTTCGGGCAGTCCGAGGCGTTTTCTCCGTCTCCTTTCTTCTTCCTTCTCCTCCTCTTCTCTCCTCCGCCGTGACTCCTCCGCCAGTCTCCGCAGCTTTGCCTCCCTGCGCGCATCCCGCTCGGCCTCCTCCTCCTCGAGTTTCCGTTTCTTCGCGAGACGTTCTTCCCGTTCGGCTGAGAGTCTGGCCTGTTCGGCGAGGTACTCGGCTTGTCGCGAGGCTTCGAGGTCGGCGCGGCGGACGTATTTATTTGCCGCTGCTGTGGAAGCGGGTGAGTCGGGGGTTGGGGAGGGCGAGGAAGGAGACTTTGACAGCGGTGGCTTGGATTTGGCGATCTGAGCCGACATCAGGGATTTGAAGTCCATATCGAGCACTTTCAGAGGGGATGGGGAGGCACAGGTGATTCGTGAGAACAACTCTCAAGTGATGAAACAGGCAGATGAAATGAGGCACGCGGTACAGAGTGCTGGTTTTTGGAGAGTTTAGATGTTTCCCCACACTTTCAAGGTTTGGGAGCCTCAGCGCAGGAGAAAGTTTCACCGACAATGAGAAATTCCACAACACTTTCTATTTTTCTGAATACATATCACACTGAACAGTCCATGCCTTCAAGTAACATTAAGTCCTAAGTTGCGCCATCCCTACTTCAGATCCATCCCAAGCCTAAATTTGACTACTTTAAGAGCACCGAGCGACCTCGGACCTCTTCTTGACAGATTGCATGGTTGAGGGAGGTATCGAGGCCCTATGCCACCAGTCCGTATGCTCGATGTGTTCCGAGCCAAGCCCGAAGAAAGCGCCAACTTCAATATGCCTCGCTGTTCTAAGGTATTGGAGCGCTATCTCGTACATTCACCACGTTGGGTGGCGTAACATCTGTGTTGAGGGCGAGGTAGGTAATGGAAGTGATGTTGGGTGATGAAGGACTGCTGCGGCAGGTCGAGCAATGGATGGAGCTTGTCCTCTCCATTGAGCTGCTGTTGGTGGTTGACGCCTTAGCTCCTGCCTTCAACCTGAGAAAAAGTGCGTTCTTACCTTCAACGGGCTGTCCAGCGACAGAGCTAGGGCGTTCATATATCGGAAGCTGAACGTGCTCCCCTCTCTGCTGGTACGCTTTGAAAGCCGCAAATACCAGTGGCGGAAGGGCGACGATGACCGCGACAATGCCGACAACAGTATCGGCAGAAACATACATTACAGATGAAGCAGTGAAGGGCAGTTTTGTTCAAGCTGAGGCCCATGGAAGCAAGTGATGGGTTCTCAGTCTCTCAAGGGATCCTGCCTGTATTTATGGCCAATTTGCTGTCCCTTTTCTTGTCTCTATCCGGGCGGGCGTCGCCCACAAGATCTACATCTGCTGCTTGCCAACTCCATCTTGAGGAACAAAACATTGGCTGATACCGGAAGTCTGACCTTCGCCAGCGCCACACTTAGCAGAAACTCGAACAACAAAGGTCTACACCAGGTTCCGATGATCTTGGGGGTTGATTTCGCAGCTGCCGACGTGCTAGCGATTGGTGAGAGACAAAAAGTTCACTTAAGGCGCAGAGCACGCGTGTAGAAGGCTGGACTAGCGCTTTGCGGACTGCGTCGGCCCATAAATTGTATCTGCAAGAAAATGTTGTGATTGGGAAATGCCGAAGGTACACGGCTGGCATCCTCCATGTATTCAGGCGGAGTGATTGACGCTGCGTACTTTCGGTCTCTGGCCAGTCAGTTGAAGGGCTCCTGCGCCCCCAGTCAAACCAGGCCTGGCGAGTTTGGGGTCGGCCATGCATGCTATGCTCCCATGGCCACCACCTGCTCCACCGAACTTTCATCATGGGCCAATCGAATCTGATATGCTTGATGAATCGTCACGCTTTGCCAGTTGCCAACGCTGGCTCTCCTCTGTGGCTCGCTATCCTCCACCGCATAAGAACTACTCAGAACGAGGTACTAACTTCTCAACCAGGGAGGCTGCTGCTCCCAGTCGAGGTTCAGTCTTCAGTCTTCTCTTCCCAGGCTGTGGCTCTTCTTTCGCTGCACCGGCTTCGATATTTGGTGCACACGGCAAGCCCCCCGTTATCCCTTCAAAGGTCACTCCGACCTTTTCAGCCTTACTCATTGCCCAGCCGAACAGGTTTCATATTCGACCCCAGGCTGGAAGAATATGGGCTCCTCATCTCCTCTGCGACAGACGCTACTCTACGGTCAACAAAGAGTCGAAGAGGACCAGGCTCAAAATGCTCCCAACCGACGACGCTGGCGCTCAGGGCCACACCCTCTCCGCTCAAGATTGGAGCCAATACAAGCAGATCATCTACGACCTTTACATCAGTCAAAACCTGCCCTTGACGACTATCCGTGAGCGCCTTCTAGACGAATACTCTTTCCATGCCAGTATACCACAGTATAAACGAAAGCTTAAAGAATGGAGATATTCCAAAAATCTCAAAGCTTCGACCTGCAAAGCTCTCGGTGACAGTTTGGAACGGCGAGGTCTCACTGGCACAAATGCTGTCACAGAAATCAACGGCGTCACTCTGAGCTCCAAGAGACTGCAAAGGGCTCTGAGGAGGCACCACATCCCAACTTTGAAGCGAAAATTTGGGTTGGAGCAAAGGGCCTCCACTCCCGAAGGCATCTCTTTTCGAGGGTCCTCCGTGGAGCCTACGACCCCATTTCCCCGTATTGCAGCAATCGAAGTCCCATCAGGTGTCAAATACACCTTACAGCTGCAGCTGTCCCATCCAATGGCGGTATTGCTCGATGATACCAGCCCACCTGAGATTGAACCTCCTATCAATTGCCTTGCTAAGACGGGATTATCACAGCCTCGCTCAGAAAGGCCCAGAGGGTCTTCCAACGATCACCTTGCTGTCCCCGCCGTCGAGTTCATATATCTAGACGATTCCAGGCAGCCATCAACAGCCAAGACGCGAAGGGAAGCAGCCGCGGCGAGACTTCTCAACTACCTTCCCCTGCAGGAGCCTGACCGCGTGATTCAGGACCTCGATATTTTGATACATCAAGATGGAAGCATTGACCTCACTTTACTTACCAGCAATATCACAGATCTCTGTGCAAACAATTTCCTAAATGACATCCACAGAATCCGCTCCGTGGAATGCTTAGTACTCGAATATCTTCTATCAGCAGGTGCTGACCCGAACGCACCGCTCAGAGACTGCTCCTTTGACAGGGAAACGCTTCTTCAATTTGCAGTCAAGAGGGAAAACACCGACCTGATTAAGTTGCTGCTACGTTACGGAGCAGACGCCAATGCGCCTCCTACTCAGGGCTACAGATGGACAGCTTTACAAGCCGCAAGTAAAGGTGGGAACTTAGAACTTGTGGAACTACTACTCAACTATAGAGCGGACGTCAATGCACCTCCTGCTGAGACCGGAGGGCGTACAGCATTACAAGCCGCAAGTGGGTATGGGAACTTACAAGTTGTGGAACTCCTACTCAACCATAAAGCGGACGTTAATGCACCTCCTGCTGAGCGCTTTGGGCGTACAGCTTTACAAGCTGCAAGTGAGGGTGAGAACATCCAAATAGTGGAACTGCTGCTCAAGCATGAAGCGGACGTCAATGCGCCGCCCACCAGGTGGGGTGGACTAAACGCTCTTCAAGCTGCCGCAGAGAAGGGCAACCTTACGATTGCGCAGCTGCTTCTTGCAGCTGGAGCAGACGTCGGTGCCCCGATGGGCGGATTGGCGATACAACAGCAATCAATGCTGCAGCTAGTTTCGGGGATCTGAACATGATCAAACTCTTGCTCGATCATTACCGGCTTAAGGAAGGCGAATCGCTGTCGGGAATCTGTAAGGAGGCTGCCGAAATTGCGAGATGGCGGCACGAATGGGCAGTGGTGGGATTTCTGGAAATCTACCCAAGACTGCCAGGATCTTCATGATGCTTTTTGTTGGCTTGGACTGCGCGTCTCCTTGGACGTTGTCACTGGCTTTCAACCTTGGGTGAAACTGGTGCTGTACGGAGCTTCATCCGAGACACGACATCAGAAAAGCCAGCCGATGTCCACCGCAGATGAATACAATCCTTTTTTATTGTGGTCGACTCCGAATAGCCGAAAAGGGGGATGGGATTGATCGGGAAAGGGAATGAAGGACACGAGATGGGAACAGAACGAGTACCGAATGATTAGGTAGGAAACGACCCGGGACTGTCACGACTCCCCTTGCTTTGGGGAAGATTTTTATAGCCCTCAACCGGGATGCATCTCTCTCTTTTCCTCTCTGTCTCTCTCTGTCTCTCTCCGTATCTTGAAAATACCTATATGTAGGTATTCAAGAGCAAAAAAATAATTCCGTTCGAACCATATAAAAAGGGGGTATCTGTCCATGGTCAAATGTCAAATGCTTAAAACTTCGCAAACAAGAAAGAAGAAACCCAACCAACAAAACATGACATCCTCAAACACCTCGTCTCTTGCCTTCTCTTTCTTTTTCTCTCTCGGGTCCTGTTCCGTCCTCTGCTCTCCTCTTATTCCCTTCCTCTGATCGGCTCTCTTCATGCCCAAGGAGGTAGATAGAACAGATCCATCTCGCTCTGAAGCCCGCCCTGCAGGACGGCTTCTGCGTATGGCCGACTCCTCCTCCTCCTCATCGTCGTCGTCGTTGCTCATTGCCTGGCCAAAATATCGGTTATCTCACATCGTTACCCCGGTGAATGGCTCTTTTGCCTTTTTCCCTTAAAAAAGGAACCTCTTCATGCATGGCATACATATGTAGACATCAATCGCTTGCGTACATGTAATGTAAATTCGTCGCGCAGGTAGAATAAGCGACCAAATATGGCGTAGAATATTTCCCAAAAAATTCTCCTTCATCATCGTACCAACTTCGTTCCTGAACTGACCACCACAAACTCGACATCCCGGCCCATGGACCGCCACCGCTCAATTCCACCACTTACCAGCCAGGGCTGCAAATTCTTACACTGACTCACGTCAAATAATTTCAACTTTTGGCAGCCTTCGACCACACTCTGGACACCAAGGCCCGTTACACGGACGCATCCACGAACAGCGAGTTCGCGAAGGGAAGTCAAGTGAAGGCCGATTGACCGTAAGCTTGGGTCGGAGACAGCGCTACCGCAGAAGGAGAGATTCAGGTGGGTTAAATTCGGACAACCCAAGGCGAGGACCTCGGTGGCTGTGTCAGAGAGTGCGCAGCAGAAAGACTAAAAAGATATCAATCAGTAAAATAGGTCACTGCATTCGTTGGAAACGGCGAGTACTTACCAGGTCAAGCTGTCTCAGACCACTACCCGCCCCATTGACGAGCCACACGATGCTCTGATCGCTGAGATATGTGCAGTCGGCCAGACACAGTTTCCTCAACCGTTCAAACTTGACATTGCCCCAGAACTGGAACCCAGCATCCGTTATAGTCGTACAGCGAGTCAAATCCATCGAAACAATCCGATTATGAGCATGTGTTGCGATATGAGCCATGGTTCGATCAGTGATGTGTTTGCAGTAGCTTAGAGTGATGGAGCTCAACTCTGGGCATCCAACGACTGTCCCTGGGGGAGGTTGCTGCGGAGTGCTGTTATTAAGTTTTGTATTGAGAACAGGGCGGTGCGAGTTGACCTTTGTGCGGTTGCTAGGTGCTTGAGGCTGTGCGGCAACGACCCATCCAACTATTCTCGCTAGCAATGTGTCGCTGACTTTGCGGCAATTACTCAAGTCGACTTCCTTGAGCCCACGAGCTCTGTTTGCCATCTCCAAGATTGCCGGAGCAGTGACGTCCCAGACGCTCTTCATGCGCCATCCCTGAACATTGACTCCGCATGTGTTGACCAAAGCGGCAAAGCCTTCGTCAGTGATGTGGAAGCAGTTACTAATGTCGATGATTCTAGGTCTGTCCGCAACAAACGGACAGATGCGGTTGATTAGTATGTCGTCCGTGATTTTCCGATTATAGTGTGACAGGTCAAGATAGTGTAATAGATTAGGTGCAGTACTCAGAACATTCTGCCAATGGAGGGAAACGCCTTGTAGACGCATCAACTCATGCAAGTCGAGATATTCGAGTATCAGTGGCAGTAGTTGATCAGGGATACTTCCTCGATTTAGGCCGCGGCTGGACCGTTGTCGTGGTTTGGGTCGACCCCCTGGAGAAAAGGGATCAGAAAACGGAAAGCCGCTGTGGCCTTTGTACTCGGACGTGGGAGATGGTGTTCCAGATGCTGAACTCTTGGGAGATACATTGGTTGTGGTGGTAGGTGATGACCGAGGAGACCGTCGTCTCTGATCTTTTGATGGCTCATCTGGAGGCGGCGGAGCAAGAGAGCCTCTCCTTGACCTCGACCTGACCTTTTCTAAGCCCTCACTCAAGAAAGGGTCTGGGTCTGAGGGTTCAAGGGTATTGCTTGGTTCCTCTGTCAGAGCTGGCTGTGTGGAACTACTGATTTCTGTGTCTGTAAACGTTACTCGGGGTCCACTGATGATTTTCTTCTGCTTCCTCTCTTTTGAGTCCCGGATTTCAAGGTCATGAATATCAGGCGTTGTGTCTGCGTCGTTCATGACAACGTCATTGTCCGACGCCAGCTGTAACCGGTGCTTCGCGGTGTCCTCAATCTGCCGCAGGACACTCGGCGGACAACGATTCCAAAAATCCGCCAGCACATTTTCGGAGATCATCAAGCATTCAACTTGGGTTACTGACCGCACAGTAGCTGTCCGACGATCTGCTAGTGACAGACTCACAACCTCTCCGAAGTACTGTCCCGGCTTGAGGCGAGCTATCACCCGTGGTGTGCGCGGCACACCATTGGGTGCTCCGGCCTTGTGTGGCTTGGGAGTAGACACGTTCCTCTCATCCAAAACTTCAACCTCGCCGCGGACAATAAAATAGACTTCGCGGCCTCTGGTATCTTGCTTGATAATGTCTGTGAATGGTGCAAAGCTTCTTGGCTGCGCACTGAGACCGAGGAAATGGAGAATATCAGAAGGTAGCGAGGCAAACAGCGGCAGCTCCTTCAAGGTGGCACGGATGTTAACTAGGCCATGTCCCAATGCGCTTGCTGTTGACACCTCGTTTGTCCCAGGGCTAGGAGATTTGCGCCGCTTGCTCGAGCTGGTAACGCTGCCGTCACTGTCTCTCATGTATACATCCTCTCCAACCGTCACTCTTGCCCTCTTGGACCCTCTTCTTTCGTGATTTGGGACATCTTCCGTGCCGAGGAGCACCTGTCTCTTCTTCTTCTCCAGTTGCGTCAGTCGTTCCAATGCCTCGTCTCGAATGGACTGTTCCACATCGGGATATTTCGGTAGTATCTTTTTCAAATCCTCCTTCTTCAGTACCAGCACCATACATCTTGTTCGGGCAACCACTGTTGCGGTGCGCGGACGTTCCATGAGGATTCCAATTTCTCCAAAGAAGGCGCCGGGTTTCAGTTCAGCAAAGGTACTTTCACCGTCGCGAGACGTCACAGCGACAGCGCCCCGGACAAGCCAATACATTGCCTTAGCATCTTCACCTTCGGTGATGATGTAGTCATTGGTGTTGTGCAGCTGGGGTTTCAGGAGGAGACCAATGTCGGCGAGGAAATCGTCAGAGGTGGATTGGAAGAGAGGAAAGGAACGAATGCGGTCGATCAAGTCCAATGGCATGCCCTGAATCTGAGAGGTTGCTAAAGGCGATTGTCTCGCAGGTCTTGACGGATTGACCTTGGAGTCAAAACTGCGGACCAGTGAGACTTCAGCGGAAGGAGGAGCGGCCGTGCGACCATGGTAGGGCGACAGTGCTCGGCCATGATGTCGTCGCATGTTTGCAGAGGGGTTGTTGAGTCTGAGCGCGTGTTCACGCGAAATGAACTGCTGCTCTTGGTGGACTGCCCCTCATCCCATGTTTCTCATGTGTACTGTGCGACTCCCCCTCTTGATTGTGACTGCTCCTTCGGAAAAGCAAAGCCCGGGTCAAGACTCTTAGATAAAGAGTCGGTCTGCCAGATAGGGCTCTTGTTGGGCTCCACCAGGAACGCTTGCAAATTCGCTGGCTTAGTAACGCCTAAGTCTAGGACGGTACGAGCTGTTCGACACGGGTAGGTGGGAAGGAGGGCACAGTGAGGGTGTTCGCAAATGATCCTGGTGACGACTTTGGGTTGTCAAATCTTGGGGAATGCGGTGGGTCGGCAAAGGTAGAACAGAGGGTGGTGGAGTTTCGATGTCGATGATGACCTTGGTTCTTACGGGTGTGTGAGAGATACTATAATGGATGCTTCAGAAAAAGTCGCTGCAGGGGATATCCACATCCGACACAGAGGGTCTCAAAGGAAACAAGCGGGAGAAATGAGCAAAGCAATGCTTCAGAGACGCGCAGCTGCAGCCCGCAGGTTTCAAGCCAGGGACCCGTCTCGCCGTCTATCCATGAAGATGGTGGGCTGTGGATGGCTGCCGTGGCGGGGAACCGCATATCCATCCAAGCCATCTTGGAGAAGTCCACTAGACGATGTTTCGAGAAAAGAGATGGAAGGATTGGATGCCGCCTCCTAGCGACTGATTAGGGTAAAAGAAATGAGCACGAGGCGGCCCAAAAGCCTCCTTCTAGGCCCGAAGCCAGGCCCGTCTCTTCCGGCTCTTTTGGCATTTGGTGTACCTAGGTAATTGATTGCTTGATGGATCACTCCTAAATTGTCGCTTCATATGAGTGCCCCGCGACATCCTAAGTTTGGTGACTCCGCCGCTGGTACAACAGGCATGGAGCCAGGAGCACGGAGAAGCCTCCATCCCGTACCGAGAAACAGGGAATTTGGTAATTCTAGGTGAGTAGATCAGTCATCCAGTGCTGGGATAGCACGAGATGCGTCAGCAGAGTCTGAGACCTATGGCACCCATATGGCGCAATCGCTATCAACACCCTGGCGACAACAAACTGCGACCGCTTACCTACTTGTAAGCAAACAAGCTGAGATCCCTAAGCGACCCAACCATACCTGGGTACTTGGGCCATACGGGCACCTGTCCCTGTCTCGCAATTTCAGGGACTGAAGGCGCCCGGACAGCCCTGCGAAGCGAACAAGTCCACAGGTGCTGCCCGAAACAGGGAACTCCGTCCCCATCAAGTCTCCATCGGCTTTACCCAGAAGGATGGGGAGGGTCTTTAGGGTTTACCCGCGGGAACTGCATCACCGTGCACTAGAACACGTCCAGAAACATTGGCCGTGATTGCAGCGAGTGGACACCAAAAAGAAATCTTTCAGCCCTGCAACCACCGTCACAGCCTGCTTTCGATTGGGACGGCTGCTCAAGATTTGCCTCCGTGCTTCGCAAACCCGTGAGGTGGAATGCGTTTCAGGAGCTCTGGCTCAGACAGTCTACAGACTATAGCTCCGGCTGTTGATTTACGTGAATTTTTACTTCCGTTCATGCCACGCAGTCGTACTCTAGGTGCAAGGCGGAAGTATTTAGGTAATACCAGTAGCTCCCTCGTCGCAAGCTAGCGACCATTTCCTTCTACGTAAGACTCAGCCCTGAGAAGCAGTCAATGTCACTCAACAGCCGAGCCATTCCCTATTGACTGCGCTCAAGAGGTCCCGAGGATTTTTACCCGGACTGGTCGGCAGCCGATTGCCACGTCGTGATCGAGGAACGGTGCCTTTGACGAGGGAGTATATCTGGAGGGATGGAGCCTGTCTTGTGGTAAGAGGTGCACAAACCTCCGTGGTTGCTCTTCAGGCGCAGTTCGATATGTCCGGCGGTCCTCACCCCGAAAACTTTCTCCTCAGCCACGAGATATATGCCGGTGGGTTTCCTCTAATTGATGCTGCTAGATCTTGCACCAAACCGTAGGCCAGGGATAGTCTCAGCGCACTCCTTGCAGTTCGAGCAGCAGCAAAATGATCAAGCCCTCGTTTCCAGCTGTAGACGCCGGCCAGAGTCATCCCAGCGATGACTGTACTTCCAAAGTCTCTTTGCCCAGTCGCTAGATCGTCATCCCCTCGTGCGAAAAGACGAGCTCTGGAAAGATCAACCATCTCTTCTGTGACCATAAACATCGTTGCCCAGCCTGTACATATGGACCCGAATCGAACACCTTCCTTGATTCCGCCGAGCATCGCATGGTAGTTTTTGGACTTCTGGTAGAGAAACCATCCGGTCTGGGTTGTCGGGAGCCGGTGCGCGTTTTCAGCTCTATATCGATATGCGCCCTTTGTGGCGCCTTGAGAAGCTCCGAGACTGAAGCCGCAAGCAAAGGATGCCAACATTAAGGTAGGAGCGCGTAGAACCAATGGAATCGACAGTCGTTCGTTTGGCCATCCCGTAAATCTGACCAATGCATCCTCCTCCTTTGTTTCCATCGTGGGCTCTGACTTCAGCAGTGTACTAGGCAGTGCAGGCTCTCCCTCGGAGAGGACGTGGAGATCGCCTTTGTCGTCGTTTTGGGGGGATTTGAAGGGCCACATGCTGCACTCAGGCCGTCTGAAGCTGCAGGCGGCTGCAATAATTGATCTAATAGACGTCAGCCCCAATCTGCTCTCGACTTCGGCTTGACGACCTCGACCATGCTGGCTGTGCTCTTTACGATCAGGGTTCGGTACACTGAAATTTGAAAATGATGGAATCGAAAGGGTCTACCGAGTACATACACCTCAAACAAAGATGTGCTCACGCGTGGTGAGGTTGGCGCAGTTTTAGGTTGTGTGGGGCCGGCACGACTTGACCCAAAGCAGGCCTTTAGTGACACCATGCCCAAACCCATCTTCCTGCGAATCCTTTGTTCGCGCGGCGTCCACCGCTCCTATCAAAGTGGAACATCCATAGTAACGAGGGCGAGACTGAGTACTTTCATTCCTATCTCTCCCATAAGGAAGCAATGTTTCCAAAAGGATGACTCGCGATCGAAAACTGGACGTTCAATACTAACAGAGTCTGTGGAAGGCATATAATGTCTCCATCAGTTGACCTAGAACTCATGTGCCAGGGACATTACTATAGACAAGCAGGTCGGTTTAACCTCTTCCACCTGGAGAAGTTCCTTAGTGCCATAGAGCGCTATGCCGAACAAGTCAACCGATCTTCGGGCGTGCTGGCAGCATGGCTATTACAGCAGAAGCATGACTACGGCGACGGCGATGCGCTCTGGCGTGTCGGAAATAGAATGACCTATGCGGATATTTCATTCATATCCTGGAATAGGGGATTAGCCAGTTTCTCAAAAAGAGCAAGCACGACCAAACCAAGTTTTTGTTTCTCTAAGAGTGGTAAAGCAAAATTATCTCGCTGGCGCCGGTCAAAAGAGTGCTTGAGCGAGCTCTTCAAGAAGGGAGTTTCAGCCTCGTCATGTGCAGACGCTACCCCGCATTCGCCTCTGGTGTTTTCTGCCTGCGGCGCGTCAGTCGCGCTTCACCCTCGAAATTTTGCAGCCGAAATCCATCAATCACAACACAGGCTCGAATACAGGCTCGCCGACTCTTTTACCCATACTGTTGATGGCTCGATCACACTCTTGAGTTGCTCCCTCGCCTTTCATTGTATTCGGGATTTGAGACCTTCGCCGGCCACTTTACCCACAGCTCGTGAAGAAAAATCGCAGCATCGAAACCGAGATGACCACCCTGTCCCAGGATGATCTGGCAGAATTGCCTACACCAGACATGATAACTCTACTCTTCAAGTGCCACAAGTCCACGACCGCGCTGTCTGTTTTACCAACAAGGCCATTCATCGAGATCAAAGCTCTGTTGCTCGCGGCCCTTGAATCGCGGAACCTCAAAACACTGCCAGACTCCAGCGCGCCTCTCCCAGAAGACCCAGAAGAGTTGGAATTTGGTGTGCTGGCGGACAAGAAGGACCCGAGCAAAGGTTGGATTCCGCTGGACATGAAGGAGCAAGAGATCACCGGCGCTAAGGGCAATAAGAAGAAAGTGGGCGGGAAGTCCTCCATTCTGAATTCAAATCCGCTGGCGGCTGGTCTCGGCGATGGGGCCTGGATAGCATATCGACTAAAAGTGAAGCACAAAGAACCACAAGTGGAAGACGAAGATCACGAGAGTGGTACTCCAGACGTTGAGATAGACGAGGACCCTGGATTCGATGTGATCCTTCCAAGTTTCGAAGACGAGGCTGAGTGATTTTCGACCCCCGACAATTGTTGCTGCCAGTCATCGTCCGCTTCAGCCATGAATGACACGAGGCAACGCCACCTCCTTGCAATGCACTTTTACGGTGCCTTCATCCGCACAATGGATGGGACCAGGTATCGGGCAGTTGAAGAAACATTGATGATCGACTGGACGACGGATTATTTCTATAGCGGCAGAACCCGCTGTAAGCCCGACGCAAAGTGAGAAGAACGCCGCCTTTGACGTCGCTCTCTGTGTGGCAGCATGCTCGGGAAGATGGATTTCAGCCCCCATCGAGCTTATGCATCTAGCAAAGTCGAGGAAGCGATAGTCGAGACTTAGTCTTGCGAAGGGCTGGCCGAGTGAAGTGCGAGACGGTGCAGATTTGAGGGTGGATTTTCAAGTCACTCGACGATCGCGAATGGATGCGGCAGCCGTTGCAGGTGTTGTGCTATATCTGGAAACTTCAAAGTGGTTCCCCCACAACGTTTTCTGGGATAGGGCTGAAGGGGCTGACGAGCGGGTGACACTTTGACACAATTTCAGGTACTCCGGGCTATTCGTAGGAGACTGGTCATGAGACAAATACCAGTGAGAGATGCTACTGATGCCCAGCTTCAAAGGCAGCCAAAACTAGGTCAGCAGCTAGAACAGGGCCCTCGATCATCAATTGGGCGGATGAATGTCATTTAAGCTGCTAAGCAGATTCCAATCCGGGATGCAGGGAGGCTGAAGTTTCGCTGAACAGCTGCATGTCTTTGACTATTGGGTGCCCATTGGGTGCGGCACAGGCCCCTCGGGCTTGGTACGAGGAGTAGGCGTTGAGTGGGCGTCTTCTTCTCCATCGCTCCCATAATCATCAAAGGGTCAGCCCGCCGAGCCCGCTTCCCATATTTTGCGTCCAGCCTGAGCACTACAGCTGACGCTTGGTTTGCCCTTTTGAATTGTTTCCATTTCAACGCAGTCTGAGAACACGCCGTAGCATCTTTCAATCCCCTGGCGGCGGATGCGGTTTCAATGCAGCGGCTTTTCAAGACCAACAAGTCGCAGGCCTCCATAGAAGACCCCCAGACACACCGAGAACACCCTGATCCACATCCCCATCAGCAGCAACAGCACCAACAGCAACCGCCCCAGCCTCAGCATCAGGGACGTCAACAACCTTACCTCGACCCCAAGCAGCAGCACCAACTCTATCCTCAACAGCCCTCACAACAGCATCCGTTGACCGATCTTCATTATCAGGGGCAAGCCTCAGATTCTCTGTCACAACCTCAGCCTCCCGTTGCCCCTCCCCACCTGGCACGCACCCAAAGTGGTCGCACTTCATCCATCCCGGACGTGTATGGAAATCAAAGGCCGCAAGTGACCGTTGTGCCTCCGCTGTCCCAGCAGAACGCCTTCATTCCTGAAGGCCCTGCTCCCATTCCGGGACAGACAACATTTGGTCAATCGAGGCAGGTTCGTACCATTGAGGATAAAGAGCACAAACGATCAAAGCGCAGTTTCATCTCAAGCCTGATCAAGGACAAGAGCAAGGACGAAGACAAACAGAGAGAAAAGGAAAAGGAAAACGGCCCGCCTGAGCGCAAACCTCTGGGACGATCAAGCTCGGTGCATCTCTTGAGGAAGTCGCATCCTCCTGAACACTCATCCCGCGATTCGTATTCAACCCAGACTTCACCACAGTCTCAGCATCCTTCGAGACATTCGACATACTACCCTCCCCAACCGCCGGCAGACGCTTCCACCGCACCCCCGGATCAGACAGCGGATCAAGCCCAGTACGAGCAATACCAGAGAGCTCCAGGCCAATTTGACTCTCCACAGAGCCAATTAACCCATCACTCCGTCGACTACGCCGAAGACGCTCCACACTTCGGTCCGCAACACGACCAATACCACGCATATCACCAATCCGAGTCTGCTAGCACCTCGGAACACTACCTGCCTTATCAACCCCAGCAACCTCGACCCAACAACGTAGATTCTGACCCGTATCATCACCTTAGACCACCGTCACAAGCATCTCTGGGCCCTCCTTCTCCCATCACCACCCCAGCCCATCCCCAAATTGCTCCAGACTCTCGTCCCTCCACAGCGGCGACCAATCGTTATTCCTCACAGTCGGCCTCTCAAGGCCAACAGCCACTCCAGACGGCCATGGCAAGAGGCGATCCACCGAACGGAAGCATTCGCCAGCAATTATCCCAGCGGGAAGCTCGGTCTGAAGATCAGAATCAGTATCAAAACCAAAGCCAAGCCGATCCAAGGGTGAGAATGTCTCAACAAGCGGCCTCAGACCAAGGCCGAAGCACGCCTCCTCCGAGAAGCCGGGAGGACATTAGCCAATTAGATTACAACCAACTTCTCCAACGTCACGAGGAGTTGCAGGCGAAATATTCCAAGGTCAAGCGATACTATTTCGAGCGGGAAGCTCAAGTAACGCAATTGCAGAATACCGTGGCAAACCAGCGTCTTTCCATGTCCAAAACATCGCTTGATGACGCCCAATATACGGCGCGATTTGAACGTTTGAGCCAAGCAATCAACAACCTTTCCTTCAATATTCGCAAGAATTGGCGGGCCATTCCACCATGGCTGCGACATGTATGCAACCAGGATGCTCACACTGTCGGCACGAAAGAAATGACCGCCATAGGACGAGCTTGCATCACCCGATGGCTATACGAGAGTATCTTCCAGCACACGTTTCACCCCAGCATTGAGCCATCGTTGTCTGCGCAGCTGAAGCACATCGAACATAACTTGCGTCGTGGAGGGCACGCTGGCACTCTTCTGACCGATGAGCAGCGGGACGATCTCACGACCAAAATCACAACTTGGCGACTCACTACCATTGAAGGTTTACAGGATGTTCTCAATTCGCAACAAGCGGAACATTACGCAGAGACCATGAACAAGCATTATACTCATCAGCTCACCGAATCGTTGAAAGCAAACCTGACAGATCCTCCGCCCCCAGGACTGGTCGAGGGAGTTGGCATGATTGTTGGGCAAGCCATCGGCATTGCGTCCAATATCCCGCTGGAGTCGCGTGAGATCTGTATCGAGTATTTCATGCCGGGCACTCCTGTGAATGAGACGTACATGAAAATCGAACCACAGATTGTCGCCTTAACCAATCCTGGCTCAGATGAACGCATGCTCCAACAACAGGCAGCTCAAGCTAAGGCGCAAGAGCAGGCTCGAGCACAGGAAGAAGGCGATGAGATGAGCACAGCCAGCACAGATGATGCACCACGAGACCGTGATGTAGAGGCCGAAATTCGTGAAGCTGCCGGCAAAGCTGCATCGCAAGCCGCCCAACCTCCCGGCGCAGGCGGCCAGCAGGGACGAAACGAAAGCGGGCCAGGCATCAGCAGCCAGGCATCTGTCAAGGGTTCTGGCGAAAAGCACTCCAAGAAGTCCAGTTTCCTGGGTGGTTTCGTCAACAAAAAGCCATCCATCTCGGCGCGGGGTGAGAGCCGTCCCGAAGTTGCTCCTTCCACTGGAAACGAAGGCGAGGATTCACGTGGACATGTCAGGAACAGTATGGCAGTTGATCCGACACAACTGGCTCCCCAACCTGGCGCGAACGAGGGCCGGATCAGGTTTGCGGCTTTCGTGGCAGTCGAGGTCAGAGGGAAGGGACCGACATCTAATCCGTCGGCAGGTGGTGCGAATAGTGGCAAAGAGCCTGGATCTGCTGCTACAGGAGCAGTCTCGCAGCCTGCAGTCAACGTCCTATTCAAGGCACCAGTCTATGAGTTCTAGGTTTCCCTCTGGAGCTCAGCACGGACAGGATGGACTGGGGTGGCCGAGCAGTGTATGGGGAAAGGGCGTGGAGCTGGCGGGGGGAGAGACACCTTTTTCTTTTTTCGTTGTACTTGGAGTCTTTTCCGTTTTGGACTATGCAGCGTCATCATCCTCATATACAATTCTGTTGTCAGTTGTTGAGCGAAAAAGACGAAGAAGAGGACGGATGTGAGATTATATATTGGAATTCAAAATCTTGTGGCCATGTAGAGACAGTCCCTGGACTCGTGGACTCCGCAGCAACTCTTCATCCATTCGCTTGGGCAGAAACAGAGTCAAGCGAATGAGCAGAGCCAGCAAAAGATTTCAGTGGCTGCTTGGACTCGCAATCCCAGAGGCTTGAAGTAGCAGTAGCAGCAGTAGCAGCAACAGTCACAGTTGGCTTTGGGCAGCATTTCGACCCTTTCCAACCCATTTCCTTCGTCCTTCTCCTCCCCCTTTCGTGTGCACCTGACAGGTGGCGGGGTCAATGGTAATCCTTGTGTGATCAAGAAGATTTTTCATTGACGCCGACTGGCTTTCAGACTCTCGACTCTCCCTTTTGTTCAAACTAGTTAACAGCCATGCATGTCCGTTGCTCTTCTTTCCCAGCGCCGACCTCAGTTGCCCCAACAGCCAAATAGAGGCAAACTTCCCCGTTCCGCTTCCCTTTTCCTCAACTTTACTTTTTCCATATGGCTTCCTAACAGTCCTTGTCCACTTTCTTCTGTCCTACGGGGATTGATTCCGCCAGGCCTCTATGCCAGCATCAACGAATAAGATCGAGGATCCATGTCAGGAATGTCGTGGTATGTCCCCATTCTTTTCCCGAGCCGCAGGCTGGCTTGTTGACTGATGGCTGTCCCAAGACCGCCATCTCAAATGTAAGTTCCGCTACTGACAGCTCGCCTACGTCTCCATCACATCTTGCAGCGCCTTCTTCTCCTGCTTCTTCTCCATTCTGCACATGTCTGTTCTGCATGAAGGCTCCCCGACGTGCCACAAGAACCACCTTTTCTCACCGCCACGACCATCTCCAGCCCAACCTCTCTTTCGTTGGACGGTGTCACTGCGTCGGACCAAGCTGACATCCCCCAGGCGACGACAACTATCCGAAGTGCAAACAATGTGAGCGTCTTGGGGAGAGATGTCGGCGCGGCAAGGGCAAGCTCAAATTCCGGGTCGGCTCCAGCGCAAGATACGATGCCTCCTTTTCCAAAGATCAAACATGGCTCGAGCAGACCAAGAATGGTAAGTCTGTGTAACCAGTGCCGCAAAATTTTTCTCGCCTCAGAATCTGCGCCCCGGAAAGAGGGGTCTCCTCAAATGCCTCCTTGATCACCATCTTTTATGCTGCTGTCATGTCTTTCCGCCCACAATCATCACCCACCCGTTCATGTCGCACTGCTCCAAGGCCACGTTGGCAGCGGCTACTGACGCTGTGTCCCCATTCATCCCGCTCAGGGCCGGACACCTACCGATGGTTGGTCCTATTGACTCGTGTGCTGACAATGCCTTCTGACAGCCAAGTTCCAATTCGTTGACCAAGGCCCGGAGTTGGAAAACTACTACTCCCAGGACGATCTCGCGGTGACTAGTACCAAAGCAAATGCTCAAGACGAGAGACAGGAAAATGCCTCTGGGCCGTCCAAACGTCTTGAGTCATCGGTCGAGGCCGAGCTGTCCCCAACAGTTCGCAGCGCTCCCTCGACCGACCTGCCTCCTTTCTTATCGCCTTTCAATGCAAACCATGAGTCAGTCTTGGTACATTCTCCCATAAAACGGAGGAGAACTGCGGATGCGATTTCGCCAGAATATCAGACCCACTCCAATCGATCGCCCAACGGCGCCTACGACCCCATCCGGTCTCAATATCGGATCTACGACTTTCCCAAAGTTTTCAGCTCTACCAGTCCGGACGGCTTTACCTATATGCCCGAACAACATCAAGTCGCCAAAGTGGTAGAGGCCGAGTATCGTCGCCTGGCCGATTCTGCGGCGGCTACCATTCCAGAAGATCCACTACTCTCCCCCGCCATCTGGAAAGAGGAGTTCTACTGGCCGAACCAATACACCACAACACAATGTGCCTGTTTGATGCGATACTATATTGAAAATCTCGCACCATGGGTAGGTGACGTGCTCTAACCTGAATGTCTGTCGCCAAGCTGACAGCGGGAGTTCGACGTGGGAGATCCAGCCAGGCATTTTACATTGGCCGTTCCCCAACGTGCCAGGCGATGTCCTCCGTTACTGAATGCCATTTTCACGCTGGCAGCAAGACATCTTGCTTCGCTCCCTCGATTCAAGACGACAGACGGTGTCATCCAGTACCAAAATATACTCCTTCCCAAATTGACCGAGGACACTGCTGTCAAATATCATAACGCATGTATTGCGTACCTCATCAAACTTTCTAGCGACTCAGAGCATGTTCGAGACGAGAACTTGCTTGCCGCCGCAGTCATTCTGCGATATTATGAAGAGATTGATCCGTCGCTGACCAATGAAGATAGCAAGACCCTCATTCATACCTTTCAACTGTTTGTGAACGCTCAAGCGAATCCTTATGCTTATATGATGGACGATGACAAACATCCGGAGTACCTCAGACCAGGGTCTGCGATCGGGTTGTTTGAAAATGCTCTGGCTTACTTGAAAAGCTTTCAACATGCTTCATTCCGAGTGGCACTCCGTCAAGAGTTGACAATTGCCTTCCTGAGGCAAAGACCTGTCCGGCTACCTCTAGAAACATGGACGATCCTGCAAGGTTTCGATAAAGCAGAGGACTTCATCTGGTCCGATCGACACCTTTACCACTGTGCCAAAGTTCTCCAATTCTGCTTTGGTGGTGACGGCGGTACTGGCAAGACCCAGACTGAACGATGGAACGAGCTTCGACACTTCGAGATACAATGGGACCAATTCAAGCCGTTGTCGTTCGCGCCTATCCATTATCAGGAGCCGGATCGCTCAAAGGGAGAATGTCTCCCGCACATTTGGTATATGGCGGAGGTCCACGCCACGGGATTGTTGGCTTTGGACCTGGCGCGGATTCTTTTGACAGTCTACAACCCGAACATACCGCGAATCGGGCCAGGAGTAACAGCAGCCCAAAAGAGGATTGCGGATGAAGTGCACGATATAGTTATTCGACTGTGTGGGACTGCAATGTCTCTGGGTGGGACAGCAGCATCCAATGCTTCCTCACAGCCAGCGATGGTACAGGCGTACATGGCGGTTGTTGTTTGCGGCGAGTACTTTTCGGATCCCCTCGAACAACGCGCTCTGCTGGGCATTTTGGACAGGTTGAAGGACGAACATGGTTGGCCCACAGGAAAAACGGCTATGCAATTGAAAAGGGAATGGGGCTGGAACTAATTAATGGATTGGAATGGCTTTCTATACCCGGTCTTTGTTTTCTTGGGCCACATCCGAACACTTTTTGTAAAGGGAAACGGTTTTTTTTTTCTCAGAGCGAGGTCTACATGAGAAATTCTGGAACGGATGAGGGATACACGCATGGACATCGGCATGCAGCAGCCGCATGCTTGAATGACCCTTGGAGTTACATTTGACAGGTACAGGAACATGCGAGGAAGGTTTCAGAAACCATTTATGATACGGCCACCATCACTACGGCTCGGTTATCTTAGTATTCATGATTGAGTGACGTTTCAGACAGCTCACAGTTTGATATTCCTGGATAGTATATTTGGGGGCATTTGAGGGGTGCGAGTTGTCCTCTGAGGCCTGCGTTTCACAGCCTTGCACTGGTATCTTTTCGTTACAGGATCACGAAGTGGGTGATTGGGTAGCTCACCCAGCCTCAAACGTTATATATACCTAGGTATCTAGGGTTGCGGACTGAATCAGTGTGGGAAGGCTGTAGTGCGAAATGCTGGAAGAGGGATCGAGGCCTGCTTGTGGAAGGCCTGAACTTCCCTATTGGGTTGTATGAAGGTGAGGAGCCACTGGCAACCAACTGGGGCGCTGGGGGGGTTAGAGAAAGTTGGGGCTAAGCGAGAACGCGCTCGGCGGTACTAAGTGCCTAGTAGCTACCAGGTAACTCACTGCGCAGTTATTAGTGGACCAGTCGAAGGTACCTACCTACCTAGTAGGTACCTAGGTAGCTATCGATTGGTAGCTGTGCAGGTGTCACACTGTCCGGTGGTTGACACGAAATGCCGTCATTGATTCCGAATCTCTAAACTGCAACAACCTCTATACTGCCCCTCTCTTGAGCCCCTCCTCCATTGACGTGCCTGCGATACATTACTAATTGACCGGGTGAGACGAAACAGACATTTGACACCAGGCGTATTGCGCCATTCCGCTCATTAAATACCTGCGAGTCTCTCCTTGATTACTTTTCCATTCCTTTCCTTCCCATGCTGAGGACCTCTTTCGGATCCTGTCGTTCTCTGTTCAAGAAACCACCTCCCGAGCTACCGCCTAATCATCTCCGTTCGCGCATAAACAAACCTCTCCTCTGTTCCCTTACCTCGCTGCTCCAGGCAAGGCCCTTGCGGATCCTATCCAAAATGTCCAACGATCTCTACATCGCGGATACACCCGTCGAGGTGTCTCAGGCCAAGGGTCTGCACCTCATCACCCAGAACACACCCAACGGTCAAGCCACGCAGATCATGCTCGAGGAACTCGCGGATGTCTATGGCACAACGTGGACCACCACCCTCATCAACATCATGACCAATGAGCAGAAGAAAGAGTGGTTCCTCCGGCTCAATCCCAATGGACGTATCCCCGTGCTCGTCGACAACGGGCAATCCCCTCCCTTCCCCATCATCGAGACCAGCGCTCAGCTGTTGTATCTGTTGAAGTTTGCGGACAAGGAGGACAAGTTTGGCTTTAAAGATGAATTGGAGCGGAATGTGGTGCTGCAGTGGATGTTCTTCTGGCACGGCGGAGGTGCCCCGTATCAGGGACAAGTGAACCACTTTTCAAGGGCGGCACCCGAGAAGATTCCCTGTAAGTGACATCTGCGCTGGCATTGCCTTCTAGTCGCATCGTCCATACTGACGTAGCGTGAACATCAAAGACGCCATCAACCGCTACAAGAACGAAACCCTCCGCGTTTACGGCGTGCTGGAAATCCGCCTCTCGGGTCGGTTCACAGGCGAACCGCGCGACTACCTGGCCGGTCCTGGTAAAGGCAAGTACACGGTAGCAGACATCAAGACATGGCCTTGGGTGAAAGGTTGGGAGAGAAGCGGATTCAGCGCGGACGAGATGAAGCCTTTCCCGCACCTGCTCAAGTGGATTGACCGGATTGCTGCGAGACCAGCGGTCCAGAGGGGCATTGGCGACAAATATGTGCAGAAGTAAGTTATCATAAAGCTATGCCTTTGAAGTGAAAAGGGGGCCCTCGCTCTGGGACGGTCGAACAAGGTTTGAACTACGTCCCGATGTGCAAGAGTGCAATGGCGATGGGCAATATAGAGCTTCCAAAGGATGAAAATGCCCAAAAGTTCACATTCCCCAACGAGCTAGCAGATGTTCTCCTGATGCTCCCAATGCTCCTGTCAGACACCATACACTCTTTCTCTACCATTCGCAGTGATAGCCACGTCTTATTCCGCCTATCCATGTCTTTGTGCACACATTCTTACCGAGTCTTCGATCACCTCAGCTGACCACCTTCGTGTGCTCCTTTCCTCGGGAAGGGGGCGCGGCCGCCCAGATCGAGACTCTGAGAGTATATATACAAGACTGGAAGAACGTATTTTCCTCGGGTTTTTTGGTTCCTTGCATTTCGCCCCTTGCTTATTGATTGTCTTGCGCTTTTCTAATCCGTGTTTCCTCGATGGAAGAGGAGGAAAGGAATCAGTGGCCCCGACTCGGGATCTTTCGAACTCCAGCCCGTAGAGGTTCTTCTAGTCCTGAAACCTCACCATGACCTCGGCGAGATGTTTCCTGAGCTCCCCCTTCCTCTCATCGCTGCACCAGCTGCCCTCAATAGCGTGGCCGACGATCTTCTCCCAGTCCTTCTTGTCCAACCCAAACGCGTCCTGGACGGCGCAGTGGTTGTCGAGGATATACCCGCCAAAGTACGCCGGGTCGTCGCTGTTGATGCTGAACCTGACGCCGTTGTCCAGGTACGTGCGGATGGGCAGGTCGCGCACGTGGGAGACGCAGCGCAGCTCGACGTTGCTGAGCGGACACATGGTGACCATGATGTTGCGGTCCGCGAACAGACGCATCACATTCTCGTCTTCGGTGAGCTTGATCCCGTGGTCGACCCGCGTCACGTTCAGGTCGTGCACCGCCGACGCCATGTAGTCGACCCCGGCCTCCTCGCCCGCGTGGGCGGTGCGGTTGAACCCGCGGGTGAGTGCGTCGGCGTAGATGTCCCGGTACAGGTGCGGCGGGTTCCCCTTTTCCGTCGACGACAACCCCAAACCTTTAATCACGCCGGACTCGAGGTTCGGGATCGCGTCGCGGTACATCCTCGCGCCGTCCTCGACGGGCAAATGCCGCAGGACACACACGATGAGTTCCGACGTGATCCCCCAATCCGCCTTGGCCCGCTTCTGCGCGGCGGTGAACCCGTCCACGATATCCCCGTAGCGGACACCCCTGACGGTATGCGCCTGCGGATCGAAAAACACCTCGGCGTGAACCACGCCGTCCCCGTGCGCGCGCCGGAAGTACTCGTACGCCAGGGCCTCGAAGTCTCCCGACGTGATGAGCACGGACATGCCGATGAAGTAGTAGTGCAGGAAGTCGTCGAGCGAGGTGAATCGCCGGTACCGGGCTAGGAGGGTGTCGATGGATTCGAACGACGGGTCTTCCTCCACGGAAGGTAGAGAGATGTTGTTCCGCGCCGCCAGGTCGAAGAGGAGCGACGGCTCGAGAGAGCCTACAAAATATAACCATGGAAAAAGGACGTTGTTAGTTTATGCCCCTTTATACCAGGTAGTTCCAGTCTAGTCACAAAAGAAATGTTTATTGAAATATGAAAAGAGGGGTTCCGGGCCATAGCCTCACCTTCGAGATGCATATGGTGCTCGCACTTGGGCAGAGCCTGGAGGAACTCGTGCATATGTCCCTGACACATTTTTTTTGGCGCCGGAAAAGTCGAAAAAAAAGGGAAAATCAGATCCCTTTTTCTTTTTCCCACGCCCTTATTTCTCTTTCTTGAAAAACCTTGTTCCTGGACGTACCCGGTTTGTCGTGAACCCAAGGGATGGGGGAGATGTTGCCCCTGATTCAGGATCCTTCTTTTGCAATGAAGTCCTGCTGGTAGTGGTGGTGGTGGAGGGATTTTCGATCGAAAAACCACCGTCCGTCCCGCGTCCCTATGCACGTATAGGAACGTTTGTGTCAAGGTAAAAAAGGGGCTGAGAAATCCCGGCCTTCTCTCTTCCTCCCTCCGTCTCTTCTCTTTCTTCTCTTTCGGATTCTATTCCGTTCCTTGACAGTCGTGCCCTTCTGCGCTCAGAACCACCTGTAGACCAAAGATATCCGAAAGGAATTTGTCCACGGGAAAAAACCCCCACGACCGTTGGATTTAGAAAAGAAAAAGTCCCCAGTCTAATCTTTGTTGTTATTGTACAAACACACACACACACAGTACAAAGGGAGTAACGGCGGGAGAAAGCAAGAGGGAAAAAAAAGAATTAGTAGCAATGGAAAATGCCAGTAATGTTACATGGCGGAAGGAAAAGAAGAATTAAATCCAGTCTATCTTACGTAGCTATGTACTTATCTTCCTCATCCATCGGTGACCTCCGGACACAATAAGTGGGCAGGACACAAAGAGCGATTGCATCCTAGGTAGGATATGTTCGGTATTATTACAATCTGAGCGTAGCTTATTGAGATTGAATTTTCCTTTTTCCTTCTCTTTTTTTCCCTCTTTCGCCTCTTTTTGGATCTGCGGGGTTGATTTGCTGAGCCCAAGCATCCGACTGGATCATGCGTCTACTTAGCTGTGGTTAGCAACTGGGAATGTGACGTACTCGCGGGGAGCTGGAAAATGCTTATCGAGACCTAATATTGAACTTGGCAGGTGTCGTGGCTTCGTCCTGGGATGTGCTCTTCTGTCGTTGCCCCTGATCCTTACAGCCTCGCCCAATATATGTTGATGGCATACCACCATCTGCACAGTGCAGATGAGCATGCTGCCGAACTGCTGTCTCTCCCAGGCAATCTTCAATGCAAACCGCAAGTTTGTGAAGAGATGAAGCTGTACAAGCAAAAAGACTCGCTAGGTATCGCGTATCCAAATCCACGATTACCACCTTTCATCACTGTCATCAATTCATGAATCGCTCGAGTCCCTTGCGTGACGAGCATATGATTTTCCTAACCCAACGCCCTTTGCTCTGGCATCGACTACTGCCTCCAAACAGCGGCCCATGCCTTCGAGGTCGCCCATAATTCCCACATGTCCCCGATCACTCTCCACTCTGCCCCTTTTGACACACCGGTACCCTTCTGGTAGCTGCGCTGCACTTGCAAGCACCACTCCGTCTCCTGCGGCAAATGCCAGATCATCGAATGCATCCGTGTACTTGATCGCTTCTTTATTGGCAACTCTAGCCCCGTACACGGTGGGCACCGTCTTGCCGAAGATAAACGCGTGGGGTGGGTAGAGATTGCTTTCCTGGTGGCCAGGATTAAACTTCAACTGTTGTTTGAAGACCGACACCTCCGCCAGCGTACGATCCAGATAATCTTCTGCAAGGTCTTTCGGAATTGTTACGGCGGTTGCAATGCTGTTTCGGTGGTGAGATTGTTTCATGGATGGTCCAACCATTCCTTCCGCATTACCTTCCGTGTCCTGACCCGCCTCCAAGGCCTTGTTCACGGCATGCTGATGTGCTTCTTCAAGAGCTTCTCTGGGATCCGTTTGATGGGAGGATTGGCCCGGAGGACCTTGACCTCCAAACCACGAAGTACGTTTGGTGGACCCCGAAATGCTTTCGGAAAGGGCTCCAATTATACTCTTCCTACGATCTTCTTTCTCTCGGAGACTGCGAGGTATCGGCGGGTTGATGCAGGGGGACAGGTGGTACTCGTCCCAGACGTGCGGATCGAAGAAGTCCAGATCGTACCTCTTGTTGGTGTGCTTCTGGATGAAGCAGCGGCCATCTTCCGGAAGAAGAGCGTAGCTGGTTCGAAGCGTAAAATTAACTTGGGCTGTGAGGACTCTGGAAGAAAGAAGCACATCGTCGCCGTTCCGCAACGGCCCCAAAATATTGACACAGTGCTGCGGAACGCCGGCGTAGACCACACCTGCAAAAAGCTCTGGCCTTTGGTTGACAGCATGCCGTGTGATCAGCCCCCCAAGACTGTGTGCGATAACGGTGGCCCCCCGTTTCTCGTGAGGAGTCCCCGGCTGATTGCACTCCAGTGATTCCAAGAACTTGATCAACTTTCTGCTGAGAAGGTCCGGGGATAGTCGCCAATCATAGCCCCAGTCGTGGACTCTCAGCTTATTCTCACGTGTGTTGGGGCATTTCCTCATATGTTTGAGCAGTCTTCGACAAATGTCGATCGGGCCGATATGCGAAAGAATGCCAGATGGGATAATGGTCTGTTCCATGCGCTCTTCATCCTCGCGCGTCAAACCAACTTCAAGATCTACCTTGCGGATGTTCAGTCCAACCTTGATGGGGACCCAGAGTTGTCGATGAGGAGGTTGTGCTGATCTCAAGATTGATCCCCTATAACCGCCCAAGATAACAATGTCACCAGTGGTTTTTGAAAGAGCGTGTGACAATATTGGATGCGCTCGCTGCTGCGGAGTTTCCACCTCTACGCCCTTTGCTGCATTCCGTATCTTCTTGACCGAAGCGTGCTGGTGAGCCTGTCCTTGCCCATCGCCGCTAGCCTCGTCGATTCCGGGAGGGATTTCACCGTTCGATTCGTCGGGCGACGTGCGTCGCTTCGCTACTTGTCGGAGTGCGGGCAGCCGAGGCATTTTCAGTGTCGAATTCTGGAAACTGTCTGTAATGGCTTTGAATCGAGAATTTGCCATATCAGTAACGTGGGCAAACGCGCTGATGTCGTCGTACGCTGAGACACCGGAGACCCTTCTCCTTATGTACAGAGATCCTTCGGAGTTGGAACGTGCCCGGCTAACGTTGGATGCCGGGCTGGTCGGGGAGAGCAGCGATTGCACATTGCCGTCCATCTGACTGCGCGACACAGTAACAAGGTCGTGAGCTGGCACAGGGTCTGGCTGCATATTGCGGGATGTGTCAGTATTACGCCTTTGAAGTGGTTCGCGAAGAGACCATCGAAATGTCCTATTAGTTGGTGTCATCTGACCGCCAGCAGGACTCTGCTGCCCGGAGTTACCATTGCTCGATGGCAGAAAAGAAAGCGATATGGAGCTTCTGCTGAAATGTCCAGATGGAAGGTCTGGTAACAATTTTCGCAAATTGGAAAGTAAGTTCGTTGGAGCCGACGACAAACTACGCCTTCGCTCACTTCCAGCCCCGGATAAAAGGTCCTTGGTGACGGACGATCTGTGAGGTTTCGGTGACGGGGCCCCTTCTTCGAGGCTATCAATGTGTGAAACATCGTTCTCAGAACGTCGAGTCTGCTGGGGAATCTGACCGCCTTCAGGCGGCGTAGGTGGTTTTCGGGTTGGGTGTGGTGGGAATTGGTACTCCCAGGTCGGCCTTGCAAGATGCTTTGCATCTTCCACCGTTGCAGCCTGGGATGGGTACGTCCTATCATAGGGGAGGCCTGGTGAATTGATGGGATAGCTGTAGGATCGTGATTGCTGGTTCGCGGAAAGCGAATCGTGTGAAGAGCTTCTCGTTTCGATTCTCTCAGGAGAGGCGGACCGTCCGGCATCATCCTGGTAGTCTGCAGGTGGCCTCGGGCTAGCATGCGGCGCATTGGGCTGGGTGTCGTCTGCTTCGTCGCTGTCATTGTCGTTCTCAGGTTCTTCGGCCAGTGCTAGAATTCTGTGGAAGTATTCAACAGGCAGATTGAGAGCTCTGGCCTTTTCGGCTACAGGAGTATCTGGAGATCTCATCTGGGTTTGAGCTCGACTCATACTGACGCCGATCAGATCGTCGTCATACAGATTTTGGGTTTCGAGTCGAGGTGCTTGGCCATAGCCACCAGAAAGAGTTTCAATGTCAACAAACCCCCCGAAGCCATCTGTTAAAGGGGACCATTCCTCGTCTTGGCCGTGAGCGGAAGTGAGGTCGGCCGTCCCAGGAGCATGGGGTGATTCCATCGTTGGGCGGCGGATTCATGAAGGCATGTAAGCTGAAAGTGGGTTGGGTGGTTCAGAATGAAGCAAGTGTTACTTCCTTGATTGTGGATTGCGCCGTAGCTGTAGTACGGGGGAGGGGAGCTCGAGTCATATAAGGCTGATGGCTCGCGTAGGACGAGGACCAATTCTGAGCTGAGATACAGTGCTTATTATTGTCAGGGATTTTGTAGCGATAACCACAGACGGTTCATGTGAAGGCTGACTGAGGAAGAATTGGGTCAAGGAGAGGCTGGGCTGCTGAGGTAGGTAAGATGAGGGAAGCCGGCTAAGGATCGCTCCAATAATGATGGAAGTGAGCGAGGTACGAGGAGGATCGAGGGGGGACTAAAATGCTTGGGTTGCAGGATGAAGCCACTGAGGGTCTTGTCAGGGTCGAGATCCAGGTTTCGTAGCCGAGGATGCAGGACTACGACGTTTGATAAGCGAACAGCAGCTGGAATGAGGTGGAGCTTCAAGAGATTAAAGATGAACTTTGCACACTAGGTAGACATGAGGATGATGGACTTTTGAAGGGTGAATCGAGCTGTGCGGCGGGATTTTGTGTGCGGAGGGAGCAAGAAGCGCATTGATGCATGGCCGGGAAAGAGCGGAACATCAGCGTATTAATTAATTGGAATCCAAGAGCAGACGCCATCAGCCACCACGCGAGGGGCGCTTCTGCAGTGACTTCATTATTAAATACTGTAAAGGCGCTCCATATCCATGTGACCCTACCTAAGTGTCTATATGAGGTGTGCGAGTACTGGTTTGGGAAGCCAACTACTCGGTACAGTCGGCTCACTCAAAAACAAGATTTGCCTTGGCTCTTCTTGTCATTATTTCATACGTCGTATTATTGTTCTTCAAGTTTCCCACGTCAGATGCCAAGCCACCAAAGCCACTCAACTGCCACTGCCAACTGCCACTGCGGCTTAGTCACCGCTTGTGCCCGCCGCCCGCGGACTCTAAACTCTAATAAAAGGCTTGTTTCCCGCTGCGCCGGACGCCCTGGTACTAGTAACCTCCCTTGCCTCCCTTCTCTCTGCGCTCCTCATATTCCCTCCAGCATTGACACACGGGGGGCCACCAGTTGAACAGTGACTGACTCCCTTTCTTCTCATGCACGCACAAGAATAATGACCAGTGCTTCACGGTAACATGTGCTTGTGGCATTCAGTCAAACAAACAGGCTTGACACAGCAAGTGAAACACGACCTTCATGCACTCTTTTTTGCGCGACTCATTCATCTCCAACGACGCGGGCCTAGACTACAATAGTGATCTACTGAGGCACTGATTCATCTCGGAGTGTCATTGTCAGTCGTTCATTGACGGGCTGGTGTCATTTTGGACCCAAGTGAGTCAATATATATATCGGTAGGTGAAAGATTTGAGCAGCCATGCCTTATAAGCGGATCATGTCCCACATGCGACGAGTTCTTTTTTCTCCCGATCGCTTGCCGAACTCGGAACACTTGATCGATCTCCATCGAAGATGCCGAGAGAAATCCCACGACCTCGCTGGATTGGCGGCGACAGTCGTAACAGCGCTTGGTTTGGCCTGGCCAAGCTGCTCATGCACGACGAGTACCTGCGAATTGAAGCCATCCGGAAGAGCAGACGAGATCGGGCACGCGCCGCACTACTGACTAAACCAGATACCGAAGCTGTCGCGGCCAAAACGTCCGAGGGTGATCGAGAGGGAGCCGAGACGGAGCCGGCCAGAGAGGCGGTCACAGATGACGACGAATCGCATGCAGACGAGGCGGAAGAAGGAGCCGAAGATGTAAAGGACGATACAGCGGCTGCCCCCGCGGATGGCGAGAAACGAACAGAAGGTAAAGGCTCACAGGATCGGGAAATTAATGGAACCCATGAATCGAAGAATTCAGTTAGTTCTCCAGCGCGCTCTGGAATCCGCTCCGGCAGGGGAAGCAGTGCGAGGTCACGTTGTGGTACCGCTCGATGCAACAAAAGATATCAAGCTCAAGAGAAACCCTCTTCGCGTCCGCGCTCGGGGGCAGCGTCAGCAAGGACGATGAGTAGCCAGAAAACCGTTTCCCGGGCCTCTGGCGAAGGCGACCAACAATCACAGCGGCCTTCTTCCTCCCGCCAAATGGTAGCAGTCTCGCCTCCTTCCTCTCGCCAGATGTCAGCACTCTCTTCGGCACGGGCCAGGCACGGGAAGATCATTGCTGAGCAGCGCAGGATTGCTGAACAGCGCGGTATAGCTGAGCAGCGCAAGAGTCAAGAACAGCGCAATATTCAAAATGACCGTCAAGGCTCCAGCCAGTTCCCATCTCCACGCCCATCCGCTGTGCACTCAGGCAGAACGGGGAGCGACAGACCCACCAGTGGACACCACAATACCACCTTCATTCCCCAGGAGAGTGCGCAGCGTTGCTCCTCAAGCTCGTCGAGATTTCCTTCCTACAAGCCTACAGTCGCAGAGTGGCGCGAAAGTATAGGCAATCCTTACAAGCCAGAGCAGTCAGTATATGCCCCGTCTTTTCGGTCAGATTTTTTAGCCATACGGGCGATTAGCTCGCCTTCCACCTCCAGCAGACTTAGTCAAACAACTGCTCTTACATCTATCTCGCGAAGGCCGCCGAACCCCCAATCATCTTCCACGCCATCATGCACCCACCACAACTCACCATCTGTGCAGCCAGCTGAGCGAACTCTACCACAGCCTGGTTCTCCTGGAGCGTTGCAGTCACAGACATGGAATCGGCATGAAATACAGACTATTATTCCGAATAACCAGGCCAGGCACATGTATGGGCAGCCTCCTCAGCAACCGATTATTCCCGTCAGTACGAGAGGACAGCACCGATCATCTCCGCCTGCTCCCAACATTCACCCTGGTACTGGTACCCAGATCCGATATGCCCCAGGACCCTGTCCAGATGGCAGCGTCTGGAATGTCCACGCGCAAAGGAGTGGTTCTGTGCAACGTCACCTATGCATTGCATATCCCTACCCATATCAGCTTCCATTTTTACAGGCTTGCATCCCCACATATGCCGGAGGCTATTGGGCTCTGGGTCTCTACAGACACCATTCTCCTACCGCGACATCATATCCGTATGCGCAACCACCTGCAACCGCTCCGCCTTGTTGGGAGACAGCACTCCCGCAACAGGCACCGACGGCATACACGTACTGAGGTCAGTGGCTTACGCTTTCTCCCCACCCGTCAAGCCGCCGTTCCAAGACATGACAGGCACAACAGGAACGCTTGAGGAGTGGCGATCACCCGAGACTTTGCTTACATACCTGAACTTCCAAACCAGAGACGGCGTGGGGGAAGTTCCGTGGGGGAAAGAAGGCATCTGAGGTGTTCCTCGCTGCTGGCTGAAACAGGGCCGCCTTCCCACGACGGAATAATAGGGGTTCAGGAGACACCATGTTCATGATCACAAACCTGGTCGCAACGGCGAACCAATCATACTGTACAAGGGAAGAAGCCCTCGACACTGTGCGCTCCGAGCTTCGGCCTTCTTGCCAACCTACGCCGTGACCCAGTGCGTGCTCCATACATGTTGACGGTTTCTCGAGGCTGAGGTACCCCTGTGTAGCTAGAAGTAGTCGAAGAATATCACTCTTACGCAGGTAGCAAGAACGGGCTATAGGAAGGAAGGCTTCATGCTTTCTGTTGGCCGTAAATGTCCATCTTCTTCCGGTCTGCTCTCCACATGTTCCTTGACTGTCTGCCATGGAGCAGGGAAAGATATTCGCTATCAGTAGGTAGGTAATGTAGCTACAGCCGCCCTATCGCTAGGTATGTAAAGCAAGGCTAACGATCATGCCCCATGTCTAGCCCCCTCGAGTCTTTATTTCCATTCAAAATTTGTACTCTGCACTGGCTTCCCTCCTCCTCCTCCCTCCGTTCCAGGCCTGGAAAGACATGGAGGTTGTCCAGTGGTACCAAGTGACTGTCGGGGTTCACTGTGAGTCGGATCACCCATTCTCGTCACTTGAAACAAATGTATTTTCCACCCACTGTACTCCTACAGGGTTGTCTTGACACTGACTTCTTTTGGAGGACCTGTTGCTCGAGTTTTCCCACCGAGTGGGCGTAGCATTTCTGGCAGCCACAGGTTCGAACGCTCTCCGCTAGACCGCAGCAGCAATCCAGTATGTAGTTGCGTTGTTGAGTTTCCAAATCCGATCAATCAATCATTAGCATCGTCCTCACTCTTGACTCCGACATATGTAGCATCAGGCCATGGCGTTAGGCTATGTCGTGAGCGGAAGCCACAGTTTTTCCGCAGCGTCGTCATTAACACAATCATCTCTGCAGGTACAAGTGTAGCGCGCCGACGTTTGTTATTGATTCATTCGCGGTCGCTTCGGATCTGGGCCGGCCTGGGTCTGAACAGCGCGTTCCTCGCGTATCCGAATTGCTTCAGTACCGTCATCAACAAGGGTTTCTTTGAACCAAGGATGTTTGAGGGCTTCTTTTGCCGTGATCCGATTCTTCGGGTCATACACGAAAATCTTCCTTAACAGGTCAAGGAGGTGCCTGTTGAACGGGCTGGAGGCGGGAATGAATTCCTGTTTGGGAATCACTGTCAGTATCCTCTTCAAATGAAAGCAGGCATGAGAAGCCCAAAACGTACATGAAGATGCTTCATCGCCTTGACATATTTTCTGGATGCCTTTGATGTTTCGTTGTTGGGATATTCCAACTTCCCTCTATTGAAGAACTTGGCGGCGGAGTTTGCGTTGGCTCCACGACCCCCCGAGCATACTTGCTTGACCAATTTGGCGTCGATCTTGCCGTTGCACACGGCTTCCATCATAGCCAAATGCTCGAGATTATCGTGCGTTTGGAATAATGCGTCGCCCGTGAAGAACTCCACAATGATACACCCTATGCTCCAAATGTCGCAAGGGAAACTCCATCCCAGTTGCAGAATGATTTCAGGTGCTCTGTAGTGCCTGGTCGATACCACAGAGGAATGATACTCGTCGTCAAAGGTGGCTGAGCCAAAGTCTATTAAGCGAATTTCACTGTCCAGAAGGACTCGGCGCTGTCGAGCAGTTCTTGACGTTGTATGAGATGATGAAGGTATCGAGCGGTTGTAGGTAAAGGTCTGGTAGGCGTTCTGAACCAGCAGGATGTTTTCTGGTTTGAGATCCGTGTGGATGAGGTTCAGATCGTGCAGGACTGTGCAAGGTTAGCGTTGACCTCTCACAAGGGAGGAATGTGGCACTCACAGGCGACGCTTGTGAACAACTGCCGGGCAAAGCTCTGAATTTGCGAACTTGGGAAGGGCACAAAGCCATTTCCCTTGAGGAAATCGAACACACTCTGTCCCAGGAGGTCCGTAACTATACAGATGTGGTTCCGAAAGTCGAAGGAGTCCCGTAGATGGATGCACTTGTTGCGGTTGGTTTTGTCATTCAGAGCAAGTGTAGAAAGCACACGCAGCTCGATCCGAGAAGCATCGCGGTACTTCTGCACGGATCGAATAATTTTGACGGCGCATTTTGTCTTCTTTCGCGAATCGAAAGCCTCGACCACTTTGCCAAAAGTGCCTTGCCCAAGCAGCTTGATAATTTCATCTATCAAATTTGTCAGAAAGAGTCCAAACCATCCGCAGATGATAATACTCACATCGGTCAGCAAGCTTCGTGCCGGGAGTCACGATGTAATGTCCATCATCATCATCCACTTTCATATTCTTATGCCTTTCTGTATCACGTATTATCGGGACGTGAACATCCGCGGCTTTTCGCAGAGGTTTTGGAGGGGGGACATAGTCTTCAAAAGCGTCCGGGGCAGATTCTTGTTGTTTTCTCTTTGCTGCTTGTGCTCGAGTCTCTTTTTGGGATGTTACCCGTTTCCGCTTTTGTCCTGTTCTGACATCTTCATAACTGTTGCTAGCAGGGTTGCTGCCATACGATTCAAGTGAGGTTGGCGCTGTCACGGTCTGGAGAGAAGTGGTTCGGTCACCAGAATGATAAGAGGCGGACGAGGATGATGCACCAAATTTGGCCGGGTGCGTCGAATATGTCGGGCTGTCTGTGTATTCGATCTCGTAACCGTCATCAACTTTTCTTTTCCGGCCTGCGTTGGAACCGTAACCCCCGGCATCTTCTCCCTGCTGCCTTTTCGAAGCGTCTCCTGGCCCTTGAGGCTCAGGACTGTCGTCGTCAATAACAATGATTTCTTTCGGGATCCCGTTCTTGTAAAATTCACTCCAGTCCGGCTGTCTTCTGAGATGAGCATCGGAAAGGGTGGAGGTGGACTGAGACGGAGGCATTGTGGAAGCGTGTGACGGCCCTCTGTAAGAGATTGCTGGGGATGGTTGAGGTCGCTGGTACTGAGCGGTACTGGGATAGGAATGAAACGAAGTGTTCAGCCGCTGAGGTGCAGGTAGTGTGTTGGTAGTGGGGTAAGGGCGGGTACTCGGCGAATATAGGTTTTGATGGGCATAACCATACTGGCTATGGTGAGCAGGTAAGAGGGTTGTTGCTATCGAGGGAGTAGACATGGTGTTTCAGGCCTGTTTTCGGTGGGAGTGGCTCGACAACCCAGATGTTGCCGACTGCCCTGAGCAACATGCGAGGGTCCAGAGGGGTCAATGGTCGTGTGTTTGGTCTCGAAATTCGTCTAGGGCGGTGAAAAGGACAAGATTTAGGTGGCAGATGATGAGATAGAACCACAGGAGGGAGGATGGACGTCAGAAGGTCGTTGTCGAGGCGGAGTTCGAGGATCGGGTGAAAACGTGGACACGCACAACTTCAGGCGGGAAACGCCTATAGCAGCAGATCCACGCTCATTTTTTTCTGCGATCAAGGAGACGGTAGAGAGGTACGAGGGAGAAGAGACTTGAAGCAATGACGAAGAATAAAACTGATGCCAGTCAGGTTGAGAAAGAACCAGAGGGTGGAGGACGACGATGATGTAGACTGAGGTGAAGTGAGGTTTGCACTTTGACGGGCGCCCAGCGATCCAGTGTGCCATTAACCAGGCCGGTCATAGCGCACTTCACGTTACAGGGCCAGCAAGAAAGGGTTCAGGTCTGTTTCTGGGCAGTGGGCAGTGGGCAATCGACATGGAGAACTGCGTCTAGTTAGCCGGCCGAATCATGGGCTGCCCACGGGCGAATGACACCACCATTCCCGTGCCCCAACGCCGGGCCCCAGGGCTGGCATCTTAACCAGAACACCGCCTACGTCCGCTGTCTGCTCTCCGCAGGATGCACTATCTAGACCCTTCCACGCGTATTACCTAGGTAGGTATCCTCCTGTATGCGATTCCTAGTACTCAAGAATAGTCCAAACATTCTCCCAGTCTCCTCGCAATTCGCTGCCTTCTAGTCAGGACTCGCAGACACTGGTTTGAGCACCGCTCTTGTCACTGGCGTCTATTTTTCACTCCAAGCCCCAGGATTGGTGAGCAGTGGCCCCAAGTCCTCCCTCCACGCGCCTTTGGCCTACTAGTCGTTGTCGCTTATCAGGCCTCCAGGGGGGTTCCCAAAGTTGTGCGGCAAATGAGTGAGTGACGCTGAGCCACCGGGAGGAGTCCAATAACGCCCCCTCGTCACACCACGACAATCGTCTCTTGCGCACAGTGATAATTCCTGGTATTCTGCTAATTTGTCTCATGAATCGAAAAAGGTGAGAGGAATACAATGTAATGCGTTAAGTAGGCTCCGCACGTTCCCTCCTCTCCGGTGTCGGGGAAAAGTAGGAGGCATCGCAGGGATGACAAGTTTCCGCCACCTCAAATTGCCGTGCCATGGCGATCACCCCATGCGACAAGACCCGAATGGACTTCGTCGGTGCGTGGTTGAGGTTGGAACTCTCGCCGAACCAAAGCCAATGCACTTTATTTGCCTCCCCGGCCTGCCACGATATGATAGTCTGCATTGCGCTAGTCTAAATTGGACAAATTCACACTCAACTCAGCCCTGACGTGAACCAACGGCGACTTTGCTGAAGATGATCTCAGAAGCCAAATACGTTGATCTCCTTTCATGCCAATACAGCCACCACCAACTGTCATTCTGCCTGCTGCTCTGTGCGCTTGCTCGGTTCTGCTCGAAACCTCAATTTGGCTTCTTTATCCGTTTTGGTTTGTTTTCTTTTTATGAAAATCCCATTATCTTACAGTAGGCTTGGCCGATCGCTCCTCCGATGAAAGGCGCGCCGTAAAATGGCTCCCTGAAGCAGTGCTTGCAAAATCTAGAAATGCACATATCAAGAATCAGTTTTCTCCGGAAGGCTGAGGCCTCTCACATATGAACGTGAGGCGCGCCCATCGCTCTCCAGCACGAGTAACACGTCTCGGGCCTGGATCTTAGCGTCCTTATCTTCATCCCAGTTACCAAACTGCTTTTCTTTTGGAATAGTTCGAGCTCGATCAGGGGCCGGTGTCCCCGCTGTCGACGGTGCAGCTGACGCTGGCGGTTTGCCTGGAGTTGCCGCAGGACTTCCTCCTGCTTTACCAGCATTCATCCAGTCGTAAGTTCTTGACTTCTTGCCGCCCAAGCGACTGCCAAATAAACCCGCTACGGCCATTCGTGCCGCTTCGTTGGCCGACTTGTGTTGTTGCTGTTCGGAGAATTTGCTCTCTGCTAGTTTCCTCTCTTTCTTCGTCGTCTTCTTCTCCGCGTCCAGATTGGCAACAGTGGCAGCCTCCGGCGTCGCATTAGTCTCGGTTGCTGTTGCGCCTGCTTCTTCTTGTTTGGCGGCTTTTCGTTTGGCTCTCTTTTGTCGGCGCGCTTCCTCTGCTGCCCTCTCTGCTTGTGAAACTTTTTCGAATGTAGATATTAGACGTATAGGACCCGGTATCTCCTCATGGCGAAATGGGGAGTCGCTGTTTGCTTGGGAATGTGTGCCTAGTTACGGGTCAGCATCAGAGAAGAGGGAGGCGAAATCAACAATCTCACGCTTTAAGCTGGAGCTGGCTGCTGGGCTGGCTGCTCCGTCAGGGACATCGGTTGCTGGCTTGGCTTGAACTGCTATATCTTGCCACTCCTCCGGTACCTTTCCTGTGGAATGCTGCCGGCGTTCCTTTGCAAGTCTCGAAGAGGCGCTCAGTAAACCAGTCATCCGAGCTCGTGTTGCCAGACTGATGACCTTCATGATATCCGAAAGTCGCTCACCCTTCTGCCCAGTGTCGAGAATAGCTTGCCCCTTGTCGATGATGCGCGAGGCGCCTTCCAGCCCGTTGACTCGCACTGTGGGCGGGGGCATATGCTTTTGGGTATTAACTAGCACTCCAGACTGTGGATCAACCAAATGTTCGGTGATGCTGATATTTCGAATCTTTTCGTTGAGCGCTCCGCCTAACAAAAACATGTCCCACAGAGGATACTGGCTGTATCTGGACGCTTCCCAGTCGGCGCGCGCTTCGTTCCTCTCTTTCATCTCTTCCTCTGACGGCTGATGTTCCTGGGGAAGTTCCTCTCCCTGTTCTTGTTGTGGGGCGCTTGCGCCTCCACTGGATCCGGGCCGCGGAAAGGAATTGTTTTGATATTCAAAGCTGCTAGTAGTGGCCGTCCGAGAAGAGCCGAAGTAGTCATTTTGAACAAGCATTCGAGCCTCCTCTTCAATGTTTATGCCGGTTCCCACCAAAATATCTTCATAGTTCCGATCTTCTGCTTTGTCGGGCGGACGCTGAGGAGGAGGCATTAATCCTTGCCCCGTGGATGGTACGGCTGAGCCATTCACGGGAGCATTTCCACTCGGAGTGGTTGGCTGGGCCGTTGGGGTGGGAGGAAAGCTTTGGGCAGGAGAAGGTGACTGAACATCGGGAGACAATCTGGGTCTCTTAGCAGCTGGCGGCTGAAAATATTGCTGAGGCGAGAATGCTTGAGGCGAAGGTGAGGAGTAGTTGTTCATGGCTAACGGAGGTGACTGGGGACCAAGCGGGCTGGGTCTGCCATTTGCAGAACTGAAGTTGCGCGAAAAGGACGTCTGTGTCTGAGGGAGTGGAGGCCGCGATGGCGCAGGCGGCGAGTGAGCCATGTTGATGAAGGGTCTGCCTTCAGTTCCACCTCAGCGTCTGTCTGCGTCGAAGTGTCTGTCTCTCTGAACCTGACTCTGGATCCCGAGTGAGCGTCGACTCACGCTCGGCTTCCTTCTTGTGCCAAGCATGCCTGATTCCACCTTGTCGACATCCAAGGGTCCGCCGATACGCAAGAGGAGACTGTCGGGATTAGAATTGCAAGAGTAAGTGGTGTGAATGAGTGATGCGATGATGGTTAAAGTGTAAAACTGCGGGTAAGGGCTGCCTACAAGCGACCCAGGACCCAAGGCCGCAATCAGTCACGTGCTGCGCTTGTTTATTTCACCCTCGCCAAAGTAGAACTTGACGCATTCACAAGTATCAATTAACTTGCTCCGTCGTCTGCCCGAATTGTCACTACTGCACTGCGTTTGTCCATCGAGTCTCGCGCTTTACCAATGAATGGCAGGCAGTCGACACGATACTAAGAACCCGATTTCGGTGGTGTGAGGCATGTTCTGATCTAAGATCTCATCCATGCAAGGGTGTCTCATCCTATCCTACCCTTTCCTCGATCCGTCACGCTCCCGTCTGCAACTCCGCCGACCCTCGTAAGAAGCATGGCCGCAAAAAGAAAAGCAGCGGCCATGACCGCAGTCGAAGATGATGAGCCAGTAGATCCTTCAGATGAGCTGGTGTTTATTGGGTTGGGTGGGTGTCAAGAAGTTGGCCGATCGTGTCATATCCTACAGTACAAGGGCAAGACTGTGATGGTGAGGCGCTCAAGACATCACCGGATCAAACAGAGGCTGACATTAGTGTAGCTTGATGCTGGCATGCATACAGGTCGAGAAGGGATGTCGGCAATGCCCTACTTTGACGACTTTGATCTCAGCACCGTGGACATCCTGTTAATCAGCCAGTAGGTGAACCTCTCCTTTTCCGATTGCGTTGCTTTGGAGAGCGAATTTGAGCAGATGGAGCAGAGAACAAATGGGATCTTGGTGTTCTACATCCATAAGCGGCTGCATGTTTGGAAGCGGCTGGATTCTACGGTCATGCTCGAGAGATCTTGTACCTATAGGCAGACACCAATACAATCTTGTTCACCTAAGATCCTTGTTCCTGCCCCTTTGTCCTCCTTTTCAGCTTCAACCCAGTCGTCTCTGCCCTTGATTGCTCAGCTGCCGGGAGGATTTGACCCAGATTGCTCAGAATTGAAAGCTAACTGTACCCTTGTGCAGTTTTCACCTGGATCATGCGGCCGCACTGCCTTACGTGCTCGCCAAAACCGACTTCAAAGGGCGAGTCTTCATGACACATCCAACCAAGGCAATCTACAAATGGCTTATCCAGGACTCTGTCCGAGTGAGCAATACTACGTCAACTTCCGATCAAAGAACCTCGCTCTACACCGAGGCTGATCACATTTCCACTCTGCCTCAAATTGAGACGATCGACTTCTACACAACGCATACGGTGTCAGGCGTCCGGATAACACCGTATCCGGCCGGCCACGTCCTTGGAGCTGCCATGTTTTTGATTAATATCGCTGGACTCAACATTTTCTTTACTGGGGACTACTCTCGAGAACAGGACCGACATCTCGTGGCTGCCGAGGTACCAAACGCTGCGCGTGTGGGCAAGATCGATGTCCTCATCACAGAATCCACGTTCGGCATCTCAAACGCGCCTCCACGCGCCGAGCGGGAAACTGCTCTTCTCAAGTCTGTCTCCAATATCTTGGGCCGTGGTGGGAAGGTTTTGATGCCAGTATTTGCTCTTGGTCGAGCACAAGAACTGCTGCTCATCCTCGAGGACTACTGGCAACGGCACTCGGACCTTCAAAAATTTCCTATCTATTATACCGGCAACACGGCACGAAAATGCATGGTTGTATACCAGACGTATATTAATGCGATGAACGACAACATCAAACGCATCTTTCGAGAGAGAATGGCCGAGGCCGAAGCCGCTGGCAATGCTAAAGGTGTCAGTGCGGGCCCCTGGGATTTCCGCTTTGTGCGCAGTCTGCGAAATCTGGACCGATTTGACGACGTGGGAGGGTGTGTAATGTTAGCTTCGCCCGGCATGATGCAATCAGGCATGTCTCGCATCTTACTCGAGAGATGGGCACCAGACCAACGCAATGGGGTCATAATGACTGGTTATAACATCGAAGGAACCATGGGCCGGACTATCCTGTCGGAACCAGAGATGATTCCCGCCATCATGAGCGGGGGAAACACTGGTCTCGGCCACAACATGGGTCGCAGAAACAAAGATGATGATGCGGCGGTGATGATCCCTCGACGGTGTTCAGTCGAGGAGTTCCAGTTCGCAGCGCACGTTACTGGGGTTGAGAACGTAGATTTCATTGAGCAAGTCGCTGCAGCCCACGTTATCCTAGTACACGGAGAACGTTCTCAAGCCGCACGGCTGAGATCGCGACTGCTGGACCTGAACTCCCGCCGGTTGACGAGCAACCCGAACGCCCATCAAACAAAAGTGTACAGCCCAGAAAACGGCGCGGAAATCAAGATTCCTTTCAGGAAGGACAAGGTGGCCAAAGTTGTCGGGAAACTGGCGCAGATACCCCCTCCTTCATCCGCCGAAGCCGACGACACGAGAGTAATCAGTGGAGTGTTGGTACAGAATGGCTTCAAGCTCAGCTTGATGGCGCCAGAGGATCTTCGCGAATATGCGGGCCTGACGACAACCACCATTTTGTGCCGACAACATATTACTCTAGCCGCAGCTGGGGTCGAGCTCATTAAATGGGCTCTGGAAGGCACCTTTGGCAGCATTGAGGAGGTCGGTCACATCAAAGCCGAACCAAATGGACACGGACATCCTGTCAAGGTCGAGGCCGACGAGAGAAATGGAGAAAATGGGATCAAAGCAGAAGAAGAAGCCGACGAGGAAATTATCGCGGAGCCACAGCGGACATTCCTCATTATGGGATGCGTCACTCTCAAGTGGTCGGGACGAGAGAAGCAGATCGAACTCGAATGGGAGGGCAACACGATGAACGACGGCATCGCCGATGCAGTTATGGCGGTGCTCATGACAGTAGAGAGCAGCCCGGCAGCCGTCAAATACTCGTCGAGCAAGTCAACCCATTCCCACCACGGCCACGAGCAGAACAATAACATCAACACGCTGACCAACGAACTGACCAAGCTCTCTCCTCAAGACCGGTTCTCCAGACTGTGCATGTTCCTTGAAGAACAATTCGGTGATAACATCACGCCTATAGACAAACCGCGCACAGCCTACCCACCAGACGGCACGGCCCTAGTGACCGGGGCGCAGGGAGTGAAAAAGGAGGACGACGACGACAACGGTGACGTGCCGGATGAACCAGATGAGGAAGCCGACCTTGAACGCGCAGAGGCAGCAGAGCGCGCCCGGCTGGCGGCCGCAGGCATCCCCGTGCCGGGACTGGAGATCCGATTCGACAAACATGTGGCGAGGCTCTGGCTGGAGAATCTAGACGTGGAATGCGCTAATACCGTGCTGCGAGATCGCATCAAGGCCGTCGTGGAGAGGGCGGTGGAAACCATTGCGCCTCTTTGGGCGGTCCATGACCGGTCCAAGGCTTGACATACCGTTCCAAACGTGCTCAGCAACAGGATTTTCTGGATTTCCTGTCTTTCCTGTCTACAAGGATGGCGGGAAAAGGGGGCGCTTGACCAATGCATGGGAATGGGAAGAAGGGTAGTCCCCAGTCTAATGGTGTTTGGCGTCAGAAGGACTACGACGACGACAACGAGCAATGAGCAATCGGGGCGGGCAAGGACAACAAACAAGTTACTCGCTCTCTTCTGCTGGATTGCACCACACGAAACCCTCGTTGGTGGGAGACACAGGACAGTCTACTGCGTACATGCAAGGCCATTTCGTGATTACCTGCAATGCGGCTCGACGAAGGAGGAACAACCGTTGTTGAGCCAGGAGAGCGAAAGAGGGTTTACCATCACCATCACCCATCACCACCGTCGCCACCATCAACACCACCCGCAGTGTTCTCAGCATACGCACGACTGTCCCTCCCATATTTATCAGGTCAAGGGCCCCCTGTACGCGGATGATGCCAAGGACAAACAAAGCAAGACTCAGCCTTCTGCGGGGCAAAATCCTTCCTGGGGTGCTAAGGGTGCAACGACTCGACAATTATGTGTCAGGACCCAAAGAAGCCGAAACTATGGGCAAAAGCAGAGCAAGGGCGAAGAACATTGACACCTCGGTAGTACCTAGGTATGTAGTTGCCTTTTTGTCATTGTACACCGACTAGCCAAGGGGAGGGGGTCCGGTGAAAGTGAGCAATTGATGGATACCTTCCTGCCTGCCTGCCTAGGTACCTAGGTAGATACTAAAGGGTAATAGATATAATATCATAGCCCACAGACCACAGACCCGGTGCCGAGTATGCATAAACCAACACAACGAAAGCGCTGTGGCTCTGTTTTTTGAAAAAGAAAAAAAAAGGCCGATCTATCTCTTCTCTGCCTATCCTCTCAAAGAAATCCTCCTCGGTCCTTTTGAAACCCCTTTGAGCATATCTACGTTGGCCGCTAGCCTTTGTGATCTCAGCATTTTGAACCAGCCTCGCAGAAGAGGAGTAAAGGAGATATAGCTCGTCGAGATGTCGGCGACGACGATGAAGACGGCGATAGTCACAGGTACCCTCTTCCCTCCTGTCCTGTCCTCTACTCGTATCTTTGCTTTTGCTATAACACTACCGCACCTAGCTCAACCCATACTCCTACCTTGCTTTCCCCCCTGTATGTTTGTGTGTGTATGTTGCCCCTTTATATATACTCCCCCAACAAGAAGAAATATATGTTCGGGGGTATTCTCGCTATCCACCCCCCCTCCCCTTCAAGGAACACAACAAATCCCTAACCCCAACCCTCCTCTTCTTCCTACTAGGTGGCTGCGGCGGGATCGGTTTCGGGCTGGTCTCCCACCTCCTCTCCAAACCGGACTGGCGCGTCGTGATCGCCGACATCCGCGCCGACGCCTACACTGCCATCTCCGCGTCGCTGGCGCGCGAGGGCCACAGCGACCGGGTACTCTTCGTCGCCACGGACGTCGGGTCGTGGGACTCGCAGGCGTCGCTGTTCAAGCAGGCTTGGGAGTGGTCGGGCGGGCGGGTCGATTTCTTCGCGGCCAACGCGGGCACGGCGGAGAGGGAGCATATCGCGCTGGCGAATCCGTTGGCTGCGGCAGCAGACGACGCTGAACCGACGCCGCCCCCTCTGCTGTGCACGCAGGTCAACCAGATCGGCGTCTTTTACGGGCTCAAGTTGTTCGTCCACTATGCTCGGCGCACTGCGAAGGCCTTGCATCTCCAATACTCCTCCGCCGCAGCAACAAACGGCATCGATCCCGCTCCCCACAACCCATCGTCATTCCTATCCCCCTCCGCAGCCGCAGCCTCATCCCTAGGCTACCACCCAAAAATGGTCATCACCTCCTCCTGCGCCGGTTTGTACCCTTTCCCCATCGCCCCGGAATACAGCGCGACAAAACACGCCGTGCTGGCCCTCACCCGCTCCGTCGGGCCCGTGCTGTACTCGACCGACAACATCGCCGTCAACTGCATCAACCCGGCGTACGTGGACACGAACCTGACCCCCTCGGAATTAACCGCGCAATGGCCGCCGCAATGGATCACGCCCATCAGCACAATGGTGCGCGCGTACGACGAACTCATCTCCGAAACCGGCCAGGTGGTCCAAGACGGCAAGTCTAACGGCGAGGATGGCGTCGTGAAAACGGGCCAGAGCGTCGAGTGTGTCGTGGACAAGCTGTTTTATCGCAGACCCGTCGAGTATGCGGATGAGAGCCAGAGGTTTCTCATCGAGCAGGCCTTTGATCTGAAAGAGGGGCTGTGGTGGAAGGGCGCGAGGAAGATGTTTGAGACCTTTGCCAAGCAACAACAGCAGCAGCAGTAGCAGCAGGCTGCTGCTTCGCAGAAGCCGGAAGGGATGTGAAAAGATCCAAACCAAGAAACATCACAAGCCCCTGCAGTGGCTAGACTTGTGCGAGAGAGGGACGTGAAAAGGACCACATTTTTTTTTCTAGGAAAAGATCATGTGCACTGGCCAGACAGAACATATTCGAGGGAGAGAAATGAGGTATTTATGAGTTGGACACCCTACGGTGCGTCCAGGTCCAGTAGATGGACAATCGTGAAATTGCGAGAGAAGTCGTATTTTGAGGCTGACGGCCGAGCACCTACCTGCAAAGAAGACAAAGAATGTAGAGGGACTGAGGGCTGGTATCTCGAGCTATTCCCCCCTTGTTCTGTTTCGGATCAATACGACGGTCCTCTGGAGGCTGATAAGAGCGAATGGATTATTGGCGTCCTATACTCATGTCGTTACAAAGGAACACTTAGACTGCATTCCGACTTGCAATGTGGTCAATGAAAGGTCGTCGTCGATAATCCGTCCTAACGCGCTGTTATTCACGTTTGCTGGACTGGTTTTGACAGCCCAAGACAGACTAAACTCGTACCATCTGATTTGAATTGCTACCTAGCTCTATGCTTGGGAGAACCTCCACTGGACATCGAGCCTGACCACCAGGCGAAGCCCTGAAGGGAATGAGTTTCAGTAGAGTATTGGTGCCTCAATTTGATATGACGATACAGGGCGAGCAAACAATCGCTCAACCAACACTCTCTGTAAGTCTGGCAGCACAGAGCCGGGGGGTTCCAACCACAATCCAGCAAAAAATCGACGCCGAGTGGTAAAGGGAAGCGGCGCAAAGGGGAAAGAGAGAAGTAAGGGAGGGAATGGGGCTAAAGGGGGTATCATGGGGCTGTCTTGTTTATCTGTTCCGAACGATCTCCAGATCTAATCATCCTGTCCTGCGTCTGAACTCTTCTGTCTTTCCATGCATGCACCCAGACCGCAAAATTCTATCGGTTGCAGGTGCCTTTGCCATAACGGCCATTTCCTTTCGGTAGACCTTCGGCTGCAGAAGGCTTGGTGCTAAGGTGAATCAATGTCTCCATCGCAGTTGTGATCGAACGGAGCCAGATTTTCGTTGCCGTTTCCGTTTCGATATTCGGTCCAGATGTTGGTGGAAAAGCCATCAATAGGAGGAGCTGATCCGGCATGGACATCGTCCACCATTGACTCGCGACCGAGATCTTGTGACGACTCTGGATCTGACTCACCAGTCGAACAGTAACTGCGCCACATAAGGGCTGAAGGGTTCTTGAACGGCCGTATGAGACGGTTACGCTTTCGGGGGTCATTGGACTGTTGACACTCGTCCGCGCGACCATTCTCTCCGTATTGCAATGGCTCATGTTCGCCATCGTTTCCCAGTCCTGGCACTACTGTACTGGCTTGCGATGAGAAATGACCTTGACATAACGGTGATCAGCGCTCTGACAGGGGGCTTTCATGTGCTGTGCTGGGGCTGGTGCTGGGGTGCGAACGGGCAAGGGTAATTCGGGGTGGCGGTAATGGTGCCGGGGAGGTGGATGTGTTGGGGGTAAGAGATATTCTCGACATCAAGTTCATGAGGCATTCATGATGGTACCTTGATGTTGAGTCTGTCGTTTGACTTGTTCTCTTGCCCAACGTGCTGCATTGATTGTCCGCGGTGAGAAGTCTCGAGCTGTTCGAGTTTCTTTGATAATCTTGGTAATCCATTCTTGTCGATAATAATCTGAAAGTGATCCGTCCGGGAAGGTTTCGCTGAGATCACTGAAAACTGTTAGAAAGAGCTAGGAGCAGCCTGGGTTAACACTTACGCGATAATACCCATGCAAGCTCTGAGTAGGCCCTCGTTATGGTTCATATCCTGAGAAACAGTCTGCAAAAATTCGAAGATGGGTTGCACATAATTTTGGAGGAGGGGAGCTGCAACTTCGTTAGCTTCGAAACATGTGTATTAGAAGGCATCGTACCTTTCTCAGAACCCTTGAAAGCCAGAATCAGGCCTGACCATGCATCTGCAATACCAGATCGGAGAGACACAATGTAGTCCAGCATATCGAACGAGACGTCATTCGCAACGGACACATTGTTTGCTTGCTGGAGGACGCCGGCGACCACAGTGACGTAAGTTTCGAAATGCACACCAATGCTGGTGGCAATATCACCAAAGGTCTCCAAGATCGGAGGTTTCAGCGCGTTGGAGAGTTTGTCGGACTAGAGACAGTTATTAGTCTAGGAAAATGAGTAGATGAGTGGGGAAGACAAACCCTAAGATCGTTGAGCAGGTAGTTCATGAATGTATCACAGTACGGTCGTGCCTTGTCCTCCAGAGCACGAACAATGTCGCTAACAAGCCCAATGGCCAAAGAACACATTTCCGGAGCGTCCTGATTGCCCAGGGCATTGTAGAGATATGGAGCGAAGGAGTCCATATACTTGAGGAAGTCGCCTGCCAATGCATTCGCCAATCCACTGACAATCTGGAAAATAACTTCAGGGACGCTCGTATTACCAGTGGCGTTGAGAAGCTCCAGATTGATTTGCATGATCCGATCGGCCTGGGGTCCGATATTCTGTTCGAGTCTCTGGACAATGGCAAGCAAAACACTGCTAAGGCTCACTTGCAATTCCTCTAGCGTAATCTTATCGTCAATACTGACAATCTGCTTCTGCATGGGAATTGTGCTCTGTAGACGCTGGATAATGACATTGGACAGTTCTGCAACGATCTGCAGGCTGTCGTGAGCGGCGTTTGTCACGAAACCACCAAGCACTTCATATGCAGCTGTGCGAAGCTGATTGTTACCTCCTTCTTTCTCGGTGACCGCAAGCAGAGAGGTCACAGAATCTTGGAAATGCGGCGTCAGTGGGTTGGTTGATGCGCCGTCCTCACCGACAAAACGCTCCGTCAGATTAAGGAGAGCCAAGCAGCAGGAAGCGGCAATCTTGGGATTGCTCATAAGGCCGGCAAAAAGGGCGGACATAAGTGGTTGCAAATGTGTCGACGGATCAATACAGTCGGAACAATAGTCGCAGATCCTGCTCAAAGCATACGCCGCAGAGTCTTGGACTGGGACAACTGGATCCTGCATCATTCCAATTAAAACCGGAAGGGCTTGCTTGACAAGAGGATCGAGGGTCTTAATGTCAGGCCCGTCCATGATTGCTCCAAACGATGAGACTGCGGCGTCTCTGTGAGTCCAGTCTTCGCTGCGTAGATTCGCCTCGACAAACTGAAGGACCACTGGGACCAAGTCGCCACCTATTGTCTGTGCGTAGAGTTGGAGACATTGATAAGCGGCGCGAGCGACGTTGTATTCATCGTCGGCATCATCCTCGGAGACCTTGGTCATCAACTGAAGCAGGACTGGGACAACCTCACGTGCCGCGACTCTGGCAAAGTTGAAATAGGGTCGCAGTTCGGTTGATCCTTCTTGCTGTGCTTGTTGGTTGTCATCTTCAATGCTGATTTCCTCTTCGCAAACAGTGCACCAGAATTCGATGGCCAGTTTGGCCACATCCTCTTCATCGTTCTTCATGCCTGCAATGGTGAGACCGAACAAGGCCTTTTCCATATAGAACCTCATCTTGTCATAGTAGATGGCCATAATACGATTCAGGCAACCAAAGGCAGCGGCTTGAACTCGGGTGTCGGGGGATTGTGTGGCCTCGCACACGACTTGCATGATGTAGTTCCTCTCGCCTTCGTTCTCGAAATTGCTGCGGATGAACTCGGTGGCATCACTGAGCGCCGACAAGGCCGAGAGTCGAACATCCTGGTTCTCCTCCTCTTTCCGCGCACCTTGCACAACGGCGGTCAATATAGCGTTAGAATATCCAACTAGAGACTCCCTGAGCTCGACATCGTCCGATTCGCAAATGAAGCCGATGGTGGTCAGACTGGATTGCTTGAGTTTGTCATCACCAGCGCCGACGTTGTGGACGAGCGCAGGTAACAAATCAGGCCACTCGTTGCGTGGTAGTTCAATTGCGGCAATGGTCGCAATCAGCTGGGCGGCCGAGTTGGCGGCTTGAGGCGTCGAAGTGAGGGTTTTGACAGCCAATTCCTTGACCTGAGCCTTGATTTGAGGGTCGACTCCTTGCAACCATCTTGCCTGTACCTCTCTTAATCTGGTCACGTCACGATAGGTGAAGGCGTTCTTCAAGGCGAGGCCGGCGGCTTGTCGGACGGCGGGACTGGCTTGATCATTGGCAAGTTCTCTCGACAGAATGGAAAGGTATTCGGACTATGTTTGCAACCGCTGGTTAGTTGGATTTTTTTCATGTCGCTGGTAGGGTATGGGATGGACATACAAAATTTCCCTCGCGGGCTTGTCTGAGTTGTTCCTCAGCACCACCACGGATTGTGGCATCTAGGATGGGTCAGTGCCATGCCGGAAGCGTGAAATGTGAGATATAAACTTACCGGGAGAGAAGGTGTTCTCTAAGACCGCTCTGACGTCCATGATGGCTGGACCGAGCAGCGGTCTGGGAGGAACAAGGCGGACAAAACGAGGATTGCAGGCTCTAATTTAGACAGTAGGCAAAGATGATGTCAAAATGAGAAATGACACAGGGCCTGGAATTCAAGGAGAGAACGACCTGTAGGACGGGACGGCAGGCAAGGATATTGGCGAGTTGGACGGTAAGAGAACGGGTCAAGAAGGGAGAAGAGACGGTGGTTTGAGAGTGTGCGCAGTGCAGTGCAGTGCAGGGCTGCGGATTTGGTGTGTGTTTTGCTGAGGGCAACTGCAAGTCTGCAAGTGGGATGGATTTGTTGATAGACTGCGGTCAGGCTCGCGCTAACTGGGGCTGCCACTTAGCCAGGCTGCACACTGGCTGCTCAACCTGATCGTTTACGTAGCCCAGGTCAAAGGCTGCACCAGCTGCACCCAAGCTGCACCCAAGCTGCAGGGTCGGACTGTGGTGGTCAAATTGCGGATCTGCTGGTGGTGCAGGTCAGTGACTAAAGCAGACAGCTGGCTCGCTACATGTGTGTGTCTGTCGATGCCCTATCGCTACCTAATTCACTCTCCACTGCTGGTGCTGCCTCGACTGACGCCTGCCCTGCATCTGCGTTGAGCATTTCACTCCCCGGAAAGCCCTAGAGCCCCAGATCCTGGATACCTAGGTACCTTTTGGTGGCCGCCCGCCGACGCTCCGGGTGCAAACTCTTTCCCTGCCACGCCTGCCAACGCCAAGTAGCGCCACTCAGGGCGCCTGGGCCCAGCAATCTGCCAGCCTTGAGCAGCCTCGTCCTGCCTGTCACATCCTTGCCCGACCTCGATGTTGTGGGATGTTCGAGTGTGGTAATACAGAGTCACTGAAACCTACGGTACTGCTGCTAATACTACATGCTCATTTTATAACAGACAACCCTCTCAGTCAATTGAGCCCGCCATGGCGTGGGCAGCTCCTACGGCCAATACCTCAGCCTTGTGCCACAAACGGCGTGCACCATCTTGAATGCTTCCTTGATGCCATTTGATCACTCCGTCATGAGCTCGTCGTCCCCGTCGGCGACGTCGCGAGCATTGTCTTCGGCGTCCAAGTCCAAGACCACAAGTCCCAGCCCACTTTCGTCAAGGACAGTGACCACTCTTCTCCCGACGCGCCCGTTCACATCAAGCCTAACGGGCTTCATCACGCCATCCAATTCCCCTCTCTGGAAAATGTGCCGGACATCCCACGATCCTTCGCCGTCAACAGTGACCTCTTTCCAGTAGAGTTTGACACCAGATGCGGTCTCGGCAAGGAGCAGAAGTGCACTGTCGTCGATAAATTTCGCATCAAGGACCTCCTGCACCTCGGGAATTGCGAGCGAGTTCGACCCCATTATGTGCTTGACACCCCTTCCAACTCCCTGTGGAACCTCGACCACGACATGTCGAAGACGAGATTTCCGTTGGCGGTCCTTTGATATCACAAAGAGCCTGTACAGCTTAGGATCGGCGTCGTCGGGGATGACCCTAACGTCCATGTTCTCACCAACACACTCACCAGGCAGCTCCTGCAGATACCTCGTGAGGATGCTCTTCCTGAATGTTTCTGCAATGCGCGCAAAGACCGCCTCACATTGCCTCTGTAATTTGTCGACCAATTCGCCCAGTGTAGGCATGCTCTTTTCCGTGCTGCCACCGGCTCTGCGTTTCGTGAAGTCGGCGTAGAATCCTGGATCCGAACTGTCATCAAAGGATGGAAGCAACCCGTCTGCTTGCTCCTTGGTCTCTCCTAGGAGATATTTCTTCAATCGACTCTCCTTCATAGCACCTCCCACGTAGTCTAATACCAGCCTCAACTCTCCCTCTCCAGTCCATGACTCCCTCATCTCTTCCGCTCTCTCGCTGCCTTCCTCAAGCGCCTCAACCTCGCACTCCCATTTCAACCATTTAATAAACGCCGCAAATTCTCTTGATTCGGTCACGACATCAAGCAGCAGGTCCTCACCAAGGATACCCAATGCATCGATGGTCTCCATCACCCTATTCACCTTCTTCTCGTCTAGTCCAAGCTTCGAACTAGTATGCCCAAATCTGGCAAGGCCGTCAAGTCTTGATAACAGTGCCAGACTCCTCTCCAACGCAGGAAGCAGACACTCGCTCGTCATCCTCTTCACCACCTCAAGACAATCCCCAACGGCGTTCTCCCACCGCTTGAGACCCCTATCTCCAACCTCGTCAACCAGCCATTCCTTCAGTTTCGGGCCGCAAACTCCAGTAACAGCGAGGTGATGTGCTGCGAAGGTGAAGTCCGCATTCTCATCTTCTTCTGCAAGCGATTCGTTGATATTACGGAGGAACCTGCCCGGTAAATCGAATGCGGCTTTGACCTCGGCGACCAATTGCGTCCGCACCTGCGAGATGTATCTTAACAGATAACCTAGCTGCGAGACTTTCCTCGCCACAAGAGGTAAGGTCCTTCCGGTCTGCGGGATGAAGCTCAAGTCAAGGCCGAGGAGGTGCAGCGACGAGGCAGCTTCATCTTTTGGCGACTCTTCGATAAGCAAGAAAACGGTTGACACGAATGGATGACTTTCCATTCTCAGCACCCTTGATGCTCCTCCCGCACCATGTCCTGAAGGGAGAATACCCTTCAGATTGACAATTCCTATATCGAAGGAATCAAAAACCCTCAACTGAACCATACAACCGCCATCTTTATCAGTTAGCCCGACTAGCAGGGCATCGACACCCCCGGACCCAGCAAAGCCGTTGTTGCCGCCTCCGTGAAACACAACATCCACACTGCTCCGCGTACTGAACACATCATCCTCCGCGCCGAGACCGGTAGGGGGTAATGTCGCAAGCCTTGGCAAGGATACTTCCACGTCGATGCTGCTTAATTCGCGGGGCAGATCGGCTTTCAGTTGGAGAAGTCTATCTACGTCAGCGCGCAGGCCGAGAATTTGATCAAGTGAGAGTGTGGACTCTGGCGCACGGAGATGAGAGCGCACGGTGGCGGGAGAAGGGTCGACAAAGTGTGTTGTCCAGGAGATCGTTGTGATGGTCGGTCGTGAGGGTGTGGTCTGAGAAGCAGGGAAAGAGGAGACTCTAGAACTCTGCCTCCGTGTCTGCGTCTGTAAAAGTAGCTGTGATGAAGTCGAAGTGGTGGCGTTCTTATTCTGACTGGATATTCGATGAGAGATTTTGCCCGTGAAAGTATTTATGAGTGATAGACTGCCATCCGCGCAAGCAATCGCAAGGATTTGACCTATGCGTCCGTCCCCGACGTCGCGACGTAACAGTCAGCATGCACTTTCTTCCTGAATCTGTAGGAAGGGACTGATTTGAACCCAAGAAGCACCACATCCCTCAGTACCGGTCATTGACACGATCTGATGGACGCTATAGTGGGAGTGAAAAGGGGGACACAGAGTGAAAGCTGCTCACCGTCCATCCTCCATGCAACAGCCCTCACATTCCCTCCGCCCCCACTTTCTGCTGAGGCTTGCCTGTCCATGTCACCACCATCATCTTCGTCTTTGGGGAAATTTGAGCCAAAGACTCTCTGCCCGTTCAGCCTCCAAACATCCACGCTCCCCTTGGTCGTGACCGTTACCACAAGATCCATGGTTGGACAGTACGCAAAGAGGGACGGGATGAAAGGGTCTGTGAACGTGCGTTTCGATATTTGATGCATTGTTGAAACCGAGACCGATCCGCAATGGTTCGAGGTGGTATGGTTCGCGTGGTCGATAAGAGCAGACCTCCGCCGTGAAAATGTGTCACCGGGTGGATTGCAGGTAGAATGGCTGGCCAACAAGAATTTGGTCAATCAACGGTTCTTGAGACCGACAAATCGTCCCATTTGCTACAATGGAGGGTGATAATGAGTGGCTAGGGCGAATGCGGTGCTTAACAGAGTGCAATTCTTTGCGTTTTAGCAACGCGTGCCAACGCCCAATCGATCAATGAACGCGTCAAAGGAGGCAAAGCGCAAAGGATAGACTTCGGATGTAAAAGGGGAGCCAAGTATGCAATCATTGAGTCGTCAAATCAAGATCATCATCATTCATGAGTCTGTGTCCTCACAGATATTGGCAATTACTGGTGAGTATGGCTGTTCTATGTCTATGTTGTCGTCAAGAAATTCTGCCAAGCCTCAAGCAACCTCGTTGATTGGAGGCAAGGCTGAGGGAGGCTCTGCCAGATCCTCGTCCCTTCCTTTTCAATTTTTGGGCACCATCAGCAATGCCTCCTAAGAGGTTACCACTTCCTTCCATGTGAGAAGTCCTCCATAAATCCGTCAAGTCCAAGCCACTATTGTTCCACTAATTAGTCCCAAAGCCCGAAACTCCACCCCATCAAGGGATATGCTGTTGATACTGTCATATCGAGGATTTGTAAATGAAGTTAGATCCAGGTGGATCAACCAGCCGAGCTCTTGCTCATCTGAACATGAAGAAAAAGAAAGGACGCCGACAAGTATACCCATCAAACTTGCAACCAGGTGACGTAGTAATGTGTACTCCACATGTTAATGCTGTTGGATCATTCCACCCAAATAGCTCAATTCAGCAAGAAGTTGTTGCATACTGGTGGAATGGGGAATTGTTGACTCGTCGCAGCTCGACATTTGAGACTGATACACGCCTGCACGATGGTTCTCATCCACAACCAAAGGTGCGACATGCTTGGTAAGCGTTGCAGGTTTGTGCATGGGCCCGGATCCAACGTCTCCTGAGGGCAGGCTGTAGTGCTGAAAGCCCGTCCAGGAGAAATGTGCATCTTTGGCGCTGTCAACGTCCACGTGAGAGTTCGGAGCGGTAAAAGAAGCGACCGAGCTGACCGTTGAAAAACTGAATGCCGAAGGCAATCGACCTTGCTTGGTGGCAATAGAGGTGTTTGCTTCTGAAAAGTCCTGAGGGTTTTGAATTTCAACGGTAATCGGATCGTCACTTGGAAAGTCGAGAGCTGCTTCTGGTAGTGGACTTATTGGCTCAAAATCAAGAATACTCGAGCTAAGCTCCGATTGTGGTGAAAATTTGTTTGTCCCGTCTGTCCAATCCGAGAAACGGCTCCGGTCGTGGGGGAGGAAGCTCTCCGTATACGATTCTGTTTCGATGGTGGTGCAGGAGAAATGACTGCGAAGGTTGGCAATATCATCTGCTTCATCATTGGTGGAGGGTTCATCGACAACACTGGGTGGATATGCAGAAGATGGCGTGTTGGGTAGGGTCGGCAGACGTTTCTCCAAATCAAAGGGCACCCGTATATCATCAGCCTCCTTTTCGCCTCCAACTTTCACCGCAGTTAGAGGCCAGACGGGGGTATTTGCTGCTGAGGCCACCTCCTTTAGGGTGGCCAAAGGCTGATACTGTACGACGGGTTCATCAAATGTCCCTAAGTTGGGAGAAGTGTCTGATTGAAGCGAGCTGCGGAGTGGCGAGGGCTCCCGCGACAGAGATCGCTGGCGCCGATGATATGCAAAGGACGATATCGGTAAATTCCCAAAAGGCTCAGACTTGTTGGTTGGCCGGCGTAGGACGAGCTCTCCCGCAGATTCAGATATGGTGTTATCGTCCACCTCTGGAATTGAAGTAGCTGTCCCAAGTAAAGTCCTCTTGGGGGTGATGCTACGCTCTGACACGCCTTTTGAACGACCCCTCGATGCCGGATCGTCTGGGAGGCTTCGACCTCGGTCTGTTGTAGTCTCAGGACTCGCCGTCCGTGGTGATGTCAGAGCTCGAATAGCACCAATGATCCCAACAGAGCGGTTGCTTCCTCGTGAAGTTGACCTCGAAAGTGCCTCAACGGATGGCTTCATTCGGACTACTCTGTAAGCATTGGCACTGCTCGGGTGAGAGGGTGTGGTGTTGGATGTCGACCTTCCTCTTCTGCTAGGAAGGGATGAAGCACTCGCAGGGGAACTGGAAGAAGACCACGACTGTTGCAGCACAGTTGGAGATGTCTTCAGGCGCGGTAGGGATGGCTTTGCTGGCACTGGCCGCGGGTTCAGAAACTTGTCTGTAGGGTTCATCGTGCGGTAGTCGGAGCTTGTTGAGCTCACACTGTCATTGCGGGAGCGGCTGCTGCTGGTGAGTGCAAAGGGAACATTCAAGACATTGACAAGCTGGCCAGGAAGCATGGGACAAGAGGTGGTCGATGGTTCTGCCGAGTTATGAAACTCAATGTCGTCGTCCAGTTTGTACTGTGAGGGCCTGGTAAGTAAGAGATTGGGGAGAGCCAACAAAGGTCAAACACACATAGTACCAATAGGTTCCACCCATCTTGAGTCCTCCTTGCCTGGGAGTACCATTGACTGTTGTGTCGCCATCGCAGATGATGTTCGAGAAGCTATGGCAACCTGACCAGTGCTCAGGGCCCGTGCGAGTATCCCTCTGCATGGGGTAGGCAGTCCTGAAGTTGTCCCAAGAACCGTAGAGGTGAACTGATCTTGTTGAAGGTGGACTGCGACTGCCATGGCCGTCAGCTTGATTTCGGGGTTAACAGAGGGCACGACATACACCAGAAAGGTCATCAGCGTAGTTGGTGCCATCTTTCAAGGTATTCGAGAAAGGCCAAAGTATTAGAACAACCAGTATACTTTTATTTTGAGACAAAGGTCACAAAGAAGACAAGTTCCAAAGTAATCGAACAAAACTTTCTGTCCGGCAGGAAAGTACAGGGTATCACATAAGTCAGAGGCAACGACAAAAGAAAAGAAGAAATTGTTCAAACAACGCAGCCGACAGACACGAGCACGATGGTTGAGCAGCCTGATATGAGAAGGCCGCAGGCCGCTGGGAGAACAACACAACGTCTCCTGGTAGAGTTCGTTTGAGATGTGTGCCTTGCTGCACAAAATATAGTTGAGCCCAGGGCTGAGAGGTGACGCCACGGGATGTGGAGATCCGCAGGTACCAGATTGGACACTATTTCTGCGCAGAGGGTGAAACTGAGGTAGCCCTCAAATCAGCTTGTACAGCATGTGCGGTGTTGTCTGTGATGGCAGCATGATGGGGGCCAAAATGGGGAATCCTTGTTTGAGAGAGCTGAAACTGAGTGACGGGGGAGACGAACAGGGACCGCGCGTGTTTGAGGATTGGATGAGCGAAGGCCAGCAGTGTTGACTTCGAATTGGATCCAATTAAAAGAGATGAAGAAGGTGCCAGGTCGAGTCTTGTCAGGCGCTTGGTGTTGGTGATTGCAGGAGAGCAGGAGCAATCCAGGGTTGGGCGGCTACTGAGGCGGAAGTGAGTGGTGTTTCGACCAGCAACGGCTGGCTATGGGTGAGAGCAAATGAGTGGTCGAGCGTAGCACAGGGTACGCAGCAGAGAAGATTGCAGTCAGAGGGTGAGAAGACGAATAAATTCGTGCATTGGTGGAACAAGGCAGATTATATGAGCTGCAAGCAACAACTTGATATGGCTGAGGGAGATGCAGCGGGAGATGCAGCCGTCATGCAGCCTGGAAACTTGACAGTGGCGGCTTCGACCGTGTCACCTCTTCTTGTTCATGGCCATGTCTCTTATTTTATTTCCGAGTCCCTTGCTGGGGGGGGAAACACAGCTCAGCAAACGAGAGAACAGGGCCCGCTCGAATCGAGAGCCAGTGTTGATCGGGGTTGTCAATTTGGGTCAAGCGAAGAGGCTGGGGATGCAAAGCAACGGCACGGACACTGGATGCTCGATGGGTACCTGGCGATGGGTATTTCTGGAAGCGGGAGAGCTGCATGGAGGATTGGCCAGAAAGGGCACGACTTGCCACGAAATGCATCTTGATAGAGCAAAACAAGGCAAAGGCGGTGCAGTAGCGAATCGTGTTGCCCAGCACAGTCAAATTGGAGCCAAAGTCAAATGAGAAGAGATGAGGAGGCACCGCATGGCAACTTGAAGTCCGCGGGCCACAGCATGGCGATTGGCCGTTGCCTCGTCAGCTCATGCTGTTCACGGCTTAGCCTCGGATTCCGGACCAGGAACCAGGCACCCTAGTGGCCAGGCAGGCCAGGCACTTGCCAGGCACTTGCCAGGGCCTCGAGTCTCGCAGGGTCCGAGACTCGGGGAGCCGCTAAAAGTCGACCCCAGCCACAACCAACTTGTTTGACTTTCACTTTCAGCTCACACGGCACTCGCTGTTCACGGTTTCTTCCACTGCTACTAGTGGGGTTCTGGGCATACACCTTTGAACAGAGATTCATGAGGTATAGTAGTAGTGAGGTGACAAATTCAAAAGAAATGACAACAAAGTGCAGCAGACCAGTATCATCGACGAAGTACCCGTACGAGCCCTCGCTCCCTGCTGCTGCCCCTATTATTCATTTGTCAAATCGAGAGACCTGGGTAACCGCTGGCCCTCCTTGCGACAGGTCAATTTACTGGGGGAATCAGCCACTGAGGGAAAAGGGGACCTCAATTTGACCTTATTCTGTACTTGCTGAGCGACGTGCTTTTAGCCCCTGGCAGGCCTGGCGGGCCTCGTGGTGCCCGTTTGATGGCGATGACTTGTCGTCATTCCATGCACACTAGGCCGGTAGGGAACAACGTTGCTTCGAACCCCGTATTTTAATTCAGCAGCAAAGAATTCTTCACCAAAGTCCTTGTCAATTGTTTATATGGCGTCGGCCTGGATATTTCCAGGGTTTTACGCTTTACTCGTATATACCCGGCAGCAAGGACCTCGAAGTGATCCGTGTTTGTACATACAGGGCGTCATGGCAGGTCGTGAAAACATTAATCGGCATGGACCCATCCCTCCCTTGCCTCCAAAACGCCCTCAATCTCGCCACCCACGCTTGTAAGAGCAAGATCACCGACGCCGTCGCCGTTTTAATTCAAAATCATTCTCGTCAAATTCGTCGTCCTCTTCCTCAAGTGTGACTGGCATTTCATGCTCGTGGACGGCCGCTGCCTTCTGATGATCGGTCAAATCTTCACTCCCCCAAACTGAGGGCGAGTCGTCAGCTCGCTCAATGCCGTGATTACCCAACATCCATCGTCCTAGGCCAACCACGCCCTCATAAGCTTCTTGGCCCGTGGGAAGAATGTGTGACTTCGGCAGCAAAAACCCATAAGTTCCAGTATCTCTCAGCTTGATTTGGAATGCAAGTTTTACGTCCAGATCATGGTAGAAGAAATCCAAGGCTGACCCACCCTGTGGCTCGATCTGAACCCGCGGTTTTCTCTCCTGATCCTGAAAGACCATGCTACCTTGACAGGCGCTTTCGACTCCATAATAGTGTCCGTTGGTCAATCGCAAAGACTTCGCAATCCCAAGAGCAACCTCTTCCAGGTCTTCAAGATTTGGGGGTGCTGCATCGCAAGTGTAGCTGTACGGGTAGAGCACTTGCTGAGAGTATGAGTGGAAGTCTAGATATGACACGAACGTGACATTATTGTTTTCGGTCAAGTTTCGAGCCCACCCAGTCAACATTTGAGCTTCGACTGCAGCCAACGGTCCGGGGCCGGCATAGTCGTCACTACAAGCGTTGTCCGAGTTACCATAACCGTCCCATTCGTATCGAAAGGCGCGGTCGAGGTCGATACCTGCGCAGAACGGAATAGAAGTGGCCTGTCGATTTTTGCGCCACAATCTGTCAGACGTCCAGGTATACTCGTATCCATCAGGGTTCAGCACGGGAACGAAAACCAGGTCGAAGTGATTCAGGATCTTAGTAACCTCGGGAAACTGGACGTGGCCATATCGTGTGACGAGGCTGTAGGCGATGTAGGCCACAGTCGAGACCGAGATCCATTCGCGAGCATGGCTCCCACCCACTATTAGTATTGTATGCTTGGAATCATGCGACTCTGCCGAGCTACTGTCCATCTGCGCTCCAATGCGCAACGCGGGGATGTCGCGACCCTCAGCCGATTTGCCAATACTCATCAGTGAGGCGTGTGTAGGGAAGAGCGAGGCAAGCAGTCGTAGCCAAGGATATAGGACCGACAGCGGTTGATAGTCTTGGAAGAATAGATCATGGGGCGTGTTGCCCTTCATCCTCCAGTCATGTGGGGTTGTGAGGCTCGAGATCTTCTCGTTGACGAGAGGTGATTCAGGATATGTGTCGTAGACGGCACGGGCCAGATCGTGCATCAAGGGAACGTATGAATCGTGTAAGGACGGCGGTAGAAGACCAACAAAGGAGGGGACCACTTCTTTTGCTACTCGTATATCGATCCATTCGTTGGTTGTTTCCCATATGTCCAAGTATAAGATATCCGCTGCCTCTGAAATTGCCCTCGCCTCATCTTCGCTCTTGACTTGGAAACGGAGGACGACGTCACCACCATAGCGAGCGCGGAAGTTTTCTGGCGCCCTGGCTGCTCCGGATATGGATGAGGACTTGTGGGAATATCTGCTCGGAACAGACCATATTCGTTCGATAATAGCATCTCGAAGCCTGCGGAATGACCCTGTCGGCCTTTCTCGGGGAATGAAGCCGACTTTGTTTTGAGAGGAGGGATGAGAGTAGGACTCGCTTGTAGGGACGGAGATGGTCGCAGTGATAAGAGCCAAAAGTATCAATATGCAGCGGAGAAAAGGAGCCATACTGGGCTGGAGACAATGTTGTTATTGTGACATGTGAGCCGAATGCCGGAGCCTGGAAGATCAAAGGCGGCCCAAAGGGTAGATTTTCTGATGCGGAAATTGAGCACGAGAGCAGTTTTGGAGCAGTCGTGACAGCAGCCGGCTCGGTGGGTGGGGAGGGAAGGATGTGCAGAGGCGCCTAGATGTTCATCAGATAGAAGTGCTTCTGCCTGAGTAGAGAGTAAAGATTACTAGATGGCACAGGAAGGATAAGCAGTCATACGAAGATTCTGGAGATCACAGGGAGGCGCAGAGGAAGGGACAACAAGAAGTTTTTTGGATGCGGTTCGAGAGCAAATGTTAAACGTGCAGGTGGAAAGGCGCTGCCTGCATGCCCCGCCCCTCTTCTCCGACCAAATCCATTAAGGGCCGTTCTTCAACAACAGGCTCTCCAGTCAGTGGCACCCGGAGTGGCAGTCAGCCCTCTAAACGAGAGGCCGAGTCCAACATTTGGCTGCTAGATGGCTGCGGGGGAACCTCCCCTCTCTTTCTACAGGCCACCACCAATAACCGCTTGATGATAGGCATCTAGTGTTCTTGCCAGCCTGGCCGCTTTCTAGCGCTATTATTGCTGATTGTCGAGCCGTTAGCACATGTCTGAGGTTTTAGACGAGACGCTTGCATTGGGCCTGGCTAGTTTTTGCTTCTGGCTCAAGTTTACCCATGATTTGCTGGAGAGACTGCGCAGCACTGTGTCGGGATGTGGTTTGGCTGCTGGATTGAAGCACATGAACTGAGGCAAGGGAGCAACTTGCGCATTCTATTCTTCGTGACATGCTTGGACGATAATGAGCTATCGCAGGCCATGTACCGCGTTCAACATCTTGGGCCATCTCATTTTGCCTCGTATGCTTCTTCCAAGGAATCGAGCCTCATGACTGTTTCGCTTACACCTTGTATTCTTCCAGACCCCATTTCCACACGGTTGCATATGGCGTCATACCGTCCTCACGGAAGTCGACGAGGACGTACATTCCGTTCTCGGTCATTGACTCGCCCTGGTAAATGTCGTAGTTTTCCCAGTTCCCCAAGATCTTTTTGGCTGCAGCAGGTGCTTCGGACTGGAATTTCTTGATGTCTTCTTCGGGCGTGCCCTTCTCCTTCAATTTCTCCGTCAGGGCCTTCATGTATTCTGTGCAAATGTCAATTCTGTAGCCTTGACGAATCCTGGCCCAGGACTTGTGACGTACTCTTGAGTTCGGACTGATATGCTTTCTTGCTCATCCCACCTTCCAACTTCTGGTAACGAAACTGGTCCGCAAGATCAAGCACCGTGACCTTGGTGTCATCCGTGCCCTCCTCGGCGTCTTCACCCTCGGCAGACGGGTTGGCACCCTCAAGAACTGGATCCCAAGAGTTTAGTGTGAATTCGCAGAGGGGGCAAAGTATGGGGACGAGACCAACCGAAATTCTCGGAGCCCTTTGTGATCATCTTGCCGTCAATTTCCCACAAGCCATTACCAACGTCGATGACTTTGGAGGTATCGGACGCGAGCTCATCGCCGCTGATGATGTCCTGATACAAAATTTGTTAGTTCATCAGGCGGGGGTATGTGACAAGGATCCGAGGTTTGCGGATGCGTTGGTTTCGTACCCTGTAAATGATCATCTTGAATCAAGCGCTGCAACGAATACAGAGGAAAGGAAACTAATGGAGAGAGGCTGCGCTTGAAGGTAGAAAGGGCCAGGCGAAAGGAAAAAAAAGAATGAGCGCAAGCCTGGGTTTGGGTTGATGAGGGGTTCGAGATCCAAGGGCATCTGGCCTGTGAATGCCTATCCACCAGTGCCACCTAATAAACTGCGGTGTGGGGGGCCCGCTGCTACCAAAAATTTTGAGTCGCGCTCCTTGGCACACGTGATATACACTGGCTGAACCACCACGTGACTGCGACGCAAGGAGAGAGGCAAATTTCGCTCGTCACCAAAACTCCTGATCCTGATCCTGATCACCTCTGCAGTCTCTCCACCTCTCTTCTGACATTATCCATCTTGTCTTCAATTCACTCCTTCACTTCCTTCACTTCCGGTACTCTTCTCATACTTCACTTTCTGCTACTTCTTTAACTCTGCCTTTGTTGGGCCCTTTACCGGGCTAAGAGATTCCCTCTAAACGCCCCCTTCCTTCGAACCCCGGCCAACCTTGCATATTCATCCGAGCCTCCCGCACGCATCTTTAATATACCTGCCTTTGAATTTCTACGTCGATTATCGTCCTTGTTTCTACTACCATCCCATATCCAACAGCATGGCAAATGCAACGTTCTCCGACCTACCTGCCCTTCCTTCCTATACCCTGAAACCCCGTCCATCTATGATACCCGGAGTATCAGATCCCCTCCTCCAACTCCTCGCTCCTGTCATTGCCTATTGGGTCGTCTCACTGTTCTTCCATATCTTGGATACCTATGACCTGTTCTCGGAGTACAGACTGCACACTCCAGCCGAGGTCCTCAAACGCAACCACGTCACTAGATTCGAAGTCCTTAGGGATGTTATTATACAGCAAATAGTGCAGACGGCGTTTGGATTGATTATTGCTTCCTTCGACCCTGTCGAGACGATTGGTAAAGAAGAGTACGACATCGCCGTCTGGGCCCAGCGTCTGCGCCTCACCGAAAGATACATTCCAACATTACTCAGTTGCGTCGGCTTGGATGCTTTATCTCTGGGTCAAAGATTGCAACACAGCTATCCTCAACTTGCGGGCGCTTTGACCGGAGGGATCTACTCGACCCCGTCATTTGCATCGTGGGAATTGACAGCCGCGAAGTCGATTTATTGGATTGGCATTCCTTTGATCCAATTTACTGTCGCTACCCTCATAGTAGACACATGGCAGTACTTCCTTCATCGTGCCATGCACATGAACAAATTTCTTTACACCACCTTCCATTCTCGGCATCATCGGTTGTACGTTCCCTATGCGTATGGAGCACTCTACAATCATCCTGTGGAAGGCTTCATGCTCGACACGCTCGGGACGGGAGTGGCCTACTTGATAACCGGGATGACAATCCGACAAGGCATGTGGTTTTTCACTATCTCGTCAATCAAGACGGTCGATGACCATTGCGGATATGCTTTTCCATGGGATCCTCTCCAACACATCACCTCGAATAACGCGGCTTATCACGATGTGCACCATCAGAGCTGGGGTATCAAGACCAACTTCTCGCAACCATTTTTCACGTTCTGGGACCGTCTTCTTGACACCGCATGGACTGGTGGAGATGTGTCAGCCCGCTACGAACGCGATAGGATTGCAGCCCAAAAGAAAGTGGATACAGATGCCGCTGCGAACCGTGCTTCAATTGTTAACTCACCAAACATTGATATTGACCATGCAGAGAACCAAGCTCGCTCGAGTCAGAGGCAGGTCCTTGACGACACAGCGAATGGTGGGCCTCAAGTGCTCGAGGAGGAAGCAAAGGAAGAGCAGGAAGTCAAACAAGCCTTGCGGCGGAGCACCAGACGCAAGAGTGGCTTTGACGCTAAATCAATATCGGATCGCGTTGCAGGCATCCACAGCAGGAGTCCGGCAATCCTACATGCAGACGGGATGCATTGAACAGCTTTGTATAAAATATTCATTGTTACGACCCAAATCTTTCATGGTACATGTTGAAAACTGTTTCTCGTGAGTACAAGGCAAGGCAAGAGTCAAGAATGTGCTCAAAGATGATGGAGTTGGGGGGAAGGGCCTATGTGCCTTCACTATGTTCTTGCAAATCCAGGTAATGTGTATAAAAGATAGGCTGGCGCCCAAAGGTCACGGTGGTGCTGTATTTGCATACTCGAATTAACACCAAGGAATTGTCCTCTCGCTTCATTTTCGATGCTCACTCCTGATCTTCGAAACCTGCAGTGCTGGCAGTCCCCGACAGCCAGCCATTACCGAGTGCCTTCCCATTGTCAATGTTTTGTCTGGACAAAGCAAAGTCGTTTCCGCAGCTGCTCAACATTGAAATGCCTCGACGGATGAAAAGGATCGCGGTCCTTCTTTTGTCTCCTTTATCCAACACATTTTCTTTGTTCCATTGTTTGTGGAAAGGCATAAAAAATTGAATCTCCAACAGGTCATGCAAGCTCTCCCAAAGTTCCTCATCGCCTATTCTTCACATCTCATCGAAGTGTCTCTTGACAGTGAGCTCTGAAGCTTTGTCTCTGGCTTTTTTGAAATCTGTCTCTACGGAAGGACTTTGTTTGGGCACTAGGAAGCTCAAGCGGCTAGCACGACTCAGGTGAGAGATCCTCTTCAGCCACTCACTCAGAAGAAGAACTGACAAGATGTATATTGAAGAGATTCCACCTGGATCCGTCCCAACATTGGCGAAACTCCTGCAGTTTCGACCCAACGAACCTCCGGAAGCCCTCTCACGGCGACTTCTCCAGGGGGTAAAATCGCTGCCTTCATTTCTCAGACCCAGTCGCTTGGAGAAGATCCTCCTGCCGCCTCGCGGTCATCTCTGCCAGGTGCACAAATGCCTCCATTACGACGTTGTGGACGTGGTGCTGCACCATGTCCAACTCGAGGTGGGGATTCGTCTCAACAACCTCATTTCGCAGTGCGATCTGCTTTCTCCGGAGCAGTATGTTCGCGTGATGAGACTCCGGGCGCTGCACGCCTTGTGGCTCACGCCGGAAGACTACGAAAAGACTTTCTTGACTTCAAGCCAAAATTCCAAGTGGAGTTACCAAAGTGACCGCTGCCGCGCATGCATGTTGTGTCGTCTCACATCCGATCTAGAAATCCTCCTGGACTTGAGGTGGGCAGTGCGGTCGAGGGCGACGCAAAATTTCATTGCGATGCATGGAAGTCCTAAGCTCCAATTGTGGGTGCAGGTCTGGATTGCCGTGCTGGCGCGGTGCGTTGAAAGGGCGACTGGCCAAGAGATTGACTTGGACACGGTCCTGTTGGAGAACGAGCAGCAAGCCGTGGCGTTGAAGAAGGTAAGGGTAAACATCGAAGCGTTGAGGAAGGAGAAATACAAGTACATGAAGCTGAGCAGGACGAAGAGTAGGAGGACAAGAGCCAAGGGCGCCGACAGTTGTCATCTCGTTCCAAATCCCCCGGGTCCTCCATGGCGCGAGGCTGCAGAGACAGCCACCGTGCAAGACACCCGCGACAATCATGCCGGAGAGGATCTGTCAGGAGAACCGAACGAAGCCGATCTTGAAGCCATGGATGCGTTCGAGGCATTGACCAGCACGACATATCTTCCAGGTCAATCGCATCTAAACGCCAAATATCCGTTCGAATCGACTATCAGCTCTGTCTCAGGCGACCCATCCACGAAAGGCCAGAGTCCTTACGGACATTGTTCCTCCTACACGACTGAACGCGCATCAATGTATAGCGTTGTGGAAGATCCACTAACTGGTGCTTCGCAGGTGCTGACAGACTCGACAGACCAGGATGATGAGCAGCTTGACTACGTATCTCCAAGGTCACAGTGGAAGGCATCGCAACAAGAACAGCAGACGCTACCATCAACTGTTTACTCTCGTCCAACAGACAGCAGAGGCGGTCATGAACAACTGGACGGAGCGTTCTCTGGCATGTCCACCAGCGCAATAGTCTCGTCGCGAGATTCTTGGGAAACAGAGCCTCTCATGGCGTCGAGTTCGAGCATATACTCTGCCGCAACAACGGCGACGTCCAAAACACAGAAGCGCTATGCCGCTCGGAGCAGACAACGGCTGGCCAGGGTTGACGAGCACGAGGACGAGCACTGCTGGGGAAGCCAAGGCGACTACTACTCTCGCTCCCGACGCGATGCAGCAGAGACGTACACTGACCTCCTCGACCCGACTCCATTTACGCCCACCACCACATCCGAAACTCTGTCGAGACCGGGACATGGACCGGGAGCATGCACGCCTCCAACGTCTGCATCAGAACTGTTCCTCCGTCTGTACGATGATGTGTGCCGCCCTGTCGCAGATTCAGGAAGCATAACAACAATACCTTCACCATCCAAATCGACTACTTCTGAGGCTGCGCCCCACCGATCTCATGTACCGTCAACGGCCCCTCCGAGGAGACGCCCGGTGTCCTCGACAGAAGATTTCCTTCATCTGTACGGCGAAGTGGTCAGCGCCTACTCGCGAGACAGAAGCTCAGGCTCAGGCTCATTTCTATCACCATCGACCGTCCGTACGGCGTCCACGTCGACCGTAGTCTCGGACACGACGAGGAAGAGGTTGACTCCCGAACGGCTCTCCGTCAGGGCGAGCACGAGCACGAGTCAACGCCATAACGACGGCAGAAGAAGGTCCGACGTCCCGACCATCCACGGCGACGTGCATGTGCACATGCATGATCGAGCAGTACCATGCAGCTCTGCAAGTATTAGTAGTGGGCATAGCAAAAGCCGAAGGAGCCGCAGCAGCCAGAGCGACCGCTACGACCAGTGCGATCCCCGCGACCGGGACAGCAGGACCTCAAGCGATGTGCAATCAACGTCGAGCGGAGAGTGTCATTCGCAAAGAGGGACGATCTGGGTTGGTTTTGACCACGGCAGGTAATTAATTAACCACCCTGCATCGAGTGCGACGTACCGAGTAGTAGTCAGGGTGGGAAAAGGATGGACACTTGCATCTTTGAGACCTCTGGGCCCTTTTGAATAAGGAATAAATAGGGGTTGGAAAGGGAGTGGTTGGACCGAGTGTCTCGAAATAATACCCCGTAAGAATAATCATACAAGTTCGGACAATCTCTTCCTAAGTTGGACCTCAAACTTGTGCAAAAGGTGTTACGAGGTAGATACTTATATTATTGCATACAAGGCGCAACGAGCGAACCGAGTCGTCTCCGATCTACTAATATGTTTCATCCTCTACCGAACCATTGAATCGTTTAAACTGCTATTCGTGGCAAGCATGTGGAAAGGTCATTTATTGTACAAGCTTAAGCTCCATCTACCTATCCAGGCGCTGGGACTCCCTCCCACTCGTACTTGCGGATCATTCAATTCTGCGCCTTTTGACTGCAGTTTGATTCTCAGTGCCGCGTACCTCACCATCGCCAGGCCTCTGTTCTGGGATGAGGTCTGCTGAAACGCCGCCTCCTGCTGCCACGTCCAACGTTGGCACCACCTCGCCGCCGTCACCGGTCTGGGCACGCTTAGCATTCACACCCTCACTGGTAGTACTTGTGTCGCGTGTCTTACCGATTTCAACGCCGTTGGTCGTTGTGGTGGATTCCGCCTTGCGTGCTTCAAGTGCAGAGGGGAGGTCGGAATTGCTGGCCGCTGCGCCAGACACTGGCTGACTCTGTGGCCCATTCGTGGCTCCTTCTCTCCCGTTCCTTTTCTTGTTGGTTTTCTTGTGCTTCTCCTTGTTCTTTTCCATGGCTTGCAGCCTCTTGAGTTTCCTGCTTTCTACCTCCGCTTTCTGTTGATCAGCTGCCTCCTTGCGCACCCGATCTCTCTTTTCCTCCTCTATCTCAAACATCTTGGAAATTGCGGGGAAGAGACTTTTCATGTGTTGAATCTGCGAGACACGTATGTGCATCAGGTCAAAAGCCACAGCGATGTTGAGATCACGCACAGCGGAGTCGGGTCGAATCCATGCAGAGGAATCCGCGTTTTGTGCAGAGTGATGCTCTGATTCTAGGCCGTCTTCGTTGCCATTGGCGCTTGTGTTCATCAGCTCGGCATCAACGTCGTCAAGCAAGTCTTCTTCAGACACACGCTCCGGCATTCGCACACTACTGAAGACGGGTATCTTCTGATAACGCTGACTGAAATGTGTGAGGATGAGGTTTTTGGCACGCATGCCCAGTGCGACACCCACAGCTTCGCCTGTCGTGCTGTGCTTTTTAGCCATAGCATCGCCCTCCATGCCATCGTCAAAGGTGGCTTCGTGTACGAGGACGTCTGAACCGGCGCCAATGTCACAGAAAGCCTCACTGGGACGACAATCGCCACTGTAGGAGAATTTGAACCCGTTTTTGAAGGTGACAGAGACGGCTTGCGCTCCATGACAATGACTAACCTTGACGGTGCGCAATTTACTGATGTAAAGGTCGCTCTGCATCTCAAAGTGCCTGCTTCGATGGAATAGTCCTTTGTGGGGATCACAGGCGATGGGGGTGCAGAGCATATCGGTTGGTATGCCCATAACAGATTCGTAGTCGTCCAAATAATCAATCATGTTGATCTCGGAGAACAGATATGGAGGTGGTGAGCGAGCACGTTGTCCAGAATCCGACAGTCTCTGAGCGGTTTGGAATACAGCTTTCAGGATAGACACTGTGCCCAGATGATGGTCTGCGTGAAGGTGCGATATCCAGATCCCCCGGAGGTTGGATAAAATGTCGTCCAGTTGTTCAGCGTTATAGAGCCTTTTCAGTTGACCGAGAGTACCTTCACCACAATCGAAAAGGTAGTCCCCCATCCCATCGGGCATGCGAAGAAGGACAGCAGAGACATTGCGGTATTTTGACGGAGCTGCGGAACCGGTTCCTAGAGTTACAATTTCCGGCTCATCCAAATCCGTGCCCATTTTGAACTCAGAAGTCGGAGCCTTGTGCGATGACACGCCATGTGGCAATGCCTCTTGTACTGCTGGTTCTATGGGCATTGCGAATGAGTCTAGATCAAGGCCTGGTTCGACCTCACCTTCGTCAATGGCAAGATGGGGCTCGACAAGAACTTTCAGACCTCTTCTCGCCGGTATGATTTGGAGCTCGTCGAAGACATTGCCCAGCTCAACCATCGGTTTATCGATAATTGTCCGATACGCACTTGAATTATCGAATCGGGGAACCGAGAACAGGTCCGGCGCGATCTTGGACAGTCTGGCAGACGATACGGCGAAGGAATCATAGGCGATATAGTCGTTGCATAAATGTGGATCTGAAATGACATGCTTCAGGTTTTTCAGTTTATGAAGCAGTTGGTGAAATCTCTCCGCTTGTAACACTTTGCCTTTGGTCATCCAGATCGCGGACTCGACTCCTTCCAAAATCCAGTCTGCCTGACCATCCAGTTGTCGCTCGAGCTCTTCAAGATAGCCGATTGAGGGTATATCGAACAAGGCAAACCCTCTTCCCGGCCGAGTTGGGCTCAAGACCATTTCCGGGGTGATTGTGGCTTTCGTACCATCATCGCTCTCAACGGATTGTCCTGCTACCAGCTTCGCATACTTTGGCCCGGGCCGCAGACCGAGGGCTTTTGCTCTTGCAGGATCGAAATTCCCTCGCTGAGGATGACCCTTGACAATGTAGGACATCGCGACAGTTTCCGGCAAGCCCCTAGCTGGTGGTAGCTCCTGCACAGTCGAGGCAGGCCAGGGGCTGCGGACCAGCACCTCCGTGTCCGGCGTAAGGGTAGTTTTACTGATGTCAAAAACGGGATAAGTGATCAGTGCCTTCGTATCGGGATCCCTCACCCACACTACTGCCGGTAGTTTGATGTCCTTGAGCTTGGCCTGCAGAAGATGATCACGTCTCCAATCAGAGTCGAACATGTTGTTGACAACTTCTTTTCGCAAGGTTTGGTCTTTTTCCAATTGAAACTCATCAACGGTGGCATCGTCGGGTTTCTCGTGTAGCAGTGAAGTGGTAGAGCGGTCCTCAATGGGCAGTGCCCATACGCGGATATGCTCATCCACATAGATCGGCTTGGGATCGGTCCTGTTTTTGCGCACATCGACCTCATGAACTGACAACGGCATTCCCGTACGAAAGACGAATCTTCGTGCACATGCAAATGAGTGGAGCTGCTTCGGGCCTGCATGTATGTGCAGTCTGGGCCGTCTCAGGGTGTCTTCATCAACCTCTGACTGCTGTACATCTGCCATTGTGAGGATGAGGCCAATGAGCCCTCCATTGTTCCAGAGTGTCTTTCCCGAGAGGAACAGACCACGAACTTTACGAAGTCCAATTCCACGTTGTATACATGCTCTTTGAGTTCCTTCGGTGATCTCCCCAAATATGTATCTCTTGGAGTCGAAATGTAGTACTAGCGACGTCCCTGGAGTATCGGAAGTGGGAGTTGTAATGAATTGGAGATGGAAATTCGTTCGCACTCCGACCGGTTCTGTGGCCCCCTTCGAGGGATGCATCCTGTGGAATCTTCTAGACCTCGTGGGCGATAGCAACTTGATTCCAACTTGAAGCGATGGAAAGCTTTGTCTCAAGGGTTTATGCCAGGACCAAGGAGAAGCCAGTCTCTGAGCAGACAGGCGAGAAATGCTCAGGCTGGTTCGAGGGGGATTAAGATTTCTCTCCTGTATTCCAGCCTTTCCTTCATCCCAGATCAATCTTCTTTTTTTCGAAGAACAAAATTTTCCGCCCAGGTGAACAAGCTGTCGTTTGCCCAGATGAGATTTGGGGGAGAAGGGATTGGCAAGCCGAGTCGAGTGGTACGATGCGAAGAAAGGGGAGAAAAGACGAATCGAGGAAATCCGGTCTTTGATGAGGAGCTGGGACGCAGAAGATGCCCGGGCAAAGCCAGAGATCGGCTTCAGGATAGCCACGGCGACTAGGTGGGGAAGGAATGTGTCTCAGTACATTGTATGGTGCGAAGTTCAAACCCCTAAAGAGCCGTGTATGTATACATCAAGTTTGAAAAACGGTAGAAGAGTAAGTCACAACAAATGAGTGTCTGAAGCGTACGCCGCAAGTGTTGAGAGCAATGGGAGGAATGGTGTTGTACAGCAAATTGAAAAAGTCGTCAGTGACTGCGGATTGACAAGGCTGCGAGGCCGCCTTGCATGACCCACACTGGCCTGTCGTGTCCACACGTACCGAGTACCTGGTACTCTGTAAATAACTTCTTATGATTCAAGTAGCTTGCCCTAAGGCGGCATATGCCAGTAATCGCAACGACAGACCCTTTTACCTTATTACCGAATTGCAGAAGGATGCGAGGGAAGTACGAGACATATTGAAGGATGGTATGATTTCAAAACTCTGTGCATTGGCACCAAGGCCGGGCCAAAATGCCTTTGAAAACTCTTGTTACGTAGTCAACCTATTGAATCACCCTGACGACGGTCCTCCTGGGTTCCCTTCATTGCTAGAAGAACAGAATGTCATCTCATATGCGACATGTGCTGCGCGACCTTGTCACAAGTCTCGTCAAGATCGTGGCACAATGATTCCAAGTTAGCCGCCTTTTCCTCATCAGAAAGTTCCGTATCCTGCTCCGTACAATCTGACATAGAAAATTCATCGGGAGAGACCGGTGGATCGAAGTACAATGCAAAGCTCTCTCTGTCGAGAGGGACAGATTCATCAACTTGAGTCGTTGCCGTTGCCGTGTGACTTGCCACTTCAGCCGGGAGATCGGGAATACGGGGTGTGTCTTTTGACCCCTTACTTGAGCCCTGGCTTGATTTGGGCTTTCCTGATAGACTTTCGATATCCAGAACAGGGAGTTCCGGTAAGCTGGTGACGGCATAGACTTGGAAGTCGTTGGTGGGGAGAGCATTCAGCCAGCCATTGGCCGGTTGAAGGGCAGAGAAATCAACTGGTGTGTCTGGAATTAGGGCCATTCCAACTTGAGGCTGCTGAAGATGCATGTTGTGAGCAGCCTCATCTGAGCTGACGTCCTTCTTGACAGGCTGGGGCTGGGGCTTGTTCTGAACAGTTTTTTGCTGCTGAGGGTTGCCCTGGACGTTCGGCGCCGGTAGGCCACTCTGGCTGAGCTCATGTAAGAACCCGGAAAAGGCCTGTGATGAGAGCAACATCCGAGTAAGGTCGGTGAGACGGTTGTTCTCCTCCCGTAGTTGTTGGTTCTGAGCACGCAAATCAGTGGCCTCCTGAGCTTTGGCAGCAACTTCTCCTTCCAGTTGAGAAATGTATTCTGAAAACCGAGTCAGTAGAGATTAAGATAACAAATACAATACTGGGGCGTACCTTTTCTTCTGGAACGGAATGCACGGGCAGAAACTTTGTTCCTGAGTTGGCGACGTTCCTTGCTAGACAACTTCTTCCCTTCCTCGCTGGCCAGGAGACGTTCGTCCTCGTCCATGTCATCTTCATCCTTCTTGATGCGAGGCATATTGGACATTCCAGTCAAGGGGGAGCTGTCCTCATCGGACATGGAGACAGCACTGGCTTGCCTCATCCGATTCAAGACTTTGGAGATGCTTTCTTCAACAAGGGGGTCTTTGGGCGGCTGAGCCTTAGCCGGTGATGGACCCGGGAGAGGTTTCTGGGTCTGGGGCGGATGTTGCTGTTGTCGTGCCATCTGTTCCTGCTTTTGAGCCTGCTGGGCCTTGGCCTGAGCCGCCTGCTGACTGTGCATTCCGGGATAGATTCGTTTGATGGGGGTAGAAGCGGTGTTGTTCTGGGCCACCAATGTGGTCGGGCTAACGAATTGAGCCGGACCCGATGCTGCGTCAGGATAGAACAGGGCTGGAAGACCGTTTGGCGAATCCGTCTCGAAATCCATATCAGCTGGATTGCGGGAGAAGTCGAAGTCGTCCAAGTCACTCAATGGCATGTTCAGAGTCTCGGTGGGCATAATAAAGCCTCCATTTCCCTCATGGTATTGTAGCCCGGTCGCTTTGTTGATGTTGAAAGTGCTGGCAAGGGCGCCAATAGGGATGCCAGTCTGTTGGTGGTACCGATCGTACTGAAAGCTTGGTCCCGGGAACGTGGTAGGAGTCGAGCTCGTAGCAAAGGTTGCAGAGCCTGGGATGGATGATTGAGGGGTCAGCATGGGGACTGACTTGATGTCTGGAGAGGTCGTTGCAGGTGTGAAGTCATTCTCGATATTGAGGAAGGAATCGTAGTCAGGGTCAAAAGTGGTGTTGAGCTGAGACATGCTCGATTGCGAAGCAGAGTAACTCATTGCAGAGACGAAGGGTGGTATACTAGAGGGGTGCGCGGCCTGGGAGCCTGCGCGGGTTTAAAAGGCAGCCTAAAAATAGGCACAGAGGGTTCGAAAGGTCGTCAATCGGATTTCTTGTGAATTCTCTCGTCCGGAGTCAATGTGAGGGTGTGTGTATATCAGTCGGAATGTAGTGAGAGCGTGTTGGTGATGGAACGAGAGAATGATTGAAGAGTGAAGTGAGCATCGCAGGGGGGAGAGGAACAAGGGAGGATGAAGAGGGAAAGCAGCAAGGAGACGGGAAAGTTGGCAGCAGTGGCAGCTCAAGAGTTGCGCAGGGCTCAGGGCTCATCAGGACGCGAGGGCCCAAGAGCCCAGAGCCACAACACTTGGGGGCAAGTGCTGAGGCTGTGTCGGAGTGTCTCCCCCCCTGCTCCAGGCTGGAGCGCCTGTGACTGGCTCGTGTGGCTATTAGGGTCCGGTTTTGGAGGTTGTCTTGCGAGGTCCCGGCACATCGGCAGCTGTGTCTCCCCGTGATCAGCGCATCTCATATGTAATTTCCACCAGTCATAGGGCCCATTGCCTCCGTCTTCAGGCTGCCATGATTCTTGCGGGAGCCGGCCAAGAACTCGGTATACATCATCCTACGGTACTGCCTCTGGTTAAAAAGGAACATTATACCTAAGCCCCTGACACCGTCACCCGAGGCGTGAAAAGGTCTCGGGGATTATTCTATCGTCGCTTCATTGCATTGAGAAATTATGCACCTTGCTGGGCACTCTTATACCCACGTGAGCTCGGCGACTGCGCGATCAGCCTTAAGCCCGAGTCTTTGGTGACGCTTCAATTTTCAGGCGCGAACATCCACCGGGTTTCCGAAACACTGGCAAGAACTATACGAGAATTTAGTGACCCGCTCTCCAAATAATAAATCGAAACGTTGATCCGCCCGTGAGGATAAGTCTCAATAACAGTGGTTCAGAGTTTTTCGTTAATATCTTTCTGCCCCTTGCAACTGTCTGCAGTGGGCACTCCTTGTTCGGCGTGACCGTGGACGTCTGGAATGGCGGTGCTTCACTATAGAGGCCATCTGTTTGCTGCCGTCCTCGGGATTCATCAAGATTCGGGTCTACGCTGGTGAGGATCTCCAACGTGAGCGATCTGACAGCTTGATACATCACCCGCAAAACGGCAGAAATTTATGTGGAATCGTGCTAAGAATATATCAACTGCTCTCACCAATTTCGTCGGCCGAGCAGAGATCAGCTCGCTTGTAAACCATGGCACGAAAACTTTAAACCCGAACTGTGGCGAGTGGGTGGCGAGTGTGGCGCCTGTGGCTGGTGGGATAGTCATGTGACCAGCCAAGACCCTGCGTTCCAAGTAGCCACGGCTCGCACGGATCTCGCGCGAGTTTTCCAGGTTGGGCTGCTGCTGGGTGGCTGCTATTGCTCCTCGTCTGGACCCTTCATTAGATTCCTGCACTGTGACTAATATCAGTCCGAGATACAGCAGTTACCAAGCCAGATGCTTTGCTTGTCGCCGGCATGTCAGTCGCGTATTACACTGCTTCTTCAATGCCTTATTATTTATCCCACATAACCCATTCCTGCTAATGACAAAACCTCTGCCCTTCTCTTCACACCCCATGTTGGAGCTCTTTCCCAGCATTGACTCTTTCCGACCATGGCTGAGGCGAGCTTCAAGCAGATGATTGCCACTCTTTTGCGCCAAACGAGGCCACAGACTTTTCGCCACTCAAAACCTCCTCGGTATCCCCAGCGAACGTTGTCCACTGCTACAAACGCCCGACCGCCGCGGCGGACAGCAGAGGACCCGCGATGGCAGGGACATCCTCTGCAGACTCAGAGTCCTGGCGCGCCTCAGGCCGAGCGGCCTCGACTTGAAAGCCTACGAAACGAGTCCGAACCGCGGCCTTTCTCTTCTTTCTTGACCGACAACTACTCTCGACAGCATAACTATCTGCGTATATCAGTCACTGAACGATGCAATCTACGATGCCTTTATTGCATGCCCGAGGAAGGTGTCCAGCTCTCTCCTTCGGCAAAATTACTCACAACCCCTGAAATTGTATATCTGTCGGAATTGTTCGTCAACCAGGGCGTTGACAAGATCCGGTTGACTGGGGGCGAACCTACGGTTCGGAAAGATATTGTGGATCTAATGCATCAAATTGGACAGCTGAGGAACAATGGTTTGAAAGAATTGTGCATAACAACAAATGGCATATCCTTACATCGAAAACTCGATTCCATGGTTGAGTCAGGACTGACTGGGGTCAACCTGAGCTTGGATACACTCGATCCTCACCAATTCACAATTATGACGCGGCGGAATGGACACGACGCAGTAATGAAGTCCATCAATCGGATACTTGAGATGAACAAACTCGGAGCAGCCATCAAACTCAAGATTAACTGTGTGGTAATGCGGGGCCTGAACGAACGAGAGATACTACCATTTGTGGAACTCGGCAGGGATCAAGATATCGAGGTCCGATTTATTGAGTACATGCCATTTGACGGGAACAAATGGTCCGAAAAGAAGATGTTAGGCTTCAGGGAGATGCTGGCTCTCATCCGCCAGAAGTATCCTGATGTCCAAAAAGTACAGGACCACAAAAACGACACGAGCAAAACATACAAAGTCCCAGGTTTCGCTGGTCGGATCGGGTTCATCACATCCATGACGCACAACTTTTGTGGTACTTGCAATCGACTTCGAATTACCTCGGATGGCAATCTCAAGGTTTGTCTCTTTGGAAATGCCGAAGTCTCTCTCCGTGACATTCTACGTGAATCCAATAACGGCAAACCCATCGACGCCGAAGCTATGGAAGCTATTCGAGAGCTCGAGATGGGTCGCCGCCAGCGACTTCCTGGGGCCGAGGGGTTAGGAACGTCTGAAAAGGAAGCGAAATTGCTCGATGTCATTGGTATGGCGGTGAAACGCAAGAAGGAAAAGCATGCTGGTATCGGCGAGCTGGAGAATATGAAAAACAGACCAATGATCCTCATCGGTGGGTAAGCCTCAACATTCTCGCCAATGTCCCAGTTCTCTACGCTGCCACGACGGATCCCATGGAACAACAGTACACCATATCACAGTTTTATATGATGAATATAGACCTATATCGTGTCTCCTTCTGTTCTCGTCCTGCGCCCACGTCTTCGGTCAGTGATTTAGCTGACTGTTGTGCTTCTGTAGATGATGCTTCTGTCAAACAATCTCTGCCAGCTCCGCCACCGCAGGAGTCGCCCTCCTGGTATGCTAACTCAATGACGGCCTTACACCGGCCTTCTCTACCGATGTATCTGCTGCAACAATCTACACCTTCTCCATCATGGCCCCAAGTTCGCTACTTTTCCTCACTCGTTTCCACACGACCCGCTGGATCCAGGAAGTTCAGTAACTCGACGTCGCTGGCCAGGTTGAGACATAATCCGTTCCGCTACGTTCATGGCCAGTCTTCATATCGACGTGTACCAACCAAGGAGCCGGAAAATATTCCAGCATATTCCTTTCGCCGCTGGGATGAAAGCCGACACCGATATTTACGGGGAAAGACCTCGAGAGCAGGGTCTAAAGTGCAGTCATACGGTCGATACCTGATCCGAGACATCATGAAGCGCGTGTACCACCACCAGACCTCTCGCAATGGACAACGCAGTATTAGTGGTTCGCCAGGTTGGTGGACAGAAAAGGAGCCATCGAAACAGACCTCTGAACCGGAACAAGGCGAGTCCCAAACAACAACAGCTGATCCGAATCCGACTCTCACCCACCTCACTGCCGACGGCGAAGCGCATATGGTTTCCATCGCAAACAAGAAACCGACTTCTCGCTCTGCGACGGCAACTTCTTTGCTGCTTTTCTCCCACCATGGGACTTACGGAGTTCTGTTCACGTCGCGGCTTCGAAAAGGAGACGCCTTAGCGGTGGCACGCATAGCGGGCATTCAGGCCGCGAAGAAGACGTCTGACCTCATCCCTCTCGCTCATCCTGGCCTCAACATCACAGGCGTCACGGTCCGCTTGGAGCCGTTTATGGGAGACAAGCTGCCTTACCCGCTTTCAGAGGGGAAAGGCGGGTATGTAGGGATTCCCCGCGACAAGATGGACAAACTCTACGGCGGCGTATTGGTCACCGCCACGGTGACGTGCGAAGGCAAGACGGGCGTGGAAATGGAAGCCATCACCGCGGCGTCCGTGGCGGGATTGACCATGTACGACATGCTCAAGGGCGTCGACAAGGAAATGATCCTGACTGCGACAAGGGTCACCGCGAAAAGTGGTGGTAAGTCCGGCGACTGGGAATGGGACTATAGACGCGGCAAGCGCTGGTTCGTTGGGGAGAAGAAGAGCAGCAGCAGGGGCCTGAACAACGAACACAACAGCAGCAGCAGCAGCAGCAGCAGCGGAGTAGCAGAGAACACACAACAGGTCGAACAAGGTGTGGACGAGCAGGACCAACTCCTCAAACAGCAGATGATCCAACAGGCCATCCACCAAAGACGGGAAGAGAGCTCTGCCGGTACCGGGGGACTCATATCCGCGGATGACCTGGCCGATATGAGAACGAGGAGGTTGAGGAATTCGCACGCTGCGAGAAAAGTCAACAGCGGGGGTGTGCCTGAGGCTGCTAGTGGCGAGCAATCTCGAGACCACCCGCAGGAGACGGACGGGCAATCAGCTGAGGTGGTACGGTAACCCCTGAAAGAGTGAATGTAAGGACTACGTATATAATTTACCATCACTCCCGGGATTTGGTTTTTGGATTCTACCGGGGCAGGCTGAGAGAATTCATCATGCTCTGATTTCTGCACACACATGCTGAAGAAAGCATTCGCAATCCCTCTATTAAAATCACATCTCTGGTAGACGAAGAATACCGGACCCTTCCCAGTTGGGCATTCTATATCTTTCGCTTCCAAAGCAGAAACTAGCTCCTGTTCATTCAACATGCTCCTCAAATTCCCCAGATTGAATCGAAAGTAATCGGTCTAAGTGGGTATCGTTTCGCTGGCAACAAAAAGAACGACGATGACAATGGTGCAAAATGGCGGCTCCTGGCCAAAAGAAAGAATATCCTAAACCAGTGCGCAGATACCAACCAAGCAAACCCGAAATATGGCTCCGTGTCCGGGGAAAGAGTCAAGCTGCCTATGTCACGAAGAATGTGGTGATCCAGAAAAAAAAAAATTTAAGGCGAAAGGCGCGAGGCCTCCTTTTCCCCATGGCTGAACGGAGCTAATCTGCTCCTTGGGTCGGGCTGGTTCATTTCAACCAGACTTGTTCAAAGACGCCTCCCAGAGGCTTTTGGCCGGCGATCTCTTCCACGTATTTCTCCGAGACGGGCGTGATCAGACAGCTCCAGCGGTTGAAGCGCGTCTTGGCCCAGTCGAGGCAAAAATGGTGCGTACGTAGAAATTCAGGCGGCTGGGCGCGCGAAGCTGCTTGCTGATGGCGCCGGGTGGTGGAAGCATCTGCGCCCGCGGCGATGGACGGTGGTGGAGGCGTGATCTTCCATCGAGACTCGTAGAGTGTCGGCCCAACGGCGAGGTAAGTGAGGGACGGTTTTGCTCCTCCAACCGAGGCGGGAAAGACCCAGTCGACGAATTTGGTGGCGTACTCTTTGATACTATAGTCTCCTAGTTGGCTAAACGCTTGATTCTCGGGGAAATTGCGGATGTGGATCGTTCGCAGGTGCTGGAGTGTTGGGAGAGCGGTCTTTCGCAGACGGATCATCTCATCGTTCCAAGGGAAGCCCATGCCCAGTTCTACCAGGTTAGGGCAGAGGCGGGCGATGTCGTTGATCGACTCTTCCCACAGATCGTGACTGTATCCGCCGACGCCAAAGGGACGGGAGGTGTCCATTGAGAGATGCTCGCGTGGCTGAATGCGGGATTCAAACACAAGGGTTTCAAGGGAGGGACCGTGTTCGGCGATAAACGTGCTCGGTCTTTCTAGGATGGCGCCGTTTTCGAACAAAAGGGACAGGGTCCGGAGGCCGGTGAATGAGCTGAGGAAGCGGATGAGAGCTTCCTTGAGAGGGCTTGTGGGATTTTCATGACGGAAAAGAAAGTGTTTCAGCGACGGGGTGACGCGTGGGTTTTGAGGCGCCTCGGGGGACGTCAATGCCCAGTGGAAGGTGCCCGCAATGGATTCAAGGAGATCATTACTGCCAGGGCAGGATTCCAGAGTGAGGCGTTCTAACTGACAGAAAAACATGGCTTGTGGGATGGAAGATGGTCGCAGTGGAGTCACGTCCAGACCCTGCAGAGATAGCTCGCGTAATTGAGGGAACGTGTCCAGCGCATATGCAGAGGTGAAAAATGTCTCTGTCGGTTGCGCAATTCGTTGGAGGAAATTCAGCCTGCTCTGTTGGTAGCACTCGATCAGCTGTTTCTCCTGGCCCAATGACAACCTCTGAATTGACTTTCTGTTGGCAGATATGATCTTTTCAACAGCGTCCCCCTCGTTGACCGTGCGAGCTTCGAGGGTCGTAAGGTTCCTGGGAAGGAGAGTGCCATCTTTCCAGGAAGAGATATCATGGAAATGGAGGTGCCTCAGCGTGCTTTCATGCCGCTGGGTGAGGAAGGTCAACATTTGCCGACCCAGGGGAGTCTGGTGGAAGAATCTGATACAATGAGCATGAGCAAGATCGGCTTGTGGGCAATTGACTCACGCAAAGCTCGTCAGTCGACTGGGAGGAACTTTCTCAAGTAGATTGTTCACATGGCCTTCCACGGAAACCACATCGGATATTCTCCTGCGCTTATACACCGAATTTCTTCTCTCCTTCCTGCCGTTTCTAATTGTGAGCTCCCGGACAGATTGAACGAGAGGCTCTCGGAACGCGGCTGTTCCAGGTAATGGGATTTGAGGGAGATCGAAGTCGACGTTATGATAGAGCCGAGCCATGACCATGTCCTCGAGGACACGGCATGTTAGAGATAAATTGTAGAGGTCTCTGCGACTATCGAGCTGGGAACTTGTCAGTTAAGTGATTTCTCTTTAGACTGTTTCGGGACTTCTCAGAGACGCACATAATTGACGATATGGAGTTTGACCTCATTGGGGAGAGTCAGAAGCCGGCAAGGCTGCGCAAACGGCGAGGAGTCCATTGTTGCGTGGTTGACGAGCAACAGTCGAGAGACGCGCAAAACTTCTATGTTAGTATTGACATATGCGATATAAAGGGTTCACAATCTCATGATCCAGTCTCTGCAGCCCGTAGGACAATTCTACCATGGATGGGCAGGAGGTGCGAATATGATAAATGGTGACACAAGGGGTGGATACGGGAAAGACACGCAGCCTTGACACCCAAACCGGGGGGCCACAGGGGAGGCGAGGGCGGGAACGATTCCCGGATGGGGAGCCTGCGTTACGAGTAGACTGGCAAACAGCGTAGCATTATGTCAGACCGATAATAATCGTGCATCATGGTGCATTCCACTGGCGTGGGAGGCTGAGCGTGAAAGAAAATTCCATCCAAGGGAGCGGACGATAGGGGGGAGTGGAGGAGATGAGAAGAACGGTAAGCGGATTTCCAGTGGCGCTCTGGGTGCCTGCGGAGTTTGCTGATGTCGAGCCAGCAAGGATTGTTTGCGGACGTTGCATGTTTCTGGCATGTACCTCGTAGGTGGTTTTATTAATCAGTGTTGACACGAGGAGCTGAAAACAGTGACCATTGAGATACCAGGTAATGATGTGTACGGTAACAAAGAGGGAGTATCCCACTCCTCGAATGCAGGGACATTGCCGGAACAGCGCAATGACGATCATGCAGCGCAGCAGCAGCGTCCTTTTTCCTGGATCCACAAGGGCGCCACATCTCCAAATTGCTCTCCCTGGTGCTAGGAACCCCATCAGGTAGGAGTTCTAATACTACCGTGTATAAGCATTGAGGACAATACACCTGGACTCCTGGAGAGTAGGGATCTCGCGGGAAGACAGCCGCCTTGCCGCTACACTACAGCATGGGCGGCGAATGATTTCCGTCATTATCGGCCTCGATTTTAACATTAATTTCAAGGTACTCAAACACTATTGTCTTTTCCACGCTCGTAGGTTTGCTCACACCCTGACTGACTTTCCGTCTCTTGCTGGACGTTGCGGCTGAGCCGGCCGAGAAATGCCCACCACAAATGCCCTGCTGACTCACTCTGGGTCTCCTGTGTGGATTTCAAACGGACATGACACTCCCGTGTTAGTTTCCGAACCTCGTTGACGCGAGTTGCGTGGTGGGGGCAAGGTGTGAGCGGTCACCATTGCGCATATTGTTGGCGATTCGGGCGTAAATACGGGTGCAATCCGTGCTCTCTGGCAGGATGAAGGGATTGGAGCTCGCACTCAAGCTGATGTTCGAAAGCCGAAAACGAGACACATTCTCGAGAGCATGTTCACCCACCACCGCGGCTGAGTATAATCCTGAAAAGGGATATTCCTGTTTACTACTCACGGTCGATATGCATTCTCAGCACTGGTATTCACAAGAATGTGCTTGTAAGCTCATATTGACGTCATGAAAGTGTTAACGACTGTGATGACCACAAATGAGCGAATGTCTGAGTTCTTGATCGAGACCAAATACGAGGTATAGTAGTAGTTGATGGGGTGGGTTGGTAGTAACGCTGTTCTTTAAACCCGCGGCGTTGGAGGTTCTGGGGATGGATACTCGACCGTATTCCTTCACTGTCGCAAGTCGCACTTCAACGTATTCACCTTCCACGGAGAAATATACCTCCAGGGCCGAATCTTCAGTTCAACGTCCGGCAAGCTTTTGACGCCGCACGCTCATCAAATGGATAACTTTTGGTTCACCAGACAGGTGAAGGGAGCAGCAGTGTAGCGGCTTGGTTGTCCTGGTAGCCGCTCTTGGACACTTTCCCTAGCCCTCAAAGCTTTTAATTCTTTCGCTCCTTTTTTCCTCTTATGAAATTTCTGTCATCTGGTGGCTGGACTGTGATTCCGCACTTCCCTAGGGATTTCAGAATCAGGACGACTGCTTTAGGACGCCAATAAAGGGACATCTTTGGATTGAGCAAGTCGTCTATGCGGAGACCATGCGTCTGTGTTGAAACTTCAGAGTAAGCTGCAGGGCATACAAGCGTAACATTCCGACTGTGTTGGGTGGTAAGTCTGTCTTTCTCTGGCTGTTTTGTCCAGGTGCACAGGAGGCCAGCACAGCGAATTCTATTGCGACTATTCAGAGGATTGTACCAGACCCGCGAAAATTGGGAAACAAAGATGGAAGTTGTTGCTTGTCGTTCCTTCCTACCGCCGCGGCGACCACCTCTTCTCTGTATTTCTGTCCCCCAAGATCCCTTTCAAGATCCCTTTCAAGATGGAGGGCCGAGACGAGGAACGCCGAGACAAGGACAAAGCGACTAGCACGACTAGTGGCGCGAGCCTTGAAGAACGCTTGAAGATGGCCTCTATCAACGCTCAGCACAACCACTTTCCTGACTTCCCTGCCGCGTACACCTACGTTGAACCTCCCAAGACTGACGCGACTGATATCAGACCGTTTCTCAAAACTCCAAGCGATGAAGAGCAGGCTTTAAGTGCCCATAATACCGACAAGCCGCCTTTCTGTCGCCCAGTCGAGTCTCCCTCCTCATCCTCGGTGCAACAGCAAGCACTCCCTCCTGCATCTCAAGCTCAGTCTTCCGTCACATCAGAGGACATGGATCGCCGACTCCGCCAGAACAAGCCACGCTTGTTGCTGATGGGCCAGCGCCGGTACGATGACTCCCATTCTTTCCGTGCCTAGTCACTGACAAAGTCGTAGGAGCGGCAAGTCATCCATCACCAGTGTGGTCTTCCACAAGATGCCTCCTCAAGAGACCCTTTTCCTCGAGTCTACCACTCGTATTCAGAAAGATACCATGCACTCCTTCATGGACTTCCAAGTCTGGGACTTTCCTGGACAGATTGATTACTTCGACCCCACGTTTGACACCAACGAAATTTTTTCTGAGATTGGAGCGCTCGTCTGGGTCATCGACGCGCAAGACGACTACAGCGAGTCCTTGAACCGTTTGACCACCACCATTCTCAACCTTCAAACCACCTTTCCTCATGTCAACGTCGAGGTCTTCATCCACAAGATCGACAGCTTGAACGATGAATTCCGAGCGGAAATCTACCAGGACATCGCCCAGCGTGTTGGTGACGACCTGAACGACGCAGGCTACATCAACCCGAACGTCAGCTACCACATGACCTCTATCTACGACTACTCCATCTTTGAGGCATTCAGCAAGGTCGTTCAAAAGCTGATCCCTCATCTTGATACTCTGCAGAACCTCATGAACACACTTGTGGACAACAGCGGTATGGCCAAAGCCTACCTTTTCGACATCCTCAGCAAGATCTACGTCGCGAGCGATACACGACCAGTTGACATGGAGGTGTACGAAATGTGTTCTGACTACATCGACGTTATTGTCGACATTACCGATCTTTACGGACACGAGCGCAAGGATGGCCAGGTTCTTGGAGAGCAGATGCAGGAAACAGAGTCATCCATGACCATCCATGACGGCACCATGATCTACCTCAAGGAGATGAATAGGTCAGAAAAACTCCCTTCGGAACCCAACACCTTTCTAACGCGACGCAGGTACCTCTGCCTCGTCACCGTCATCAAGAACGACGACGCCAAGAACAAGAAGGGATTGATTGATTACAACTGCCACATTTTCCAAGAGGCCCTAAACCAAGTCCTGGCGCAGGCTTGGAATGCAGAGAAGGCGACGGGCACCGGGGAGGGTGCGGAGCAGGATGGCGAGAGCGCAGCCCAGCAGGCAGCGCAACCAGAGAACTGATGAGTGTGAGCAGACCAGACTGAGTGGGCAATTGAGACGGGCTGGACAATTAGCAAACGGGCGCTGGCTCGTGTCAGGACAGTCATGGAAGATGAATCAAACGGGTCCCATACGTACAATATGAGCTATTGAACTGTGTAACCAACGTTCCCCCGCCTATCGAGAAAGTGAATTGCACACCGTGACTGTAAAAACAAAGGGCAAGGATTGTGAGTCTGTGACATATTTTCCGCGAGCTCGAAGTTCAAAGTTGTGGATCTTTGCCAAGTCCCAGCTTGAATATCCTTTGGTCAGACTCGGAATTTCGCAGACAGAATGACACAGTCTCTCATCTACATGCAGACTCGCTTGACCTCTGAAGCAGTAGATCATATCAGTCTTCTGCGCGACGTTGACGGCATCGATTCCCTTGCAAACGAGCTCCGTCAGAGCCAGGAGATCGATAGCACGGCTGCAAGTCCAACCCGACAGTCACTGAATCCGCGCATCCAATTTTTACGCCTCTCAGCGATCGTCCGAGGACGCGTCGGTGTGCCTGGAGCAACACCTCCATATCAACCTGTTCCGCCGTCTCTGTATCGTGCGCTGAGTCTCGATCAGGACGAAAGCGTGGGCCAAGGGGAAGTGACCAGTCCCTCACCCTTGCGCAATTTCGCTTCGTCGAATTATTCCGTCCGGTATGAGTCACAGCGAGACGGACATATAACGACACGGACGGCATTTGAAGGTTTCCCAAGACAGTTATTCTCCAGGACCGTCAAAATGCCTCAGACGGGGTTCCAAGCTCTGATACTGTGCGGTCCCGGCATCGGACTCAGCACCTTCACCAGTGTCCCTGCAGAGTATCCCAAGGCACTTGTCGAAGTCGCGAACCGACCCATGGTCTGGTATGTCTTGGATTGGTGCTATCGGATGGGCGTGACAGATATCACCCTCATTACTCCGCCAACATCGAAGGACACGATTGCTGCCGCTCTTGCACAAAACCCTTACCTCACATCTCTTCCCTCGCCCTCCGCCGACCTCCTAGCTCCAGAATCTCTAGAGTACACAACGCCAACTGCAGAATTACTCAGATTGCCAGAGGTGCAGCAGGTGATCAGGTCAGACTTCTTGGTGCTCCCGTGCGACCTGATTTGCGACATTTCAGGCGACCATTTCTTGGAGTCGTACTTTACCAGGTTAGGTGGCCCTGGTGGGATCGGTGCTAGTTCAGGCTTAGACTTTGACATGTCACGACACGAGCTATTATCGCTTGGAGGTAAACAACGTGGTCGGCGCGGCGGGCTTTCGATATGGTACAACACGGTAGATCGAGAGGAGAGCGTGAAGGGCGAAGAATGCGACTTCATGTGTACCTCCAAACTCGACCCTGAGCACAATCTGCCTCTCTCCAAGACTGCCACGATTCAATCACAGGGGGTCCTTCGCAAACTAGTCTGGACGATGCCCATGTCCGAGCTATGGGATCAGTGCGAGGAGGACAAGTCATGGAAGATTCGGCAGTCACTCCTCCGCAAATATGGGGCGATCAAGTGCATGACCAAATATCGCGACTCGCACATCTATTTCTTTCCCTACTGGGTGAAGGAATTCGCCAGATTTAACGAAGACTTTGAGTCTGTTAGTGAAGATCTCGTGGGGACGTGGGCAAAGGCTGAATGGCGCAAACCGAGCTATCGCGCACGATTCGGTGCCCGGAAGATATTCGCACCCCGTCTCAGCTCCCAGGAGCATGATGTTCCTTCGCATGAACGGCCGATTGAGGCAGAGATTGACTTGTTATCCTTGAGCAGTACTCACGTCACAAACCATCATCAGCCCCAATCTACAGAGACTCCACGCACAGCCCGACTGGCGTCGAGAGTACAGAGGGACTCCGAAGACAGGATCCTCTCGGCAGACAGCGAATCGCCGGTTTCGGAAGAATCAGGACCTGTACCGCCCGTTCCCCCTATTCTCTCATACATACTACCTTCAACTCCAGAGGCACCGTTGGTGCGCCGTGTGGACACCACCCCCCTTCTACTCTCCGTTTCGCTCTCCCTTGCCAAATTGCCATCGATCGAAGAATGTCTCGGCAGCAAATCCGCACTTTCCCCATTCTCCCATCCAGCCAAAATTCATGCTACCGCCACGATCGCGCCGCGGGTGACCATCTCTCGTTCCGACACGCTCATCGACAGCAATAGCACAATCGCGACGCAATGCGTGATCAAGAACAGCGTCATCGGCGCCTCCGTCGCAATCGGCACAGGAAGCCGTATCACGGGCTGTGTTATTATGGATGGCGCGACGATTGGGGATAAGTGTGTCCTGACAGGCACGGTGGTAGGCAAGAAGGCCAAGATCGGCAACAAGTGCTCGTTGACGAACTGTGAGGTGCAGGACGGGAACGTTGTTGGCGATGCTACCGAGGGAAAGGGCGAGAAATACCTAGTTGGGGGCTTGGAGGACGAGGTGGAGGGCGAAGAGGAGATGGGATTTGACGATGAAACACAGGATGCAGAGGGTGAGGGAGAAGGTCTGAGCCTGGGGGAGCCATGACTGCAGTGCATTTGTGAAAGGGGGCCGTTCAGTATTGTTCGTACATCAACCCCTCGCACAAAACGACGGGAGCTCGGCCAAACGAGTATTATCTAGGTGACCGAGCACGATCAAAGAAAGCTCTGAAAGCAGATACATTTGCGCCAGGGATGGTCTAGAGACGTATTCCTTCGTGGTCTCGACGACGTTAGGGCTCAGGGATGGGCACTTTATTACCGCCCATGGAGCCAATGCGTAAGCTGTAATTGATATCCGATGGAGAGGTCAATGTGCCATAAGTCAAGCCTGCGGGGAAGTATAAGTTTGGTGGAAAGCCTTGATAACCCGAAGTCCACGAGCCGTTGGCTTTCACGTTGTCTGAGCCTCGGAGCGATACTCTATGGGCACCTGCGTGCCTAGGTACTTTATACTGTGGGTCTAGTAGGTTGAGTAGGATCCATAACCGGTCCGGCGACTGGTGTTTTCATTGTCTTACCTTAGGTACCTGGGTAGGTATCTAAAATAAGCTTTTTTCTCCATGTTAGAATAAGTTATGGTGCCTAGATAGATTTATATATGTGGGGGCGAAGAGGTCTGAAGGTCTGAAGGACATGTGGTGGGAAACAGGACCCCGCACGCCGCGCTGAAAGCCGCCCTTTTGTTGGAGTTTGGCTTGTTGGCGCGCTCCCTTGTTCCACTGCCTGACCAACAAAAGAATCTGACGTCGTCCGCGACAGTCAACAGTGCAAACCTCTTATTTTCAAGTAAAGAGTATCTATCTACCATCTGTCACATGTTTGGGCCCTTCTGAGTGCTTGACGGTCAACAGCTAGAGGCTGTGACTTAATCTCGGCTTCGTCTGGTAAGGGTAACGCGGGCTCTTTCGACTTAACCGTTATCTTAAATGATTGCACTCCAAGAGTCAACTTAAGCCTTTGATCATAGACTACTAAAAAGGGCTCGCTATCATTCCTATACTAGTTTGAAATTTAAAGATAACAATAATAAAATTAAAATTAAAGTAAAAGTGAGATCAAGTCAAGTTCTTAGTTTTATTACGTAATCTATACGGACTACAGTGAGTAGGTGAATGCACGCAGTAGGCTTAGCGCCAAAGCGCTCTTGGCACCCCAGCTGCCTTACTACCTCGCAGCTTGCGAATTAATTCGACTTCCGTTCCTTTAATTCTTTCTAATAACCGACTAACTCTCCACCACCGCTCGAATTAAGTGTTATTCGACCTCCTCTAAGCTCGTTATTAACTCTATTCCACGAATGAACGCAGAAAGCTGGACATTATTGACTTCTAAGGAGAGCGCGTGGTGTGCTGGGCCGGCGATGGCTGTTAGACTGCAGGGAGCCCTGGGTCGTAAACGCAGCTTCGATCAAACCAGAGATCAGGTGGTAAGTAAGGCTCTTTTAATATCCTGTTTATTTCCCAGGTTGCCAGGCTGCGGCTTTATGTCCAGCTTAACCGTCCGGCCCTTACCAAGCCTTCAGGTACATGTTGTTAAATCGCGGAACCCTCCCCACCTTTGGGAAAGGTGCCCTCTTCTGTGTGACCTTTGTGTTGGAATGTGATTGGCATTTGAAAAGAAAAACTAACCGTGTTGAATCACCTTCAGACACGTTCAGGGACGCTCGTGATCGAGTTATCGGACTCTGAAGACGATGTGAGTCTCCCTTCACGTGGCGGCCCTTCCCTCGACCGCCTAGATAGGCACCTGCTCTGGCGTGACTTTCCCTCTTCGAATACTGACGCACTCCAGACACCTTCGGTTCCTCTCTCGAAGCGTCAGAAATCTCACACGCCCGCAGCGGATGAGCCCGAACCTCGTCGCGTCCTTCTCCAGTCGCGTCCCCTATCCGAAAATGCCAAGACTCGCCACGCGACTCCTCCAGCATCGGCTTCGTCACGTGCTCCAACGCAGAATGGTGCGACGAGTACACCCTCACGCTCACCATGGAAGAAGCTTTCCAGATACTCACTGTCAAACGGGACGTTCATAGACCTCCGGAGTGATTCACCCACTATCTCTGACACTAGTGGACCGGAGCCCAAAACGACGTCCCTACCAACACGGACTAGTGTGCGACCTGAATCCCGTGCTTCTTCCACCTTCGATCAGATGAAGGCGGCTGGATCCACCACGGTCAAAACGCCTTCTCGGTCAGAGTCACGGGCGCGTGCCACGCAGCAACGGCAAAACAACTTCGACGGGGCACGGCATATGCCTCAATCCTGGCGTGATCTCTTCGTCAAATCGGAAGAAGCGGCAAGGCCGGTAAACACGAAAGGAAACGACACAATCTCCCGTCATGATCGAGCAGGTCAGGGCTTCCCCTCGAATAACTTATCGATCGAAATTCCACGACCGATCCCAGATTCTCAAGTGGCTTCTACGCAGCAAGGACATAAACGTCTGCCGACTGTTGAAGTTGTGAACGACTCCCAACGCAAAGAACTTCTCAGACAGTTTCAAGCTTCCTCCAAGTCCAAAGCTCAGCTCGCCAACGAGAAGAATGCGGTTCTGACTCAGCTGAAGCAGTCTACAAAGATAGCCTACGAAAAGCCGGAACTAGTAGAGCAATATTTCGGAACGACAGGATTCTCGGCCGTGTTCAGCGTGGACGAAGGCCTCGAGTTTATGCGCAGTGCGGCCTCAAAGAAGAGTAAGAAGACTAACCGGAGCGGTATCAAATTAGAGATTGAATCTCTTTCCACTTCGTTTGACCAACTCAGGCTCACCAAAAGCCCTATCCACCCCGCCCGGGCTGCGAGGGATATCCTCATCAGCCGCTTTGAAGAACAGTCAAATCCACCTTTGACTTTCTCCAACGACATCAACAATAGACGGCTTCCCGGCAAATTCCAATTCATTGATCACTATATCATCAGTTCTAAGATCAAGATGGCACCACCCTCGACGAACTCTGGCTGCGATTGCAGCAGTTGCACATTATCCACCTGTAAATGCTTGACCAAGGAAGTCGAAGGAGGGGAGATCCAGGTCGAAACCTATGTTCGCCGACCCGACGGGATCGTTGTGCTCTCGGACGATTATATTACCCGGTCCCTGAGAGAAGGAGAAGTCCGCCATGAAATCACGGAATGTAACGAACATTGCGGGTGTGGCGATGACTGCTGGAATCGGGTCGTGTGCAAGGGCCGCACGGTTCCTCTCGAACTTTTTCAGACCGAGAAGTGCGGCTTTGGACTTCGCTCGTCGAAAGACATTGTGAAAGGCCAATTCATCGAGCGATACCTCGGCGAGGTTATCACTGGGGCCGAATTGGAGCTCCGTGAAGACGTGGCCGAAGACCACCAAGCTAGCTATGTCTATATGCTGGACTGGTTCGGCAAAATAGGCCACAAGGATCCCTACCACGTGGATGGCGAGTACTTCGGGTCTGCCATGCGCTTTGTCAATCACAGTTGTAGTCCGAATACTCTGTGTATACCTGTGCAGACTCACCGAAAGGACAAGAGAGTGTATGACCTCGCCTTCTTCGCTATCAAAGATATCAAGGCTGGCGTGGAGATACGCATCTCTTATAAGAACGACGGCGATCCCGACGATGAGCACACCTCGGAGGACTTGGTGAAATGCCAATGTGGAGAGGACAATTGTCGAGGGATTCTATGGAGACCAGGAGTCAAGACGCGACGAAGGAGGAGACGACAAGAATAAAGGGCTCTCTGGGCTTGGGGGAAGGAGATGGACAATGCTGAGGCCGTCGACGTGATTGCCGCATCTGCGACGGTGCGCGTGTCGAAGGGTCCGTTCGAGATACAACTACGCCGATCGTCACAATGCCTTGGGAGCTCCTATATCCGATGGCGTCGAGAAAGAGCAGGAGCTGTTTGTTTTACTGTCACCCAAGGCGGAGAGCATGAGTATTGATTGGACGATGGGTCGGGGTCAAGTTGTCATCGAGAAAGGGGCCGTGCTTTTTACGCCATGAATGATACCCTGGATATGATTGAACGGATGGATGGACGGGTCAAACGAGCGATCACGGTGTTTTGGGACACACCTGACGAGGATATTACCAGAGAGGGAAATGTACCACTACCACCAACAGGAACTCGAGCGTTACGCGAAGCGTTTGAATCTCAGCGGACTAGCGAGCATAGCAAGCGGATACTGGGCAAAATGAGCTATTGCATGAGCGATTGCATGAATGGATGAATTGAATCACATGAATGAGCCACCAGATGAGGAATGAGACTTGGACCTACAAATATATCCATCACCCAGACAACAAACCAAAAAATTCCCCGACCCATCTCCGCTTATTCCCCCCGAGGGCGCTCGGACTGAGGGCAACATCGCACACAGGCTCGGGTGTGGGAGGACTAGAGGTACTAAAGGGAACTAGGGGGATATAATGTAATGGAGTTGGCTATCGAGTTACATCCCTACGTATACTCGGTATGATAGACAAGTAGATAATCCAAAGTGTGGAACGAATCACGATATATTTTGGATATACCTAGGTATCTAGACAAATACTCGGTATACTTACGTATCCTCGCGGCAAATATACATATATACATTGTTTACCACCATGTACAGTACCGGCGCCAAAAAAGTGAAAGAGTCTAGCAGCTGGTTTTTTGAGGACCGATTCCCCCCCACCCAAAAAATATTCTATTCTGTCGAAGCAGCGGGCTGAATTACTCATCCTCTTCACCTCTTCATCTCTTCATTATAGGGCAGAGCAGAGCGGTGATTTCTTCTCTCACCCCACCCCGATGCCTTGTTTTCGTCCTTTTTTTTTTCACTTTCCCTTTCCGAGAAGAGCGTGAGCTTTTCATGTTGGGGAGAGAGAAGGGGGAGAGTTGTTGATCAGATTGGCTATATTTAATCATTGATAATAGAGGTTTCTCTCTGCGCCTTTCGCTTTCAGGACACACTTGAGACTTGCAGTGATATTAAACTGATTCCCATTATCGGCATACGATAATCATATTAATAAATTAATAATAATAACTTATTTGAGTCGAGGTGACGAGAACTTCGAGAAGTAAAGCAGTCGTCGAGCTATAGATAAATATGGTTCTTCTTATATCGGGCAGTACCCAAGATGTTGATTATTTAGTAATTCCGGCATTTACCTGTCCAACTGGACGGGCTTCTCTGCCATTCTGTCTCTGGGAAGGTACTAAAAACTCTCCTGCAGACTCATCACGAGAGCCTCGTCGATCGTTTCCTTTCGGAACCCAGGGGCCCGGCCCAGGCAGGCACTCCCGAGAATCATGCGCTCCAGGAACATCTCCACGTCAAAGGTGAGCGGATTCGGCCGTCGGCTCAGGAGATCGGAGAAAGTAGGTGGTGAGGATGCCGAAGCGAGCGCCGCGAAGTCGGCCCACGGGTCATCGGCCGACTTTGCATTGCTCCGGGGCTCGGAGGCGGCAGCTGCTGTTGCTGCGGCAGTAGTAGATGTGGAGGACAAAGATGGGAACAACGTGCTCGGTCGGGCAAACATCTCGCCCAGTTCGCGGGCGATGAACGGGTCGGTGATGGGATCTGTGAGGCCTTCGGCCCCTAGGATAGGACTTGGAGTGCGTAGGATCGCATCGAGTGGGCTGCGGTTAGAGCTCGAGGTCCCGTCGGGGGAGGACATGGAGGCTTTGACACGCGGCAGGACGCTTGGATCCACCTCAATGAAGCTGCTCTGGCCGTCGAGGTATATACCCTTGGACTTGAGGTACTCTTCGACATCGTGGCTGTCGAACCACACGCCACCAAAGCCGATGTTGTCGAGCATTTCCTGCACCGACGTCTCCATCCGCGGAGTCTCGGCCTGGACGTAGGGCTGCGGCCCGAATGCTTTGGCGGGACTGATCATGTTCGGCGGGTAAATGGGGTTCCCTCCGTCGTCACGCCGGGGGTAATGCGTCCCCGCGCCGCCGATGTGGAAGAAGGGCACGTTCCAGTTTTCAAGCGACTCGCCAGCCTTCCGCTTGAGCATTTCCTGGAAGCGTTGCAGCATCCGCTTGCGATTGGAGAAGCAGAATGTGAAGCGGAACGCTCGTTTGATGTACTCCGGGTCGATGTCAGGGTTAGTCAGGTTGCGGAAGGCTCGCTCCAGACACATCCTGTGGAGACGGCGTGCGAAGGTCGTCTCCTGGAAGCTGTAAGTGTACGAGCCCTCGGCTTGGTAGGAGGGTTTCAGAGGGCGTTCAATGACGAGTTTCTCATTGGGTTCGTCAAAGAGGACGACGTCGGGAATGGTCGCGTTGAAGGACATAAGATCATTCAGGCCGTGGAGGTTGGAATTGTCCGTCGACCATGCGGATTCTGAGAGGGCGACCAATGGATGGTCTTCTTTGCCCATCAAAGGTAACTCTTCCACATCTGCTTCCGCATCTGTTGAGCTCTGATCGAAACTAACCGCTCGGCGTACATTATTAGTCTTGGTCGCTGCTGCGGGCCGTGACGAGGTCTTTGGGCCCAGCTGTGCACTAGATCTTCTCTTGCTCTCACCTGGTTCGGAGGCGGGCTTTCCGTCGCCACCTTGGGTGATTTTGGCAATGGCCACCTCTTCTTCCTCGTCGGATTCAGGTGTTGCTATCTTGGACAGAGCAACGAATTCCTCCGTGGCAGCCTGGAGCTGGCGACCTAGGGAATAGTGCGAGCTCAAAATCCCGGCGTCGACCATGTTATCATGGAGAGTCAGAAAGGTCTTGTTCATATGCTCGATGGTGGTCTGGAGGTCGGTGACCTTTTGCTTCAGCGCCGAGATGGTGGTTTCCTTTCGATGCCGGTACGCTCTCTGGGCCAGGCGAATCTGCGTGCGTCGACGATCCGCCGCCGTTTCGTCGTGAGTGTCGAGTCTAGGCCGGCCCCTTTGCTTCTTTTCGGTTCCTTGTTCGTCCCCGTCGTTGGCAGGTGAACGCTTTGTTGCCTTTGATCTCTTTTGAGTCGGTGTCTGGTCCTGTTCTCCCGAGGAGGAATGGCTACGGCTACCCGGGGTGGTAGCTAAGACAATACCTCCGTACAAGTGGTTGGACGAGGCTGCGGCTGCGGCCTTGCGCTTGCGCGGATTCTGTTCCATGTCCTCGTACGGCTGCGTGAGAGCCTGGGGGTAGCGCGAGGCCGATAAGATGTCCAGATCCCCACCCGAAGGACGCTGGATCGAGTTGGACGACATGAAGAGCTGGGCGGGGTCGTCCAGCAGTGACTGAAGGGATGAATATGTTCGGTCGACAACCTGCGATGGTCTGAATGTCTGCATGGCGACGGACATGGCCTCGACCCAAAGATGGATACGGCCGCAGGTGATTACTGAACCTGACAGAAGATGGAGATTGCTTGGGAAGGCTGAGGTAGTGCCCAGTGGTAGACAGTCTGGGTTTGGTGCCCTGAATGGCCAACAACCGTGCTGAGAGCTATCAGGGTCGACCACGGGGTCTGTCTTTTGTTGGTCTGTCGTCTGGTGCAAGCAATGGTCACGGTGGTGTCGAAATTTCCCAATGGAGGAAACGGGCAGATGTGCCTAGGGCTGGCTGTCTCGCTGGGTTTGCTCAGCTCAGGTATCGAGCCTCGAGTATTGCCCTCTTGAGCAGCTGTGATCAAGGATTGGTAGGATGTCTCTTTTGATTTTCTTTCTTGATTTCTCTCTCCCGCTACACGAATCAACGGTCTGTTTGTCCACAAGGGGAGTCAAGTGAGCAACTTGGTGATAGTCGAAAGCGTGGAGTCTCTCGAGAGGCAGGTTGTCAAACAGCGAGAGGCAGCTTGTAATACTAAACTGCGCGTCTGATGGACTGCTGCTTTAACACGCCCGACCAGCGTGATTGCAAGGACCCGCGAAAATTAGTCAGAATCCCACCGAGCAGGACCGAGAGACAACATGGTATATACGACAGGGAGGGCCTCTGAGGGTGCTGAAGAGAGTCTGACGATTTTCCCCTATAAAGCGAGGAGAAAGTCACATTGTCGAAACCCAAACGGCCGCTCAAGAGACGTTGATGATGGAATGTCCTGATCCCCGAGAGATGACCGGAAGGCCTGGAAGTCCAGATGCCCTGAGGAGCAGTCGTTCTTGCTCAATGAGGCAGTTGGTGTCATCCATGTGCAGGTGGTTGAATTGGACGCTATGCTGGAAACAGTCGGTGAGGTCTTGGTGAATAGTAATCATTTAATCGCACACTCGTTGCTGGTCACCGAGGCATGAAGGGCGTGCAGCAATCCCACCATACACGAGTCAAGGGTGGCCGGCTCTCGACTTCAGGTACGTCCGTAACTCCCTCTCCGGGCAGATTCCTAGGGGATCAAAACCCCACAAACTTGCTGGTTTTACTGCCTTTAGGTAAGCTGAGATGCCTCCATCCCCTCTAGGTACCTACGCTCCAGCACATCAGCACCTAGATGGTTGACTCAGCCCATGGAACGAAACCCTGTGGGTGCCTGGGGTGCCTGGAGCAGCTTATTACCTCTTCAACACCGTTCAGGTAGTGGTAACTTTCCCGCAGTGGCAAAGACAAACCTTACTGGATCCCTTGATCGTCTGCCCCTCTGACGTACTCGGGTTGAATGGTATAGACGAGTGGGAAACGATCAGGGACGTATCTCTTCTTTTCCCAAACATGAGCCAGCCAGTTGCTGACATGGACAAACATCCTGCCCCATCTTTGATCACACCAGTGGGTGGTGGCCGAGGAGATAGATCTTCTTACAAGAAAAGAACCCGTCACTACCGAAGTACTTCTTCTGAAATCATCTTGGCCCAACAGATGGCTGCTGACCACATCTGAAATCCTGTTGCGTTGATGCAACATAATATACAGCAGAGCAAAAAAAGCAAGAGCCTCTCCTCGCGTCCCAGATCGCTCGCTCTGGGCCTCTGTATTAGCCTGCTATAAGTGGTATCATAAAATACATGACCTCCTGTTCCTCAGGGTCGCCAATTCCCCCGAAGTTGTGGCCTAAAGAATCAGCTGCTCATTTTACATGCATCATAACTTTCGTTCAACTCCTAAAATCCCTCCCCAAGAAATGTTGACCATGGACTACCTGAAAAAAGGAGGTAGAGTTCCATGCAAAGAAGTCCGACTGATCCATCCGGCCTCTTTGAAGTGTCTGTCCCAAGTGCTCCCACAGGGTAAGAAGCTCATGCACGTTCCATGACCTCAAAGATACCATCCAAAACCACCGGCGTTTGCATGGTCTCATTCATGAATTCCATCATTGAGCACTGTGGAGAAGACGCCGTCGAAGCACCCGTGTTTGCTCGTGGTCTGGGTTCCAACAAGCCGAGCCCGATGAGCTCAGCTTCGTCGGCGTACTGTTCTGCCTGGAGTGCGAGGTCGATGGCAGAGGGTTGGCGACGGATGCGACGGCTCGATCGTGGTGAAGTTGCCGAGAGGATGGCAGAATCAAGGTCGTTGGTAGGTACCCGTCGTCGGCTTCCGAAGCTGCTATAGGAGGAACTGGGCGAGGATCTGATGGAGGATGGGCTAGATGACGACGAGCTCATGTTGCTGGATGGGCTCTTTGCTGACGATCGGTGGAGGGGATTGTGGCTAAAGATGGTCTGGAGATGGAGGCGGACTTTCGACGAGGTGTGACTGCGAAAGCTCCTGGGCATTGGTTTAATGGATGCTTCTTCGTGTAGAGTCTCGAAAAGAGAGACTAACTGTGCAACCGCCATCTTCCTGTAGGTCTATATGTAGACGTTGGAATTTTGGGTTTTCTTCCCAGGTTCCAGTAAACAAGAAGCTCCTTATATTTGTTCAACGACCTTGGCCAGCAGGTCGAGCAGATTTTGAACAGAGGAATGTGGTCAATGTGTAGAGTTGCCAAGGTGTTTGCCCCCAAGCGGCACCGGGAACTACGGTAATAATATCAACGAAAGTATCCAGCAGAAGCAAGATGCTGAGAACAGAAATGATGTACAAGAAGAGCTGGAAAGGAGAAGAAGCTGGAGAAGTCAGTGAGACATTATTTCCTGAGGGGGGATTGTTGAGATCAAAAAGACATGCGTCAAGCCTTTCGGAACAAGGCAGGTATGTATAGTAACAAAGCCCCCCTCCGCAAGGGCCAACTGCTTCCCTGCAGACCGACCGCCCCATATGCGGACTATCTGCAGACAAGCAGGCAATAGTTTCGCCCAGAAACATTGCGGACACGGGGACAAGCACTGCAGGGAGCAGAAAGTATCGCGCCTCCTTGCATGGGGCAATAAAATGGGCCTGCTCGTGATGGCTCCTGAAAACTTCTGTGAAAGGAAAGGTGGGGGATAGCATTCAAGCCCTCGGGATACGAAGGGAAACAAGCTCTGTAGGTATCGTCAAACATGAGTGTTTCTGGAGCTGAGGATGTCGCCAACAGGGCATCTGCAAATGTCGAGAAAAACCCCTGGTCTCGTCAGATCATCCCTCTCCCCTTTGATGTCCGACTGGGCCTTGACACAGAACAGAGACTGATGGTGCAGCAAAGATCCAGCTTGTGTTGCACCGTTGCTGAGGAAGCTTCGGAAAGTGAAAACGCCTCCAAAGATTCCCGTCCCGATCTCCCTGACTTTGTACGCGGTCGATTCCCCAAAAGTTGATGCAATTCTCCACCTACAAGGGAACCCTGACCCTGAGCTAGGGTTGAAGAAAGCCACAGGCACCACTGAGGCATGTTTTGACTTTTCCTGACGCGGCTGAGACTCACGCCAAACACGCACAGAAGGATTTCGAGACTGAGCCAAGGTTTGATCCGCTTGGCTCATCTCATCTCAAAAGACGCGACGGCGCGATGGGCGTTGTGGAGGCGTTTCAGGGGCCAGACAAGCGAGCCTAGTAGCCCCAATCCCGACCTTCAGGATTGTTGGTATCAGGTGAGAGGGTTCGAGGGGTTTTGTTTCGTCTTCGCCATGGTCAGCGAAGTTATGGAAGATTGATACAAGCGACAGAAGGGGCCGATGGGTCAGGAGCCGGCTCAGTTTATTGGTCCGCCGTCTTGGTGTGTCACCATTGCAGAATCTTCTGCTTCACAAATGTTGGACAGTCCTTTCACTCGATCCATGGCAACACGAAACTGGCAGCGGGAAGCTACGACTAGGTATGTCTCCCAGGGGAAGATGCAACAGGCGCTCTCCATCACATGATCGAGAGCAACCATCAAGCGACAAGGATGTGAAATCAATCAACCACAATCCCAGAGACGAGAAGAGCTATCAATCGGATCCCTGAGGATCGACATAGCCACAAGCTCCTTCTAGATCTCCTGCGAGGGACTTGTATGGAGTAGAATGCATCGGGACATCCAGGTTGTGGAAAACCCATTCCACCACAAACTTGTCATTGCAATACCCTGCTGGACAGGCTTGCAGCTCTCATCAAACTTCACGTCGCTAGACTTCCATAATCCATGTAATGTGCATGATGTACATGATGACTGGGTGCTGGTGCATATTCGCATCCTCTTTTCAGTCATCCACCCCATCTCTTACCCATCACATCAAAGGGGAAAACGCCCTCGCTATGCTCGTTTATTTTCATTTCGGATTCCAATAACATTATCCACTTCGTTTCCATCTCAATATTCACAAATGAAGAAATGAAATATAAAAAGACATGGGTCATGTGTCGTCGTGAAACATCGTGCCGAGCAAAGTGTACTACCAGCACACAATCATCCGCGCGTGCTGTTGCTCCGTGCTCTCCTTGTTGTAAAGCTTCGGCGCAGGCTCTCACCCCATGCTGAGTTGTCAAAGCTTTCCATCATGCCCTGGCCATCTAGCCCACTGGCGGTGCTGGGATGTCGACTGTGACCTAGCGTCGGCGTCGTTGGAGATGATCTCGTGGCTCCGTGGTAGGCCGTATCCACTGATCCTAATCTCGTCCGTACTGGGCTGCTCCGAGGCGAGCCCTCAAATTCCACCGGCGACGTGCTCCTCAGAGCACCTGAAGGAGGCATGGATGTATCGATAGGCGGTAAGTTAATTGACTGCTTCTTCGGCGTATAAGAGGGCGTGGATGCGGTGAAATCACGGGGCTCTGTGCTGCTGCTGCCTTCCACATTGTCGTCGGGATCCTCAATAAAGATCTCGGGAACAGGAATAGCAGGTGGCGCAAGTAGGCGTGCGCTCTTTCGTCGTTCGGCCGCTTTCCGAAACTTTCGAGACCAATGTAACGTGTCGAAGAAGCCGACCACGGTATCTCTGCGGATGCTCTCTTGCACTCTTTGAAGTCGGGCTCGCCGGCGAAGGAACTCCTCTAATCGGAGACTTCGAGAGTCTGTAATCACATTGTAGTGTGTCAAGAGAAACAGAACCGCCGTAAAGGGAATGCCGCGGTCTGGATCCGCCGTCAACATGACCTCTTGATAGAAGACGTTGATGCGTGCACGTCGCTGCCGAATTTCTACGACGGGAATTTGATTGACACGTTCTGCCAATTTGTCGAGATCGATGCCATCCACGATTTTTCCTGCTGGTTTGATGGGGTCGCCTGGTTGTACTGAGCAGTCCTCTTTAATGGCCCCCACAGTGAAGTCGCCATCATAGATTCGCATCTGCCAGATACCGGACAGTTCCTGCTTGTTGTCAGTAAGATGCATGAAGAGCCCCATAGATAAACTTACCCCTAGGAGCCGCGGGAACTGCTCCTTTGAAATGAAACCAGTACCATTCGGGTCGAATTCTGCCCAAGCTTGTTTGAAGCGCCGAATCTCATCACGACTCACAATGGACATACCGCTGCTCTGCTGATAGACATACGAGAAACTCTCGAAGATCATCGAGACAAATAGAGACACAAAGATGTACATGCTGATAATGTTCCAGGAGATGAACAGTGCCCTGGCCCAGCCGGAGCTGCCGCAGTCGCTGTTGAAGAAACTAGCTTCCCTCACGCAGAAGGGCGGTTCAAGACCGGCAAAATCTTCCATGATCTGATTCCACCCTTCTCCAATACTGGTCCGAAACAGGAGGATGAGGGCTTTTGGAACGGTGCGGAAGTTGACATTGTTGCTCTCGTTTTGCCCAAACCGCGTGAGTCCAAAAGCTTGGGTCAACGCTATCGCGAAGACTAGGAACAGGACAAACCATGTTGCTAACAGATTGGCGATCAGTGGGAGCGAAGCGGCTGCAGTCTTGAATAGTTGGTCAAGCTGATTGTTTCGCGGGATCAGGAGGAAGGTAACTGAGACAAGGAAGAGCTTGCGCAGCTGTTGGAAACCTCCGCTGTTGACCTTGGATAGCGAGATCAGAGACGTCACGAAGATCCCTGACACCGCAACAACCGAATAGATGTCCCATGAGCTCCGTCGAAACCTTTTCCAGGAGAGCCCAATTATCCTGATGATTATGTTGGCGATCAACACCATCGTGAAGGCAAGGAAAATATATTCCCGCACGGTTTCCCACCACGCTGGCTCGGGATAAAAGTCGATGGTGAGGAGAATCAGGTGGAGGATCAATATCGTGGTAATGAATCTTTGCCACTTGCCCCGTTTCTGTATCGAGAGGTCATAGCATCGCTTCTTCCATTTGGTGGTGTGCTCACCAAGAGATCTCTTGGAGGGAGAAATCTGCTTCAAGAGCTTCCGCAGTTCTAGCCACGACCGTTGTTCTGCTGTCAAAAACGCGACCCCTGTCTGCTCTGTGTAATTTCGCATAAACACAGAGATGAACAGGGTCAGGACAAAGACAGCACCCAACAGATTGAAAACGATGAAATAGACTGCATTACCCTGTGCCGCAAATGGCTGTGGTTGTAACCCCGTGCCAGTGATACTCGTGCCAGACCACATCACGTTCACCCATCCTTCTTGAGAGACGATCTGGAAAAGAATGAACAAAGCGCTGCCGAAGTCATCGAAGTCGAACCAAGAATTTGCAACCTGCCTGGGAGCCAATACAGGCCAATTGAAGGGAGTAGAGTTGTACTCCCCTACGCAGTTGCTCAAGGCGCTGTAGCCGAAATCTCCATCGTTGCAGGCTAGCATTTTGCCATTAAACAGGTTGACTCCAAGAATCGCAAACGGAATCAGCAAGCTCATGGAAACAAACGCGGCAGCGAGGACTTTGTATCCACCAACGATGATAACCGAGTAAAATGTCTCTCGCGCAGTGTCGCTGATGTTGAGCAAGCGCAGCGCCCTCAGCGCTTTGAAGGCACCCACCGCTCGAGAAACGCCGTCGTCGCGGAACATAGCAGTGACAACATTGATCCAAAGCGTGATGAGGACCACACCATCAATGAAGCCCCAGACACTTCGAAAGTAGGCATGGGGCGTAAAGAAGAGACCGTCCGCAATGACTTTGATGATCGCTTCGACCGTGAAGAGTATCGCGAAACCCAAGTCGGTCCACACGAACCAGTTTGTGATGCTCAGTGTATTGTTCAAGTAGTAATTGCGTTGATACAAGGGCGTAGTGATGCATGCTAATATGACCATTGCGACGATAGCAGCATATGTGAAGGCGGAGAAGGCATACCAAGCAGGTCTGTAAGGCGATACGCCCTCCACTCGCTCAGTTCCTCGGCCAGGACCGACGACGTATTGGCACAGCTTTCTCAACGGGTTATCTGGCTTGAAGATGTATAGGGACACGTTATACTTGGGGTGCTTTTGCAAATATTGGCGCTGAGCACGGCGACGGTTCTCAGTTGTCATGACTACCCTTTTAGCCATAGCTCTTGGATCAAATTCCTCGTTTGCGCGAGTGATTTTTGCACTAGAGTAGAATGGGTTTGGTTCTGCTGATCCATAGAAACCAGTGAGCTTGGCCCAGTATTTGGACAGAATACCAGGTTTGACAGTCGGTGTTTCATCGATGTGCATGGATGTGGTCCTCCGTGCAAGGCCGGCATCTTGTTCGTCCAGGAAGTCCTTCACGACTGCCTCCTTGAGGAGCTGTTCGACGGTTGCAGAGCCATATTCGAGAGCGTCCCGGTGTCTGATTGATTCCCGCCCCATCTTGAAGACTGCAGCGAGTGTGAGGTTCCCAGAAGCTGCACCGGCCATTTCCTTTTGCTTCAAAAATGCCTTCACCTGTTGTAGACGTTTCTCATCCTCAGACACGTCGAAACTTTCTTGGATGACAGCAATAAACATATTCAGCACAATTAAGTTTGAGACGACAAACCAAAGGATGAAAAATATCGCACTTAGCCACGCTGTATCCCAGATGTCGTTGAACTGGGTGGCATTGTACATCAGAGTAGTCCAATTCTCGCTCGAAAACACTTGGTACATTCCCAGGAAGGAGTTCCAGATGTCGAAGAACGTCACGCCAATCACGACACCCCCGGCATCTGCTGGTGGAATGTCCCCCCTGAATAGTTGCGAGGCAAGAATGGCGGCCAGGAAGGTGAACAGGAATACAAACAAGATCAAGTTCAAAAGACCGACAATGTTGCCAAATACAACCATGACCAGTTCTCTTGTGACCCTAACTACGAGGACGACTCGATAGATACGCGCAATTTGAAATGCCGAGAGCCATGCGTATGGCTGACCCGAGTTGCGGATTGCTGGAATTTGCATGATTGTGGTGACAATGGCGAGCAAAAGATCAACACAGTTCCTTTTTCCGTGGAAAAAATGTCTCCAATCGCAAAGGAAGCGCAAGATTATCTCCAGAAGCAGGAGGAACGTGACGACCGTTTCAGTGTCCATGATAAAAGTCTCGCGGCTGTCACTCATGCTTGCACTTCGCAGACTCTGGACCACCAGGTCGAATACGATGATGAGAACCCAAAAGAGATGGGTTTTGTCGTATATTTTCTTCAACTGGCTCCTTTTCTGCATTTGATCATCATCGAAAACAGGCCCGTCGATTTTGTCAGCTGTAAATGCGCTTTGCTTGCTCTCTTCTCTGATGATCTGGAATGAAGAGGTGATGACAGCGACCAACAAGTTGACGAGCCACAAGCTCAGAACGACAATGCCGGCTGCAAAGAAAAGTGCTGCGGCAAGGTAATCGGAGTCCGTCAGATAGTAGAGGAGGTCGGAAAATGTGTTTGAACTGATTATCACGAAGACGAGCTCCAGCGACTGGCCTATATTGTCGAAACTGACTGTACCGTTGTATGGGCCACTGAACCCCTCGACGCATAACGAGCCTTGAGGGCATATATATCCTTTGGAGCTGTCTGTTCCATTTGAGCCATCAGCTTTGAGCCATGGCATCGCCTTTCCCGTTACAGCATCTAGGTAGCCTCCGCAAAATTGGATGTTGTCGGGCGCGATGTTGAGGGTGTAGTTTTGACCGGAACCGTCGTCCCCTACCCAGACACAGGTACGTCGCAGGCTCGATTTGAAGCTCTGCACGCCAATGATACCAAAGATCAGCCAAAAGAAGCCTATGAGAAAGGCCACATGAACTAGAAGAGGAGCTGCCTTCTTTAAACTTCGCAGGATGATTGAAGTTCCAGCGGTGAGACCCAGGAGACGCAGAATTCGGAGGCAGCTGAGCATGTTGAAGACATAAACGTGACTCGAGTTTTCGACGCCGCTGAGCTGCATTGCGAAAGAGATCCAATAGGAAACAACGGCAACGAAGTCCAGTCGGTTGAAGGAATGTCGCAGAAAAGCCCGGCGGGCCAAACGTATCCTTTGCTGCTGCTTCGTATGGCCAGGCCCCCCAGCCTCCCCAGGAGGAGGGACTCCGGTGAAGGTTCGAACAATCGATGGCTGCGTTGGTACGTCGTTGACCATCATGGGTGTCTCTCGAGCTTCCTGGGGGGCGAACAGAGTGTGAGCCTTTTGAAGAACAGCTTTTTTGAAGCCGATAGACCGATTTATCGTGCTGAACTCCACGGGGTTCGAGACGAACCCAGACACAATGGTACGGGCAATGAGTTCCAAGGTGTATACCACAAATAGCGCGAAGATAGCATAATCAAACCCTGTGCTTCCCCATCGCTTCGTCCGAGTCTGCAAGTAAACAGCATCAGACGCCGCATTGACAGCCAGTAAGACCGTCTGAGCGACAATCAGAGCCAAGATTGTGGGTTCGGTCAGTGGATGGACGAGGATTTCACAGAGCCACTTGCGAAGAGGGTTCTCCGGTCCAAAAATCCCCCAGGTTTTGCCAACAAGAGGGTTCGGGTGATGAAATGGGACTATCGGAGTAAAGGGTTCGGTGACAACGTCAGATGACGGAACTTTCTCGAGGGGAGTTTGCTGCGGTTGTGCTCCTTCTTCGTCTCCAACAATATCCAAGGGATGAGCTGAAGCACTTGGACGCCTCTGTCGTATAGACGATTTGCGTCGGATACTCTGCTCGACCATGTCCGAATCATTACTCAGGTTAACCACACGTTGTGAAATCTCTCGCAACATGGAGTTCGCCCTCGCCATTGGCGAGGGAGATGGCGACAGAGACCTCGATCTTTCGCCAGCTTCGCCCTGCCCTACAGAGAGACGGCTGATCCCACTCGTTGTACTCAGCTTGCGATGCATTCCAGCGTTTGTATCGAGCGTTGGCAGATCGTCTCCGAGACGCGAAGTTCGTCCGCGAGCCGCTGCAGGGGATTCGCCATCCGTCCAGTGAACGCTGGACCTTTTCCCTTGTCTGTCATGCCTCTGGCCTCTGGATACCGAGCTAGATGTCTTGAGAGAAGATGGCACGCGGCGTGAAGAAGTCAGGGGAGTAGTATCGGAGTCTGGAGGCGAGAAGGGACTTTCCACATCATGAAAGTCCCCATCAGCAGGCGTAGTAATAATGCTCGGTCGTCGTAATCCGACACTGGGTGGTGTTGAAGGTAGCTGAAGGTCCAGTCCCACCGTCGCCGCTGCAAATCCGCCCACATCTTCAATCGGCGATTCCCTACCGCTTCCTCCTCGTATAGAAATTCCAACAGTCTCAGAAGAAGGCCCTCCTCTTGCCGGTGACTCTTCATCATTCAGTCGCGCGTAATTGGGAGTCCGACGTCCGATCAGTAAGGACCTAGTGCGACTGTGCCGTGACTGGTGACCTGATACTGCGCCTATTGAAATATCATTTTCATCTGAACCGCTATCGGGTGGTCTCGAGAGATCTCGGAGAGGTATCGATTGTGGACCGGTCGCCTTAGGGGGAGTCTTGTCGCGAGAGGACATAGTGGTATCGTGGCCCTAGTAAGAGCAGGGCGCGGACAGTGTGTACTATCTCCGGACGAAGCGCGGCATTTCGATGGCGCTCGAGGACCGAACTGTGCAGGCTCTTCTGCGCAGATTTATTCCTCTAGTTTGTGTCCGGAAGAGAAGAACGGATGAGCGCACGCGCAACTGCGATGGAACGAGGCTTCGGGGCGAGTGTTGGAAGCTGCACGCAAGCAGCGGTCAAAGATTAAACGAGCGGCTAGTATGATCTATGTTGCGTAAATAGCGAGAATGGAAATGGCAGGTTGAGAACAAGGCAAAATGAAGTTGTAATTGCTCGTTGGTTGCGAAGACGGCAACAAGGCAAACCGCATGTGCCACTTTTTTGGTGTTGAACCTCCAAGCGCTGATGTGGCAGGAAGGTTACCGGCCTAAGGCTGGACGCGCGGCGGTCCCTTGATGTGCCCGAACCACTTAACTAGCCTGAAAAGAGCCTCTAAATTTTGAAACAAGAGCCACCTAACCGGGCCCCGAAGCCACTTAACCTACCAGCAGCGAACTCTTGGGCCTCACTAGCCCGGTGGGATCGAGGCTGAAGCCCCCCCAAGGCAGACTTTGTCCAGCTCCTGAACTCCTGGGTACCTAGGTAGCTATTTTCAGGGGTCCAAACCCTCCGTAACAACCCCCGAAAGCAGGCTCACTAGGCCTGGGAGCCCCTCACATTGAACAAACACGTCAGCCACAGGCGAACGAACTACTGCTTTGAACTAGAAGTAACACTTGTGAGCACTACCTTTCAGCTTTGCACCACGTACCTACCTGATACTTCCAGGGCCGCCGATCATTCGCACAACCTAATCCGTGGTACTTGTTTTATTGCTTAATGTATCCTTTGGGCGAAACGGAACATCAATTCTGCTATCTCAGTAGAATACTCCGTATACACCACACCACCCTGGGAGCAGTAGCCAGAGCCGGCGGTAAACCAACGCATTTCAAATGGTTGTTGAGGCCATAACGTCTGAATTTGGGCCAACACACCGGCAAAAGTGAAGTCTCTTGCCCTTTCAATGCCACGCGAGCCTGGCATTCTTTAAAAGTCGCCTCACTTGTTCCGGAAGCAGCTCTTTGGTCCTCAGGCTGACCTTTCGGAGAGTCTGAAGGCCCTTGCTCTTGCGCAACACGTCGTCCCATAAGTGGTCTTGGACGCATTCCATCCCGGTCTTCTCATTGACTGGGCTTAGCATGATTGGCACATCCATGACCTCTTCTTGCTTCTGCTTCCAGCTATCATTTCCGACAATCCGAGTCAATGGAGCCAAAGCATCATCCCAGGTTCCAGATCTCAAATGACAGAGGTCGAAATGAAATTCGTGCAGCGCTTTTCTATGGCTCATGATAAACCCAGAGGCTTGAATAGCATCCAAGCTTGCGTTGCTGAGGCGCATGGATTTCAGATGCCGAAATCTGAGTGGTCGGCATGACGATCTCGTACTGGCGTCCGGGCACGCCTTTGAACAGTCTAAAGACGTCGGGCGCGAAGTGCAAGGCTCAATGTGAAGAGCTAGGGGAAAGGGCCCCTTGTTGCCGAGCCACTGGAACTTGAAATGCTCCAAAGCGTGGAATGTCTGCAGGTAGCTATGCAGAATCTTCAGGTGGTCTGACGGCTGGTTCCGGCCATATTCGAAGCTGTCCATCTCAATTTCCAGAGATTTGATGCCCTTCCAGACGCGGAAGGATGCTGGGGATGTCCCGATGCTCAGGTGAGGACGAAGGTAAAATACAGCTGCAGGATGTATGGGCGCCAACGTCAATGATACCAGTTGACTGGGTTTGGCAGCCTCCATCGCCAATCTCAGCGAAATCAGAGCATAATCAACAATATCCTTTCGGTATCTTTGACCTGCGGGTTGATTAGGGCAGGAGATATGAAGATGCTGTAGCCTTGGCATCGAGCTAACAGCGTGAAAGAAGGAGTCCACGTTGGTGGCGGCATGGAAGAGAGGAGGATATTGCTTGACCAGAAGGTCGTTCATCTCCCAGGAGCCGAATTTAGAAGTCGACGAGGATGAGGAGGAAGAACTGGAAGAAGAGTGCGGCCTTGAGTTATTGATCCGCGGTTCGTACATGAAGGTGACTTCCTCCAGCGTGCCTGGAATGAGCAACGGAGGTAGAAAAGTGTCGGAGTGGTGTGGCATAATGAAGGAAAGGCGTCGCACATGGTAGCCAATCCTATTCAATGCAGACATGCGCGACCTGCGCGAAAATGTGTTTGTCCTGAAATGGATTTCGAGGCTTTTGAAGAGGGTGGGAGCAACGTCGTCGGCGAGGGCTTTGCTCACGAGTCGCAGGGATTGCAAATCATCCTTCTGGACATGAGATAGGAAGCATTCGCGAACGAGGTCGGTCCTCCAGAACGCGGCGAATGCGGTTGAAGACATTGTTCATGTGGAACATCTCGAGGCAGTGGGTCAGGCGTTCCTTGATAGTGACAGACAAGGCCAGAAATGTGGTGAGAATGATGATCTTCAAACCAAGAAAATGCCGATTGAAACAGCAAGTGTGGAGAACCTGGAGTCAACAAGGACAGAAGAAAGAGCACAGCTACTTCATTGCCACGGCTGGAAGGATTGCATCGAGATCAATTGACAACAGCAGAATAGGTACCTAATTGTAAGATCTCGATTGCAAAATGGCCCAGGCATAGAAGGTTGGGAAAACGGTCAAGAACCTACCTTCTGGAATCGAGACGGATGGAGGGCTGGAAAGAGATATAGTTCGGAACATTTGCTAGAGGATAGTAATGCCAGTCTGTTGTGGATTTGGAGGACAAGGGAGCGTTGTGTGCAGATGGTTTGTAGGAGCTATATCGCGATTATGGCACGGTCGTGGAAGCGCGAAACAGGACAGCGACGTGATCATAGGCCGCAGGAGACGGTGTAGCAGGAGGCTGGACCTGAGGTGCATATTTCGTGCATAAATGGCTGCATCTCGTGCCGGATTCGCGCCACAAAGTCCCCCGTGTTGGTGTCTTGTTCACCTTCTTCCCCGAATCCGTTGGAGAAGCGCGACGTTATTGTGAACGCCTGGACTCTTGACGCGAAGGACACTGATATACGACAAGCTGAAGACTTGCAATCTTGTCACCTTGTCTCATGGATCCGTCGGTAATCTTAATGTTGATAAGGGACGGGATCCATGGTTCATGCAGGGCTATTTGTGCTGGGATCGCATGCCACGCAATGCCACGCGAGTACCGAGTACGAGCATGAGGCTGTCGAAGACCCGGCGCGTCGGCACAACGGGATGATTATTTTTCAGCCCCCAATGCCTGATTTGATTGTTTTGTATCGGTCGGTCCGCACCGTGGCGTCTGGTCTGGCCAGCAAGGCAGCTGTTTTACATAATGACTGTGTACGACGACTTCAAAGTTCTGCACAAGAAGTCCCACCTTTTGACGGGTGGACCGGACTGCGTCATTCTGGTGTGAGCGCCGTGTTCAAGTCTCGATTGGGAGGTGTCACCGGTTGTGCTGTGGAGGACTCGAATCTCTTGGGGTAAATGGGTAAAGTGCGACGAGGTATGGCAGTGCGGGAGTTCGTAGGGAAGACTCGAGAACAGTCAAGCAGCCATCGTCATGCTCATGGCGTGGATTGGCTGACCAGCGGGATTACCTATTATGATTGGTGATAGGCGGTGGTGACTCTGGTGAGCCACTGACCACCCACTGACTCCCGAGTAAAGTAGTGAGAAGAGTGAGAAAGAGTGAGAGTAGCGAAAATAATGAACGCACCCTATCATCATCGCCCCCGAGCATTCCGAGGAACCCACAACATCACATCACACAAAACAACCTGGAAGTCACCACCGCGAGGGATCTTTTGGGCACCGGGCGCCCCCAAAACCCTGCTGTTCGTGTGGCTGGCACTGGCTGGCTCGTTCAATTCCCTTCCAGGTTCCTTTCTTCCTTCCCATTCCCTGTTCTTCACAGAATCGCCACGCTGACTTTTTGCCGATTCCATCCAATTCCCCGAGCTCTTGGCCCTCCTTGGCCCTCTTTCGCCCTCTGTGAGTGGATGCCACAGGGTGCCACATCCACGCACATCCCAGTGACATCGTGACCTTTGACATATGCAGCCAATCGCCCTCCCCAATGACATCAAGCTCTGCAGAAAACGTCGACTCGATCTTCACGCATCTACAGCATTTTTATTCGCCGTTAGCTGTGCCTGCCTATCAGCTTCCGATCCGATGTGAAAATCTTTCGCAGAACAAAGCAGGTGAGCACGCGAGTGAGAGCCACAAGCAACTTTGGTATAAAGTGACAATTTCGACCCCCATGTTCCATCATCATGAGGCGTTTCACTAGCTCCAGCCCTCTTCTCCTATCCTCGCAAGTTTCACCTCCCCGGCTCCAAGTACCTGGCATCCTTACAAGAACACGAGGGAATCCACTCTTCCTGCTAGCTATCGATAGACTTCTCTGTAAATACTAGAGTTCCCTCGCTTTGGCCTGTATGCAGAGTCGTTTTCACCCAGAATTGCTGTCTAGACCTTAGGCACGAGACCACTTGCTGCATCTTTCGAAGATCGGCCTTCAGGGGAAAGGGAAAAAGGCTCACCATGATGCCACAACTGAGCCCGATTCCAACTCTTCCCAAACCCTTTGGACCACACAAAGTCGGCACTACAGAATGGGAGATTCCTGTCTCTGAGATCCCCTCGCCGTCGCCAACTCCGGAGCCCAAAATCACAACCATCAAGTTTCGCCTTTTTTATCCCACAACACCCAAGGCAAAGTCGAAGACTTCGGTTCCCTGGCTTCCAACACCACAACGGGAATGGAACCAGGCATATGCATCTTTCCTGGGCGCGAGTCCTCGTGTCTCGTCGCTGATTTCACTCATACCTATGCTGATTAATATGACCACCATCCCAGCGGTGGCAGGCGCACCACTACTACCAAGGGACACCTCCTCCAGGTACCCTGTGGTGGTTTTTTCACATGGGTTAGGAGGGAATTTCAACGCTTACAGCGCAGTGTGCGCAGCCCTGGCCAGTTTTGGGATTGTGTGCGTGGCCCCCGAGCATCGCGATGGCAGCGCCCCTATTTCCCCGATCCGCTCAGCTGATGGCCGCAAATCCACCACAATCCCCTACCAAAAGCACCCTCACGCTCCCACTACCAAAGTCCTCAATGCTCGCAACGCTCAGCTGAGAATACGACTGTGGGAGTTGGAGCAGTTATTCACCGTTTTGACAAGTTTCAATCAAGGCAAGACCTTCTCCAACTATGCCACGGTGCTGAAAAAATCGAAGCCGGGCCCGCCGTTAAAAGACGCTCTGGATCTGCGGCCGGGCCACGTAACGTGGGCAGGCCACTCCTTTGGCGCCTGCACCACCGTCCAGTTTGTCAAATCAGTCTATTATCACGAATTTTTGCCCTCGCTCAAAGGTACCGAGTTCGAAAATGACCTGGACTGGCGGCCTCTCTACAAGCCGGCCGACAACAGCGAGCTGGTCAGGCAAATCACACCAGACTCACCCGTTATTTTGCTCGACCTGTGGGCCATGCCCTTGCGTGCCGGCCTGACGAAATGGCTTTGGGAAAGGCCTCTGCCATGTTATGACCGCCGATCAGCCGACGGCCAAAGTCACCCTCCCACGAACGTCGTCGCAATCATCTCCTCCGAGTTCTACAAATGGCCTGAGCTGCTGAACAGAATGAAGGCCGCACTGTCCGCGAGACCCGCCGAGGCCATGTACACGCTGGAGAAGCGCGAAGCTGCGCGGTCTGTGAAGCCACAGCAAAAGTCGCAACCACAGCTGGTGGCAACGCCTGGGGACAAGCTTCCGCCAGATGTACGAGAGCCAGAGGTTACCTCACGTCGAGGTTTCGAAGCGAATCGGAGTGCAGATCTAGAATCTGATGATGGGGACGAGCTCTTCGTGACACCTTTTGCGACACCCGGAGAAGAGTTTCCACTTGACAAGATTATGACAAATAGACGTAGCGGGTTTGAAGCCTGGAGGGGAGGAGCGCTGGAAGCTCAAGATGTCGACATGGACGTGGAGAGAGAAATTGACGAAGAATCAATGAGAGAGGCTGTCAGGCAGCCACTGCCAGATTCAGAGCCGGAAGACGATGACGAGGACGTGGCTGGAAGCATCGAGCTTGGCTCCCAACTAGACGAAGAGGCAGTGGCAGACTCAGAGATCGCCTCTACATCTAGATCATCCACCTCTAGCAACGTTACTAGTTTCTCAGCCTCGCCCTCAGAGTCGACGTCCTCGCTATCGACGCCCGCCTCATCCATCCAGCTTAGCCGCACTTCTTCCCCGTCGCCAACCTGCGACAGCGTTTCCAGCACAACTTCGACCTCCGACATCGACGTCAAAGGAACTGCGACCTCTCCTGACGCACATGGACAACACTCCGACCAGTTCGACCTTTCCTTCTCCCCTTTCTCTCTGCTCCCACTGGATCTCCCCAAGCTCTCCGTCGCCCCGAACCCCAATACACCATCTCCCTCAGACCCTCACCTCTACCTAATCCCCAACACCGCCCACTTGTCACAGTCCGACTTTGGCGTGCTCTTCCCAAATCTGACGAGGTATCTCATGAACGCTGAGTCTCCGGTGGAGACCATCAGACTGAACGTCCGAGCCATGTTGGCCGTCATGAGGAACGTCGGTCTAGACATCGAGAGCTACCGCGACGATTGTGCGCGCGAGAAGAAAAAGGCCCAGACTCCTCCCCGCCGGGACGAAGACGAAGACTATGATGAGTTGGAGGAGCTTGATCCAATTCTCACGGAACGGTGCAAGGAGGAGAGGTTCTTAAGAGTCGACATATATTGATCCGATCACCGTTCTCCACCACGGGGTTTCCACCCTCTCGTGGGCTTTGCTGCCCTCTCTGCAATCTCGGACAGGATTGCATGCACCTTTAAATTTTGCTGCTACCTTGGGTTTTTCGATGGAGCGAATTCGCACGCTAGGCGGCGCTGGACCAGGAATTAAAAGGGATCAAAAGCAAAAAAGCCGACAACAGGACGCTGCTTATTTCTTCAACTTTGCTTTTCAAGCTTCCCCCTTTCTGTCTTGATATGCGACTTTACTTTGATTCGCGGAATATGGGCATAATGGGATATGGGACACGGAAATTGGATATGGATGTGCGATGGGACTATGCATTACGATTTTGCGATGGGCATTTTGGGGGTCTGGCTTGAGGTTCTTGTACACACACGCGCGCGTCTCTTAGCCGGCACCTTCGATTCTTGATCTTGTCTTTTACGGGGGAAAAGCATTCAGCGTCCACAAGTGGGATCATATTGTCTTCTGCGGAAGCACTAGGCACTTTGTTTTGTATATTCGTTCTTGTCTACCTACCTAGTATATATGATCCAAAAAGCGGTCAGACTCTTTCTTCATCAACATCGTTCAAGTAAAGTTGGGCTTTGATAGCGGTTCGGGAACTTCGTCTTTGGTTTGAAGCAATGATCTTTCTTGTCTCGCTATGCTAAAGCTAGTCTAAAAAAGCTAAGAGCAGTCACCCAAGATGATTTATTGCAAGGGCCACTCGGTTCGCATGGGAGGAGGCAAAGGCCGAGATTTTCTTGGCTTTGATGTCCTTTACCACTTGCCAGGCGCGTTGGATCACTCCCTCAAGACTTCCGCACCATTCTCATCCAGCATCGCTTCCAGCATGGCAGAGCCTCTGCCAGAGAAGCTTGACGCAGCCTCACCAGCCGTCCCCTGTCGTTCTAATCATATGATGGCAACAGTACGACCTTCTTTCTGTCGTCTCGCTAGACCAATTCCGTGACCATTGATACCTCTGATTCGCGATACCGCAGCCCAAGCGCAGGGCATCAGCTGTCGTCATTTACAAATCAGGGTCTTCCTCATCGGGCAGAGGCATTGCCGCAGCCTCAGTCATCTCCTTGTGGTATTGGTCGAGTTGTGCCTGGTCGATCTGGACCTCAGGTGGGGCAAGAGCCGGGGCAGCCACGAACTCGAGTTGAGCATTGCCGACCAATTTCCGCGCCAGCCAGAGGAAGGGCTTCTCGAAGTTGTAGTTGGATTTGGCCGAGATGTCATAATATTGGAGGTTCTTCTTGCGGTGGAATGTGATAGTCTTGGCCTTGACCTTGCGCTCCTTCACATCGACTTTGTTTCCGCAGAGGACGATAGGAATGTTTTCGCAGACGCGCACGAGATCACCTGCAATTTTTAGTCAGTCTTGATACTCTTCTAATCATGTACTCAAGGCGCGGTTGACGTACGGTGCCAGTTGGGGACGTTCTTGTATGTGATTCTGGAAGTCACGTCGAACATGATGATGCCGCATTGTCCGTTGATGTAGTAACCGTCTCGCAGACCGCCAAACTTCTCTTGACCAGCGGTGTCCCACACATCGAATTGGATCGGCCCAAGGTTCTGAACTGCGGTTAGACTTGTCTGCGTTTTGAACAACCAGCTGACGTACGGTTGAGAATCCTAGAGGGTGAACTTCGACACCAAGGGTCGCGATATATTTCTTTTCGAACTCTCCCGTCAGGTGGCGCTTGACGAATGTGGTCTATGACAAGTGTTAGTATTGTTGGTATCAAACGCTTCCGTTTCTGGCAGGCCAAACGAGCAAGAGCACGATTTGCGTGCAACGGTGCTCACCTTTCCAGTACCGCCATCGCCGACCAGGACGAGTTTGAAGGTTGGAATATTCGAAGCAGCTTCAGCCATGGTGATTGTGGTCTTGTTGGGACCTCTGATATCAAGTCAAGATGGACAAGGTCAACTGCAAAGTCTGTGACTACGACAAATACGCAATCCTGAGAGTCGTGGTATGTCAAGGAGAGGTAGTGAAAAGGTTGAAGAGAAGGTGGTTTGATGGTATCTCGGGGAAAGTGAAGGTAGGCGCAAGTTGAAGGCGTCGGTTTGTTTTCACGACCAGCGCTTGGCATATTCCGGCAGCGTCACTTGCGATTTTTGCATCACAGATCGGCACGTGACCATGCCAGGCATGCTTACATAATGAGATAGAAGAGAAAAGTGAGTCCAAGTCAGTCTATTCATCGAACCCAGTAGAGCTGTTGTTACAAGAATGAGTGGATCATAGCCAGACACAAGTGGCCTTCGACTAGGATCTTCGAGTTGTTTGCCATAGCAGCAACGAGACCTTGAGATCAGGGAACCGTCCACACACTGGGATAGCATAAGCTATGCCCGAGCCCAGCTGCATGTTCCCGCGATTGTGCATCGATCTCACACTAGTCTCTCGTAGCAATACCAGTCTGAGACTTCATATGGGAACAATGTGACATCCGAGTGTGCCTCTTCCACCCCAGTTCTGTCTTGGAGTCAACCTCAAGTCCAGTTCTTGTACCTCCGATCCTGTACCACGAGAGACCTTGACCAAGATCGGCCGTCCCAAATTCTGGCTCACAATTTCCCCCACTTTGCGTAATCTTTCGTGGTTTGACCATATTGCAGAACCAAATCTCCTTATCAGGTCGCCAGCCTTCAGGCCAGCCTCATGCGCCGGGCTCCCAGGCTCAACGCTGTTCACTTTTGCAAATGGGGTCTCGGGAACCGAGGGTGTCTGCTCTGGTGCGGGACTGGGTGCTGGTTGAGATTGAGGCTGATTCAGTGAGTTCTTGTATTCGTCAGAGGCTTGGTACTTGGCATGATGTTCATGGAGACCCTTCTCGATTTTGTCCATCAGAGCTTTCCAGTCATTACGGAGTGCAATAATGCGTGCTCTTGTAACTCGTACTTGCGCCACATCAATATCTGATCTCGGATACCCATCAAATGTGGTCAGACTTGTCTGCATGGTGACTCCATGGCTATCGAGGACGGCCCCCAAAGCCTTCAGTTCTGCCTCGAGATTGTCCTTGCGGGCAATGAGTTGCTGTAGAGTGAGACCTTCAAACGACTCGGCCTGGTGGATCGAGGTAGGTCCGCTGGGGACATGAATATCGGCGAGGTTGGGGTCCATCGGAAGTCCCATGGTCATTCATCAAATGTGTAGGTAGGTCAAGAGAGGCAAGCCAGAAACAAATGTTCGGGCAATAGACATGTTGGGCGCAGGCAACTCCTGGAACGCGTGGGTGCGGTAAACATGTGAGTGGGGGAGCAAGGGAGCTTGGGGGAGTCAAGGACGCCGGTATTTATCCGAGGTTTCTCCGACAACTGTTGTCGCCAGCCGGCGTCACTACTGTATCTCGTCCTTGCGTTGATATAAGGACTTTGATCTTGGTCATCTTGTGACGCATTCATCTGCTATAACCCTGTCGTTCGATCGAGACGCTTCTGATGGCTTTGCTGTCTAAGGCCTTACTGCTCCTGGCCTATTTGCCAGAGACGTTTCGCTTCTGATGCCGTGAACGGCAACATGTTTTGGTCTACCTGTCAAACATTTGATGGCTCCGGCGCCCATGTTCCACAGACAATCTCATTTTGATGTGCTTCCGCTCGTCAAATTCTGGAATAGGTATCAAGGTAGGAAATCGTTTCATTACCTGGTATCCAAAGATCGCCCAGAAAAAGGTGACAGACTCGTTCTATCACCAGACTCTTGCTCCTTCTCCCTATGAGTCGCAGCCACCACCTTCCTCGCCAGCCAGATTCGAAACCGGTCGACTCAAAGGCTGTCTACCTTCATTCGCCTTCTTACTGTCATTGTTGCCATGTCGTATCACTCAACTTTTGGGCACCCTTTCAACGTTGGTCGTTTGGTCCCTCAAATGGGAATTTTGACCGTTGGCTTTCATTTTGTCTTCCATCGTTGAAGTCCTATCTTTTTACAAGCTTAGCTTATGTGCTATTGATAAATCATGACGGCTCAGCTCTTACCTTCCGTCATAACGAGTCCATTCAACAGACATTTCGATACGAGCGCGAACATCTATTGCGGCTCATGGTCAGCATATCCTTCCTGTCCAACTATCTCCTCATCCTCCTTGAAACCTTTCTGCGTTTATCAAGATCCACAAAGCTCTTCCGCATCGATTCCCTCGGTTTCGTCTGCCCCGGCGCAGGTACACAAACCAGATCGTGACCTACCGTCCAGCGAGAACATCCTTCCGGGATTATCCCGTCAAACTCCAGGGCCTTCGTCGACCAATGGCGTCAAAATACACTCGAATCACTACGAATCCTTGCCAATACCCGAAGACCCAAGATTACGCTTGTTTCAACCCACTCGTTCAGACGTGCACGGCGGAACTGAACATACCCAGAGATATCTTGCTAGTCCAACTCAGGCTGCCCACAAGCTGGCAGAACCGCATAATGGGGAGAAGCGCACGCAAGGCGTGCACCATGATATCGCCTCAAGCACTCGAGAGCAACACAGGCTTCGGACGTCGCTGTCCACGGAAGCATTCTTTATCGAAGAGGAAGAATATCAGGATCTCAGTACGTACCCAAGAGAATACACTCGGGACTGGTTTAGCGCCGTGGATGAGCCTGAATCTCTCCTCGAGAGATCTTTCCTTGCAGATACGTCGGAAGACACGTCGGACACAGGGCCACCCTTAGGTTTGCATCGGAAGCGATGCTCTACCGCATCATCGGGCTTCGTGCACACCATGAAAACAGCGAGTCTCAGTAATGCAAGCTTCAGCCTCGTGCCTCGGTCGCTCCGTGTCGGCCGTTCAAGAGACGATTCTTACATCTTTAGCTCCAGTGCAAGACATTCAGTGGAGAGTGACCGACCAACAACTTCAGCATCCGTGGACGAAGCCGCCTTTCGAAGAGCCATCAAAAGGAGGCAAATTCTTGTGGAGTTGGTCACCTCTGAAGAGAGCTATATTGCTGATTTAAAGGCCCTGATCTACCTGTATTCGACTCTTCTGGCGACTACGATGACGGTTCCAGGCCGGGTCAGATCATCTCTTCTGAGGAACGTCCACGATCTTCTTTCTCTTCATGAGAAACTCCTGGAGCGTTTGCACCAGGCTGCGTACGAGGCTGCAGCACGAAAATGGGCAGACACAACCTCTCCCCGACATCTCGGTTCACCTCCCTATCACAAGCGGTGGAAAAGCCTCGAGTCCAGCGTTGCCGCCAAGCTCGGGCGCAGCAATCGTCGAGCCCGCAGCTCAATTGAATCCACCGAAGTACCTCGCGGCCGGACATACTTGGGTGGAGCAGAACCAAGGGATGTTGCTGACGTGGCGGGCATTTTTAGGCATTTCTTGAGTGACTTCCTGGTTTACGAGGAGTATTGTGCCAATCACAGCCTCATTTCCCGCGAGTTGCAACGACATTCTCCTGCGCTTTGGTCAACCTATGAGTCAGGAATCGAATCCCTGGCAAGATCCCTTGCTGCTCTCGATCGCAAACGCCAAAGTGAAAGAAAAGGGTTGACGGTTGGTGATCTCCTTATCAAACCGATACAGCGAATGACAAAATATCCTCTCCTGTTCGACGATCTTCTAAGACAAACACCTGTGGCGGACTGCCCTACTGCACATTCCGATCTAGAAGCGATCATGACATGTTTGAGAGAAGTTGTTCAAACAGTCAACAAAGCCACGGACAACCATGAAACTCGAGCTCAGATTCAACGTCGATGGTCACTGCAGACACGGCTGATCTGCGACAAAGTATCTTTACGAGTCGAGCAATTTCGAATGCTGGGAAATATCCAACTAAGTGGTGTTCTGCATGTGACTTGGCAGACTAGGACTAACAAAGTCGACGGTCGCTACGCCCTCTGCATGTTGTTTGACACCAGTCTCATCATTGCATTGCCGGCAGGAGCCACCGCAAAGTTTGAAGCGGTCGCGTTTTTGCATTTACGAGACACCAGGGTTGAATCGGCTAGCGATGGTCGCGGACTTCAATGTCACTCGACCCTTTACACATGGAAGATATGCTTCGAGATCAGTGGCCACCTGCATGAATTTATCCTGAGTGCCTGCTCAGCCATCGAGGAAAGTGCTTGGAGAGGGGGCTTGCAAAACAAGGATGCTCCAGGCAGACGAATGGCCGAGCTGTTGAACCAGATTCCCTCGAGCATCAGCCTCAACCTCAGATCGATTGGGCAGGTGTACAGTCAGCAAAGTTCGACCTTGTCTAGGAATCCTTCAGTACAAAGAGCAGCCACGGTAGGAAATCGTGCCACTGTTTGCCAAGTCATCATTCGAAACACAAGTAATCCGCAAGACTTGCACGAGTTTCGTCAGCCGTCATCTTCATTAATCAACAGATCTCAGTCACATATGACGTCCAACAGAGTTGTTGTCCTAGCACCAAAACGGTCGCAGCGTTCGAGGCTCGAATCAACACTGGGTGATGTATGGACAAAGGAGAAATTGCCTTACCCTGGCATGATTACTTCTCGCAGTGGTCAAATCATCAGAGCGTCAGCAGGCTCATTGGCCCGCAAGCTAAGTCTGAGTTCCATCCATACTCCGTTCTCGAGGCGGTCTGGCAGTCTATCGCTCAGCAGCCGCAAGTCGTTCGACCTGTCAAACGAGAGCCGACATAGCAAAACGAAGCCTTCGACACCTATCTTCGAAATACGCAAAGAAAGTTTGGACGAGTTACCACCGGCGAGGACGAAGTCGCGTGAGATACCAGAGGTCGATACAATGGATAACGTGGTCAGTCGGATGATAGGGAGCAGTCTATCAAGAAATGTGTCTATCTCTCAAGGACATCACGCTCTGGCAAGGAGAGGGACTAAGAGCCTGAAGATCGATCAGGATGCCGGTGGACCTGAGGTTGGGCCAGAGGATCCGGCGGAGATATATTATGCTGAATCGAAGGAGATGCCAGAGCAGCCGGAGATTGTGGAGGAAGGGCTGGCGGGTAGGAAGAAACGATGGAGCAATCCGCTCGGTATATTGAAGGTTCTGTCCGCTGATGGACTTCGCCACATGTTGTATTCAAGTAAGTAGGGCACGCAAGGTAAGACATTGATGGCATGCATATAGAATCAGTAGCGTGCGTTCAGTCATAGCGCTATCCGAATTACTTCTGAGTTCCTATCACAAAGTGAGGCAAGGCTGCGTGCCTCATAGTGGACGTTTCGGGTCAGGCTTTTTTCACTACCTACTTGTCTGTTGTTCTCGACTCCAGCGATAGAGCTCAATGTACAAGCGCTCGTACCGAGCGAGCGAATGGTCAGAGCGAAGCTAGGACTAGATGGGTGGGATGCTGGACGATCGCGGCTATATTTGAAGAAGTATCAATTTACTCGCCCCGCCCGCCGTCGAGCCCGGCTCTGAGAAAGATGGATACCAACCGACATAGTCCTGTACTACTACCTATTAATAGGTACCAAATTCATCATTATCACTCGTAGCTAGTAAGACATTATTAGAGTTATCGGAATCTCGGCTCGTTCGTTTGGGCATTACGAGTACGAGTCAAGAGTGGAGGTTACGAGGACGATTTTGCTACGAGCAGCCTTTTGAGTCTTGAATTTCCTGGTTGACAGGGTGAGATGAGATGGCCGGTCGGCGCTCTGGTTGGAAATCGGGACGGAATAATATCAGGTTAAAGCACTCTGTAGAGCTCGCAAGGTATGAAGAAATTGATTACAACAGGTTCTTGCACCCAAAGTTACGTGTATATATATAACATATCTGCATGTTTTGCCGAAGGCACATTCGATTGGGGGAAAGACATGGACGAGTTTCGTGTGATGTATGTATCGTCTTTTTCGGGTTGATGGTGAGGAAATCAATGCTTCGTCGCTGAAGATGGCCGGCCCATTGTCCCGGGGAATCGCGACGGCATATTTGTGTCCCAATTCGACGTTCGACGCCGGCGTATCAGAAAAGCCGTACATGAAGGAGCATTATTTTTTTTCCGAGTTTCGTGGTCTCACGGGGGGTATCTTTGCCTTTGTATTTGCCGTCTTCCAAAATTTCCCTTGCCCACCCTCCTGTGGGGTTTTATTTACAGAACCAATGCCAAACCAGCCATGGCGACGGCACCCATTCCTGCAATCTTTCCATTGACGTTGGGAGCAGCGGCGCCAGTGAATGTCGATGCGGCAGCACTCGTTGACGAGGCTGCCACGGAGGTACTAGTGGCCGCAACAGACGTTGTGAGCAGGGCGGAGCTGGTGACGGATGCAGCAGTGCTCGAGGTCACCGCGGGGATCATGCTCGTGAAGTTGGAAGCCTCGCTGTAGCTCACGGCGGTCGGGATTCCCCATGTAGAGGCACCGGAGCTGTAGGTCGCGGTGTAAGAGGTGGTGTATATCCACTCGGACCAGGGACCGCTGGAGGTCGTGGAGACTTCGCTGCTGGCGGTGGTGGTGGTCGCGTTCTCAGAGGCATAGGTGCATGAGGTCCAGGTGCTGTGCTCGTTGGAGAAGGTCCAGGTGAAGCCCCAGGAGTCGGCGACGGCGCCGAGGGCGAAGAGCGCAGGAATGGCGAGGAAGGACTTCATTGTGCGATTCTTGTCAAGGACTGTGATTGACTCGGGTTTTGGTTGCAAGCGGAAAAAGAGTAGGCAGTGAAAGAGGTTGAAGTGCCTTGTGGACGAGTTGCAACGAAAAGAACGTGGGCTTCTGTTTTACAAGAAGGACAATAAAACGAGCGGCTGTGTAGACACAATGGTAACAAACAACAAACAAGAAAAAGGCATGAAACTATAACCGGGCGACAAACCTGATATAAGAAAGGAGAAGCCACAAACCTTGTGCCGTCGAAGGTTGAGCTAGGGCAGAGCCTCGCGAGTCGCATGGTGTTGTGGTGTGTCTGTTCCACCCCAAAGTGGTCCTCGACAGGGGTATCAGGAAATTGGTGTTGCAAACTCAACGAACCGTCGATAGCACGCAATTTCAGAGCAGACGATGTGTCCAAGGCTTCGATCTGCCTGGGCACCAGCGTCTGCAACAATGGATGAGAAGAGAAGGTCATCGGATGCGTGAATGCAGCGATGGAGAAAAGGTCTTTTGGTCTGTTGCTGATGATGGCCTGAGGTGCCTGCTTATGTGGCGTTGGTCGATCACTGTTGGTGGTGTTTGGATTTCAAACCTCGCCAAGCGGTTTCAGCCACCGGTGCAGTGGTGCCAACGAGAAAAGCCACCGTCGATAGGCTTCTTTTGGATCTGCGGGATGGAGATCTTCTGCGTTCTTAGACTGCTTCTGGATTGTGTTTCCGTCTATCCTCGACGCAATAATGCGAGGCTCCAGGTGGTTTTGGAGAAAAGAAGGTTATGTCTGGCTTGATGAGCAGAAATGACTGGCAGCTGACAAACATGCTTGGCTACGAGGCTGCCATGTGGGCGCAGTTACTTCAAAACCCAACCATTGACTTGTCCACAACTCAATTGTTACCTAGGTACCTAGGTATGTACGGAGTCCTTCAACCTTCAACAACAAACATTGAATCGTTGAACCGACTTCTTACTCCCGTTGCTGCAGTCACCCAACACAACAAAGCAATTGACCTCCTGGAAACTCGCTGTTCCATCGGAGACCGATGAACGACCTCCATGCTTCGAGCCTCCGCTTGTCCCTGACGACGATATCCACGTTGTCTTGGACGGCTTCTTCAGCTTCCTAAACCTGTAATCTGCTCCTCTCCTCCATCTTATGCCTTGAACCTCTATGCTCTGCGCGAAACTCAACCCACGAACGACAGTCGATCTGCGGATCGTGCGGTCAACCGGACCGCTTGTCTCCTCCATGTCTTCAAGTCCTCGAGGGGCACCATATTTGTGTCTTTAGAAGAGGGAATACCTCGTAGGACGTATGTGACGTGTACGAACAGCGCAGGGACGAGCAGAAGAGGCAGGGAACTGAACACGACCGATGTCGCTGCCTGTTCAAGATCTGGCCAAAGTATAGTCCCGCTGAAAGTACAGTAGTGGTCTCAGCCAAGTAGTAAGACAATCTTCGAGAGCCGTGCATGCTCGAGGAGCAGTCGATCGTCGCTGCAACAGTGTGATGAGGCAATAGTGGTCAATGGCTAAGTGGAAGCCCTTTCACATGCTCCTACGCGATCCTCCACCCATACCGAGCCAGACCAGATCGATTGAGGTCTTTCAGGCGTCCTCAAGTGCCTCGTTAAGAAGCCAATAATGGCCAGGCACACCAAAGCACCGGCTGTATACATCGTTAATGCACGACATCTCGATGGCGTGTCTGAGTGCGAAATGAACCCGAAAACACTGGGGGGGCCTGAAATGAGGTTTGCTGCATGGGTGGTACGGCACGCTACTATATCATAACTAGCTAGCCTCACCCCCTTTAGTCTTGCCAACTAATAACGACAACATACGCTTTATCTTGTACAAAGCAATCCAATGACCCAATTGCCATAGTGGTATAGCATGATGTCTCATTTCCCATGTCGGGCATATCTACAGTTGCTGGCGTACATGCCATATCCAATCCCGGTACCTGGTCCAGACGACTTTGATATCCAGAGGGATCTCTGACCATAACCAACGCCATTGTTCCGGCATTCCGGAGCAACTCTCTTAAATTTAAACAACAGCACAGCCGTTTATATCCTCATACTTTGCCGAGCCTGGCACCGCCTCTCCTTGGCACAGTCCAAGGTTCTGGACAGACAGTCTGGTAGGTATTATGTCAGCAAGATGTTCTTTCTTGTACACGGGTGAATCGAGTCAATTGTCTTACCTCGCCTTCTGAGTAGGCCCAGAAGTATACAACCACGCCAATGATGTAGTATAATCCTGCATTGGTTGATTGATACATGATGACCGCAGCCAGAGCGGACAACGGATACACCACCAATCTTGCTTCCATGCTCCGATGGAGACCCGGCAACAGCTTGACCACCGGAGCGAGTGGCCATTCCCACGCGAGGCTTATGAATGCCAGAATCAGATTGATGATTTGCAATATGGGAAAAGGTTTGACTGCTCCGTCGAGATTCTTGGTGAGGAAGTCCCAGAAGATCTTGGGCCAGAAGAAGCCTTCGAGGCTGGCTAGGACTTGGTATGTGGCGGCGGTGAGGACGATGAGGCGGGCCCAGTGGTTCTTGATCAGTTTGCCCATGATTTCGAGGAATGAAGACTTCTGCGTTTCAAAGGAGAGGATCGTTTGAGGTGTAAGGTCGAGAAACCAAAAGATGGAAGGTAAAGAATGAAAGTCGTCGCCCAAGCAAATGATCGAAAGAAACGAGCACGCAGAAAAGGACGACCTGCGCCTGGAGATCACCGAAGGCACATCAGGGTTGGCGAAGTATATGAGGAGATTCGGTCAAGCAAAGCTTGGTGAATGCTTTCCTCCCCTTCGACAGGGAGGAATAGGTGATTTCGGTGAGGGTTAAGCCGGTATCAGTGGGTGTTTGGCAATGTCTGACCAGAGTATCGACAATGAGGATCAGCAGTCGGAGGAGAAGTATCAGGAGCCTGGAAAGTGGTGGTCCGGCAGTGTCTGAAGGCTCGAGTACTTGAAGTCGGTGGGTTGGCGCGTAAGAGATTGGTCGCAGGTGGTCGCAGGTCTCGTCTTGCCGCAGAGTGGTTGAGGCGGTTCGGAGACAGAAAGTGTTACAGGTGTGGAGTGTGCGAGAATTTTGACCACAGACGCCGCAAGGGGCAGTGTTATGGTATTCAGATCGAATTTGCACGGTCCTCGAGGGTACTCACTCAACAAGAAGCTTTGAGATGAAGAAACAGTGAAAAACATTCAGAGATGTAGTTGCTCGTGGCCAGATGTGCTTGTCTTCTGGTCAAGGGACCACGAGCTCACCGCGATCTACCGAGCACCCGCAAAGGCCAACCTACCTGGGACCGTTGACTATCAATGGAGCTATTGCGTTAGTTCAAGATGCAGTGCAGCAATTGGAAACAAAATCAATCAATAGTGCTGGCCAGTCCGCGCCAGATCTGGTGATATTCCTTGCCATGAGGTTGCTGATTCGCGGAGGGGGTGCTGAGTGCGGAGAGGAGCGAGGTGACTCGGTGATGGCGGGTGGGTTTAAGCGCCTGAAAATAGAAATCGCAAGCAGCACGTCTGCAAGGAGCAAGGTGCTGTCGAGATCTGGAAGCCATTCAACCTATTGTTGCAGCCAAAGGAGCGAGTTGTTGGTGTGAGGTGGTGAGGACAGTAGCGAATCGAGGGGCAGAATTAAGCACCGACATGGATGTGATGCGGGAGCTGCAGCGGGCGCTAAGGAGCCTAAAAGAGAGGCCAAGCGAGTGTGATTCGATGGGCAGCAGCCAGTGAGCTGGGTGCCCGGGGTTGCTGATCCCTCGCCCAGAGACGCCTAGGCACGCCCACGGGAGCCACGGGGGCCAGTCCAGGCTACGGGCCACTAACCGCTCCGGGCGAATTCCAGGGCGCTTCGAAACGCTTCCTGATACGCTGGTCGGCTTCACATTTCTGTCCCTGTGCCTTCGTTCACTTTGTTTTCACTTCTCACTTGACCTGCACCCGCCACCCGCCTTTCTCTTTCCGGCCAAAATTGCAGCACATGGATTCCCATCCCCCATTTCTCACCTCTCGCTATTCCCACATTCGGCTCTACAAGTTCTGGTTCTTTATGGATGAGCTCGAGAGATGGTGTTGAAGCTATATGCGTGACGATATCCCGCCATCACCACCTCTACCTGATAGTTCATCATGCCACGCCTCTCGGAGCTGCCATGTCTGTCCACGTTCTTGACTCCTGCACCCACTTCCCACCTGTCAGATCATCTTATCATCCATTGACCACCGACTGGCTCTCGAGTCTCATCTTGTTTCCGGCGGCCGTTTCCCTGACCTTTTCTCCGCCACCACCCAATAACCGCCCAGACCCCTCGATCAGGTAAGACGCCGTTGCTCGGTGCCTGACCCCAGGGTCCATTTTGTGCCATTCAGATAGGGACCTAGTCTCTCGCTTTGACACTAGGACCAGGGTTTCATGCAGGTGGATGTGCCCTTGAGCTCCACAAATTCACCGACAGGCCGCAAGTCACCTTTATCAAATCAATCTTGGATGGCTTGTAGGTATCCCACGAGGACGGTAAACCGCTTCGTTAGTTCTGTACAACATCCCGTTCTTTGGCACAATCACATCCGTTTCTGTCTTTTGTCTCTTCTTCTCTACTGCAATATTCCCGAAAGAATCTTCTATACATTCAGCACAGGTTGGCAATATCCCGCCTCCTAAATCTCCTTCCCCTCCTGTTACAGCTCCTGTCCCAGATCTTGCGGGTTCCACTCCCAGCCTGTTTCGACCTCAACCCTCATCCATCTGCCATACTAATTCAGTCAGATTCCCCCTCTCCCTTCCTCACCACTGCCCCAGACTGTCTTGTTTGAACTCCTGCTTCACCATTGCTGCTCACTGCGACACTACGGATCCTTGGCCATCTCAAATCTAATCGAACAATTTGCCATCAGTACCGCGCCCTCGTATGATCTACCGTGTGATCGACTGGTCAAGACACAATATCTCGGACTGCCAGTCTCCGGACAGCAACTTTACCCTATAGCCATATCTGATCGGTCTTCTCATAAGCCTCAACTCTCGGCTCTGGTGTGAGCTTAATCTTCTACCACTCGCAATCTTCATTCGACGCTCTTTTGGTCCTCAGCACATCCACAGCATCGCTCACGTTGCCACGACATACCTTTCTTGGCTCTAGTCGATATGCAGATGAGATAGCCCTCGAGAAAGACAGGAATATTCCACCAACTGTCTCGTCGATCGTATACATTCTCCCCATATCATTGCACTTGAATCCAAGTCATGGCGACCCTCAAGTCCCATTTCGCTCCGAGCAAGATTGTTTTCTACATTCTATGGTGGGGGTTTCACTGGGGTATTTTCGCCATTGGATGGTAGGTGCCCCAACAGCAGGAGTAATATCGTCTGTGACTAACACCATTTCCAGGTGGAAGCAAGCATCAGATCCCCGTTTAGCCGGCCTCAACACCCTGACATTCTCGGTATGGATGTCGCGAGGAGCTGGTCTTGTCCTCTCTGTGGACGTCATGCTCATCTTGCTGCCCATGTGCCGGAATCTTATGCGTTTCCTGAGACCAAAGTTCAGGTGGCTACCTCTTGACGAAACACAGTGGTTCCACAGACAGTGTGCTTATGCCCTCCTTCTGTTTTCCACCGTGCATGTTACCGCTCACTATGTCAACTTCTTCAACGTCGAAAAGAACCAGATCCGACCCGAAACGGCAATTCAGATCCATTACACCCAGCCTGGAGGCATCACCGGTCACATTATGCTGCTTTGTATGTTGCTCATGTACACGACCGCCCACCATAAGATTCGACAGCAATCCTTTGAGACTTTCTGGTACACCCATCATCTCTTTATCCCCTTCCTCCTGGCGTTATATACACACGCCGTGGGCTGTTTCGTGCGAGATACAGCCGAACCTTTCTCCCCATTTGCTGGCAAGATATTTTGGACTCACTGCCTCGGTTACGAGGGTTGGCGGTGGGAGCTCTGGTCCGGCGGCCTCTATCTTTTCGAACGGCTCTGGCGCGAGGTCCGGGCAAGAAGGGAGACCAAGATTACTAAAGTCGTCCGCCACCCGTATGATGCCATGGAAATCCAGTTCCAGAAACCCAGCATGAAGTACAAAGCAGGCCAATGGTTGTTCATCAACATCCCAGCTGTGTCGGGCCAACAATGGCACCCTTTTACAATCACTTCGTGCCCGTTCGACCCTTATATCTCGGTGCACGTCCGCCAGGTTGGTGATTGGACAAAGGCTGTGGGTGATGCATTGGGTTGCGGTCCCGCCCAGTCAAAGGAGTTTGACGATCTGGACAAGGAGGGCATCTATGAAATTGCCCTGCGACAGGACCAAGAGATGCCTGCTATCCGTGTTGATGGACCTTACGGTGCACCCGCCGAAGACGTCTTCGACAACGAGATTGCTGTGCTCATCGGCACAGGCATCGGTGTCACGCCATGGGCATCAGTGCTCAAACACATCTACAACATCCGCGCGGGACCCAACCCACCTAGGCGTCTCAAGCGTGTTGAATTCCTCTGGGTCACTCGCTCTGTAGAGTCCTTCGAGTGGTTCCAGACACTGCTCACTTCTCTCGAGCGACAATCCGCGGAAGCGGCTGAACATGTTGGCGGCCCTGAGTTCCTTCGCATTCACACATACCTCACGCAACGTGTCGATGCCAACACGGCCGCAAACATCTACCTCAACACTGTGGGCAATGCTGTCGACCCATTGACCACGCTGCGCACCAAGACGCAATTTGGCCGGCCCGACTTCAAGCGTCTCTTCGGCGCCATGAGGGACGGTCTCATGGACCAGACGTATCTGGACGTGGGCAAGGAATCATCCATCACGGCGCAAATGAAGGCCACCGTGGGTGTATATTTCTGTGGGCCTAGCGCCGCGGCCAGAGAGATCAAAACCGCCTGTAAAGCGACGAGCAACGATCTCGTCAAATTCAGGTTTTGGAAGGAACATTTCTAGAGCCTTGCCGCTGCAAGTGTCTTGAAAGGTCAGACTGGCTCTGGGCTTTCAGGACTGTCCACCGCGCAAGACCTCGAGATGGGCAACTCATTTTCTTCGAGCAAGAGGAAATCCCAAAAAGTCTGGGACGTTACCACGTGTGGTTCGCCCTTGGCTTGAGCCGTTCACGTGAAGACGACATCAGGAGGAGACACATCGAGTCCCTCTCACTTTTCCTTCTCCGTCCTTCGATATTGGGATCCGCGGGCAACAGACATCATGTACAGACTCTGTTTTTGTTCGAACCTTTTTTGTTTTCGTTTTTGAAGCGACCAAAGATACGCCAGAGATACCAAAGCATGCATGGGGTGTGCGAGAGAGCCAAAGAAGGCATCAAGCAGATAGATGGATTAACCCAAGACGACCACAAGACTGAGGCGGCGGGGGTCTCATGTCTGCTCTTCTGTCTGTTTGTGTGTATGTATACTATCAGGTTACAGCCGTCAGTCCCTCCCCTCGCACGAGAGGGAGTGGTCGAAAGAGAGCGTGAGAGGGAGTGGATCCAAGAGGATCATTGAGCAGGGAGACGCAGACATATATGTATTATATATACCCCGAACTGTGCTTCATCCCTCGCCACTTTTTTTCAGGAAAGGGAGTCAGGCCGCTTTGATCGGCTTCAGGGGTCCTCTTTAGGCTTCAGCTGAGCATGTCCTGACTCCTGGGTAACTCGTTACTGGCACGGCGGCCCCAGCCTGGCCCCTGTGACTGGACGGGCTTGGGATCCCGTAAGCGAAAGATCTAAACCGTACAAGGTATTAACGGATTTGACTGATACTCGAGATGTCGGCCATATTCACACATCATTTTCGGCATAACTAATACTGAATCATGCGACCCATCACCTTGAATCGGGACGATCAGGTTGTGGCTGAGAAAGTTGTTATTCTCCTTCTCTTCGAACTCAGGGACTGTGACATTCACAATATCCCTGTCCAGCTGCTTGGAGAAGCAATTGTACTGGGGACCATGATCGTCCTCGTATGACTGAGGCGCAATATATCCTCGCGCCTTTTTCAGCAGCAGCTCCATGTGTTTCAATAGGGTCGTCTACACAGGTGTTGCAAAGCCCTCTTGACTTGCAACGATTTATACCAATACAACAGGGCGGAGTTCTCTGTTCGTCCCTTTCAGTGCGCTTTTCTGACAACTTCCCATCATTTCCACTAACTCCTGGTCCATCAGGCGGCGACACAGCTAGCAGCAAGACGTTGTCGGAAGGACATGATCGACCTCAAGCTAGTGCGTGGCACTAGATTCCCAGACACGACAAAGCCCGCGTTCCGTGCCTGAGGGAAGTGTATCAAGTACGGCCCGAGAGTTCGGAATTAGCGCCCATCCAGGCCGTAATCAAAACATACCTAGGTATAAATCGTACACAACTTCTCATTAAGCCCATTCTTCAGCATTGGTGCTGCCGTTTCAATCCCTGTCGACTTGGATCTTCAGCCATGTCGCTCTCAAAGACTTTAAACCAGAGCGACAGCTATTCTAACACCACCATTACTTCGAAGCCACCGAAGCGGTCACATCCAAGTCCCTCTGCTTTCGCTCATGTCGTCCTGAAAACAACCGAGGACAACTATCGGTGCATGGTGGATTTTTACCTGGACATTCTACAGGCCGAGATCATACTCGAAGCAGATTACTTTGCCATGTTACGATACGACTATGAGCATCACAGAATAGCAATTGTACGCAAACCGGAAATTACGCCACAAGAGGCGAGCCCATTCACAGCAGGACTTGACCATACATCCTACACGTACGCAACATTGACCGATCTAGCAAGGACATATCGTGCCCTAAAGGAGCGAGAAAACCCAGTCGTCCCAATCTGGTGCGTCAATCATGGAATGACCACGAGCATGTACTACAGGGATCCCGACGGCAACAAAGTCGAGCTCCAAGTGGACAATTTCGACCTTCCCGAGGAGGCCGACCAATTCATGAGAAGTTCGTTGTTCGTGCAAAACCCGATTGGTACCGACTTCGACCCAGAGGAATGGTCCGCTGAGATTCTGAGTAAGATGCTGCCTGATGGAAGCGAAGGACTGTCAAAGGATGAGGTCAGGCGTATCAAGACCAGAAAGGAAATTGGTCCTCGGAAGACAACCCCCGATTTCATGTGAGGTCGTGCAAGACAGTCGCAGGCGGCGCAAAGTTGATGGCCCTTCGTGCTGTGGCGGTACTTTGATTTGTCTACAGGACCGAGCTGAGGTATGTGGCTCATGCCTGTCGTTTAGAAGGCCAGATACAGAATTATATCACTATGTTGACTACACGCGTTTCGTCCTTGGTCAGTACCGAACTCCAGGCACGTCTGCGCTCGATCGTGGGAAATTGGGTCGCCATGAAACCCGGGAGCGTCTGGCAGTATCGGCATGAGATGTGCGCTGGTATCTTGGCGAACGTGAAGGCTTGCTACTTCCGGTCCTCATAAGCCCGTAGGCCATGACATTGCGATGGCCATTGATTACTGTTTCGGCCCGTTAAAGTGATGCCGACTGCCAGTCGTGTAGCAAACTTAGTGGAGAATAGCCAGCCTAACTCCTTGTTGCTGTGACAAGATAGACGGCGTGGGTATGAACATAAGTACCCACCTTGGACCAAGACTCTGAAATATAAGTCTTGCTGAGCAGACAACCAATTGCAAAGTTGTCCTGTGCGAGAGAACCTGGACATAGCAGCTTTATTGATCTACATGGCAACATGCCGACAATGAGCCAGAGAATTCGACAGGTTGCTATCGTGGGTGCAGGGCCCGTTGGTCTTCTCGGCGCCCTTGAGCTTGCGAGACTTGGCATATCTGTCGATGTCTTCGATCTGCTTGAAGGCGTGGACCGACGTCCACGCGCGGCGGGCTACGGACCATCCGCAGTCAGGTACGTTGCTTCTCCAACCTTTGGTCTAAAAGACGGCGATTCCAATCGTTCTCGACTAATAGAAAGAACGAAGGCTCATGGGACGTGCCGGAGTCCTCGACCGGATTCGTCAAGAGGGTTTGGAGCTTTACGACTATTGTTGGAGAAAGCCTTCCGGTGAATACATTGCTGGAATCAAAGACGTCTTCAATCCTAACCGTGAGGACCGATATGTCACCATGCCTGTCGATCAGTTGACCCAAATCATCTACGAAGCGCTCCAAGAATATCCAATTGCTAAAGTACATTGGAGGCATAAGTTCACAGGTTTTGAACAGGATAAAGAACGGGTTGTGATATTCACCGAGCATGAGGGACAGGCAAGAAGATTTGAGGCAGATTTCCTCCTTGGTTGCGACGGTGGACGGAGCGGAGTACGAAAAGCATTGTTCGGCCGCCACTTTCCTGGCCATACGTGGGATGTGCAAATCGTTGCAACAAATGTGAGTGCGGCTTCCTCAGGAAAACACGGCGGGAGTATTTACTGTCCGCAGCTTCATTTTCCCGACGGCAGAATGGAGAAGCACGGATGGAGTGACATCTCTTGGGTCATTGACCCGGACAACTGGGCTGTGATCTGCAAAATCGAGACTAATCCTGACATCTGGCGGGTGTCGTATGGCGAACCAGGTCATCTAACAGAAGAAGAGCTACGAGAACGTTGTCCCAAGAAGCTTGAGACTCTGCTTCCTGGAGCACCTGCACCACAAGATTATGAACTTGGAAGATTCAGTCCGTACAAATTACACCAAAGGTGTGTGCCGAAGATGCGAGTTGGCCGAGTGCTACTTGCGGGCGACGCTGCCCATCTCACCAATCCCATGTAAGCCCCAGGCTGCAACTCTTGTGACCGTGAAATACTCACTCACCATACCTCATTATCAGGGGCGGACTCGGACTGACAAGCGGGATGGCCGATATTGGCTGCCTTGTCGACTGCCTCGGAGCCATCCACGAAGGACTAGCCAGTCTGTCCATTCTCGACAAGTACGACCAACAACGACGGCAGAAGTACCATACAGTCACGGATGCCGTCTCGACAGCCAATTTGAAACGATTGTTCTTACCGGGAGAAGACGCTTTGTTGCTTGATCCTGGCTTACGGAGAATTGAGCAGGCCTCACGGGATCCGGCCACGGCCAAAGAACTTTTTGAGGTAAGAACACAATCTGGCACTTTTGATACACGTTTTAAGAGACATATAAAATAGGCTTCGGACAATCTTACAGTGGACATGACCCCGTTTTATGACCTCAAGCCGAGGGAGATTAACGGCATTGCCGTGACTGTGTGAGCCACAGCGGACGTCCCGGTGAAGTAGATGAGACGATATGTGACCTGGGAGCAACAGTGGACCGTTTCCGGAAGAAAGCCTGCTCAGAAGCTAGGTTGCAACAAAGAAATATCTTAGGAACTAGACTTTACTGTCTCTAATTCTCACTCGATGTACTCAGCGATAGTTCGCAGATATCTACTGGTCAATGGTAGTAGTCTGGGGAGCTTGAAGTTGCTAATTATGTAGCGTAAATGTTGCCAGATGTCTATGAAAAGTACATTCCTGTATCTCTTTCAGTTCACAACCAAGAAAGTTCAGAGATAGAATGTACCCACCGCCATCGATAATGATGCTTTGACCAGTGATCATGTTCGACTGCGCTCCGGCCAGAAAACTGACAGCGTCGGCAATATCTTCAGGAGTCTGAAATCACTGTCAAATCTATTCCTTCGGATCGACGCTCAGAAAACGTACAGAGCCTCTTTTGAGCGCAGCCTTTGTTCGAACAGCTTGGTTGAAACTCTCCCATTTGACAGCCCCTTGAGACACGCCACGTATCTGGTCAATCTTCTCGTACATCTAAGATCAAATTAACTAAGGGCCGTTCTGGCCTTGCGCCAACAGTGAGCCTCACATCTGTTTGAACTGGTCCGGGGCAATAAGCTGTTTCATTCGTAGGTCAGATTTGGGGTTGTGAGAAGAGACGCAAATTCTATAGTCAAACACACCATTGACCTGTGTCCAATGTAAGTAGGTCTTGTTCACCATCGATATTTTACCTCGACAAGGGCATAGTCTCATACATTTATATTGTACTGCGCCAAATCCTGCGCACAGCACTGTGTGAGGCCCCGAATACCCCACTTGCTCACACTGTAGGCCAAAGCATCTAGAGCCTGTTTGATTTCAGCATTATTCCAGCACCTGGGCATAGGTTCAAGAAAAACTGATTACCGGCCTGTAAGCGGAGTTTGAGCATGCAGCCACAAGCTTCCCTCCTTTCCCCTGTAAGATCATTTGACGTGCTTGAACAACATCAGACCAAAGAGCTCCAAAGCAACTGTCGTCTCAGACGGACGGACCTGCTTTCTGATAGCATAAAAAGACGCCTTTGCAGTTGACCTTGATCACCTCATTAGCAACAGCTCAAGTCTGGCAAGCACGCCGGACTCCACCTCTAAAACCCGTTCCCAGTTCTGGACTGTCTCTGTCAAGATTCCATTCATCGATATAATACCTGCATTTGCGATGAAGACCTGTGCACGGTCAGATAGCAGGCCAGAACAATCGGACACTTGATAGCCCACATTGAGTTCACCGAAACAGTGCACGACGGTCTGAATCAGGCGTTCAACTTCGGATTCAGAGGTCACATCGGCAACGACAGCTTCTGCCCTTCGGCCTGATATGTGGCACAAGTCAGCCTGTGGTTGAAAGTGAAAGGTGAACTGCCCCTGGGCTTTGACAAATACCCATTTGTTCTATCTCCGTCTTCACTTCCTCCAGACGAGCCCGCTGACTCTCAATGTCATTGACCTAGATCATTAATTATCAGGTAAGTATTCGTCATGGCGAGTACTAACAGCGACGTCCATGCCATCTCGTGCGAGTCGGAGAGCGATAGCTTTCCCAATGCCGCGACTCGCACCCGTCACAACAGCAACCGTCATAGTTTTAAGCTGCTCCGCCAATTTTGTCTCCAGCACTATCTGGAGCGTTCTGAGTTCAGTACAAGAGCCGGTTGCAGCAGTACAAGCATACGCGAAGACGTTCTGGCAGTGACTAGATCTAGGAAGTTTTAATTTCGAGGTGTCTACGCTACAATCATACTCTGCAGTGCATGTGGACAACTTGACACACGGTACACCTGTATTAAGCTGGTACTTCCAGTAATGGCCAAGGTCTGACAGTCAAGCATAGCAATTGATGCATGAGTATCAAAAGTCCGTTTCGTGGCAGCACTGTATCCGAAACCATGCACTGCCATCATGTCGTATCTGGTGCACAAAAACTTGTGTTCCATCAACCCGTGCTCCTCGAGACTGAATGTTTAGAGAAGACAGGTCCCCACAAAAGTTCGGCCCGAAGGACAACAACGCCACGAGCAGCCTCTGGGTGGCCTCTACTCACGGAGATCATCACGTTAGCAACGATATAGACACTAGCCCTCGGCCCGCAGGCCAATTTCTATCGGCCCGAGAGACGAAATGCCCAGACGTCGGGGGCGAGAACCCGCGTCGTTTACCCCGGATTGACCCCAGATTTACTCTTTCAGGGCTTCTCCCTAACGCCATCTGCTACAAGTAGTGCAGAATCCATATCATAACGAAGGGGCAGGTGACCTCCTGATCAAAATATCTCACTCAAAATTTTCTGGTTAAACACGGCATTCTAGCTCTTCCTGTCCCCGCAGTCAACCGGTCCATATTTTCACCATGGGAATGCCTCGAGCAGGTGAAGATGATGTTGAAGGCAAAGTTGTCGAACTTGAAGAATGCCAAAACGTGCCGGTCGTCGAACAAGGCAACGGTGCCGTACTCCTTGACATTAGCCACGTAAAGGGGCAGCCAGGAGGAACCAATTTGAAGGTGACCAAGGACGGCCATGTCAGTACTACCGACCCAATAATGACTTGTCCTATGTTCTGACTCGCGTGCAGACTGTCCTCATCCCACAGCCCACGGATGATCCCAATGACCCATTGAACTGGTCCGATCTCAAGAAAAATCTCCTCCTGCTCGCCATCAGCCTTTCAGCGTTTCAAAGCGACTTTCAAACCGCCGCAGGCGTCCCGAGTGTCGCCCTCCAGGGCGTTGAGTGGAATCTCTCTCCCGTCCATGTCAACTATGCAGGGAATCTCAATGTCTTGATGAAGTACGTTTGATGAATCCCTTCACCCATCGACTCCCTAACGCGGACTGACTTGGATTTTCTAGTGGGATTGGGGGACTCGTCTGGATTCCTTTGATCTACTTCTGGGGTAGGGCTCCTGTATTATTCTGGACCAGTTTCATCGGCACCGTCCTCACTTTGGCGACTTGCCTCGTCCCTGATTTTGCCGGTTACTACGGTCTTCGAGCGTTGATGGGGTTTTTCCTCTGCTCCGGTCCCGCGGTTGGCCTGGCCTTTATCCAAGACATCTTCTTTCTCCACGAACAGGCGAGGAAGATCGGCATCTGGATCTTTGCGGTGCAGATCTGCCCTTACTGTTCGCCCATGTTTGGCTCCTACATCATTGCTGCCACGGGATCTTGGAGAGCCACTTACTGGATGGTGTTTGGCCTGGAAGCTTTTGTTTTGCTCTGTCTCGCCCTCTTCCTCGACGAATCGTTCTATCGAAGGGACCTGCCGCTGTCAGAACAGCCTCAGCGCGGTAACAGGATCCTGCGCCTCATTGGCTGGTGGCAGCTTCAGGTCCACCATCAATACTTTGCAAGCTTCGCAAGTTCGCTCCTCCGGGTGTTTGAGATCCTGCTCAAACCAATCATTATCCCGCTGTTGATCTTCTAGTTAGTCCTCGCAGAGACCGCCCTTTTGAGCCCGTGAGTGCTAACACAGTTAAAACCAGCTTATTGAGCTGTATGTGGGCTATCGGCATCAATCAATCATCTGCCATCCTCTTCGCCACTCCCAAGGCCGCGGGTGGCTATGGAATGAGCCTGAATTCCACCGGCTACTTGTATTTCGCGCCGATTATTGCCGTGCTAGTCGGCGAGACACTAGGTCATTTCATCAACGACGTAAGTTCTCCCATTTGACATGCGATGGAAGTGGTGGCTGAACAGCTAATTCTCCTTCCAGTGGACCACCACTCGTTACGTCCGAAAGCACAACGGGGTTTTCAAGCCGGAAGCTCGTCTGCCACCGGTCTACCTGACACTTTTCCTCACCGTCCCCGGTCTCATCCTGGTCGGACAGGCATTGGAAAAGCACCTTTCGTGGGTCGCAGTCGCCTTTGGCTGGGCCATGTACACTGCCGCGGTCATGATGTTTTCGGTGCCCCTGTTCGCCTACGCTCTCGACTCTTACCGGAATGCCCCGGGCGAGGTGTCGGCGTGGTTCAACTTCGCCCGCATCATTGGTGGGTTCTCTGTTGGGTATTTCCAGCAAGGCTGGGGCCTGAGGGCCGGGTTTGACGTCTCGTTCGGCGCGCAGGCCGGGATCGTCGCTTCGGGAGGGCTTATCATTCTGGCTCTCCAAATCTATGGAGAGAGGCTCAAGGCCAAGGGAGGTGCCCTGCGAGACTGAAAGCTCGGTAGCATTGCTAAGAGCCCTATCGTTACCGAAGTACAAGACACCCACTGCGAGGCCATCGAGATGGATCCTTTTTCTGCTGGACGTGAGAGTCTCCCTAGTAAAAATTCCGCCATGTTTCAAAGTTCCGAGCCACAGAAGCTGCCAAGATTGCTTTGCGATTCAAGTGTTTTGTATTCCAGATCAATGTCTCCAGTTGAAGATATAATTCTCACAGAAGACCATAACACCAAGTTGCTCGCTCTGAACATCCGGGATACTGACTTGCATTTTTGGTTTTCTTTATTTCTTTTCTTTCCTTTCGAAAAAGTGTGTTTAGACACTAAACAGATGTCCTGTGAATATCTGACGCCTTTTCTCGGCCCGAAACCCATCGAAGATGAATCTATTTCCACTTCCGCTGCCATGATATATAGTGGTCGTAGAAAACAGTCATGCTTGTAGCCCTTCGAGTCGAAGCCGCCAAAGGTTCTCCGTCTCATGCGCAATTCAAGACACAACTCATCTGGAATCAATGTCATCTACCAACCGCACTGTCAGCTGGCCCGCGAGCCTCAGAGGAGAAGTGATCACGTTGGTAGACTTATTCTTCCAACTGCTTGATACCAAATCGCCGCAAGCTGGCTCTCAGCTAGTTCAAAATGTGTTCACCGAGGATGGAAAGTTTTATTCATCGTCGGGGTATTTTCAAGGGCAAGGTATGTTGTTACGCTACACTCCATCTCCCGTTGTTGCCAGAAGTCCAAAAATTCGGAGATATCGGAGCCGTGTTCTGAAGACTTTGGTGTTATAGACATCGCCTTGTCACGAGACGGCATCTGGGAAGCGTTTGAGATTCGAAGTCACGAGCTTCGCAAGATCTATTTGAATGATGCCGGCGGACAGGACTTGGATCTACTGATCGTGGGAGGGGCGGTCATTAAGCCACATGGTGGAAAGGCGACGGCGCTGGAATTCATTGGTCGCGCCATCGTCCGAGATACAGTCAAAGGTCCCCGGATCCGTTATTATCAGCCGATCGTGCCAGGTTCGGCCGAGCAACCGATTCTCGCGGATGTTTGATCGAGCTGCTTCTGCTTGATGTGGAAATCCGTCGTCGCTGGCAAGGTGGGCACATTGGCAAAGGTTGACGCAGGATGAATACTGCCAGTGAAGCTATTTTAAAGTATTCATGGTAGCGGGCTTGTGATCGGAAAGGGTGCTATGAGCCGCGTTGTAGTGGTCCAAGAGTCCAAATCGATATTTGCAGTCCTCCCTCCGGGCATCTGTCGTACTCTGCAAAGCCGTTAACCTGTGCCCATCAGTGATTAGATTCATATTTTACCTCAGCATACGCTTGTTTCATGCTGGTCACATGTTCATTTTGACATTGCGAGTCACCTCTCCGGGGGCTTGGGATGAGGCTTTTTGGGCCTCGGCGACGACACTTCGAGCAAGGGCTGCAATGTCTCGAGCAAATGGGAAACTGATCTTGGACCCGGTTATAAATTCCATCTGGCCGAAATACCCCGCTGCTACGTCCAGGAGCGCCAGGTCTGACTGAACCGAAGGCAATCGCGGATTTTGGAGAACAAAGACGAAGAGGTTGACAAAGGCCCGCATTGGAAAATGTAACGCGAACCTGGGGAAGGTGGTTTCAGCAGGATACCAGAAAGATGTCAGTTGCCACACACTCACGATTGGGTACCAACACTGTCCATATCCAGGCTCCTTATGATGACAATGAGACTCCGTGAGGCGTTTGCAACCAAATGCGAACTGACGTGAATTTGTTCTTTGATCTGCCGAGCCAGTTCCGCGTCTACATTCTCGGAGCACGACTGGATGACCCATGGGTACAGAAAGGTAGAATGAGCCGCCATGACAAGGTCGTAGAAGGAACAGTGTGCCGTCATTAGTCCCAAAAGCTTCCTGTTCCCCGGCATCTTGAATTGCTTCAGGAAATCGGTGGGCCGGAGCTGTAACGGCATTGACTCTTTCCATGCTTGGAGTTGATGGTCAAACTGCCGCACAAGGCTGAGCATCTTTTCCGGAGGCTCCTGGAGCGCTCGGGTAGTCAGCATTTGCTTACTGAGCTGGTGGTAGAGCCGACAGGTCTGAATGATATAGGTGAGTGTCTCAAGCTCAATGGTGCTCCCGGGGTGGACTGTCGTGGGTATGTCGCAAGTAATGTCATCATCGTTAATCAACTTGGAGACGGATCAGTCGATAGGCTCCTCAAAGCTCTGATCCAACCTACAGAAGGCTGCCCACAGCGCTGTGCGATGTGTTTCTCGGTGCAATACACCGCCCAGAAGAGCCAAGTGGGCTGTAGAGATTCCGAATGTTCATCAGCGTCGGTATCAACTCGCTTCCGATGAAGACCTAGGGATTGAGCAAGAAGTGCAGCATTTGACGCCAAGCCTGAACTCAATGCTGGGCTTGCTAAGCCTTCTGCAAACAGAGCCTGGGTTTGGTCGATACTTAGTACCTTTTCTGCACGATATAGCAGCGCAAGAGCTCACCATGGTCAGTAGAGCTCGAACAGAGCGCAGTGTGGGCTTGGTGAGCAACAATTCGCTGTGGACAGATAAGGAATTGGAGAAATAGCTCCAGGATTCTCTTTGAACGTCGGAAGGGTTGGCTTCTGGAAATTGAGAGCGATACATTCGACAGCCCCCAGCATAGACGACGTTACGAAGAGCGTACCAAGCAGGATCGTCATACTGTACTTTTCCCGAAAGGTGGGCTCGTAAGTGCCGTTCAAAGTCGGGTCGATAGACGCTCTCCCACAGATTGTCCACTGAGCGCTCGAAGTAGGCTTTGCAATACTGCCAAGCAAGTGGTGGCTCGGGCTCAGCGCTTTGAGACATAGGCTGAGTGTGCTGTAGTTTCGACTGTTGTGCCCAGCTGGCTTTCATTTCCTGGGCGATTTCAGCAAACTCGTTGGATTGGTGTTTTTGGCAAATCCACGCAATTCCAGGACCAGAACAGATTGAGAGCCAGTATCCAAACCCTGCCAAAGTCACTTTGAGAAGGCTTATCGAACGGAACACACGCACCATAGTGGTTTGGGATTATCTATCAAGGCAATCAGTATCAGCATCATTCCCGGTCGAAGTTGGACACGTCTGTCTTGTCACTTACGCTTTCAAGGTCATGAGAGCCAAGTGTCCCTGCATCGCCGTCATCATCTGGATTGGTAATATTATGTTCACCAATGGCGTGAGAATTTGCCGTAGGGGAGATGAACTGGTATTCTATCAAGTCGTCGCTTTCTTCCAGAGGTTCTGGTGCGACAATCTGAGGCAAAGTGTCAGTCCCTGATAGGGTTGCCGAGGTTCCTGCTGGGTCAAAGAACCCTTCAGCGAGAGGCCACAGGTCTGCGTCGTCAAAAAGAACATCTTGGAAGTTGAGACTGTTGAAGGAATATTGTTGCTGGCATGTCAGACTGGCTGGGTGGAGGGTAGATTCAAATTGGATGTATTCTGGGTCAGCCATGGGCTCCTTTCCAAATGGAAGAGAAAAAGACACTGTTCTAACGAACCAGTTGAGTTATGCCAGTTGATTTTCTCATAGACTGTTGATTTCACAGTCAATACATAGGATGCTAGAAGGAGAAAGACACTGTCAAGGTAGCAGGAGCAACTAGAGGGGCAAATTAGTGAGGTCAGTTTGCAGCGGGGGATGACTAGTTCCCTGTACGAGAGCAGGGCAGCCTGTCGAGGCCGTCCAGGCGGTGCTCCGAGGTAGAAAGTCAAGGTTTCGAGGGGCTGTACCAGCGCCACTTGTGCTTGACGTGGATGTGTTTCGACATTCATTTCACCCTAAGCAGTTATTGGCCTGACGGGATAGTGGTGGTCTGCTATGCACACCCCGCGGGGGTTAGGATTAGCAGGCAGAGCACGGAGAGGTCGCCAAGTCGGATTTCGTCGCGGGGGAAGGGAGGCTAAGATGGAGAGTTTAGGTGCCTCCCCGGCTGATTTTCTCAATCATCCCAAAATGCCACCTCCTCGCCATGGGGGCTGCGTGTGATTAGAAACCAATGTCCAGAGAGCGACACAGTTGATGCGCAGATTGCAATGTCTTCACCGTCAGAAAGGCAGAAAAGCGACAGGGTACCTATTGCTTGTCGCGCATGCAGGCTCCGGAAAGTGAGATGTAAGTTGCTATTCTCCTTGGCTGACCTGCTGTTCGCCTAAACTCCCTCCAGGCTCTGGTGGCCATCCATGCAGACATTGTGCGAAAGCGACAACAGAATGTATCTATCCACCTAAGCAACGTCGAACAAGGACAAGGACAACGCGAGACAATCACGCGGCTGCCAGCAAAGATGTGGTGTCTCTGCCCAAAGACCAGGAAGCTAGACACGATTTGCCAAATCCTTCCCTTGTCTCTGTCGAGAGGCAGTCCTCATCAACCAGTGCCGAGCATAGCGGTGCTGTAGCGAGAGAAGGTGTTGCAACAACAACCCAGAGCATCCCAGCGACCTCGAACTCAATATCACCTTCACGGGTTCCAAGAGCACAAGATTGTGAATCCTCGCTGGGTCCGGTACAGTCGCACCTCTCACTGGGAGGGCCATTCTTGGAGAAAGCTGCGGCGGCGAGCCCTGCTGGAGTCGATATCTCTTATAGCTCAGCTACTCCAATGGGACAGGGTCACATCGAGGAGGGGAGCATGACTCGGATGGGGAGCGCCGGTGTCTGGCTGTCTGCCTGTTCTGATGCTGGAATCGCATGGGTGTGTGAGACGACCGCCAGCGCCACTTTTGCCAACATTGCAGAGAGATTTGGCAGAAGCATTGAGCCATGGGTTCCAACCAGCGCTTGGCCTGGTCTGGGCGCAACAAGAGCGGAGCCGAGCGAGGAAACCGCCTGGGAGTATGTCAATGGTGAGTTCTTCCCGCACCAACACCGCAGAATTGAGGATCCTAGTCTAATGAAAACCTCAACAGCATTCTTTGAAAATTGCTGGGAAGCTCGCCTAGGCCTCATCCATCGCCCAGACTTTGAAGCCCAGCTTCAAGCGCATTTTCTCGACGATTCATCCTCCCGCAATGACTATGCCGAGATTGCTCTCCGCAACGTCGTGTTTGCGGCTGGCTATCGAAGCATATTGGCCAAGACCGCAAAAGTCCCATTCCATACAGCCCGAAAGGAGGCTTCGGAAGGCTACTTCCAGAACGCGTTGTCGGTCTTGACTGGACTCCTCTTGTCGCCTTCGAGGCTTATGGTCGTCCAGGGACTGGCATTGATGGTACGGCGCCTTTGATTTGGCGGGATATAGCTGATTCTCGAAACTTAGGCTTGTTACGTTGAGGGGCTTGGAAGCCCTGACATTCAGCGCGTGCTGTGCCATAACGCGGTTCATGCGGCACTCACGCAGGGCTTACATCTTGCTCATGAGTCAAACAATCGAATGAGCTCCTCATCAGACGACCAACTGAAAAAGACCTGGGTGTGGTGGGCAGTTTATGCGCTAGAAAAGCATCTCTGTCTCGCCAGCGGAAGGCCATCGATGATTGACGACTATATGATCAGTGCATCAATCCCATCGAAAGTCCCATCCAACAGCACCATATATCTAGAAGCCGCTACTCTTGCAACTCGGCACGCTCAGATATGCTCCCGAATACTTCGGGAAATCGTGTCAACGAAAGCACACAGGTTATCTACCCATGAGCTTCTCAAGGTCGTGAATGACATCGACCGACAGCTCAAAAGCCTGCTTGATGATTTTCCATCCGACCTCCGGGTTGCTACGCTCGCTAAATTATCTGAAGAGACACATCCAATGGCCCATCGTCTCCACACCTTGTATCTCTACTTCGCAATCCATGGCAGTTTATTGGCGATTCACTCGCACTTTTTCTACCCGTGGCTTTCCGCACGGCTTTGTGACCGTGGCCCAGATGCTGGCTTGGAGGCGCAATTGCATTCCTCGTCAAAGACTGTGACGGAAGCAGCCCGGAAGATGTTACTAGCTGTCCGGACGGTAACCGCAAATGCAGCTACACCTACATGGCTGGCAGTTACTTATCCTATATATGCACATCTGAGCTTATTTGTCCATGTGCTGAAGCATCCGACCTTTCCCACTGCCAGCGCCGACCTTGGCCTACTCGACATCTGTGCTGGCCATTTTGGATATATTGACTTTATGACCTCTTCTGAAATATCCATCTCTTTAGCAAGAGAGTCTGTCAGCCTCGCGGCTAAATTCGTCAAAGCTGCCACCAAAAGACATGATAAGGGTCAAACGTCCAGGCTTAATCATGGCCGTGGAGTTCAAAGCGCATATGCGCAGAGCAAGGGATCAGACAGCTATAGCCCCCAGCATACAAACTCGCGGGGGGTTTCTGCAGCGCTAGGCCAGGTATGTGGGCATGTCGAGGCAAGCAGTCTCCGCTTTCGCTAACTTGTTACTCTCCACAGGGGGACTTTGCAAATGTTGATGGCGACTGGAGCTTTGATGCCTTTTTTGGAAACCCTGGGTGAGGATGACAATAAACATGAGAGTTTCCTTCTTCTACGTCCCTAGATAAGGGCTATTTATGTACTTCCATTGTCCGGATCCGACGCCGAAATCAAGTCCTATTTTGGCCTTGACAGTCAATCAATGGTCCGAAACTTCAAGGTTGCATCGTCCGGTGTCGTGGGGACCATTGAATATGCCCGTTCAAAAGCAGAGTATAGCCGACAGAGGCCGGGCCTCTTGCAGGCCTCGGTGTACATCTATACTGGAGTCATGTCAGACCATGAACCTGGAACTACTTCTACTATCACCTGAGTGACACAGTGAGGATTGTTCCATCTATTCCATTTTCGCCAGCGAACTTATGTGCCGCAATCCATCCTAAACCAGTGTTATTTACCAGAACAAGATTACCTAGGTGTGATCCTGACTGAGGTGCCGAACCAGTAAATACGGCAGAGAGTGATTGCGGACCGAAATCCCGATGACCCGGTCCGTGACTATGACTACATGCTTTTCACAATCAGGAGCGTTACTTATGGTCATTTGCACCTACATCTGACATCGTGGCCAGGCCATATATATGATACGGACCGAGCCCAATCGCCGTACCAGCGTCCCCAGTGCTATACCCAAGGAATGTGGGGGATTTAGAGCTCCATATGGCTCCAATCGTTTCATATACTGTAAGGGATTCTGATGTGCTCCCTCACTTCTTGATTTCCATCAGTCTTCGGCTTGGCCCCTTATTGTGCAGTCGGGAGAGAAAATGAAGGATACCAGCTTGTCCAAAGTCATTGTTGTGGGAGCCGGCCCGGCAGGGCTTCTGCTCGCGCTGATGCTTGCGAAGCACGGTATTAGTGTCGATGTGGTAGAAGCACTGGACGCAGTGGATGCCAGGCCGCGTGGCGCAGCATATGGTCCAGCGGCTGTCAGGTACGTACATGAATTTAGATATTCTGTTTTGAGTTGCCCTATTCCAGCAGGGCACATGTATTCTTGTGGGCTCTGTTGACTTGTATGCCGCGCAGTGTCCTCCGCCGTGCAGGTGTCCTGGACAAAATCCGTCAAAAGGGCCTCTCCGTGGACTCTTTCACCTGGAGGAAGGTGGATGGCACCGTCATCAATCGCCTGACCGGGATGAGCAGAAACCCTGACAAAGGAGGGTTTGTCTGTCTACCGGTTTATGACCTGGCATCTCTCCTTTACGATGAACTCTGTCAGCTCCCGAACGCCCAGGTTTATTGGAACCACAGAGTGACGGTGATTTCTCAAAACGAAACAAGAGCCTGGGTCGAGTGCGAGAATGGTCAAAAATTCGAAGGTGATTTCGTCGTCGGCTGCGACGGTGGTACATCGACTGTGCGGAAGTCCTTGTTTGGCAGCAATTTTCCAGGCCACACTTGGGACGTGATCATGGTCGCTACGAATGTAATACGTGGCCCCTACTCACTCGATCGCTAGAAGCGAGAGCAAGACTGATAAGCTGATATTTGATCGATTTCAGATCCGTGGCTATGATTTCTCAAAGTATGGCTGGGAAGATACGTCCTGGATTGTCGATCCTGAACATTGGGCAGTGGTGGCTCTGATCGACCAGCAAGGGACATGGCGTGTTTCTTACGGAGAGAAGGGTTCGCTCTCCCACGACGAGCTTTACGAACGGATGTCGGCCAAGTTACAACGAATTCTCCCGGGGAATCCAACTCCCGATCAGTATACCATCGAAAGATTTAACCCTTACAATCTACACCAAAGATGTGCCGAGAAAATGCGGGTTGGTCGGATCCTGCTCGCAGGTGACGCTGCGCATCTAAATAACCCCATGTATGTATTTGCACATCTCGACACTCATGCTAGGCTAATGGTTTCAAGGGGCGGCCTCGGTCTCACCAGCGGCATGTCAGACGTGGGTGGCTTGGTTGATTGTCTCCAGGGAATTTATGACGGCAAAGCGGGCTATGATATACTCGACCAGTACGACCAGGTTCGACGGGAGATATACAGAACCGTCACCGATCCTGTATCTACCGCCAATCTTGCTCGCGTACAAAGCGATCCGGCGGCGCTAGCCGGTGGCCAGGACCCTTTCTTCGTTCTGCTTGATAAGTCCCGCGAAGACGCTAGCTTTCTCGAAGAGATTGAAAAGGTCAGTGTTGACAACTCTGGACGGAGGGTAATGTGAGGCTGATTGAATCAGAACGATATGAGACTTCTCGTGGACTTTACCCAATTCTACGACAAACCCAAGGTGAATGGTCACGCCAACGGCATGGCCAATGGCCATATTTCTCTCACCTACTGGGACCGACTGGTTCGCTACGTGTCGGCGAAGACTGGTCAGACACGGTATGGTGAACCGCTAGCAGACTTAACTGCAGACATCGATCAGCTGGCGACGGAAGGTACTTTGAAAGTTCGGCCCCTTGAAGGGTCCAACTGGCTGGCCGCAAGACCATCGGACGAAGAGGAAGATCTCGTCAAGGAGCTTCTCGGTCCTCTCACTCCAAGAGACGTGCCCATCGTCCGTTGCACAGGCCTCAACTATCGCACTCATAGTAAGTCTTGTCTTTGTTGGCAGTTGGTCTCATTAACTGGAAATCTTAGTTATTGAGTCTAACTGGGATATACCAACAAATCCGACACTATTTATCAAGCCTGGACAGGCCGTTGGCGATACGCGTGCCCCCATCCCGGTCCCCAAACTCTCTCAGTCAAAATGCGACTACGAAGGCGAGCTGACCATTGTCATTGGGAAAGACGCCAAGAATGTAAGCGAAGAGCAAGCCCTTGACTACGTCGCGGGATATGTTGTTGGGAACGACGTCTCATGCCGTGACTGGCAGCTTGACAAAGACAAAGCCGGCATGATGCCCCAATGGTGTTTCGGCAAGTCGTTCGACAAATATGCCCCCGTGGGCCCGGCAATCGTGAGCCCCAAAATCCTGGGCGACGCCTCGGGATTGCGGCTCCAGACGTATGTGAACGGCGAGCTAAGGCAGGACTCTGACACTTCTGACCTATGTTTTGGTGTTCGAAAGCTGGTCAGCTTCTACAGTACTGGTCAGACGCTGGAAGCTGGAAGTTTGATCATGACAGGTACACCGGGTGGCGTTGCAGCGGCCATGAAGATTCCACAATATTTGCAAGACGGGGATGAGGTGGTGGTGGAGATTGAGAGAATTGGGAAGCTGAGAAACATCATCAAGTTTGACGAATGAGAGACAGAGTCAACAACTGCTATGGCCAGAAAGCGTCTGTGCTCTCTACACCTTACATCATCCATGTTGGAAGACGTGGTGTGAGTTTCCTGATTAATTTGCGGCCTTGTCCACATGCCGTTCCTGAAGATGAAGCCTGGTAGTCCTGAAGCAGCCCTGACCTGGGCGGTTCTCAACCCTCGAATTGCAAAACACGATGATCCCGCACTCCCGGACCGAAGTTTTGGGATCTCTCGGGCCGTCTTGGGGAAGACAAGGGGTCCACAAGCACACTGCCCAACCAATGGGTAACCGCGGGCCGAACACAGGACACTGACTGCATCAATGATCATTTGGCATTGAAGTGGAGGCGTCTCAACAGGCTGAGCAGGCTTAACTAACATACATGACAAGGTGTCAGGAAGCTTTAACACCTAATAACCTGGATAAACACTGCGAGGTTCGGATGGGTGGCCCCAACTAGTATGGAATAGACACAATGCTTTTTCGTTTCAGCAACCAGTAAGAAACGATATGATCGTAGCATTGTTAAAAATGGAATGGTAAAGATATAAATTACTCGTAGGCTTCCAAGCGAGCATTATAAAAATACAACTCCGTTGCGTTGTTCAAGACCACATCGTGTTAGGTATACTGACGACTTACTTGACTAAGTTTTAAGATCGCGACTTCCAACTATTTACCTCGATAACTGTCAAATAAATCATGGGGGCCACGACGGTCCTCCCACGGTCTTTACAGGAGAGTCTGGCCAACACAAAGGTCTCCTATGCACAGTTGGGCAGTTCAGGCCTCCGTGTCTCGGTCCCCATCCTTGGGACCATGTCTTTTGGTATTTCCACTACGCCTTATATTGTTAGTCCATCCACCTAATCATGCTCAGGCCACAAAGATTGGCAGCCCTGGGTCTTGGATGACCCGGACGAGGTGGACGCGATTCTCAAGGGCGCCTTTGATCGCGGTCTGAACACATGGGACACGGCCAATGTCTACTCTAACGGCCTCTCGGAGCAGATGATTGGCAATACACTGAGAAAGCACAACATCCCACGACACAAAGTCATTCTGATGTCCAAGTGTTTCAGCCCAGTTGGTGAGGAGCCTAATGTACATGTCATTAGCTACCCGAAACAGATATCAGCAAGCAAGAACTACGTCAATCAAGAAGGTTTAAGCCGTACTGCAATACTTAACGCCGTCAATGGCAGCCTTGAGCGACTTGGGACAGATTATCTGGATCTTTTGCAGATCCACCGATTCGACCCAACAGTCCCAGTTGAGGAAACAATGAAAGCATTGCATGATTTAGTGCAGAGTGGAAAGGTTCGATACATTGGTAAGTCAATCAATTATGCGCCTTGTGCTCGTCTACACTAGCAACGAGATAAAGCAGGATCCGATAAACCCAGAACAAATATCTAATGAACACAGGGGCTTCAAGTATGTGGACGTACCAGTTTGCACAGATGCAGTACGTGGCCGAGGTCCATGGTTGGACCAAGTTCATCTCGATGCAGAATCACTACAGCCTGTGCTACCGAGAAGAGGAGCGTGAGATGAACCGGTACTGCCACGAAACAGGGGTTGGTCTCATTCCGTGGGCGCCACTTTATCGTGGCTTGCTTGCGCGCCCACTGGGCTCCAACAAGACGACGCGCGAAGAGAGTATCAAAGGCCCGTTTGCTGGATTACATGGAGGAGATGTGGAGATAATTAATCGGGTCAGCGAACTGGCCGAGAAGCATGCGTGGAAGATGAGCCACGTTGCACTCGCGTGGATTATCCAGAAAGGCACGATCCCAATTGTAGGAGCTAGCAGCCTGGCCAGATTGGAAGAGATATGTGAAGTTCGAGGCAAATCGTTGACCGATGACGAGATCAATTATCTCGAGGAGCCATATCAGCCTAGAAATATCGTCGGTCATCAATAGAGATGCCGAAGAAAGGGAGGGGTTGGCAATCACAGACTCATTTTACCATGAGGGATGCTTGGACTAGTTTTCAAGGCTATTCACACGCGTCGACAGGGGAATCCTGTCCAATCAACACTGACGACTGGAAGTTCAGTAACAGCCAGAGCTTGGATCTCTCGGGTTAGGGCTGCCACCGTCACTATTGTATGACAAATCCACCAGGTAAAAGGCAGATCGCTGGATCTTCTGCTATAGTAAAGTCAACTGTCCCCGGAGGATGCGGAGGTTGCATACAGTCCTACTCCGAGAAGAGCACGAGTACAGGTATCCGTCCTGCATAACTAGTGGCCGGAAAGTGGGTTCCAAATAGAGTTGTCCTACAACCCTCCCAAACAAATGGGGAAATGGCCAGCTGGAGATACCGGTTGCGCCTGACCCGAGCTTGAGTCGACACAGTACGACTGGTGCTACCTTTGCCAATATATAATTCTGGGAATGCCTGTCAGCCTATTCTTTGCATTAATATTCACTAGGATCCCACTTCTCGTCTCAAAAGAGTCAAGATATCTGCCATGAATTCTTTCATCATAAAAGACATCCGTCTTTTCGACGGAGACAAAGTGGTGGAGAATAGCAGCGTGCGTGTAGAGAATGGCATAATCACTGAAGTCGGTGACAACGCCAGCAAAGATGGAACTCCTGTCATATCTAAGCCTGGCCACACACTGGTTCCAGGTCTGATCGAGGCGCACTGCCATCCATATGACAATGTCAAGCTGCCGGAGCAGTGCTTTCGGTTTGGCATCACAACATTGATGGACATGCACAACGTCCACGAACACGCAGTTCAGCAGAAACAGTGGGCCAGAGAAAGGACGGACTTCCCAGACATCAAAAGCTGTCATTACGCGGCCACCATTTCAGGCGGTTGGCCGGCCTTCGTGGAAAAGAAGTTGAGCAAAGATGGAGTAGGTATTTGGTGGAACTATACCCTCGTCGCAGTTTGTGTGCTTTTGAATGCAGCTGACAAACTTCTTTCTCTCTCTTTAGCACGAGAAGTTCGACAAATACCCTAACATTGCCACCGAAGCAGACGCCGAAGCATACATCGCGAGATCACTGCAGGACGGTGCCGACTACATCAAATTGATGCACGAGGTGGGCACAGCTATCGGGATCCCTCCAGGTCTCATCGCACAGCCGACCGAAAGTGTCCAAGCGGCGGTGGTGCGCGCAGCACATCAAAAAGGTCTCAAGGTCATTGCCCACGCCTTGTCGCGCAAAGACACGCTCGAGGTGTTGAGAGCTGGGGTAGACGGTCTCGCCCATACCTTCTTCGACGAGCCTATTACACCCCAGGTGATCGAGTTGTATCGTCGAAATCGCGCCTGGTGTACCCCAACACTAGGCTGTTCCGGCAGCATGACTGGCGAGTCGTTGAATATCGTCAAGCAGTTTTCGGAGGATCCCAGAGTCCGGAGCCGAGTGCTTGACACGGATGTGCAGGTCATGCAACATTGCATGCACTTGAAGGCCGACACAGCAAGATGGGACTACGCCATTGACAGTGTAAGGCAATTGAGAGCGGCGGGCGTCCAGATCGTCACGTAAGTCTTCAGAAGAAGGAGCTCTTTTGTGGGAAAGCATTTTGACAGAATTGTGTTGTCACTAGTGGTTCCGACTCTGCACCAGGTGCGCCAGGCCTAGTCTTTGGTGTGAACCTACACATCGAGATGTTCTTGCTGGTTCACAAAGCCGGAATGACGCCGCTGGAAGTCTTGAAGTCTACGACTAGCGTCACTGCGGATGCTTTTGGATGGTCGGATCGAGGAAGGATAGGGCCGGGTCTCAAGGCTGATCTTGTTCTGGTGGAAGGAAATCCCATGGTCGACATTACAGACATGCTGAATATTAGAGGAATATGGAGAGACGGTGTCAAATTTGAGGGACATGAGGGGTTTCCCCTCTCATGATTGATACATTATGCACAAGACAAAGAGCCCAAGAAGATTCCCATAGGCTTGAATATGGGGACCCAAAGAGATATTGGTCCCAACTTGTTTTCTTTATATGATGTTCCTAACACTGTCGCCTTAGGACGTACTTCTGCTACGGACACTTTCGCATATGCGAATTCTAAGAAGCGCCCATCCCAGGAACCCCACTGCCTTTGACATCGACACCACCAAATTGCAAAGGCTCTGCTGGGATGACGGCGGCGGCCATGCGTGCCCATTCAGTAGAGCTGACGTTCCTCCATGAGTGATCGACGCAGCGCTGAATGGCCGAGTCGCCGGGGCCGAGGATACGTTTTTCTCCCGAGTTCAGTGTCAACTCCATCTGTCCCTGCAACACTACATTGAAATTCACACTGATGGTGCGATGTGAGACCGAATTGTATCCCGGAGGCAGGTCCAGAATGCGAAAGGCAAAGCCATTCGGAACCACGATTCCTGGCGGATTCTCAATCAAATGCTGGTAAGACTGCAAATCTTGCTCGCCGGCCAAGTCGACCGGGAAGCGCTGACAACCGTAACAAAAGGTGATTTTCGTCCCATCTGGTAGCTGCATCGATGGAGGGTCTGAAGGTATTCTCGAAGAGAAGATTGACACGCCGTCGTCATTGTTGGTGGTAAGATGTCGTTTCACAGGTGAAAGACTTTTGTCGTCCGCCATGTTTGATTCTTGAGCGTCGGTCGAGTCGAGACAGAAAAAAAAGAAGAGGCTGTCTTCTAAATGAAGAAGCTAAAGGCAATCTTCTTGATTCAACGATAACTTCTTTATTGGCGTCACTTCAATTACGGCGATCGCAAGTAACTTGCTGGTCGACAGGGAGGACAATTGGTGGTAGAGCTCTTCCGGACCAGAGGTCACCAGACCCTTTCGGGCCGACAGAAACCAACGGCATGGAGCCTTCCTCTCAAACCGAACTCGACGTCAAATTCCATACGACAGGATCCATCGACCTCAAAAGATATATGCATCGCGCGGGCCGTTTAGTTTGCTATGACAAATCCTCAAGACCCGAGTGCTGAACAGTGCTTCCACTACTACGAGTCACTACAACCCAGAAATCAGTCATATAGCGCACTGCCGGACAAGTCTCTCTTTGGCTGCACATGTCAATCGCCTGAACCAAAGTTTTAGAGCAACTTGTCTGTCTCCAGAAGAGAAAAGATGACGCCAAAGTTCACAAGGCTTATACGGTTCGAGGATGCGCAAGGAAAGATCCACTACGGCGAGGCTGGCCCCGACTGGGAGAAGGATCTTCATGGCCAGACTGTCCCAACATACGATATCTCGGACCCATGGGCTTCCGAGTTTCCTTTGACTGGAAATCATGTCAAAGTGGCAAAGGTTGTAGCAGTTACCGATCTCTTGTACCTGCGTGTTGACTGACCACTGTTCAGATCCTCTGTCCACTGGCGACAACGCCTCTCATGTACGCCGTCGGACTCAATTATAAATCGCATGCGGAGGAGGCCGGGGTAAATATTGCTCTCCGCTCAATACTGCAAGAAAACCGTTAACGGGGACAAATCAGCTTCCAATTCCAGCATATCCCGTCATCTTCACCAAGTTTGGTGGTGAGTACCTTCTCTTCATAAATCCGTATCGACCAGAGCGACTGAGGCGAGTTCAGATATGCTTGCCGACCCGTACCAAGACATCCACGTCCCACCAGTAGCCAAATCGGAGATGGACTACGAGGGGGAGCTCTGCGTCATCCTGGCCAAGGACGTGAAAGACCTGTCCGATGACGACGACATCTCAGACTTCATCCTGGGCTATACTGTGGGCAATGATGTTTCGGCGCGGTTCTGGGCCTGGCCAAAGCAATCTGGAACTCAATGGGGCCTCTCCAAGTCGTTTGATCACTTTGGGCCGATTGGGCCGGTCATCGCATCGCCTGCATCGATTCCGAATCCACAGAATTTGCAGTTGAAGACCTCGGTTAATGGGGAGATCAGGCAGAACGGCAATACCGACAACATGATCTTCGACATTGTCACAATTCTGAAGCATATGAGCCGAGGGACCACGCTCAAAAAGGGGAGCGTCATCATGACAGGGACTCCGGAGTATGTCACGCTTTTCTTTTTCCGCTGCAGGAGACTCAAATCGCGCTTAGACTAACGGTGAGAACAGCGGTGTCGCCGCTTGCGCCAAACCTCAGACCTATCTGAAATCTGGCGATCTAGTCGAAATTGAAATTGAGAAAATTGGAAAGATCGGGAACAAGATGGTCTTCTGATTTGAAGCAAGGTGCAAAAGCTGGCAGGCTGGTAGGCGAGTGACTGGTATTTGTCGAAGCCAATTCGACAGATTTAGTTTTGTTGAGCAAAGAACGGCTCGAAAACTACCTAGGTATCAGGCTGGCCAACACAACGGAGGGGGCAGTAGGATACCGTGGTCTCAACTAAAGAATTGATGCATTGGCTAGTCTATTGATACACGACCCGATCGCTTGAAGATGTCTTTCAAGGTGGTGGAAGTGCGAAAAACATGATATAAGCATGCTACTGGCCGACTCCGCTATGCAGCTTCTTGTCATGAGGTTGGTGCCTTAACAAGTCACGACATAAATGGTCCTAGATCATGGCTGAACTAAAATAAATACCAACGAGTTGTAACCCCAATCCTCCTTTACATGGCATGGATTGTAAATGGTCATTACATGCCCAAGCCGCTTCTTTACAGTTTGGCTTCTGTATGGTGCAAGACATGCGCCGTTTCGCCCAAGGCGTAATCATTCCTCCGCCGGCTTCGGACTTTCTCTGCCATCTGGCTTGTGATTGTTCGAGCCTCTACCGCCGGATTGTATCCCATGCCACTGAGCCGGGCAATCTCCTCCTCGCTTTGCCTCACGTCAATGTCGGTGTTCTTTCGTCCATCCGCTCTCTTGTATATCGTCACGACCACTGCTCCACCCAGCCCCAAATTATGTTGCAACGCAACCCCAACATTAGGGACCAGTCTCCCGTTGTTTGCCCAGCCACGCAGTTGCCAGACCAGCTCAGCGCACTGCGCAAGTCCTGTTGCTCCAAGTGGGTGGCCTTTGCTGATTAGTCCACCAGAAGGGTTCACCACCACTTTACCCCCATAAGTGATATCCCCTCTCCGCACCATATGATGTGCTTGACCCGCGTCGCAAAAGCCTAGTCCTTCGAGGAGAATGAGTTCATTGGTGCTGAAACAATCGTGAATCTCGCAGACGTGAATGTCGCTTGCTTGAACGCCTGCTTCTGCAAGCGCTGCTTGCGTTGTGCGACGGGTCATATCATTTCCTACCAGATCGATCGCGTTCCCAGAGTAAAGCTCGGGGGAGTCAGTCATCAGAGCCTGGCCAGCCATGAAAACAGCGTGTGTTTGCAATTCCGGGTGGCGAGATTGAAGATATCGTCGCGAGACAAGAATCGCAGATCCGGCACCATCAGAGGTTGGGCTGCACTGCAGCTTCGTGAGAGGCGGGTGAATCATTGGCGACTGTTCGATTTCCTCGAGGCTGTAAACTGTGTTGAACTGGGCATAAGGATTGCGGGACGAATGCTGGTGCGAGATCCGGGCAATTTCAGCAAAATCTCGTGCAGAGGCGCCATGCCTACCAAGCGGAAATTAGGTCAGTTCAAGATATCCCGGGGGAAAATTGTCCTTCTTCCTTACTCCTCCATATACTGTCGTCCGGCATTTGCAAAGAACTGTACGTTTCTCGCGCTGTCATGTTTTCCTCTCGTCTCTTCCATCATCCGAGTCATAAGACCGAGCGCACTTGGACGTCCGTCTCCGTTATCGGCCTTGATGGCTCCTGCCTGCATTGTCTCGAAGCCGATTACCATGACGACATCATAGATCCCTCCACGGATCAGCGAGCGTGCGAGGTGAAGGCCCGTACTTCCAGTGGCACAAGCATTGTTGGTATTATAGACTGGTATATTGGTCATGCCAAATTGATAGAAGACACGCTGACCGGAAGTTGTCTCGCCGTACGCGTAACAAGCGATTCCAGCTTCGACTTCATCATAGTTGATGTGGGCATCAAGGAGTGCCTTCGTTCCTGCTTCAAAGCCGAGCTCAGGATACGGTCTCAGTTGGCGTGGTTTGAGGAACTTGGTTAGACCGACCCCGAGGACAAAAGCGTCATGTGGGGCGGACATCTCGCTCCCAAGCATGCAAATTGAGGTACAAGGCAAGGGGGCTCATCAAAGAACTGTTGACTAGGTACGGTCTTTATTCCAGACTGAATTGACGTCTTTTAGCAGAAAACTCTCGAACATTTCTCCAGTGGCTTGGGGCCGACGGAAATGACGGCAGATCCAATAGGGTTTCAACTCATGTCTCGTCACGCTGCGGTCGAGACAGCTCAACATCATTCGAACATCGAATAGCACTTGGACGCTACTGCTAGGAACTCGGAGCAGCAGGGTCTCGACTCTCTATGGCTGCTCTCGGGAAAGTCGTTTGGAGCTTCGGACCGAAGGGAGCAAAGCACCAGGTTCTCCTATTGATGCCAAGATCGATCAATCACGGACCAGGCATTGGGTCTCATGACCCATCGACTCTTGAACTGTAGTAGAGCCGAATTGGGTATCAGCGTAGGCGTAAATGTTGCAGCAGCCGCATTGAACCCTCTTTGTTCTATGAGCATTCTCTCTTAGACAGAAGCCTCAAGCTTTGCCACGACTTCACCTCTCAACCCATACTATAGACTGCTACAATGGCACCAAAACCGACTTATGTGCCTCCTCTGGGCTTGCGGACACCGTTGGACGACTTCAGAGATCTCGTGAACCGCAAGTTTAACCTGCACCTTAGTGAGCATCTACCTTGATAAGCCTCACTCCAAGCTTTTCTGATTGTATATGGTGTCAGAAAGCTACGCCGAGTTACATAGGTTCTCGGTGACGCGGTTGAATGATTTCTGGTTGACGGTATGGGAGTTTACGGGAGTCATAGCATCCGTCCACCCTCCGAAGGTGAGCAACGTTTATGACTGAGATCATTGGGGACGGATGTTGAATCAATACACTAGGCGATCGAGGATGGGGCTGCCATTGATCAGTTCCCGATTTTCTTTGAAGGCGCTCAGTTGAACTTCGCCGAAAATATGCTGAACCCGAAGTTCAGTGGTCTGGCTGTCGTCGACATGAACGAAAACAACTTGTCGTGGCCGGAGGAGTATTCGTGGGACGATCTTCGTGAACTCGTGCGACGCTATGCTGCCGCTCTCAGATCAACAGGCTTGCAGAAACAGGAAGTCGTGGCATGTGAGAACAATCCACGACCCATTTCTTGAAAAGGAACATGCTCACTTCTTGGGCCAGTGGTTGGCTCTAACTGCATACGATCGCTCGCATTGCTCCTTGCTACCACGGCATTGGGGGCGATTTTTGCTTCTTTCGCAATCGACATGGGCTCCAAGGTTTGTACCAAATACCGAGTCTGCGAAAAAGAGAGAAATTAACAACGAGCCCTACCTAGTTACTGAGTGACCGCCTTCGGTTGTTGCAACCACGGCTTCTGTTTGCGGAGTCGACGTATGTGTACAATGGCAAGTGCCACGACATTTCTGACAAACTCGATTCGTCTATACAGCAACTTCAACAGAGTGGAAGGACTAGGTCCATCGTCATCGGCTCCAGACAGAGCCTAAAGTTGGAAACGTCAGTTCCTAGAGGACGCTCGATCATCCTGTGGCAATCATTGACTGAGCGTAGTGTGTCCTTCGAGGATTTCCTGACCCATGATAACGGCGCATCGGTGGATTTTGTGCAAGTACCCTTTGGTAACCCAGCTGTCATTATGTTCTCGTCTGGAACGACAGGAACTCCAAAAGGGATTGTCCACTCACATGGGGTAAACCTCCTCTCTGGGACTTTAAGCCAAGCCGGAGAAGACAAGCTGATACATTCAAGGGTCTGGTTGTGAATGGCCGGAAAGAATACCTTCTTCACAACAACCTTGGTCCTGGGGATTTAGCTTATCAGTACACAAACGTGAGTGCTGGTTGTTAAATCTGGGCGTCACTTTTGCACTCCGGCTTATCGCAAAACAGATTGGGTGGACCTTGTGGAACATCTCGATTCACGCTTTGTTTGTCGGCGCCGCGGTCATTTTGTATGACGGCAGTCCGTTCTACCCGTCGCCTGAGCGGTTCTTGAAATCGCTGTTTCATCTCAAGTAAGCCGAACGCTTCACAATGGTTCGAGATACAGATGCTGATGGCAGCAGGGTTACGTCCTTCGGAGCAGGTCCACGTTACTATGCTGAACTCCAAAAGGCCGCAGTGAAGCCAAGTCAGTTTCTTCCGCAATCTCGCCATACCGCGAGCCGTGAGGGTTTCCCTGCCATGAAGTGACTGACCCAATTTGTTGCCTTTTCAGGAAAATATTGTCAAACCCTTCATTCTATCATTTCCACCGGAGCAGTCCTCACCCCAGCCCTTGCAGAATGGCTTGTCGAAGCGTTTGGGCCCGTCTGTCAGCTCTCAATGTCCGGCGGCACAGAGATCTGTGGCTCATTCCTACATGGTACCCGCTCTCTTCCATCATATGCTGGAGAGTTGGCGGTGAGAGGACTGGGTATGGACGTGGCCGTGTTTGGCGTAGACGGTAACGAGCTGCCGGACGGCGAAAGCGGTGAATTGGTCTGCCGAAAGCCATTCCCCAACATGCCGGCTATGTTCTGGAATGACCCTGTCCGAAAAAGGTATTACAGCTCATACTTTCAGGGGTTCCCACGTAAGTAATCACAGGCTTTTGTTTCCGCCAATTTCAGATACTCACACGCTATACTAAGACGTGTGGACACACGGCGATTTTATCCGAGTCAACCCTCAGACGAAAGGCATTTATGTCCTTGGCCGAAGGTGAGTGGCATAAGAATACGGGGGTTTGTCACGCTTCATGCCTACTGACGTTGCCGGACACAGTGACGGGGTGCTCAATCCATCTGGCGTGCGATTTGGCAGCGCCGAGATCTACCATGTTCTCGGCTCCCCGCGGTTCAGCAATTTGATCGCAGATGCTATTGTCGTCGGCCAGCAGAGGCTCGCGGCCCGCTACTCTGACACAGCTGAAAAAGTGGTACTTTTCATCAAATGCACCCCGAGAGCAAGCACAGGCACGCTCCGGGTCCGGGAGGACCTCGAGGCCGCAATTCGCGAGCAGATAGCACGGGATCTGAGTCGAAGACACGTGCCGGCTTATATATTCGAAACCGACGTTGTGCCTTACAATGCCAACGGGAAGAAGCTGGAGATCCAAGTCAAGGCCATTCTGTGTGAGGGCGATGCCGCGTTGCGCAGGCTGAAGTTGACGCAAGACGAGCTCCTACAGCTGCGCGGCTATGTTCCCTTCTATCAGATAGAAAAGGTCGTTTCCCAGCTTGCGCAAGCTGGCACGGGCGCAAAATTGTAGACTGGCCACATAGTTGGAACAGAAAAGCAGATTCGAAACCTAAATGATGATTTTTAGTTAAGTGATAAACTAACTTGCGTCAGAAACCTACTGTGGCAAGACGCATCGAGGCAAGGCTTGTGAATAGCCGAGCATTTCTCATTTATAAAGACTCTCGCCCATTCTTCATTGAGCCAATACAGGCCTTAGCGGAAAGCACAACTATCGTAAAACTGTCTCGTACACAGCGAAATCAACTAGTCGGTCGTGACCAGCCAACTGATAATAATGCTCCTACAGGTCTTCATTACATGAAGTCAAAGGAATTCAAGGTCCGACGAAACAGTACCAGGGTGATGTTGAGAGTGGAAGCCAAGGGCTAGTACCAAGTTCAAACATCTTGTCGCGTTTCCTGGTTGCTAACTTCGACATCAACCGCGCCTCTCTATTTCCGTGTGGCGATCCCGTTTCGCATGCAGCTCTTCCACTGGAGCATCGACCCGATAATTCATGGTCTTCTTCATGTCGCCAAGGAATAAACACGCAAAGCTGCCCAGCAGACCAATTGCCGCTGCAATGATGAACACCACCCTGATCGAATCCGCGTAAGCCTGCTGTAAGGCAATGAAGCCCTTAGCAATGATTTGTGGTGTGATGCCTGGGACTTTTGCTAACATGGCTGTCTGACCCGCAGCCAATGCCTTGATGAAGGCTGGAATCGAAGAATCAGGAAGTCCCGAGGCCTTAGCGGCAGTTGTGATATACTTAGGCAGGTAGTCTTTGATTCGCGTATTGAAAGCGGCCGTGAAGATAGCTGTGAAGATGGCGACGCCAATCGCACGTGCGGTTGTCGTCACCGCCGAGGCGGTCGCAAGTACTTTATGTGGGACGACCAGCTGTGCGCCGCTGACAGTAAGAACGAGAGGAGCTCCAAAGCCAAGGCCAGCGACACAAGCGAAAGCAATGGCGTTGGTTGATTGACCTGGTTGGACGGTGGCAAGCCCTACCATTCCCGCTGTCATGATTACGTTGCCGAGCAGTAATGGCTCCCGGATAGTACGAAAGTGAGTACTGGCGTAGCCCCAAGGAATCGTAGAAAGTAATACTGGGATCCAAGCCGCTTGGGATCGAAGAACGACGAGAATAGGATCCGTTGTGAAGAGAATCTGAGACCTATATACGATAGTAGTCAGCCTTTTTAAGTCCTTCTATTAGAAGGTAGAGGACTTACATGATAGGGTAGAAAATAGCAAAGGCGAATATACAAAGGCCTTCAACAAAAATCAAGAATGCGCATAAGATAAACGTTCTCGCTTTTGCCTTGCTCTCGCGGAAAAGATCATGGTGTACAATTCCAGTTGTGGTACCCTTCCACTCGTAAAGGCCAAAGGCGATGAGGCCGAAGATCCCAATGATTAAAGTGGAAAGTGTGCGAGCGTCGGTCCAGGTATACTGACCGCCTCCTAGGCTAGCACCGGTGAGGAATAGGGTGAGCCCGATCATAAGGAGGCCGCATCCAACGAGATCAAGATGTCTGATTTTGTGCCAGAATGGTAGATTGTCCAGCTCTGTGTGCCGCTTCGGAGGTCGATATGCGATCGAGACAGAGATCACGTTGGTGCCCCACAGAGCTGCCTGAAACCACTATCACATCTAGCGTCAATGATATGGTGTATCCATGAAGTAGATCTTTCGAGACTCACGTAGAAGTCACGCCAACCGGTATGCGGGTTGCGTTTAGTGAGTGCGCCGATCGTCAACGGCCCTGCAACGGTGGCGAGGAGTGCCGAGGCGTTCATAGCCGCCTGGGCCACTTATGGCTGTGGTTAGTTGACTCTGAGAAGGTAAACAAAAGGGTGAAGATATATTGAACTTACTAGGTCGCCATCGACGAGGGAGGATTTCCGCAGGAACAGCATATCCCAAAGGGACTGCTGCAAAGCCAAAGCCAACCAGGATGCTTGCTCCAATAAGTCGATAGATATTTTCGGACCCAGGAGCGATGCATGCCCCAATGAAGGCAATCGCGCGAGGTTCCCACGAGGAGGAGCTTTCGGGCCTGAAAGGCGTCAGATGCGGTGGACAGGATAGGTCCTACCACAGCTTGGACCAGCGATAGAGCATTGACGACCCATGTCTGGGTGGTGGTATTGTGCAGGTCCGTTCCGATATAGGTCAACTGGTGATATAGACGGGACACTGTCAAATTCAGACACGGTGTACTCGGGGTGTTCACGAACCACTGCCGGAGGCCCCTGAAGCGCCAGGACCTGAGTGAAAACTAACAGGTTCATTGCTGCGAGAGCGATCCAAGTGCGTGCATGAAGCTCAGGTTCAACCTCTTCCTGATCAAAAGTGAGATACTTCCTGATCAAAAGTGAGATTACCTTGGCGTGAGTCGGAATACTCCTCCTCCTGGAGCTCAAATTCGTTCTGCGATTTGGAGTCGGCAGCCCCCATGAGCCCACCAGTATGGGGCCCCATGGGGACTGTAGTACCATTGAGAGTAGCCATTGTGGGGAGAGTGCGATGCAGCCGTCAACAGTGAGATCTAATGGTGTCCAAGGTGGGTATGTAGGAGTAAATACTCATGCCTGCTTAGTACCCGCACAGAGGGATTCGGTAAGCGGTTGAATGTGTCAGTCCTCAACAAAGATCTGACCTACCAGGTCCAGATTTAGAACTCAACGTAGCTCAGTAGACGTCTGCGTCGAATCCGGGGTACTTTTCGGTGTGGGTGGCTCGGCCCGTCATCATATGCGATTCAGGGAAGGCCACTCGGTTGTAAACTATACAAGTCTGTCGGCCCGAGATCAACGAGACGCAAGTTGTTGACATTCGGCCCTGACTCCAAAACCAGTTGAGTAGGTCAGTTTATACTGAACTGGTCTCCCGACTCACCTGCCATAGCTGTTCTGAAGCGCGATCGTTGAAGTCGCACAGGGGATTCTATTCAGCATGGTTGCCGTCTCCTTTCCGGTGGTGATTCCAGAGGATAGCCCTTTCGGCCCCTACAACATACCCTTTGGAATTTTCAGCACACCACAGGGTGTTGGTCTTGGAGTTAGTATTTTATACACGGCCTTCTCCATACAAACCCTGCTAATGAGCCTGTAATGCCCAGACCAAACCACGCGCCGGAGTGGCGCTCGGGGAGTTTGTCATCGAACTCCATGAGCTGGCTCAGCACGGAGTATTCGATGCGCACCAAAACACCTCAAAGATCTTGAAACATGTTTTCCTCGAGGTGACCATGAGATTCATTCTTCTGCCACAGTCATAGCTTCCTAATACTTATCACCAGCCCTCGCTGAACTCGTTCGCTGCGTTGGAAGCCAGCGAAAGGAGATGGGTCAGACTGGCAATCATCGAGAATGTCACTAGCGAAAAGTCAGTCCTCTTTACGGATCCACGCCTGAACAAGAAAGCCTTCGTGTTTGGCCGCGACGCGCAAATGCACCTACCTATGGACATCACCGACTATACCGACTCGTTTTCATCTCTCATTCATGCCGAGAACGTAAGACTGCCATTCTCCGGGATCATCCCCTCACTCTAAATTGTGCCTAGTCTCTGAAACCTTTGGGACTTGACCTACCTCCAGCGTTCAAGCTCTATCCACTTGGATACAATGGTCGTCGCTCCTCCATCTTCCTGTCAGGCCACCAGATCCATCGGCCAAGTGGATTTTTCGTTAAAGAAGGCGAGACACAGCCGGCTTTCCAAATATCTAGACAGGTAGACTTTGAGATCGAGCTTGGAGCCTTTATTTCGAAGCCGGTCCCCCATGGAAGGACAATTGACACGAAGACTGCTGCAGATCATATTTTCGGCTATGTCCTCCACAACGACTGGTCAGCCAGAGATATTCAGCCGTATGAGATGCCTCCACTAGGGCCAATGCATTCTAAGGGCTTTATTACGACAATCTCACCCTGGATTGTGACTGTCGATGCGCTGGCAAATTGTTGTACTGGCCCGCCGACGTCGAACGCAAGCCCGATCCATGCATCGCTCGTTACCGACGAGACGAGTCATGGTGTGTATGATATTGAGTTTACAGCTTCGGTGGCTCGTAAGTTGTCATGATTTCTCTGTTTTGAAACAACTGCTCAAGTTGCGATAGGTTGTGGCAATAGCCCCATCGAGATTGTTCGGTCGAACTATCGCCATTCTTACTGGAGCATTCCACAAATGATAGCATACCAGTCCTCAGGGGGTTGGGGTATTAGTACAGGTGATCTGGTGGCCAGTGGAACCATTTCATCTCCAGTGCCAGAGGTCAAGAAAGGACTAGGCACGTATGGATGTCTATTAGAGAGCTTTGCGCAGAAACACGAGCTGCCCGCAATTGCCGGCAAACCTATGTCCTGGCTCGAGGATGGCGATGAACTCACCATCCAAGGCTGGTTCAAGACGGCTGATGGTAGAAGATGTGGATTTGGCAAAGTGTCGGGCGTCGTGGTGCCGGGTCCGTCGTGGCCTTCGTAGAATGAAATCGTTCTGTCCTCTTTTGCAGGATTTCGCGGTCTTGGGCTTCATTATCGAGTCATGCAAAATCGCGCGAACACCCGAAGCCCGATTTAGATCCAGTGATAGCCTTAGCACTGCCGAGGGTGAGTCGAAGGTGCAGTGGTAGAAGGGCGAGGTGAGGGTGAGCAGTGGTAAAAGGCCGCGCAGCCGGATGAGTGTCAAGGTGAACTCGCTGTCGATTTACCTTTTCCCACGTCGCCAAGCATACATTCATTAGCCTGTAGTGGTGCCTTGGAAGTTGTTCACTTTTCCAGATGCTAGCTTACTAGCTCCTAATGTCCACTGGAGGGGAAATGTATCATGTTATGGTAATCAAGCTGTGGACCGCAGTGCAGTGATACATTTTTAAGAGCGTGGGAAAGATGGCAAAAAGATGCTTGTTGAATCGTCTCAGAGGAGTTATCCCCAGCAGCCAGCAACTTTTATTGGATTTGATGTTTTGGCAGCTACATATGCCAGTAATGTGTTGCTGGTCGGTCATGTTTGAGCGCTTCTTTGGCCACGCACTCTGCTGTTTTCATAATCTCCTTCCCAACCTGTATCGCCACCGTCGGGTTTACCATAACCCTGGGAACTGCTCCATTTATCACAACTGCCACTCTCTTTCGCGGCCGTGGGAAGTCGAGACAAAAGTCAACCCAAGTAGCACCCCTTCGCATCAGTGTTGGCACGGGGCCTATGCGGTGGGATGTCCTTGTCTTGGACCCTTGGTCTCGTTGCGGTCACCTCCCCGTTCGCCAGTCTGGGAGGGATAACATAGTCAGCAACGCTCGTTTTAATGCTGTGGAGAAGTAGGTGAAAAGTACATACCGTCACTGATTGTGGCTGCCCCTCCATGAGGATCTTCTTGATGACTTCGTCTTCATTGCTGGAGCCAAACTCATTCTCCAGGCTGGCCTTGCTTGCCTCGTCCAACTGACCCTGCGCACCATGCTTGTGGGTGACCATAATCTTGAAGCTATTCACCACCTGTGCTAGCGGAATCGAGTGGTCGGCTTGCCATGCTTTGAGGTCTTCGGGAGATTCGATAAAGACGATGAAGTCATCGGTGCTGCCCTTGTAAAAGACTTTGGTGACTTCGCCGGCTCCGCGAGGCATGTTGTTGTATGTTGGTAGCTGGAGCTGCTTCTACACTGAGAAATATTTTTCAAGCTGGAATTGCGTGATCACACGACCGTCTCAAGTTGAAACTTGTTGGAAAGGAAGGCTATTGGTGGGGTGGGTTGATGCTGTTGACAGTGAGACGGAGTCGCTAGGTGCAAGACGCTGTGTCTTGGGGGAACTGACCTTAAAAATGACTCGAGGGTTTGGCTCTGGTCGAGAGAATTGCAAGAGTCAGATTCGTCTATGATGTGAACAGAGTACAATTTGACCTGCGGCAGAGGGATCGTGTGAGGCTTGTAAGTGAAATAAAGGGAAGAGGCACCAGGATGGCAGCAGAGGCAATAAATGACTATGACGTCAACGTGCTTGGGCAGCGCACACTGACCAGGGCAATCGTCAGGGGCAGAAATTGACCTGCAGTGGGAACGAGATGAGGTAGCGTGACCCGTTCTACCAGAGCGCAGACTGCCACTTGTTCCCACAGAACCTTCCATCTGGGTGCCATCAACTACGTAACTTGACTTACAATCCAACCATCAGATCTGATCCTGCAGCGGACCCGACCGCAGAGCCTCCACACTTGTCGCACATTCCTACCAATGCTTTCTTTTGGCCCAATGACGTCGAGAGCGCAGGCAAAGCTCCCCAAGGCACAAGGACACAGGGGCGCAGAGCAGAGAGGCTCTCCATACAGCTGGTGCACGGCTCCTCCAAGAGAAAGAGACGACTTCGTTATGACACTAGGGATATGGAACAAGAGGACCGGCCTGCGCGATAAGTGTGGTAGAACATAAACAAACCATCCAGCGTGACCGGTCTTAACACAATCCAATTTGTGACCAGCTGCAGAGGTACCAGCGATTCTTGTATTTCCTAGGAAGATGGAAGGTTTGTTCATTTTTCCTCTGAATTCCTCCCCGAAATCGGACAAAATGAACCTTGCTGGGTTCCTCACAATTCGGAACGACGCGACGCGCAACGCCTCATGTCATCGGTGTTGCAGGAGCTGGATCGAGGTGTCAAAGGAGCACACACATGCTCGCACTAACGATGACTGACAGAAGAATCCAACGGGAAACCGTATGGTAAAGTAAAAGCAACTGGCACTTGGACCTGCAGTAGCCAATAGCCTAAAGGTCGAGGATAAATTCCTGTTGATGATTCTTCTCGGTCAAAAACAATTCCATGTCTTCACCCACAACAAAGCACCCAGACACGGCAGCGCTGGCCTAGGTGCTGGCCTTTTCTCATTGACTGAGATAAAAAGGCATAGGTGTCATATATAAGAAGCCTAGATCTCTGAGTAACCACGTTATCAATTCGTTGGCCAGATGACTCCTTTAGCCAAGGAACCGAACATCAAGTTGATTTGCTTGCAACAACAGGAGCTGGCGACAGAAGAAGAGTCAAGCTTCCTGTGTGCTGGCTTGGTGGGCAAACCCCTCCTACATTTATTTTTCTCTGGAAATGGGCGCCGCAATCAGCTTCGCACAAGGCTGTCCTGATGCGGGATGGCGTTACCTCGACAAGCTCAAATTCTACTTTACCGGAACAGCCAGCAGCCTACGAGTAAGTTTTCGGGGCTCGGTTCAGGATGCAGGAGACAACCCGCCGTATTTCCTACCCAAGGTACGCCACCTTCATGCGGAAGAGGTCCTCACACATCAATCTGGAAGAGACCTAACAGACACAAATATACACATCAATACGGCTACGAGAGATATTTAACGGAACGGCAATAACTCGACAGTTCAACCACCCGAGCTCGATTGTTCCCAAATACAAGTGCTTCGAGTAAATTCAGCTCTAGAGAAGAAAAAATCGAACAGGCCAGGATGCACGGGGCGATGAAGATGAAGAGACTTGACCTGCACAGGCTGCATCCCAGGCTGGTCGGAAGAGGGGGGAAGAGTGGAGGTGGAAGAACAGGGGAATGCGATGTCGAGTTGGCCTAGGCTATGCGCCCCGCAAATTAGCGAGCAACAAGTCAGGCACGGCAAACTGCTGTTTATCTACTCGGTACTACACAAGTGCGAAGGAGCTGCAGATGCACCTTACATGGTGGGAGCCGCCTTTCTTGACCCGATTTATTGGCATCCAACAGGGACATTCATTCTTACCAGTCTCCCCTCAGAGACAGCGTCTGGAGTTGACATGTGCGTGGTCACTCACAAGGTTCGGCCGACCAAGTTTCCCGGAGGTACTCGTACGCAAGCGCTCCACCTTTCAGGCTCTGCACTTCCCATTGTTCGAGCCAAGCCTTGGGACTACGTGGCATCCGAAAAGGCAAAAACAGACAATAGGAGATTGTTTCAAGAAATATGCGAGGTTTGAGGGCTCAATGGAACCAGTCTTCGGAAGTGTGGACGAAGGAAGAGCACCTGCGAGGTTGTTTCACGCCCTCAAACAACAAGGATCTGCGGCACACTTCTCCTCGGTCTTCTAGTAAGATCCTCCAAGCTGCACCCTCTCCTCGGCTTCTGGTGGAAAGCAAGAGCGATCACCATGGCCTGGTTGAAGCCACTGCAGCCCTTCTGCTGTCGTCAGACGCGTGGACAGGCGAACTGCGAAATCGCATCAGATCTTGAGAAAGGGGCGTACGGCGGCAATGTGGGAATTTGACTTTACTTAACGGTCAGCCTACCGCATGTTCGTCGTGGATCCTACCATAGGCGCCTTATCATTCGACAGTGCGAAGATAAGCTGGCTTGCATTGTGTTGCCTAACAGGGGCGTACTTCGATGTGCACACTCATCAACCCTCCTTTATTCCAGCTGCAAATATCCTCTTCTCTGCTTGACAATGACTTCTAGTCTCTGGGAGACCAAGGTTGTACGACAGGATATGACGGTTCACCTTCTACACTATGCCTTGAACTGGCTTCCCCGTTCCTCTTCCATCTCCCAGCTTTCTCAGCCTTTCGAATGTCCCCCCATCTACATGCGAGGGACTAGGTGGGTCTCCCTCCCTGGATGAAGGTTCGAAGATCTCCCCCCATTTCAAGCTGGCTCATCACAACCTTGAACTGATTGGTGCGGGGATGAGAAGGAGTCCTGGAGCCAGCTCTCTCCGTACACTTGCAACAGCGCGAGAAGGGGTGGAAGGGAGGATGGAGAGGTTGAAGTGGCTTCTATTAGTGTGCAGACAGGGGCTCTTGGAACTGGACTCATGGTGTTCGTAAGATTGCCATATGAGTAGAAAGCAGGAATGCCTGCATACCCTTCTCCAGTCTTGCTCTTCCCGATTTCCCACAGTTCCTTTCTCGCTACATCTTCCTGTATGCTAATGTGATATCACTGGCAAGTACCCTTTCACTATAGCCATTTTGCGGCGCGGGATTCTGTCTCTCAGCGCTATGGCATTCCTTGCAGCCCTGTTACCGCGGAGCCCGGCCAAGTATCTCCTGGCGGCGTTCATCCTTCAGACCCTCTACATCCTATTCTTTCACCACAGCGCGAGGGAACAGGCTCAGATACAGCGTACGACGCTCACGAAGCATTACTCGTTGGGAGAAACATTGGCACACGACATCAGCAACGAGGACCATGGCCTTATGAGCATCAAGGTCGCGGCGCTGTCGGACCTGGCGGAGCACTACCTCGAAAATCCGTCGCTGGACACCTACGAGGTCAACGCCGTCGTGTCGCAGCTGCTCCCTTGGTGGAACCCGTCGACATTGAAATACTACCCATGGAAAAAGTTACAGTCATGGAAGTCGAGGATAATTTACAGCATGGAGTCGAGGGGACCAAGCACGGGGATTGTCATCAGCGTGATGGACTCATTTGCCAAGGAAGCCGCACATCTGATAGGGACCCTTCGAAATGTCCATGGGTGCAAGCTACCGATCTCCATTGCCTATGTGGGGGACGACGACCTTCGACCCCAGACGCGGGAGTTCTTGAGGCGACGGGCCAAGGATATCAGTTTCATCGACCTCACCACGATCTTCGACGAGGAGCTGGTCCATCTGCAGGGGTACGCCATCAAGCCGTTCGCGCTGCTCGCCAGCCCCTATCCGCGGACGATTTTGATGGACGCCGACGCCATCTTCTTCTCCAAACCGGACACGATGTTCGACGAGTATCCAAGCCTGCGGGACACGGGTGCTCTATTCTTCCACGACCGAAACATCATCTCGGGATTCAATCGACAAGACTGGCTCGAACGCCAGATGGAGGCCGCCGGCCGGGACCCCTCGGCCTCTCTGAGTGAGAGCTCCCTCTTCTATCGGCGGTTAACCAGCGAAGAGGCCGACGCCGCCGTCGTCTGCGTCGACAAGTCGCGGGTGGGACTCTACATGGCAGTGCTGTTCATGTGCTGGATGAACACCAAGGACGTCCGGGAGGCGTCCACGTTCCGGATCTGGCACGGCGACAAAGAGTCGTACTGGGTGGCCACCGAGTTGATGGGTGTGCCGTACTCGTTTGAGCCTTGGTACTCGGCCCGGATGTCTCAGTCGCAGGAGACGGGGATTCCATTACTGCTCGACGACGACAACGAATGGAAGAAGAAGCACCCCAGACCGGCTGTTTCAGCGTCATCCAATAACCTCGAAACCCCTCCGCCGGACCACAGCTCTTGTACACTACACATGGCCCATTCCGATGCCTGGGGCATTGAGCCGCTGTGGGCCAACGGGGCGCTATGGTACGACAAGGGCAACAAGGACCACGGTCTCAGTAACTGGACGCACTGGTATCTGGGCGAACGCGTCCATGATGTTCTCCAAGCATATGATCCCAAGCCGGAATCCGACGGGTCTGGAGATGGTGACGACAACCACAAAGAGGGTGACGACGACGAAGCGACCAAGAAACGCCAGGAGGAACTGGAGCAGAAAATCCTGGCCACGCAGCCCGAGTGGCTCTTCATGGATTGGCCCAAGGACTACAAGACGTGTTTCAAGCGCGACCAGCCTCGGTGGAGGCAGTTGTCTCGTGATTTTCGAGCCAGGCTGGAGAGGATGCAGGACGAGGTGAGGAGGGTGGAAATTGAGTACGAGGTCGAAATGGCAGGACACGACTGACTCACTGAGCTATTTGATTGACCGGAGGTCTATGTGCCATTACATACGGGGGAATTTTCATAAGGCTGCCGTCATAGACATAGCCTTGGAGATACAGTACATACAATCGGTGGCGGCAAGGCGTTGGCGTTGTTTTGTTCAGACTTTGAAGATATCGGGAAGAACAGAACTGCAGGAAAGGCAAGGGCTCTTCTTTGTGGGAAGTGAAAGAGGTGCAAACAGCGTTATGTGACTAGTCGTACTTACATAGGTAGGTAGGTATCTTTTGGAGACTTTGACGAGGTATGAAGATGGGGGAAACAAAAAGTACATAGTTCAAATGCCAACCAAAAAAAGACACCCGAGGTCGTCTCCTTCGCTTCACGCTCTCAGCTCAGCTCAAGGGCAGCAGCCTCGACTCAGCCCAACAACCGAACCACAACCACAACAATGGCATATACGAGGTCCTCCGTACCCTAGGTACCTACCTAGGTATGTATGCGAGTAATACTGCGATGGAGCCCCAAAGGGGGAGTAGGTTACCTACCTAGGTTGAAGACGTTGATCGGTATTTTTACGTTAGGTTCCTTGATCTTTTTGCATCTGCCGATGCTCACATCCGATCTGGGCCCTCGACCAGGCCCGAGGCAAGGCTGAGATTACTCGTTCCTATTCCTCTTCCTTTTTGTCTTACCTAGTACTTGCTTCGGCAGATCGAGGTAGGGACTTTTTTTTTCAAAAGCATCTCTCTCTCTCTCATCCACAACCGCCCATCCACCTTGCCATCTATGTACGAAGGTAGTTACTCGGTACCCTCTCCATTCGTCAATTTTGTCCTGACCTGGCACTTGTCTTTCTGTCCGGCAATGGCTGACTGACTGACTGGGTAATCGTTTTTCTGCCAGAACTCCCGGCCGTAGTAATCAAAGGAAGCCACAAAGCACACGAATCTACTCGAGAGATTCCGCTCTCTCTATGCCCTGGGCTGCTCTGTTCCGCCCCTCCCCTGCCCTCGGAATTCCAGCAATATGCCATTCCGAGGGCCTTGTAGTAGGACGCGGATGGACTTCGTGTGTTTTTTTCTTTGGTCAGGGTTCACACGCGGCAGATGGTGGACAGCGAATCTTGCTAAATCGAATCATTGACGGATCGTTGGTGCACCTCGCCCTCTGTTTCCGCAGAGTTATCCTGTATACAAGACGGACTTCTAGTACAATCAAACGTATATATATACTGATACATAGCATGCAAGGATGCGGTAGAGAGGCTAGTTCCAATACCCTCGCTAAGAAGACCAACAATTGGTACGAGAAGGTAATGTCACTCGGCTCCGACTTTATGTATACCAGGTAACTTCGTACATCGGCTCTCCAATCGTCCGCCACCCACTCCGTTCTCCCCCTCTGGCATCTCCCCTCACTAACCCCCGCGGACCAGTTCGGGGGGGTGGAAAGTAAAGCGGGAAAGAGGTAGTACCTCGTAAACGAATCCAAGTAAGAAAAAAGTAAACTAAACATCGGCATTCGAACAAAAAACACAAAGGCGTCCTGACTCCAGACTCCAGCCTGCGATTGAATAAATCTTACTGTTTCATTTCCCTAGCCCAAATCCTGTGACCTGAAAAAGCCGATCTCTCACACAACTCTCTTCTCTCTCAAGTGAACCTCAGAAAACTATATAACATATCCGACAACCCTCCTCCCTCTTCCAAAGACTAGCTAGTATACACACATACATACTCCTGATCAGCCTTTTTTTTTAGTTTCATTTTATTTTGCATAGCTTAACCTTCACACTGGTTTATGTTGCCAACTAGATACGTGCATATTATCACTCAAACCGGAACCTTCCGTCCAAAAGGCGTTCGAAACTTACAAGAGGTGCAGTGGGCGGCCTGAGACCGTAAGACGACGTCAGATTGGGCGTGGATGACAATCGGCTTCATTCTCCATCACGAACGATTAAGAACAGGCGGTCGACCACGACTTGTTTGATCGATACCGACAATCGGTCTATTGGAGATAACCAACGCCGCCATCATGTCTATTGTCGAGGCGAACGAGGGCTCTTCGATCACGAGCATCCTCCTCCGCTACGCTGTTTGGGCGATCCCAATCCTTTTGGCCTCCCGAATCGCCATCTTCCTCTACAAGACCTGGACATCTCCTCTCCGCACTGTCCCAGGCCCCTTCGCCGCCCGCTTCGGCCGCTTCTACTACCTGTGGCGAGTCGCCCAAGGCCACTGGGAACGCGATGACATTTCCCTACACAAGAAATACGGGCCCGTGGTCCGCGTCGCGCAGGATATGTACAGCATTGACCACCCTGAAGTGGTTAAAAAGGTCTACAGCATCAACTCCAAATTCCCCAAAAGTGACTGGTATTATGCATGGCAGCATCCCGACCCGAATCGCTGGACCTTGTTCCCGGACAGGGATATGAAGAGGCATGCTGAGACCCGTAAAAGGTTTCAGTCCATGTACTCAATGTCGAGTTTGGTCAACTACGAGTCCTATGTAGACTCGTGTGCCGAGATTTTCGGCCGGAGGCTGTCTGAGTTCGCCGCCAAAGGCCAGACGATTGACATGGCGCATTGGTTTCAATGCTATGCGTTTGACGTGATTGGCGACATCACCTACTCTCAAAGATTCGGCTTCTTGGATAAAGGAGAGGATATTTCGGGGCTGTTGAAGGCTCTGCACAGCGTTCTGCAATACGGGGCCCTAGTGGGCGTATACGCCAAATGGCATCCTCTTCTCTTCAACCTTTCGAGCCGTCTCGGTATTGGCGGCGGCGAAGGCCGAGTGTGGCTGATGAAGTATGTCAACGAGAGAATCAAACAGCGCGAGGAGGACAAGAAAGCCGGCGTCGATGTCGAGAAGATCGGGGATGACAATGCACCCATGGACTTTTTGGAGAAATTGCTCGTGGCGAATCAGCATGATCCTGAAAAGGTGACCCCTTATCATGTATTCATGATGGGCTTATCCAACATCATAGCGGGCTCCGACACGACTGCGGTGAGCTTGTCATCCATCCTATATAACCTGCTCAGGTATCCGGACACGATGCGAAAGCTCCGAGAGGAAATTCACGAATTCGAAGAGCAACGCAGGTGTGGCAACCCCGCCGTCTCGTTCAAAGAAAGCCAGGACATGCCGTACCTGCAAGCGGTCATGAAAGAAGCACTGAGAATGCACGCTGCCACGGGTTTGCCACTGTGGAGAGTGGTACCTGAAGGGGGCGTAGAGATTTGTGGTCATTTCTTTCCCGAAGGCACCACCATTGGACTCAATAGTTGGTGCGCTCACTATAACGAAGACATCTGGGGTCCAGATGCAAAACAATTCCGACCAGAAAGATGGATCGAAGCCGAAAAAGAAGGTGGGGATAGGTTGAAGATGATGGATGCGTATTACCTACCGGTGAGAGGTATCCCTAGACCAGATTGCTTCTTCTACTAACAGTGTATCAGTTTGGTCTGGGGTCAAGAACGTGCATAGGACGACATATTTCATTCTTGGAGATGTCCAAGCTGATCCCTCAACTCGTCAGAAGGTTCGACTTCCAGCTGGAGCATCCCGAGCGAGAATGGGATACTGTGAATTATTGGTTCGTGAAGCCAGTAGATTTCCGGGTCAAGGTCATGCTTCGACAAGAGTAAAAATGCCTTTGACGCCAGGAAGAAGACGGGTGGAAGAAATGGTGTGTGCTCGTGTCGGCATACGTAAGGACCTTTGTCCTTTTATGCCGTAGCACTGTAGCACGGTCAAGCCACATTGAACGCCACTGATGTATGCGAGGCGCCCAGTACGCACATCTGAAGCGCGTGGTCAAGCCTCCATCTCATGAAGCCTAGGAAGGAACATGGAAGGCTCAGGGGTGCTTCGATGCAGAATCCTCGGCCGCCCCTGTGGTTGACAGAGAAAGAACACCATTGGGCTCGAGCCAGATGCCTGTCGGAAGATATCCTATCGTACGTCGAAGTCAATGGCGATTCGGCTGCACCATTTCAAATGGCCCAAATCGAGTACCCAATGTGGTAATTTCAACCCTTTCTTCGCTTCCCCATTGGTAGTCACGTTTCTGGAGAAAGCCATTTTGAAACTCTTCACAATGAGAAGGGCAAGCACAGTCGGAAACGGGACTGGCGGTTACAAAGTAAACAGCACAGGGGATATCGTCCATCACAAACTAGTATGGTCGGTTAGCGTGGGGAGCGGCTCGAAGGTGTTGAGATAGCTGGCCAACCGCCGAAGAGCTGCCTAGGAGTGGAGGCTAGCGGTTGACAACCCCCCTCTTCAAGCTCAGACTGTGCTAGCGAGTCCGAGCCGTCCGCATGATCCAGCGGCTGCGATTCGTGGGGTTATCGTGGCGGACAAACCCCTGCTGTTGCCCAATTTCCGCCCGAGCGCAGAGCTGTGGGTATTGAGCTGTAGTGCCCGGTGCATGGCGATTGATGCCCAGCACTAGTCCGGCTGTATCGTGGAGTAGACCGAGATGCGAGCAATCATTGTAGCAAACATCGAAACCGTGGGGAATTGCAATGGTAAGAGGGAGGGAATGTGATGGAGGTTGTTCGAGTTCAGCCACGATCAGCGGGGATCCTGCGGCGGCAAAACAAGGTCGGCAGGGACAAACAGGGATGTGACAGCCGGGCGCAAAGGCGATGGTATTCGTAGCAGGGCAAAATGAGGGTCGAAGAGGCAAAGGAGGCGCACGAATCGAGCCCGAAAGAGGAAGGGGACCTGGGATGAGTTCAGCAGCTGGCAACATGATCGACCACACCCCTACCTAGCCAGAGGATCATTGGAGCACGGGTTAGAACCGTCCACACCCTCAAGAATCGAATTCAGTCAGTTGTCCACAGTCTAGAGCAACGGGCCGGGAAGAGGAATGAGGTCTGGAAACGGAACTTGCAGATGGCGCCCGCATGCACAGCGTTGAAGGAAGCAGGGTCGACAAAATGCCAACAGGCCAGCAACAGGCCAAGAGACAAGCGCAAAGCCGCCGGAGCTTCATCGTAGGATGGATCATGGATGGAACTTTGAATGGAGGGTACCTCGTAGAGACCCCATCCATCCACTGGCAAAAGTGCAAGTAGAGTGGACAATGGACAGTAACAGTAGTGGACGGCGAGGAGAGTTGCTTGCAGGTGCCCTTGGTGGGTGCTTGGGGTGCTTCGGGGGTGATGATCCCATCCAGCCAGTCACCCACCAGTGGGTGCCCGTCCTAGATTCCAACTCGTGCCTAGGCACTTGCTCGAATCCCGGCCATTTCGCCTTCCCAAGCACGACCAACTTCCCTACCACGCCTACCGCTTGCCTGTACGTACCACCATTACCACTACTACCCGCTACTTGAACTTCCTTTCGATCTCAATCTACTACTGCTAACTTTCCCATCCAACCTGCGACCTCTTCACCATACCAGCTCTCTATCGCATGTGGTGTATCTTGCGACGTCGACGCGCCTCTCTCTATCTCCATCTCTAGATGAATCCAGCTCCCTGCGACCTGCTATCCATCCTTTGAACCAGCCACCCGGCTTTCAACTCCCCGTATCTTCTCGACCGTCATCCTTTCGCCCCCGTTCAGCCGCCTCAGCTTGTCGCTCGCCCGCTTGGTTCACCCGACGCTCTTTTGCGCGCGATTACTTCTCCGTTCCATCTCGAGAATCATCTTGAGCACTGCACACGACCCTTTCGCATGATCCTGAACTTATCCATCTCCCCCATCTGCGCACATACCGAAGACCAGGCCTCTGCAGGCCAGTCCGTCGCCCCACATGAGTGGCAGCGCTGCCACTCAGCCCTCGTCAGGTACGGTCCGACCTTTCGCTATCATATCTCAATCGGGTCTCTGATCCTGCGACCTGTTGGCTGCGTTGGCGCACTTTTTGTTTCTGACATGTCTACATCTAGGCGCCTCCCTGCAAGGACAAGAGGCCACCCCCAATGACACCGCTTTCACTGCCACTCCTGCTGCCAATTCCTTGCCTCACACTGCTCCTGAAGCTTCCCAACCCGCGGAGAGCATGACAGAAAAGCCGAAACAGCAGCCGTCGCTTGTCAAAATCCCTTCTCGTACATCTTCTAACCCGAGACCTTCTGACCCTACTACCGCCCCTGCACCAGTCGCACCTGATGAGCCACCTCCGTCGCCCAGGCGAGGCTCGAAACGCAGTCTCCTCAGCAGAAGCAGGAACAATAGCAGAGGTAGTCGAAGGTCACTGAGAGCAGCTCGGGCGACGGATGGCACCAAAGAGCCTGTGCCGCCCCTCCCTCAAAATGCAGCTCCCAAAATCGAGAAGAAAGCTCGCAGTGGATTGCTCGCCTTCCTGAACTGCTGCAGCCCTACCGAATATCCCGATGACATCAAGTCAGACGATCCCGATGTTGCAGCGAAGAAGATCAAGATCCAACCCCAGCCTCAAAGGACGGCTAGACCGCAAGAACAAAACGAGGTCGTGGAGAACGAGAAGACTTTGGAAGGCAAAACGCCAGTCGACGATGCCAATGCACAGGGAAAGGCCGGAGAGCAAGGAAACGCAGACGTAATAGAGAAAAAGGAGCCTGACGAATCTCGACCGAGGATGTCGCGCGAGGAGATATACCATGAAAAAGTCACACTTCCTGGGACGAGCGGGACAATGCCATCCACCGGCCTTGCCAACAAAGATCTGGGATCTCATGGTGACGAAGATCAGATCAAATCCACAACCGTTGCTGTTCCCGAACCTTCAGAAAAACCGGATGTCAATGTGATAGCAGCAACACCCACTGCAGCAGAGCATCCTGCGGAACCCCAGCGATTTGAGGGCGACGATAAGACGGCCGCGGACGTGGAGATGGCGGACGCTCCTCCTGCGGTTCCGGCCGTTGATGAAGAACCCTTGGATGAGCCGCCCCAGCCTGCCGAACTGCAACCACAAGTGCCTTTACCTCCACCGCCGCCGTTGTCCAAACGACAAGAACAGTTTGCCCCCAAAGAGGGTTCCCCAGTTCCGGAAGCCTCCCTAGAGAAGCAATCGTGGCTTCTGCCTCCTGTGCAGCCTCATTTGAAGGGGAGAAAATGCTTGATTCTCGATTTGGATGAGACCTTGGTGCACAGTAGCTTCAAGATTCTGAACCAGGCCGACTTCACCATTCCTGTCGAAATTGAGGGCCAATACCACAATGTCTACGTGATCAAGCGACCGGGCGTGGATACATTTATGAAGAGGGTTGGGGAGCTGTACGAGGTGGTTGTCTTTACTGCTTCTGTTTCGAAATATGGGGACCCACTTCTGGATCAACTGGACATTCACCACGTTGTTCATCACAGGCTCTTCAGGGAGAGCTGTTACAACCATCAAGGAAACTATGTCAAGGTACGTTGGCTAAGAAGACCCATCGCAAGCTCCTCAAAACTGACACTGCTCAAGGACCTGTCACAAGTCGGCCGAGATCTAAAGGAAACCATCATCATCGACAACTCTCCCACCTCCTACATATTCCATCCCCAACACGCCGTTCCGATAAGCTCTTGGTTCTCGGATGCACACGACAACGAGCTGCTGGATCTGATACCAGTCCTCGAAGATCTGGCTGGACCGCAAGTACAGGACGTGAGCTTGGTCCTGGACGTGGCTCTGTGAGCTCCAAAAGTCTGTTATCAAGCGTTCAGTACGGCCGTCTTCACTTCGTTTGTTCGTATTAGAACGGTATATGATTGACAAAAGTCTGTTTGGCATTTCTAGCGTGGCGTCCATTGACTTAGTGCTCTTGATGCAGGGTAGAAATCACCCGAGTACGGATGGACATCTTGTGGATATGGGAGCCAGGCCTTGGGAAAAAAGGGTTCCAAAAATATAACCCGTCAAGAAAAAATATCAAGTCTTAATCGCTTTGGGAAGGTCTTCGCGTCTTCAGCAGCCCGAAATTCTGACGGTCTCTTTTGAAAGCCAGGGAGGAAAAGGCACTGAGATACCAGTTTGGCAGGGCAGGTTTTTTTTCCTTTGTTGTGTCTTTGGGGTTGAATTGCATATCAGCAGGCAGGCATGTGATTCTGGTCAGACGGGATGGAGATGTGCGGATTGTGGTGAGTGGACGTACAAGCGTGGCAGACGCTTCTGGTGTTCTAAGACATGTTGTACAGTCCAAGACGGCTTGTACTTGAAGAGGTTTGGAGAAGACGTCGGTAGATAGGAAATGTCGCTCCTGTTTTGCGGGAAAAGGTGCTGGTTGACGGTTCTTGAAGCATTACGCCAGCTACAAGCACTGAGAGGGAGTTGTTGCAGGACCAGGAGTGTTTGATGTTCATGTCTAACAGATGCTCTATCAGATGGAGCGGAAGGCACAGGAGTCGTGGGACAATATAAGTACAACAGTTGACCAGATTCTCAATTCGAAAATATATCACATATGTTGAGAATCAAAATATTTTCAGCGGGTTGTCCACTGGTCAGATGCCGCAGTAACGGGCTGGCCTCCAATTGCTATTGTTTAACGTAGTTTTCCAGCATCCATAACACGACGTTTTAAGTTGTGATCCTATAATTGCTCCACGAACTGTCTCACGAACCGGCCAACCTCGTCCGGTGCCTCAACGCAATGCCAATGCCCAACCCCCTTGAGCACCTCCAATTTCTTCCTCTCCGGAGCCGTCCCCAGCTCTTTAAAAATCATCTCACACCCAGCCAGCGGGGCGGACTTATCCTGATCCCCCGCGATGATCAACATTGGACATTTTACCTTGGCATACTCTGGCGGAGTGGCGAGTTCGATGGCGTGACAATTGGCGCAATATCCCTCGGGAGACTGCGCGAGGAGCATTTCCCGTATAAAAGCCTTTTGTAAGGCCGTTGTTCCGGGTCCCGTGGCGCCATTGGGGATGGTGTTGGCCATGGATTCCATCCCTTTGTGCTGGACCAGGGGGATGCGTTGTTTGAAGACGTCAGCCACGGTTTCGCTCGGATGGACGGGGCCGATGCATATTCCTGCCACGACGCGGTCGGGGGATGCGGATGCCAGATATGTTGGTAGCATGCCGCCCATGGAATAGCCCACTACGATGGCCCTTTCGACGCCGAGGTGACTGAGGAGACCTAGGACGTCGCTGGCAATGGACGGAATCGAGGTTTCTGTGCCAGGCTGCAAAGCTGAGCGCCCGGCGCCGTAGTTATCGAAGATGATGCATCGGTAGGACGTGAGGAAGGAGAAGATAGGAAAGTAGTAGTTCTGGGTTGAGCCGAGTCCGTGCACGAAGATCAGAGTGGGTGGTGATGCCGGGGACTGGGACGACGAGGAGGATGCTGGAGCTATATCTGTGTAATGGAGCGAGTGACCGTTGATGGTTGCAAAAGGCATCCTGGCGTAATTCTGGAGGTAGCCTTGCAATATCGACTTTGGGGGATCGTTGGGACGACTTGAGATTGAGACCTGCCTCTCTGCCTGCAATGACGGATGCCAGTGACTTCTGTCCGCGTGGGATGGTCTACGGAATACTTACAATACTACCTAGGTAGATAAAAGAGCCTTTTTTTGGTACCCCAACCGCAATGAGGAGGGAACGTTGCGATTGATGTCGTAAAGTTCGGAAGACCGTGCCGCTGCCGGCTATCTTGAACTTCGAGGGACCGGCCCGAACACGTTCCACACATCCCACGACGACACTGACATGTGAGGTATGTATCCAGGGACTAAAGGCGCCAAATACCTAGGTACCTAGGGAGAGTATTCTTTCCTGTTACTGCGAATGTAACTCCATAATCCCATACCCTCCGAGATCTGGTTATATCAAGTAATAGGCGCTTTGCGGACCAATCTCCTCAGCACTGGAATGGTACGGAACAAATCTCCCCTTCTTCCAGACACAAGGACGCACTGCAGGCCGGGCATCCTTGATCGAAGAATCGCACACTCGCAGGCGCAGGCGTTGGACAGTGTGCGACTGGTCCATGTGCGCTTTGCAGGCATGTTTCAGACCAGATTGACAGACGAGTCTTGGCAGAGTTGAGCTTCAAGTTTTCATTCAGTGCCTCGATCCATCCGAGTCGCTTGTTCTGCGCTCCCATGGCAAAAGAGGTGAATCTCGCATCGTCTCTGACAGGGTAGTTGTGGCTCCACGGCTCGTTGCAGAAGGTCACTACCCTCCCCAAACGAGATGCAAAGAATAGAATCTGGCTGAGTCAGAGGGCGGCTGAATTGGTAAACGCAAGCAATGTCGCCTCCGTTAGGTCCCTAGGTATTGGGAATACGCCCGGAGGATCTTCGATGCTTCGAATGCGGGCAGCTTTTAGGGCACCTTTCGGCACCCTCTGCCCCCTAAAGTCCAGCTTCCTTGGCCCGGACGCTTGCCTGATGCCCGCGCTGTGTCGCCCATTGTGAGTTGCTTGCAATAAGTGATTGAGGCCCACCAGCCCGCCAATCCCACCCTGGCGATCCCCATCCGCACACGCGTTGACGTGATCCACTAATCACCATTTTGTCAAGGGCCCTGATGGTCCGGGAGTGTCCACCCAACGTTTCTCCTGCTCCCAAAGGAGAGGAAGATAATAGGCGATCGAGTCCGAGAGAGAGAGAGGAGAGACGAAGATCTCCAGACAGCGCACTCTTGCCTTTTCCCTAGTCTCCCGCAGTCTGCATTCTGCATTGGGCATTGTGGTGTTTCTCTTTAGACTGCGATTTGCGATTGCCCATCCTCTATCCTCCCGAAGCTTCGACCGAGCTCAGGTAGATGGGGTTGCTCGTCGTTACTCCCTCAGACCACCACTACCACCTTATCTTGCCCTGCTCTTCTCTTCTTTGAATTCCTCTTTCTTCCCACCAGCCGGCCATTTGTGCCGATTCCACTCGCTAATCTTGTAATTCTGTGATCTTCACAATGTCTCCAGACGTCCGGCTCCACGTCTCCTGGCTGAGCCGCATGGTCCTTTTGTTCTCCTGCTTGTCACACGCCTTCTACATCCCAGGTACCGATCCGTCCGCATTCGGCCTCGTCAATGAGCAGAGCAGCGCTGACAGTGTACAGGCGTGTCAATACGGAGTTATCGAGACGAGGAGAACGTACCGCTGCTTGTGAATAAAGTCTACTCGGATAAAAGCCAGCTTCAGTACGCATATTTCGACTTGCCGTTTGTCTGCCCTCCCACCGGCAACCGACATCATGGCTCCTCCTTCGCCAGCGGTCATAGCGTTCCTCTCAATCTGGGCGAGGTCCTTCGGGGCGACAGGATCAAGACTTCGGACCTTGAGATCAACATGGGCCAGGACATAGATTGTCAGTACCTGTGCGATCGGGTGGTGGGCCGGAAAGAGCTGGAATGGGCTCAACAGCTGATTGAGGAAGAATATGTCACCGAATGGATTCTCGACAACCTTCCTGGGGCTACCTCCTTTGTTACCGTTGATCGGACTCGGAAGTACTACGCATCAGGGTTCAAAATGGGATACAAGGACTTCGATATGGCCACTGGTAAAGAGATGTACTACGTCTATAATCACCATACGCTCGTGGTCCGATGGCGGCCCGCTCCTGGAAGAGCTGGAGAGAATGGCGGCAAAGTCATTGTGGGCTTTGAAGTGTACCCCAAAAGCATTCAAGCGGGACACCGCAACGAAACAGGCTGTCCCCTCGATGTGTCTGGTGAACAGGAGCCATTGCCCCTCTATATTCCTGGCAACCACACCAACTTGATGGAACAGTATGCGGATTCATCCTACATCCCGGAAAGCCCCATTGACATGGAGGACGGCGCCACCATGACGATCCCATACACCTATTCGGTCTACTTCTTCGAGGAAGGCGCAGTCGAGTGGTCCAATCGCTGGGACCTGTATTTCAATGATCAGGCCGAGAGTTCCTTCACTCATTGGTTGGCCATTGTCAACTCCTTGATTATTTCAGGCATCCTGGGCGCAATCTGCATCGTGATCTGGGGACGGACAATGCAGGGAGATGTCAAAGGGCGCGGGGACGGAATTCTAGAAGAAGCGCGATTGAAAATTGGCAAGCGCGAGAAAAAGAAGTCAAGCAGCGGGCTGCTGGAGAAGATTTCAGACACCGGGCCCGACGATGATCTGTCTTCGGATGACGAACCACTGGAAGAAATCACTGGTTGGAAACTGCTCCATGGCGAGGTCTTCAGACCCCCACCCTATGGTGGGCTTCTTGCTCCCCTGATCGGATCTGGAATCCAGCTCGTCTTTGTGATTGTAGGACTGCTGGGCCTCAGCTGCGCAGGCATCCTCAATCCAAGCTGGCGCGGAGGGTTCTGGAGCGTGGGCGCCGGGCTCTTTGTGTTCGCGGGCGGGTTTTCAGGATATTTCTCTGCGCGAGTCTACAAGACCTTCGGCGGTCAGAACTGGCGCAAGAACACAATGATGGTAAGTTGTGTCGCTGGCGTATGATTAGTAGTGTTTCCGTGCTGACTGAATGGACCAGACCGCGCTCCTGTTCCCTGGGCTCTTGTTCACCCTTGTCTTCGTCCTCAACCTGTTCTGCTGGGCACAAGCTTCCTCGACCGCACTGCCATTCTCGACTCTCTTATGGTTGGCGTGTTTGTGGCTGCTTATCCAACTCCCTCTCGTCCACCTGGGTTCATATTGGGGCTTCTACCGCTCATCAAGCTGGGAGCACCCGACCAAGACAAACGCGATTCCTCGGCAGATCCCAGCACAGGCGTGGTATATGAAACAGCAAGTCACACTCGCTCTGGGCGCCGGGCTGGTGGCTTTTGCCGTGCTGTTCATCGAACTGATATTTGTGTTCAAATCACTCTATCTGGACAAGTCATCCTACTACTACGTGTTCGGGTTTCTGAGCATCATCTCCGCCCTGCTGTCGATCACGATCGCCGAGACCGTCATCATCGCGACTTACATACAACTTTGTGCCGAGAATTACCACTGGTGGTGGCAGTCTTTTTTTGTGGGTGGAGCTTCAGGCTTTTGGATCTTTGTATACTCGGTGTGGTACTATGCCACTCGGTTACACATTGACGGGTTTGTGAGCAGCCTGTTGTTTTTCAGCTACAGCGCCCTTGCTTGTGCTGTATATTCATTGGCGACGGGGACCATCGGGTTCCTGACAGCGTACATGTTTGTTCGACGGATATACGGGAGCGTTAAGGTGGACTGAGAATGTCAGTCCACCTGATTCCCTACAAGTTCTGTTTCCCACATGGCTTCACGAGGGGAATCTTCCCTCTTATGATAGACGGCAATAAGGAAGGTCTAGATTGTATAGCAATTATCTCGACCATCGTCAAACTGATACAAGACCATGAGCCGAGACCATTGTTTCCGTGTTTGACCACCGCATTGTCGGCGAAGGGCGTGCTCAAGGTATTGGCAAGGAGGATGAGAAATACTCTCCGGGATCTATTATTCAATAATGTATATGTCATGCAAGATTCTGCTGCTCCATGCCAGGCCATGCTCACGCGAGTACGAATCGAGCGGGAACGTGATGTGGATATGAGCACGTGGGTGGATATCTCTTGAAGCTCAACAAGGAACGTGAGATGAAAAAGTACTGGTAGCGGCAAGGGACTTTTTTTTAGCCAAGTTGGCCAAGATGTCGTTCATTTTGACTTGAGAAGACGCCAGGAAGGTGGATTTTCTGACAAAGAGAAACTGATCAAAGGGCACGAGTCACGACTGACGAGCAAGAAAAATCGTCGTAGGGCGTATAAGGTGGAGTTGAGGACCAGAGCAACCTAGGCACCAACGGGTCACCTAAGGGTCAGGCACCCACTTGATTACTTCAGGTAGTGGCCAGGGGGTCACAACCCTGCCTGGGTGATGCCTAGGCCCTATACTGTATGCGCAAGAGCCTTGAATGGGCCAACCCCCCAACCCCCCAACCCACATGGGAAGTGTCCCCAGGACACGGGTCGATGGGCGGGCAGCCCCCCTAGGTGCCCCTCGCCCCCTGCAATTGGTTATCAAGAACTAAGGTACGCCGGGTGGAGGCCCATTGGTTCAATAATAATGGCTTGGTGGTCCCGTCCGCCCTTTGCATCACATCATTTGCATCGCGGTAGGTAGCCGTATACAAAAAACCACACTGGATCATGTCAATTGCGCTCAATGACTCACTTAAGGTCTTGGACATCCATTTCCCGCTTCTACGCCTTTTGATGCATTCCCACAATTGTCGGTGAAGGAGCTTACGAAGCATCCAATATGACTGCCCCGTGTCAGCTGAGACTACCCATTTGATGGGAATACGCAGAACAATGTCATGACATATATAACTCGACTGTGCTTTGTGTACCTAGTCCCTGAACCCTTTTCAGCTTTCCGCTCTATCCTTATCTCTCCAATCACCCAACGCCTGCAGCCTTTCAGCTGATCAACCCCCCGCATTCTGGAGAGCTTGTCCAAGTGTTCGGCAGCACGAATCTGGTAATCGCGTGGACGACAACCCCTCGTTTCAAACGGATCGACGGCTTCGCGAGAACCGAACTTCCAGTCGCCAGCAGTCACCCGGTTGTTATCACCGCCCAGCTGCATTTCTTCACCCCTTGATCCCCTCTCCTCTTCCTTCAATATGACCACGCCTCGTCAGATAGTCTCCGGCGAAATGCCTTCCTTCCTCTCCTCAGCAGTGCCTTCCTACTCTGGTCGGTCACGATCGTTGGCCCTCCCCTCCGCTTCACGACGAGGTTCAGCCATTGCTACCGCAATCGGGTTGCGCAAGAAAAGCGAAATCGATATCGTCCTAGATGGCGCGGCCGACTTTGTCCACTCCTACTCCACATATGACGAGATCAAGGGTCGCGTGGACGTCAGGTTCGAGAAGGATACTTCGTTCGACGACCTCAATATCACGTTCGAGGGCCAGAGTTGCACATATGTCGAAAAGATCGCCACTGCCGCCCCCACAACTGGTCGCACGACAGGGAGACACACATTCTTGAAAGTGCAGCAGCCAATCTCCGAGAGCCTCTTGCCGGCAAACGGCACCTTCGAGGCTGGTGTCACCTATTCCATCCCTTTCACATTTGTTGTCCCCGACAGATTGCTCCCTTCCATCTGCTCACACAAGGCCAACAATGAAGAGATCAGGAAACAACATGTGCAGCTGCCTCCTAGCCTGGGCGACCCCAGCGTCTCCGGAGACGGCCATACACTCATGGACGACATGGCACCAGATATGTCCAAGATCACCTATAGCATTCGTGCCAGAATCACAAAGTGGAACGCCGTTGGCAAGCTCCTGGAGTTGGCCGACAAGGCGGAGCGCATCAGACTTGTCCCAGCGAGAGAAGAAGCGCCGCCGTTGAATATTGACGAGGCCGAGACGGAGCATGTCATGCGCATGGAGAAGAGTGTCAGAAAGGGCCTGTTCAAGATCGGCAAGGTGGGCCGTCTGACGGCCGAGACCACTCAACCCAGAAGCCTCCGTCTCCCACATCCACAGAAGCGGCAGATAGAGCCCGTCTCTTCGATGGCGACCATCCATTTGCGCTTCGATCCTGCCTCCCCCGACGACGTCCCTCCGCAGCTGGACTCGATCGCCAGCAAACTGAAGGTTTACACATTCTTCGGCGCTGCTCCGTATAGACTCATCCCAGAGGTTCGCAAGCACGACAACTGGTCTGTTCTGCACGGTATCTACCCAGAAAGCGTCGCCTTATCATCACGCTGTCTATCGACTGTTTCCTGGGTCCGCCACGATTCTCCAGAACGTGGGAGCTTCTCTTCATCAGATCTCTCTAGACGACCGTCCGGGTACTCGACGACATCGACATCTTCGATTCCTGAACCATCGTGCGCCTATGAAGCGGGCTCCCATTTTTACACCGCCAGTCTACCGGTGCCGATCGCACTTCCAAGTCCGTCCAGCAGCAGTCGACCAAGAGTATTTGTGCCGACATTCCATTCTTGTATTGTCTCAAGGACTTACTCTGTTGAACTGAATATCTCATTCCGTACCCCAGGCGCCAACGTCTCAAGCAGCCATATTACCCTGAAGACCCCTATTCAGATCTCCGCTGAGGGTGGTACTCCGCCAGCCCAAGTCCATGAAACTGAAGCAGTCCTAGCAGCGGAGATCGAACAGCAATTTGGCCTGTACGAAGCTCGCCAGCTCGAAGAAGCTGGCCTAGGTCTCGAAAGTCCTGTATACGAAGAGCCTTCCGCAGCGACGCTTGTTCCAGGTACCAGACATTTGAGTCTTATAGACCATTCCGAACCTGTACTGCACGCCGGCGTCGACACCGGTGCACCACCTGAATACCGAGCAAGTTCCGGTTTCAACACGTACAGCGTTAGGGACAGGCCGGGAGGTCCTAGAACCCAAGCTGTGAGTCTCACTGCTTCCAAAGCATAGATCTTGTCATGTTGCCTTGCCCAGTCTCGCTGTTTCTTCTCCCGAAGATCGCCCCTATTGTGCCCTTCTTTGTGTGACGAAGAGGGGTGGAAGAGAGTGACCAGACGCTGAGAGATACGTGGAGCTGCAGTCGGACGAAGACGGGGAAGAGACCGAACGAGAAGATGAGAAGCCAACAGCCAGTCGCGTTCAACATCGGACACGAGGGACGTCCATGGACTGATTATCATCGTGCGTGAGAGTCTGAGAGAATGGGAGCTTGGCTTTGAAACTTTCACGACCTCTCTTCTCAGGGCTCATTGAGCTTCGACTTTATCTGCTTTGCTCAGATGACTTACTTTGCAAGTCTGCTGCAGGAATATGCGTGGATCTGGCACGGACGGCCAACCACGAGATATACAAGACCTCCCGTCCCATTGTCGGGGCTGTTTGTTCTCGCACTCTGAGCAGCAACACTTGAGTTATGGAACCCGGACCATCTGTCATCGACGCGAAAAGTACGACTACAGGACGACCTGGTATCTGGAAGGGGATTATGTTGTCTGAAATCCGGGTTGGATGTTGATTTCTTTCCCGGACCTTCTTTGCATGGCATTTGGGCGTTTGGATTTTGATTTTGATGGAATTTTGGAAAGATTGATGAAATGGCATGACTGAATGAGTTGAGGAGGAATCAAACTCCAGATTTTGGGTTTCTTTCGGACGATGGGGAAGGATGTTCAATCCGCTATTTAATTTGCGCAAAGATACCCTTTTATTTGTTGTGTAACTGTATACTCGGTACAGGATTTTTTCTTTGGAATAGTAATCGTCATCTTCAACATTGGCCTCGATCAGTCAGTCCACTCCCTCTTTCTATTTCTTGTTTCTGTATTTATATTCATCTAGCAGGCTGCCGAATCATATATAGCCCTCTCAAGATTCTTCTTGATTTCCTCCGTATTCCTGAGTATCCGCTCGAGAAACCTTGGAAGCTGGTTGGAAACTTCCTCGTCACGTGATTGACGTGTTATCTGTTGTTTCGCGAACGAGTGTCGATGGTGATAAAAGTCCTTCAACGCGTGTAATTTTCCACCCATAACGTGGTCCCTCCTCTCCATCTCTTTCGACGATTTCGAAAGTTGTCCCATAAATATATTTCTAAGCTTCTCGATGAAGCGGTTCGTGACCGTAGTAGGGATTCGCCGCGTTAGTTGTGGGGATAAGGTTCGCTGGCGGTCTGCCGGTAGGGTTGTCCCCCCCTTCCATCTATCTATATTTCCTTTTTTGTATTTCTGTTGTCCCTGAGGATCTTTCCCTTAATGAGGCGGATTCGTTCGTAACCCTTGCGCGAGTCTCTCACTGGGGGGACTGTGGAAGAGTGTTGTAAACCTTGCCAGTGTCCTTGCGACGTAGCCCATATATCGGCACTGCAATCCACGGACCTGTAGATGGTATGAGATCCTTCTCTCTGTATCCTGTTGCCCTTTTCCCTTTTCTCTCGAAAGCCGATTTCCTGGGCCGTGTCAGGAATATGTATTCTTCGCCGCTGAGATCTGCGTCTCGAGGCATTCTGCTAAGGCAAGAGATCGTTGAGAATAGAAGGTTCGATATTCGTGTTCCCCAGAGGTAGAGGATCGAGCTCGTAGCACAGGCCGGGGAAACTCTGGATGCCAGATCCCGGAGACACAGCACAGAACCGTGCTCGTCACACGGGCCAGCGACAGAGCCCAGAGACACAGCACAGAACCGTGCTCGTCACACGGACCGGCTAGGCCCCAGAGACACAGCACAGAACCGGGCTCCTCGCATGGACCTGCCAGATACCAGATTGTAAATTATTGACCCTCTGTGAAGGCCGGTGTCGAATTTCTTCCTTTCGCTCTTAAGCGTTTTCCCAATACAAGCGGCGACCCCAGACCAGTTTTGTCCAAGACACGGGACTCCGAGTCGAGTAGGTCGTCGATTCCGCTCTTCAAGGAGCCTGTAGAGGCGCGGCCTGCTCGGGAGAGACATATACCTTCCCTTTCCTTTCTCTCTTTGCTCCTATTTCTACCTCACTTTCTACCTTCTTTTTTTGGGTTTTCGGTGTTTTCTCTTATCGCACAAGCGAGGAATGAGCAATCTCTCAGATCTCATCCATCGCATATATACTGGAGAATATACCAGGTTGTTCTAGGGAAAGGGCGTCGACCAACCCTGGACCCAAGCTTTCGATATTCTCCTGCTTAGTCAAAGCCAGAATCGACCAAACACAGCGGGCGAGCTTCAATGCGCTCGACTGACAAAGACTCTGTGTAAGCCACGTACTTACCTAGGTACTGATCTCTGCAGTCTCAGTTTTCCGTTCGTATGACATCGAGCATTCCTGTGGAGGACGGTGGCATAAGCGATCGATTCATATTTCCCCTCTCTTTTCCCCACTCGACTAAGGTGTCCTAAAGTCCAACAATAGCTGCAACAGGTGAAGAAAGAATCGGGGTTTGGGTTGGATCGATATTCGAAGGCATTCTCTGGCGAGACGTAACCAATATATGCTCAGATACCAGTAGTTCTCTTTTGTCTTGTCATTGTTGGCCGGACCTAGCCTCATCATCGGACCTCTCACGGCCCCAGAGATCCTTACAAAATAGTTCCATTGCGTCGATTTCGGGCTCCCTGATACTTCGGATATTGTAGACTCAGCCAGAAGAAGGATTATTTGGTGACACGTCGAGCACCGATGACATGGGGGTTGCTGCTTGGGTATCCACGCCAATTGGCGAAGGCTATTGAAGGGGCAGAAACCAAGGATCGACCGTTATTCATCCAGGCTAGCTCATGAAAGTGCAGCGGAGGCGCGCCGGCAAACGCATTCGATGCAGTATACGTATGGATACATTGAAACGACTAGCCTGTGAACTTTCATTGACCGTCGAATGAGCCGGAACATCCGCGACTACCAATGGCCGCTGAAGGGGGCGATCCTCCTATGGTGCTTTGAGAGTCGTGAGCGGGCCAAAACTGAATCGAGAGTCTGATCAGTCGAATGACCTAGCAAAAAGCGACGAAGGCAACATCAGCTCCCGGGTCATCGCCCTGAGCTGTGTATTTGCCGTGAAACTTGATTAGAGGACGGGTTTTGGTTTCACCTGATAGAGAATCAGGATACTCACACCCTGCACCGCTAGGAGGTACCCGTCCAACGCAGAGCAGAAATGACACCAGACGTTCTTGAGCGATCAAAGCCAGCATGCAGTACGATCTCGTTTCCAACAGGAGATCTGCCATTCCACTCCATTCTGTAACGAGTGTAGGCAGGTGCCGCAGTCCTCTTGTAACGGATGTCAACCGCGATAGGATTGTCCACTGAGCCCTTCAAATGTCGTGGCCGAATGCCATGTTCTCCATAGTAAGATATGCATTTCTCATACAAAGGAGTTCAGCAGATCGGATATTGGGACGATTAAAACGCTCTCACACGCCTCTCGGAGCTCAAGGGCATCTATGCAAAGCTTGCTGAGGCCGAGCGGGTTCCCGTACAGTCAAGGTGTGGCTTGTAGACAGTGGCAATCTGATGTGTAGAGTTGCAAAGACAGAGTCTTCCGAGGGATCGAGAAACACCATGTCCCCCAAGCTAGCCGAAGCTTGATTACCGTCGGGTTCCTGGTAAATCACCATGTACGACAGAGCTCGCCGACGATGCCGAATGATTTTTGGTTTGATCCGAAATTTGGGACCGATACATTTGCATCAGCTCTGGAGGCTTATCCACAAGCTGAGCGGTTGAACGAAGGTACATGCTGTCAGCGTCAAAGACACCCAGCCCAGCCGCAATACCAGGTGGTGGATTCAAATCAGTCAGACTTTGATGTAACCTGGTATTGAGGCTCGGCGAGAAGCCATTAGACAGGATATTCTGGCCGGGAAGCTGGCACCCATCGTGGGATTGGACGCGACAGGTCATGCTCTTGGGCTGGGGCTGTCGTCTCGACTGGAGATTGCGAACATTGTAGGGATCTTGAAGCTTCGGATCGGGAAGCTGGTAGTTCACTTTGACGGTGAAGGGGCTTGCCTGTTGGGCTTTCTCGAGGGTGGCACGGGACGAGAAAACGATGTCCACGTCTAGCTGCTCAGTATTGCGAGGAACAGAGGCCTGACGCGTCTTGAAGGAGAGGACTGGGCCGAGGGACTGGAGCTTCTTTAGGACAGCAGTTGATTCGCCCAGAGTAGTCGGTGCTGGGGAGATGACAAGTCGGGCGGTAAGGTGCTGGAGCGGAAGCTTTGTGATAGACATAAGTCTGTGCTTCTTGCAGCCCGAGATGTGTGCTCGAGAGGAGAGAGGGAGAGGAAAGAGCGGGCGGCGGCGGGCGGGGTAGACAGATTCGAAGCACAACAAAGGGAGGGGCGCTCGAGTCTTGCTTGATGTTACGCGCATTGGCAATATGGCATGGCTGGGTAATTAAAAGTACTCCGTAGTAGGTACGTGGGAACCTCGTAGCGAGCTGCCAAGCCGACCTGGAGGGACAGGTGGCGTTGTCTGACGGGAAAGGAGGTCTAAACCTCGTCATTGTTGGGCACTTTTGTATGTCACTTTCGTGTCAGACGGAGCCATTTATTTGAAGTCGGCGCCCTGAAATAATAGGCTACTCGGTGAGTCGGCTATAGCACGGAACAACCACGCGACGAGTTATTCCGGGTTCCCGGAGAGCTGATCCGACTGGTCGAACCTCAAGTGAGTGGTGTGGCACTGTTGTCAGCAGAAATGGGGCGCCAACTTGCACCAAAGTCCTGGCCCCCAAAAATAGAGCCTCCGAGCCTCCTCCAGGAAGGCTTCAAAGCCGCGGACTCCCATCGCCAGACTGATCTAGTTACTGCTGGTTTGCGTTTTGTGAAGAGAGAAAAGTCCTTTATCCATGCAGCAAGGTTTGCCCCAGAGTCACCCAAACACTATTACTACCAGAAGTAAAAGACTCAGGCGGCGGCCGAGGGGCCCAGGCACTGCCAACTTGGAAGGCAACTCCGGCCCCCACGCCCCCAGTTCCTCTGTGCAGGCCTGCCGCCTGGTTGGGCAGCCCTGTCCTCTGTTTCTTTTTTTGCTGGGATTATTCGCTCAGCCTACGGGCAACCCTCCCGAGGACCCTCTGTGCCCCCCAGTGCCTCCCCCAAACCCTTCCCTGCGTGCCTGTTACTCTCGCTGTACCAAGTACCTCGTACCTACAGTAGTTAGAGCTGACGAGATCTACCGAGTACTGTAACCAGCTGTGTCCATCATCAGACTCCTGATTATCCATACTCATCTCCTTAATTGTTTCCCATTATTGTATACCTACATTCTCTTTTCCATCTCTCGCTTTATTGAATCCTCATCAACCACGGTCGGATCAAGGCGCCAGGTCGAAAGTTGCCGCCACCACACAAGTCTATACCAATTGCTCCTAAACTGCCTTGGCCCGCCAGCTTCGCCCGTTCCAGACGCGCCTTGAACCAATCCTCATCTGCCACTGCCCCCCCTCCTGAGTTTCAGCAGGACCCAGTCACTCCAACCGACAGAACTCTTGCGCTCTTTAATCCAAACCGAACCTGAACCCAAGAGGCCCATCTCTTGACCCTCCCTGCTGCCCTCGACTCGTTCGCAGTCCCTTGCCTGTGTCAGTGCCCGCCTTCTTCCGTCGACGTTGGGACGTTGCTGAGCCGGACCACAATTGCACAATTGTGGTAGCCCAAGATCAATCGAAAGAGATTTTACACCAGCTGCGCTCCAAGCCGTCAAAATTCGTGCTCACGAGTCTCGCGCTTCCCTCCTCGGAGGTCAGGCTGACAACTACCACCCTCTGCCAGGAGGCTACCACCATCGCGAAGGTTATGCCATGAATGACTTTGATAAGAGAAGATCAAGATCAATCATGTATCGGCCAAATTCAAAGTGGACATGGGCGTTCTCCCTCATCGCCTTGATCCAGGCAATGATTATTCTTGCGTTTGAAAGGTACGGCCATGATCGTCCGCCCATGGAATGAATTAGTGCTAATACCGGCTTTCAGTTATGTCTTTGCCCATTTCCAGATTCACCTCGAAAAGATTCCCGGCAATCAGACCTCATCTCGCACCATTCCAACTTTCTTGACCTTGTATATTTTCGGATTTTTATACCAGCTAGTCCTCGTCTGGGACGCTCTGCGAATGAAAAATACCATTCAGGTCATTGGCCTGGTCATGTACAATGTCGGCCTGCTCATCTATGGCGCCGTCCAGATGGACCAGATTAGGGATGCGATTTTGCAGCTGGCCGAAGATAACGACATCCGCAAGAATATTTGGTCAGAAACCGAACCATTTTTGGTCGCCATCCCCTGTATTTTGGCGGTCGGGACAGTCCTCATGGCCGGCTGCGCCTGGAAACTGTACGACGAATTCGCCTGGACCATCTACAAACGCATTTCGGCCGATCTGAGGATGAAACGACGCTACCTCCAGTACCAGGTCTACATCGCCCTGTTGAAGTTTGACTTCTTCTTCTTCCTCGGATTTACCGTCCAGTTCGTGGTCATTGTCAACCAACGACAAATCGAGTTCGCGCTCACTATTGCCGCTATGCCGGTCACCATTTTCATTCTTCTAGCAGCTGCATTGTTCGTCCGGAAAGAGTCTCTATTTGGCACCATTGTTGTCATTGTAAGTGAATACGTACAACTTGTCGATCTTGGGCACTCCACTAACCTTGTACTTCGCAGATACTTTACTTCGGCGGTCTGGCGTATTTCATTTTCAAGATGGTTCGCATGTACTCCTTTGGGTGGGATGTACCTTATCTTCCAGCTCGAAAGGAACTCACCACCTTCGCTGTCTTGACCATCATCCTGATCCTTGTCACTATTGTGTACGCCTGCATTTGCGCGCACAACTATAACAAGGGACTAAAGCCCTACGTCAACAAACCGCAGAACGTTGAGGACGACGAGAAGCCCATGAGCGGAAGCGCCTACGCGCCCTTTGCAACGGAAATGGAACCATCTGGGAGTGGAAAACTTCCCGCGCCAAGGCCTGTTGCCTCGCGGATGGAAATTGATTAAAGGAGATGCCAAAAGCAGTGCAAGTTCTTTTTTTTTTATGGATACCATGTAGCGGGCGTTTCCAATGGATGACTCGTTGTCATTTTTCAACCGTGTGCGCGGAATTTTTTCTTTACTCATCTGACGAGGAGTTGCAGCCCGACATTGGCTGAATGAAGCATACACTGTACCTTGGAAACCAGGCACGAGTTGGGCAAGGGTACGAAATATCATGTGAATGTAAATGCCAGGTTGGAAAAGGGGCAGGAGGCGGTCTAGCCAAGGTCTCTACAGTGAATCCATGTACCACTGTTGGGCCTCATACACGGAGAACACATACGTGAATAAAGTACCCTATTCCTTTCTCTAATGAACCGTGTACCTTGAGAAAAAAAACAAAACCGGTCCCCTTATCCAACTGATGTGGGCGTTCTCGCAGAGGTTAGTGTGAACATACCGAGTAATTATGGCGTGAAGGATACCTAGTATGAGTCCGTTTCATATTCGCTAGGTACCCCTAGGACTCCTTCGTCTCTTCGTTCCCTCGAGGATATATCCACCTAGTAGATAGTAGATAGTAGATAGCAGATACGCGATTACATGCACCCCTTTCTCCCCAGAGTCTCTTGAAAGCGTATTTGTATTTGTATTTGGACTGAACTTTCCAACCGCACTCAGGCTGGGAACGAAAAACCTCCCCCTAGGTACGTAGCTAGCTAGCAAGCCTCGTCCACTACCGCTTAGTCGCAGCATGGGAAAGCAATGCATGGTGTCCCGCCGTCGTCGTGCTGTGTCCAAAGGGGGATCTCCCGTCCGATTTTTCACCAGCGCAACAGCCTCTCCCCCTCCCCCCTCCCCATTCCCTCTCTTCTGTTCCTTTCCCGTCTCGTCGCTATTCCAGAAAATTTGCAATTTGACATTTTGCACAGCGCGCGCGCGGTAAATCTGCAGAAATGAAACTTCAATTTAAAAAACCAGATTGAAGAAGACACAGGAGTGAGATTGGGAGGAGAAGCAAGCGCGTGAAAAATAGGACCAAAAATATTGGAAACGAAGAGAGTGCCTGTGTGTGTGTGTCGGTGCAGGGATCCCAAAAGCCCGCGCTACTCCGTAGGGTATCCTACTCGGCCATGAAAATCTGCAGCATCTGCGGCAGCGTCCTCTTCTCCTCGATGATGTCGTCCGACACCTTCCAGAACGCCGTGGGACCCGCGGGGCCGTGCACGTCGTAGTCCTTGTCGAACCAGTTGCCCAGGATGCCGCGGGCGGAGCGGAGGCCGCCGACCTGCACGCCCTCGGAGCGCCAGCGTTCCTCGCCGTGGAAGATGGAGAAGGAGGTCCAGCGGATCGCGCCCGTGCGGGTCTCGCGGACGGATCCTGCGTATTCTCAAGTAAGTCGGCTTTGTTGGTTCTTTTTTAATTTGGAAGGTTTGGGGGGGAGCGCGCGCGGGTAAGACAGAAAGAAAGAAAGAAAAAAGGAAAAAAGGGGGGTGCACTGGACTTCTTTGCCCTCACCTCTGATACTGGAATTTGCATTGGGATCCCAGGCCATAAAGGTACTTCGACTGGTGCCCGCGAAGTAGACCGCCGGCATCAAATCGCGCCCGTCTTCTCCCTTTTCCTCTTGCTCCTCGATCCTCGTGACGTGCAGCTGCAGTTTGATCAAGCGAAACGCCTCTCTCGTCGTGATGGGATCCCGTTCCTGGTCCGCTGGAATGTCGGCGTTTCTTTCGAAATTGAAGCGGTAGAGGTCGTTGTAGTCGAGGAAACAGACGATGCGCATCCAAGTGCCCGTCACACCATAGGGGTCCAAGGCGTCAAGGCTCGGATTGGGAGCGGGCTTGATTTTCCCCGTGAGTGGCGACGACACATAACTGTTGGGCGCGATGCCGGCGAAGAGGCTCTCCCAGGGTTTGAGGAGGTTGGATCTGGTCGACGAGACTGACCTGCTTCCCTCGCCAGTGGACCGCGGCGGGGACCCGGGGAGTCCCAGGAAGTCGGTGCCGCTCAGCCCGCGTCGTTCGGTGTACATTCTGTGGTTGAAGCCAAGGACGACCATGATGGCCTGTACCTTCTCCCAATCGACGCGTTGAGTGCCATCCTCGGTGAAGGGGCCCCACATGTTCGACTCGTTGTACCGGCGCAGGTCGTAGACTCGGGATCGTGCCCAGGGATGCACGTCTCGGATGGGACGCGGACTGCTTCGGAGAAGATGGCGCTCTTCTTCGCTTTGGTTGGTCTCGTCGATGTCCGGATCTTCATACTCGTCGTCATCGTAGCTATCGTCGAATGGGCCTCGAAGCCCGGCTACCGCGACGTGCGGACAGGAAAGTCCATCGGAAGCTGGCCAGGGCGAGTCTAGGTTCAGGCCTGCCAGAACGTGGAGTTTAGCAGAGAGCTGACGCAACGCTTCTGTGGGCGCAGCGGGCCACTGGTGAGGTCGGGCGCGGGCGAAGAGGCTGGATCGGCAGAGAAAAGTGTTGATGTTGACCCCCTTGGAGTAGAGATTTGACAGAAAGTCGCTGATTTTGGTGGATGAGGCCGTGGCTTGTTCGGCCAGCCTCACCGTCTGTGTAAGCACTTCTTCCAGCGCCTCAGTCTGAAAGACATGGTTAGTGGCATGGAAACGGTTGGAAGACATCGCGGTCCAGGTCATGCCTTTATCTCATCATTATCTGATGCCAGGATCTTTTGCAGCCTCACTAAACGGGTCAGTCTTTCTCGCCAGGACTTGGTATCGCCGTCTAGAGGAGGATCCTGATAGCAAGTCCTGGTCAGCAGGCGGCGCCGTTGATATCAAATCATCGTGGAAGCCGGCCTTGACTCTTACAAAGAGGGACAGATAGTGGAGTCTCCACAGGAACTCATCGCTTCTTATGCAATTGTTCAAGTGGTGACATGTCCTGGCCAGCGATGCTAGGTCTGATGGTTCCACGTTCTGGAAGATGTTGTGTAGGACTTCGGGAGCCAAATCCAGCAGCTGGTAGTGTGCCATGGCAAGGATTGCGGCGGCAGTGAGGGTGAGATGGGGTTAAGCTTGCGGGGAGGGGTCAATGGTGAAGGCACCTTGGTATTCTGTTCAGCTATATCTCTGTATTTGATCCTGCGAGCGCATCGACAAGGAAATCAGGCTTTGGTCATTTTTCAGATGGACTAAATGGGATGGATCCAGGAACGAAACTCCTTAAGGTGGAGGTGAGTTGATGATGAGTAGAAGACAGTAAGTGTTGGTACAGTAAGTGCATGAGAGGAATCCGAGGCCAGTTTGTTCCCGGGCCTCTTCGGAGATAAGGGCTCGGCTGATGGGGACTGGCTAATTTATCCGCATAGTATCTCTCTAAACGTCTCCTCCCTCTTCCGCTCCATCTCAGATGAACCTCAAAAAGACTCAGATTTCAAGTATATACTGCTGATACGATGGCCCCGCCATCGTTCGCATACTAGGCTCCAGCTCCAGCCACAGTGAGTGGTATCTCGACTGGTCCGCCTGCCCCGTCCACAGAAACTGGGCCAGCGTCTCTCGGTACCGATCATAGTCTAGCAACCCATGTCTGCGGCATGCCTTCCCAAGCATAAACACGTACGAGGCATGAATTGCTGCCAGCGCACTGGTCACCGCTCCTGTCGACAGAATCCATATCAACATGGCCGGAGCAAAGTCCAGCTCCCTGAGGTCCTCGTCCATGGTCAAAAGCGTGTCGTAGAGTTGCGTTGTCAAGACGTTGAAATGGCGGTACTTGAGAGGATTACCTCGTAAGTGGTGATGGGTGAAGAGCAACGCCGCCAGAGACACTGAACGCCAAACCGTGGCGTCCCAGCGGTTGTTCCCGGGTGCCGTGTCTCCTTGGACAATAAGTCTCAATTTCCTTTCGATGCGATGGAACATATCACCGCGGCGCATCCTTCCGCTTTCAGTGGTGCTGCGTAGAGGGCTGAGTTGCTCGGCATGACAAAGCTCCCGGATGTCGTTCAGCAAATCTAGGACCTTGTGACGAGGAACGCCAGCCGCCCTCAGTTCTGCTCGACTCAAGCCAGGCAAGGGCCTGGAAAAGTTGCGTTGCTGAAAGCCTGCCCAGGATTCATCCCAGACCTCGATTGGTGGGAAGCGCAGTTTCTCGTCGAAGACCTCCGAGTATATCAGATCGTTCCAACTAATCAAGCGTTGCAGATGTTGTTGAACGCCCGAACGCAGGGATGACATGCCGCCCCGCAGCTCGACAATGGCATGCATGCCCGCCATGTGTTTGCTTGCCTCTGGGTATGAATCCATCACGAGGGCAATATTGGTCAGGGCCGACACGGCCGCGATGGTTTCATCACTGGCCGCTTGTTGCGGATCTGACAGACGGTCGTTGATCAATGAGATAGCTGCCAACTTATGCTGTAGTGTTTTCATTTCTTCCTGCGAATCCGGAATCGGTCGGCGGTGACGGAAGTGCACTCCCCAGCTATACATGGTGGCATGAAAAACCAGCTGGTCGCTAATGGCGAATTCAGACCAATCGCTCTGTCCGTTGATCGGACACCACGGGTACCTTTCATAGTGGCGGAACAGGTACAGCCTCGCTTCATCCCCTTCGTCCAGGTGGATCGGTAAGACGCCGAAAACATCGGTGTTTCGCGATCCAAGCCAAGTTATAGGCATGCCAGGTACGAAGCCTGACTCGGCGGCTGCGTTCTGCTGCGCGTTTCCTAATGATTCTGTCTTGTCTTTTGAGAGATCCGATTCGGCTGCGTTGCTCGCCTCTTCTGGCGGCGGGTTGGCCTTCTTCTTACCTTTCCGATCTCGGTAGGGATATCTTTGCTCTAATTCACCAGATCGCATTCTAAATCTCATCTTCTGCCCGCCGGTCATAGGAGTCTTTTGTCTCTCCGTGTGCAGCCTGGTGCCTGCGAATGACATGACGGAGAAATTCTTGGGTTCCGTTTCTTGTTGCTCTGCATGGCTTCGTTCTAGATAGTTGCGCATAACGTGAGCGCGCATTGATTTGAGCTGCTTGCGATCCTTCTGCGTCTTTTTGCCCGTGGAAGTGACGAACAAAAAGCCACCTTGTGACGGGGCATCCTCCGTCCCTTGTTGGTGCGCATCGTCAGTTTCGCTGGCTGGAGGACTGTTTCCTTCGGGGCTTGACCTCGAATTGGTTGCGGGTGCCATGCCAACTACCTGTGCAGATTTGACCGATCGCGGTGTCTCTTATGGCTCCGACAGTGTTGAACTAGGGGACTTGGGTGCTCAACGAGGATCACTACTTCTTCATACTGCAGCGGCTGAAAATATAGTTTTGCTCCCCTTTTGCTCCCCTTTTGCTCTGTCTGACGCTGAGATGCACATTGGATCTCAGGAGTGCTCAGTCAGCGGTGGCCATATCTCGCACCTTAATTGAAGACCCAATTCTGAATCAGCAGCAGAGCCACTGCAACGATGGTGACTCGTCGGCTCCATCATTTTGTCGCATCATGTCGCTGGAAACCGTTGTCCATCTACATCACCATGCGATTCTGCTTATGTAAATCGCGTGCCGGAGGGACGATTACTCATCATGGTCGGGAATATACTGCTCGACTGGCACCCAATGGGCCTCTTCAAGCTGCTCAATCACCGTCTGCCACTCCGGAATGGGTAGTAGTTCTCGGCGAGAGAGTCGGAAGCTTGGCACAATGGTGACGATGTCCTCCAGTGGGCAGAGTACCTAGGTATGTATTTGACAGCGGAGACATTTAGGAGTGTCGGTCATTTAGGAGCAATGATAGTTCAAAACGTCCAGACGCTCAAATGAAACTGGCTGTGTGCAGCAAAGTCCGTAACGGCGGATGTTCGTGTTCTGTTAGAGGGCATATATGATATGACGTGGACAGTTGAGCGAGATAAAAAGATATGGCGACCCAGGCCTTGGCAGGAAACATTTGCTGGATGATTGAACACTCTCTGCCGTAAGATCTCAAACACCACGTCGGGTGGGAGATACAATGCTGGACGGGGTCCAAAGAAAAAGGATGATCAAGGAGATAATTGAGGACACAAAGTTGTGCACACCTGTGCCAGTCGGTGGTTGCCCGTTGCCCGTTGCGCGTCCTACTGTGCCAGTGGCCCATTGGCAGTGCACAGACCAACTCGCAACAGATGCCCAGTGTGATCCTTCTTGATAAGGAGGCTCACTGGCGGTGACTGGTATGGCAGGATGAGCAATCAACCATTGGCGGCGGCGTCTCCATCCTGCCAGTATCATCAGTGCATCACGTCTGGTGCGGCGCAGCTTACTCGGTACTTAGTAGGTCAGGGGCAAGGCTGTCCACTCATTCATCCACTCATTCCCGCCCATGTCGCAACGTGGGCAGCACCAAAAAAAGAACCAAAACAATCCCCCAATGTGCCCTGCCTCCCTTTCCAGCTTCTCACCAACTTCCTGCCTGAAGGGGCCAATTTCCGGCCCACGCAGGGCGACTGGCTCAAGTGATCAAATCTGTCGTCATCGCTCTAGGTTGTTGTCGTTGAGTGTTCTGGCAATAAAGAATGTTATTGTCGTTGTCGTTGTTGTTGCTTTTCTGATTGTGTACCTCGTGTTTCTGCATTCCCCTGGGCCGCATCGACTGCTACTGCTCAACTGTTGCAGCCATGTCCTCGCCGGTCAACGGCACTCACGCCTGGCCCAGATCATCCCAAGGAGAAGGTGGAGTTGAACTCGGCCCTAATGATGGTGCCGCCCTCATCTCAAAGACCGGCCTCCCCTACAGACTTTCCGAACACCGCAAGAACTGGGCCACTTGGTTCGCCTTCTTCTGCTTCGACGGCTGCGTGCTTCCCATTATCTTGTTCTACTCTCTCTGGTATGGTTCGACTTTGACCCATTGGACAAGTATGTGGCACCCGGATCTCTCTGAAATAGAGATCGAATTGTGGCGCAGAATGGCCTCTCGGGCTGACTGACTCCCACTGCCAGTCTTTACGCTCATTACATCTTTGTCCTTTTGGACCTCTTATCACAAATGGTACGTACGGCGAACGAGAGCTCTCCACATGTCCCCAGATTTTTAATCTTGACCAAGGTTCTCCCGGGGGTATCGGCTGTTGATCAAGCGCGATCCAAAGTACAGACCGATAAATGGCGGCCGCTGGTGGTTTGACTGCTCATATTATATCTTGTCGCTGGCGCTGTTGATCGTCATTGTTGAACTTGTCGCTGCAACGGCCACCAAGGACGTCAAGGTCAAGGTCATCGCCATGGCGCCGCCCTCGGTCCTGTACACCATCGGAGGTTACATGCTGCTGCAGAACACGGCTCATTGCCTGCGCATCCGCACCTTTGTCACGCTTTCGTCAGTCAAGCGAGGCTCTCTAACGCCTCCGCCGTTGTTTACCGTCATGGAGGACGTCTTCGCTGTCGACGGCTGCCACTTGGGCTTACCCGCACGGCATGCGATGCTCGCCACGTACAACGCCAGCGCGAGATTTCGCAACACTCTGATGTGGTGGTCATGGATTTGGTGTCTAGCCTGTCTGGCCGTTGCGGTCGGCTTGTCTATTGTAGTCGGGCTTGTAAAAGGAACCACAGCCTTCGGTATTAGTAGGTTTTCGCCTCATTTCCTCCCCTCCTCTTCACAAACGCGACCAGACGATCATGCTAATCTAATATCTCCTTCACTTCAGCTTACGGCGTCTCTTTCCCATTCATCGTTTTCATGTCGGTAGTCACCGCTTTCTGGATGGAATCCAGGGACGCCCGAGGTGCTTTCTCGGCACCTGTAGGTCAAGGGAAGGCCTTGCGGAGTGTTTCTGTCAGGAATGGCCGTCTCGCATAAGTCACAGACACTAACAAGGTTTCAATCCAAAATAAACAGCTCGCCTTCCCCAGCCCCCATCGAAGCCCTTACCTCGCCAGCGAAGAATCGCCTCTGGGCTCAAGATGGTCTGTCTCTCACCGCCTACGCAGCCAGAATGCGAAAAAGCACGACCGATTAGAAGACGATCTATGCGTACCAAAGTGTGGCCCAGCCCGCCGCTCGACGGGGCCGATGCAGAGACCCTTTCGGCTGCCACGACACACAAGCCCCAATTCCAAGTTTCGACCCGAGAGAGAAGAGCCCCAACTGCGAGCACGGCGTCGTTCAAAACAGCAACGTCGCAGTTTCAAGCTGAGGTGGAATGGGACAAAAAGGCCTCCACCAGCACGCCCGTCGCTGAGACCACAGGGGGATCTCGAGCACCAGTTCCTCCATCTATCCACCCGAACCATGCATTCCCAGGTCCATTCGGTCCGTGAAATGCAAATCAAAGCCCGGCGGAATTCGAAAGTATCCAACCAAGCCCGCCCCCGGCCATTTCGGCCAACAAGTATCTCTTGTCATTGCGAACCATACAAGCAGACCCTCTCAACGGCCGGCCAAACCAAGGAAGAGGGAACCGCGGGAGGAAAAATCAGTGCCACCCCCCAAAGCTTAATCAATTCGTCACCTAACCTGGCGACATTTGAGGCTATCGTTTTGCTTGGATACGGGGGTGTCTGCGGCTTTCCGGTCTGGCGAGGCGAGGCGAGGCGAGGTTGTGGCGCGGAAAAGGGGAGATGGGTTCACCATGGAGTCCTTAGATATATATATATACATTATATCATCCCCCGAACTGTGCTTTATCCCTTACTATTTTCGTTTAGGGAAGGGAGCGAGGCCGCTTTGATCGGGCACGTGACGGAGCATGGAGGAGGTCCTGGCCGAGTTTGGGGGAGCGCGCCCGAGCACTGGGCGAGCTACAGGGGGCACTGCCTAATGCCCATTGCCTATTCGCAGATGCCAGTTCGGGCTCAGGGGTCCCTTTTAGGTGTCGACCACGGCTATCTAGCTACAGCCCCTCATTTATTTTAGCCATGCCTACGACCAGTAAATTATAGGCCTGGATGCGGCGGAGCTCCGTGACTGGGCCAGAGTAATAAGGTACCTTGGGTGTCAAGATTCTAGGTACAGCACCTCGTATTCTGTTGTGATTTTACAATTGCCACTTACTCAAGACATTAAGCTGCCACTTTTCATGGATCGTGAGGCATATTACAGCAGTCTTCCGCTGCAAGCCGGACAGATAACATTAGTAATAGTCCACGCCACTCAACTTTTCGAGCAGCCAATATCAAGTCATATTGAGATGGCCGATCTTTCGCAACAGCCCACGGTTCACGCGGTTAAACAGCACAGCATTCTATAAATTGCGATTGAAATAGGTTGTTAGTTACTAAAGGTTACATTGATGCACTTGGAGGGATTCGCGGTCAAGCCTTTCGAATCGTTTGGATCGATCAAGTCTGCATCTATTCCTACCGAACCGTAATGAAACACCTCAGAATCCTGAGGTTTGTACCTCTGTTTTCTGGGGGGTGGGAGTGAGCCTAATACCTATGCAATGGGGACTGGCTCAGCTGTGCTGGGGGAACCAAAGCTTAGTAATGAATCGAACGCTGTACTTTACCGTACCTCCTCCCTCCTTCCCTCCCTTATATTAAGTTATTACATGCCTACTTCTAGATCATCCGTGGACTAAGACCTATTTTTCCTCCTGGCAGGAAGAGATATGGGACGCTGTCGATTCGGTCACGATGCCGGATCTAACTACTGATCCACATCTCGGGCGATACTTTACTAAGCTCGATCCCAGCATATATTAGCCCTCTAGGTATTCTACTAGGATAAATAGACCTTCGATCGCAGATGCGGTAGCAGTGTATGCGTGAACTCCGACAATCAACCACCTTGATCCACGAGCGCGGATCTGACAGACGAGGCTAGACAACAGCACAGATTGAGTCTATGAAACACACGTGGAAATGGACTTGATGAACCAGAAAATTCTCTTCTCCCTATGTCCGAACGTGTCTATCCATGAGCATTAACTGACGTTACGAGGGCAGGCCATCCGACCCCTAGGTTGTGGAGCCCAGGATGTGACCAAGGCGACGCTTCGAAAGAGATGATATTCTCAGGCGGGGGTTGGAGAGGACCAATAGACATGCCAACGATGACTACCGTATCACACCCTCGTACGCATCTGAACATTATTCCGACTGATCCTCGAGATTGAGTAGATAACGACAGCCGCAGAATATTACCTGAAATAGTGTCACAAACCACCCTTTTATGAGGGTTCTACCTGTGAAGGAAAACCGATGACTCCTGTCGCGCTAATGGCGAACCGCTTGGTAACAGTATACCATCAACTTTGGAGGGCTTTTGAAACACATGGCCCAACCTTTATTCGCCTGGCCTGGAAGCTTAGCACCGTCTAGGCGATTCCCGGGGGCCGGGGGGGGGG